TTAACTACTTCAATGACTACAATTCATCATCCTCTCCTCTGGACACTGCCTCTGTCGATTTGACCGACAAGCTTTGAGACGCTCGCTGTGTTTTCCTCATTTACACCTTCATGCTGGATGCCAGAGTACAAGAACGTGTCAAGATGAAAGCGAGTAAAGCGGACAGAGTTTCGAGTTAGGTTTTTTTTTTTCTCAAAGACTTCAGGCATGTTGAAATATAAAGCGAAACACAGAACTGCTCACATGTTTTAAAACAGGAAATCAGGGGTTTCCATCACTCGGTCTGACCTCTGACCTCTTAGACATTCTTCAGGAATCACAACTTGAAGTATTTCTCTCCGTCTGCTTCCCTCTTTGAAAAACATCTGAAATCATGACGCCGCTCTATCGAGAGTGACTCAGCTTATGTTTCTAAGTCACTCTATGGTTGACTAAAACATACCTATAAATCTGAAATCCAGGCCAGCGGTTGTGTATGTGTCTAATTTCTAAGAGTCTTGACCAGTGAGGGGATGTCTAGACCGAGAGTCGAGGGCACTTCCTGGAACTTAACATTGACACTCGCTCATAGGCAAATATTTCTACCTTTGTTGATGGAATGGCACCTCAAAAGGAGGCACCGTGAAAATTGGGGGTCTCTGGTTAGGAGGGCAGGAGGGATGAAATTGTCCCAAAGTGGATCCAGATGTTATCTTTCCCTCCTCAGTCCTCTCTTTTTCTGAAGTCCCACACTCATCACTCCATCATTTCTCTCTTTTTTTCCTTTTTTTTTTTAAACTCGCAGTGAAAAGCAGACCCGGTGATTACTTTAAGGGAGGACTGAGCCAAACCAAACACAAGGAGACAGAGTTGGGGTCCACCAAATAAAGAACAGCCTCACAGTTCAAAGCTGAACATACACGAGTAAAAGCATCCTCAGGGCTCAACTGGTTTATGTTTGTGATCATACCTGTTTAATGTTAATTCTTTGGTCAGTAAGGTTGTATTTTGTGATGTTTTAACCAAAATAATAAGAAAAATGATAGATATGAATCATTCAAAAGGATGCCAAAGCTAAAAAACATAATGAAACTAGAGAGGAGTGTCTGGGTTGTGTGACCATTGTAAATTTGGGAAAAGTGAGAAAAAACAGCCAAACATGAGCTCAGAGGCTGGCTGGTAGTATGTTTTAACATCCGCCCTGTGGGACACAGACCTAAACTGATTCTGCGGGCTATTAGCCAGGCATATAAATCATAATTTAAACATATTTTATACTATTGACCTCTGCTGCTCTCAGTATTATGGCCAGCAGCTTTACTTTAGCCACGTAGTTCGTCATCGTAATTTGCTGATTACTATGATCTCCCTGTCAAAGGGCTGGGACTTCTCAAGTATTACTCCTTAAGGTGCTGATGCCAACTCTTTGTCACATCATTCAAAAGGAAAGAAGAAGGGGAACACCGGAGGGGGAGGAGTGTCTGAACTGTGCACTCGGCGTGAATTATAGAGCAGAGGGACAGAATAACTCCATCATGAGATCAGGAGAGGTTGTGTGTTTAAGTGTCCACCCTGAGGGAGAGCAGGACAGTAATGGAGCTGAAATCAGGATAATGGGACAGTGAGGCAGCCTGATCTGGTACCGACATGATAAGACTGATAGGAACAGACGTGAAGACACATGCATGCTTTTCGTGTTGCACCCTGCATACACAAACTAATGTTAAATTACACACTTGCACAGACTTCAAACCCTGCTCACCCTCTTTCACTTTAATGCCCTGTATGCAAATTCACTGCCCATCTTAGATACAATAAAACATGCAGACTCTTCTGTCCTTGACATTAAAAAACAGAGATATCAACTTTGTAATCATACCTTACAGTAAACCCCCCCCCACAAAAACAGTCATAGGTGTACGTGACTAAACCCACTCAGTACGTTTACATGACACTTGGAGTGTCACATTATCTGGGTGTCTTAATCGGAGTTTGAGAACTCCAATTAAGACACCCAGATCATGTGATTGGAATTCGATTTTCTCTACTATGTAACCAGTGTAGTCGTAGGAGTATGATCGGACAACCCCGGAACAAAAACACCAGAGAAGAAGCAACACTATCATTCAAAGAACTTGCGACTCTGATGCAACTGCAACAAGGCTGAAGCACAAAACAATGTCCACTTACAGAAAGAAAGAATGTCGACGAGGAGAGTGCCGTTATGCTTTCCGTCCTGACAGAAATGGACATTTTAAAGTATATGGACAGTTGCAAAATGAGGAACGGAGACATCTTTTAAAAAGGTCTGGAAACATCACCACTGAAAAGACCCAAATTGCCCCCTAGTTTTGGGGAGGAGGACACGTTCACGTCAATAATTCGATTTTCTTAGCTGCATGTACACGCGGACAAGGAGAGAAGTCTAATTCGGTGAAAAAAACAAATTATGAGCTCAGTCCGATTAAGCTGTGCATGTAAACGCACTGACTGAGAGCCCTTTCAGTTAACTCAAAGCTCAAGGTAAGACTCTGGGTTTGTTGAACCCTTTGCTGAAATGAGCCTGTTGACACTCTTGTTGTTGACGCTTGTTTTGAGAGTCAGGAAATAGTCACAGTCATGAGAGCAGATTGAGGAGCTACTGTGACCCAAACATCTCAGATAGGATTCTAAGTTGCATAAACACCCACTCACTATACATTATCCCTAATCTAGTTTGCATTGTTGCAGGATCTGTTCTGACTTAAAATGGCACTAAACTGGGAAAGAGTGGATCAAATAAGCTTTGCCTTCAGTTTTAGATAAATTATGTCTGGCTGTGAAACTATGACAAATACTCCTGTTTAAATAAAAGTTACATTGAGAAATACTAAATAAAAACAGCTGCGTTTTATGACAGACAGTTTGAGTATTGTGCTTGATGTACAACAAAAATATGTTTGTGCTTTCAGTCCAGGCATACTTGTTTGATCATATCAAAAGCAGCACAGACAATAGATCATAATTCCTGTTTTAAAAAAGGTCAAACTTTTAACTCATCCCAGCTACAGAGGGAAACAGAGGAAGACCTGATGGGATCCATGTGTGTGAAGACAAAGATCTCACTCACACATAAATAAAGGATATAGGAAATATCAACGGATCCTCTTGTCTGAAGAGTCAAATTTTGTCAAAACAGAGCGCACAAGACGCTAGGAACTCGCAGCAGTGAGGCAGCATGAGGAATAGTATCACCTTAGGGGAAATGTGAGTGAAGAGAGTACTACCTCATCTGTTCACATCTGCGCTTCATAAATCTGAAATCCAGCTTGATTCCTGCTGTTTGTAAGAGCAGAAAACTCGCCTGTGTGGCACAACGGTTTATACTTGTCTGTATTAATCTGATGAAGACTTCAGGCGTGGCTTTAGAGGTTGTCGTCTGTTATTCAACCTCCTTACAAAATGCACTCCTAAACCTCATGTACTTTGGTATAATTTACCCTGAATGTATCAAGTGTTTGTGTTCCTGTGAAGTTAGAGAGGTTAAAGCTCATGTGAGGAATTTTTGCTGGTTTTTAAACAGGCTGAGATTAATACGGACGTATCAATCATGACTATTGGCATAAGTATTGACTGTTTCTTTTAATGTCTAAAGCCAATAGCAGGGCGTGGGTGTTAGACTAAGACTTGAAATGCTTTTAAGAGTAAATATGAGTGATACATTTTACTGCTTGATGAATAATAGCTGCTGTAGCTAACTATCAATCAAAAATACAACTTTTTCAACTTTTTCCAATTTTGTCCGGAGCCGCACATCATCATCACGGTAAACAAAACTTTCCCCTGTGTTTGTAGCCAGAAATCAGAGGTATGCTAATCAATGCGATGTTGTTTTTCATCTTTAAAATCCTTCAAGGCTGTTCACTTTGGCAACTCCTTAAGATTTTCAAGAATTTTCTGTGACCGTGCCAAACTCAGGTGAAGATTTATGGAGGCGTTTTTTCCATAAATCAAGAAAAAAAATGACAAAGTTATTAAGAACGAGAGGTAAATCTTTTGGAAGAAGGCCTCAGGCTGAAGGCTCTTATCTCCTGTTGGTGGTTATCTGCTCCATCTCCAACCCAAGGAAATTGGATATTAGAGAATCCCAACAGTGGTGAAGAGTCATCTAGTTCATGTGAAAAATGGCTTTAATTTCCAGCAACTCTTTGCTTTGATGTCTCTTATATGGTTGTATAGTAAATGTTTCCATTGAGCAGGAAGATTACAAATGAGGTTAAATATGCGGCAGTGCAGTCAACATCAGGTAAACTGTTCTGACAGCTGTGTGAAAAACTAAAACTAGAGGCAAAGATTTCTTCAGGTTTTACTTCTTTTCTCATCTTCTCCTTGACCCCACTTTGACTAAACCAAACAGATGTTTTTTTGGTTTTTGATATCGACTGAATATTGCTCCATTGGGGCGATCATGCACACTTATGTTCCCCTCTCAGTGCTGTCTTCTCGTCTCGTATTCCACTCATCCTCTCCCCAGACAGACAGAAATGGAGTTTGTTTTTCCACAAATTTGCTATTCTTGGCCCGTAGATTAAGCTCGAGTGGCGTGATCTGAATTTTCGGTGTCAGACACTCAGTCTCACATCACGAGGTGTCTAAAGCTGTTAAGTGTTTCACTCAGACTCGCTCCCTCTTATTCACACACACAGAGACGTACACACAAAGACAAGAAGAGCAAATGAGGGAAGTTTTCTGTTTACAGCTGCGATGTGAAACTCAATTACACAGCCAATTGAGAATGTGGCTGTTCCTCAGATTTGCGTGACGTGGTCCCACTGTTGTTCCCAGTGAAGCCTCTACAACTGTGTTCACTTAGCAGATTGACAAACAAGAAAAGCGGTACACAAACACATACGAACACATATGTATACACACACACGCACATCTGGATCTCTGCTTCTCTCATTCATTTTTCGCTGAGTGTTTTCCTCCACTGTGTCCCTGGTGTTTCTGCACCCAGACCCCTCAGATGAGGTGAGGTAAGATTTGGAGCCACAGTATTATGCCATCTGGTTATACATTCACACATGTGCACCACTCATACGCACACATACACACTCATGCAGATATACTCTTGTCATAACCTACACTGACAAACACCTGGACCTGGTTACAGGACTCAGAGGGAGACTTGAATACTCTGTGCATGCCTGTGTGAATAAGTGGGGTGCGTGGGGAATACTAGGCTGTAGGTTATCCAGCGCTCGGGGCTGTGTTGAGGTTCATTTTAATTTTTTTTTCATGATTTCCGGGTCCTTGAAGAAGGCAGCTCACTTCACCTAGTCTCAAAAACTAAACCCTTGGTCACACTTTTTCTCCAGTCTAGAAAAAGCTGCATCCAAAGGCACAACATGCATCATATATCATACTTTTTATGCATTATAACAACAACTCTGAAGGTAGTTTTCTCCATGTGTTAACATGATCAATATGTAGGGCTGGGTGATATGGGAAAAAGTTTATCATGATATTTTTTTTTCGTATCAGTCGATATCGATATATATCACGATATAAAAAAGGAAATTTAACTATGGTAGCATGTCTTTTGCAATACAATAAGCCAGTTCATCCGTGAGGTCTTTGTGTCTATTCAACGTTTTGTCATAAGGCACTGCGCTAGAGAAAGCGGACTGAATACTTAGGTATTTGCAGTACACATTACTCTGCTTCATGTCCGACCTCAAAAAAATAAAATACCTCCACACCACCGACATTTACGTGCCAGTGTTGTCGACGATGTCGTCATTTGTTGAGCCTTCATCTGCATTTCTGCTGGGGGTAGCGCTCATTTTCTGTTTTTCAACAGTGCTGTCAGCTTTGCGTGTTAAGGTGCTATGGTTACGTGTAGCTGCAGCATGCGACTACACAGTTGTTTGCTACTTGATTCTAATTCAACACGTTTGGTTCAGCGTGGCACGGACCCGGAGCAACTCCCCTTTTCAATGACTATTCATATAGTCTACGAAAACATGGCAGAATGCCGACTATCGAAAAGTATATTGACCATGTTTTATATTTACCGTATTTTTTGCATTATAAGGTGCACCTGATTACAAGGCGCACCATCAATGAATGCGTCTATTTTCATACATTAAGGTGCACCGGATTATAAAGCGCATTAAGACAAACAAAACAGTCAGATAAGTCAAACTTTATTAAACTCATTCAATAACCCTGCGAGACTACAGTAGGTGCAGTGCTACGACAAGCCAAAAAGATTTTAAGTGCGCCTTATAGTGCGAAAAATACAGTATGTCGAGGGAAATTAATTTTCGATATAGGTCATTATCGTTTTATCGCCCAGCCCTATCTACATATCAACCACAAAAAAGGCAAAGTTTGTATCCTTTGTACCACATTTTTGCAATATCTCATAAAAATTGGCCACACTTCCATGACAATGTTTTTCTTATGTTGCATGCACAGTGGGAAAAAAATATAGATCTTCAGTTACCTGGACTTAAAAATAATGTCACCCTGAAATGGACCTGTGTACTGTCTGGTGTAGCTGCTATTTCTCTGTGCAGTAAAGACAGAACAGGAGGGTTTATGCTCCAACAACTACAGGAGAAAGTATGACGGTATGTCAACATTACTGAGCAGAAAATGGACATAGCGTTTTAACTCTCACTTTAAGTTTTCTTCAGTGTTACGCTTAGTATCCACGCAGCGAGTGAAACTCATCCTGTAACCTGAAGTAAACAACCCCACTGCACGTGCAGCAGCACTCTGTCAGAATCTAGCCAACACACAAAAAAGGGCGACGTCTGTCAAACTTTCCGGAGTGATGGCACACAACTTCGAGAAAAGAAACAGACACTAGTGGGAACATAAAACCACTCCACAGCTGCTTCAATTCGCCCCGCGGCGCTTCTCCGTGGTTTACTCACCTTTGTCTGCCGTCTTGTCTCGATGGATAGGAGTTGATGTCTTTAGTAGTCCGGATTAAGATGCTGTTCAGTCTGAGTCCTCCTCGCTGAAGTTGTAGCTCCTCTCCTACTCTACTACTCCCTCTTTCTCTTTTCTGCAACTCAACCACACACACACACACACACGGACACACGTAAGCTAACACGTTAGTCTGCACCTCTAAAATTCTCTCCGCTGTATGAGGGGTGATAAGTGCCACGGAGGAGTGCATTAGCAGGAGAGACGTGATTGAATGAAGTCTGCTCTGAGAGGATACAGTTGGCCACTAAGTGTCTTTAAGTGTATGATAAATAATTAAAAACTAATAATACCCAACTGCTTTTTGTTTCAGACTTTTAACGATTCACCAAGACCATAAAAGTCAAAGAAAAACCATGAGTTAGGATGTTAGGATGTACTTGCTTTCTGAGATTAAAGGGATATTCCGGCGCAAAATTTAGTGTCGTAACACCAAGTTAGACACCCCCTTGAGAGATGAATGTTGCAGACCGCTTGCTTCTCTAGTTATACAAACTTTAGTAACGACCGCAGATAGCAATACAGAGAGCCACGTGCTCAACCAAAACGCCAATATAGCCACAAATAATGTTCAGAACAGCACCTAACTTCATCAACAGTACATAAAGGGTCCCAGCCATAGCACTAGCCACCAAACATCTTTTTAACTTTGCCTAATTTCTCTAGCAAAGACACTAAACACAACTCACCTACTCTCTTCCAGCAGCCGCTTGTTTATAGCGAGGCCTCAGGCCAGTCTTTTACGGACTACAGCGGGGTGACGCAGCTCAAGGAAGAACATTTATGATAATTTATTTATCATTTCCTCGAAGTAATAATCACCATATTAATCATTTTACACTGCAGACGCGGTAGTTCTTCTGCCTTAGTGTCTCGGTCTGACCGCATTTCCATGAAGAAATGATCATAAATGTTCTTCCTTGAGCTGCGTCACCCCGCTGTAGTCCATAATGGACTAAAGGCCTGAGGTCTTGCTACAAATAAGCGGCTGCTGGAAGAGAGTAGGTGAGTTGTTTTTCGTCTCTTTGCTAAAGAAATAAGGCAAAGTTAAAAAGATGTTTGATGGCTATCGCTATGGCTAAATCTAAACATCAGTAGACACATATCACTTTCTCTGTGTCGGCAATGTTCTGACAACTTCCTCTAAATGTTCCCATCTCTCAAATGCCAGCTGGAAAATTCAACAGCATGCCAAAGACAGCAAAACAGCCTGTCCTTTGATTGTTCAAGGAGTTTTGTAAGATCTGGCAACTTTGTTTACTTTACATTCCAAGAAAAGGCGACATTAGTGTAAATGAGCATATTGATTTGTTAACAGTGATTACTATTTTCATTTTCTTTACCATACTGTGCTCTTTCTTCTGCTCTCCTCTCACCCAGTGTCCACTTCACCTCTGTTTCTGTCCCTGACTCCTCTGACCTTTCTCAGCATGGTGGAGACACGCGTTGAAATCAACATTTCACACTGCTTTAGTGGGACTCGTCTGTACTGCCATGTGCTTTCGAAAGTAATAATAGAAGAAGCTTAGTGTGCGAAGATAGTATTACACTGAAAGAAGAGAAAACAAACAAAGAAACACTGAATATTTCTCAGGGGATCAAAAGCACATCATTTATTAGACAACTTAGATCATTTTAAATAGTGTTAAAAGGTGAGATTTAAGCATTGTGTCCCATGTTTATCATTGCACATAATACAAACTCATACAGTCTCATACAACAATACCCAGCCTTTGTTTTGTATAACTCTGTGCGGCTTAAAAAAGTGAATTTTGTTGCTGTTTGTTCTTGTGTTGGGAAAAAAAAGCCAGATGTAACAAAAGGAAAAGGAAGTATACCCAAATAAACATGTTGGGATGGCTAAAGGTCAAGTGAGATATAAAAACACATAAAAAACGACCCCTCAAATAATCAAATAATTCCCCCAGTCCCTGAAAAGTAAAGTCCTGTTACCCAAACAATTAAACACTGTAATCAGATAAGACATGTCTCCCTTCTACCAACAAACAAAAATATACAGTATACATAAAGAATTATAATATCCATGTTTGACCAGGCCTGAAAAAACTACTTATGTAATGTACGGCAGACAGAACGTACCAAAAAAAAATACTAACAACATAAAATTTGTTTAAATGCTGACTTATTTAATCAAAGGTGATAACACTCGACTTAGGGAGACATACTGTATATACATAATACATCATATTGGCTCCATATTTTGTATATGTTTATCTATTTTTTCTGTATACTGAATTCATAAGGTCAGTGTCCTGTAAAATTTAAAGAGCGTATCTCTCAAGTGCCTCACTCTCCCATATTTATGCTTAAAAGTGGTGAAATTTGGACAGTATTTGTCATTTAATGTGATGGATAAGAGTAAAAAAAATCACAATATATATTTTTAAAATAAAAAATAACCCTTGTCACAGTGAGCACTGATGAAAATCAGTCGTCAAGTTTCTGTGTGTCAAAAGCTCTTAAGGTTTTCAAATGCATTGCTGTGGAGCCTATTTGATGATTTTGCCAACAGAAAAGAAAAATAAAGTTAAGAGTCTTAAAGTTTTTCGAAAAATGGACTGATGGTGTTTCAGGCACTCCTTCTACAGAGGATACGGTCCTTGTCACAGTGGTTGCAGGACTGAATTCTGCTTCCCCAAAAACTAAGCCTAAAAAGAAGATCTAATATAGCAGACGTCACATGGATCAGGATCATTGGACACAAATATGTCATTTTACAAACATAGCAGCATCTTGCTTATCCTAACCTGCTAGAGCCACCTCTTCTCCTGTATATTGCATGAGTTGTATTGTTGCATGAACTCCTAACTTCCAGGAGGACTTCCTATGTTACCGAAAAAAAGTATCTGTGAGGCTATAAAACTGAAGAAAAGTCTCAAAATTCATATTTTGACTGTGTGTGCGTGTTTCTTGCAAAGAGGTTTGTCTCTCTTGGAGAAGAAGGCTTGGCCCTCCAGAGTGGTGCAGCACACCTGAGGACGACAAAGACACACAAACACAAAGGTTTCATACAGGGCTTCAGAACATCTCAACTTTTCTTTCATAAAAATGGTTTAAATGTTTAAAAGTTGAATCATACTCACAGATAGTCTCTCACAATTTGCAAACATGCAGCTCAGATGGATAAAATAATTAACTGCAGTTTTCACTTACTGCACAGACAAAGCAGGTGTCATGCCAGGTGTAACCCAGGGCCTCCAGGAACTTGTCTCCAGCTTCAATGGGGAATTCACAGCCATGGCAGCCAGTCCCAAACAAACTGTAGAAGTCTTTTTTTTAAGGCAAAACCACAGGGGGTAGATTAAATCTGTGACCCATCGATTTTGATGACAAGACCAAATCAAATTCGGATAAGTCTGCCCTGAGGGACTGGTGGATACACTTTAATACAAAGACTTTTCATTACAACCAAATACTAAACCAGATTGTTTTCAGTAGCCCAAATAAACCCAAATAGATCAGTGACTGTCTAGTGTTTTTTCCATCTCATCCGCTCATTAACCCTGTTAGTTTGATCCCATCGTTCAGAGTCCTCATCGATCACTTACTCACCTTGTTCACAGAACGGCTCCCCGTCCTCCAGGTGGAAGGTGTTGTTTCTGATAGGCTGCTGACAGGAAGCGCACAGAAAGCAGTAGACGTGCCACGTCTGTTTGAGGGCGTTGATCACCTCCTGGGTGTAAATGTAAACAGTGTGGTTGAATCAACAGAGGATCGTAAGATACAAGCTGGAGGGGAGACAGAAACTTTTGGAGGTATGCGATCTCGCTACTTGGCTCGGTTTGTCATTATTTGCAATGCTGCTGTGTAGATGTAACAAACACGGTTGAAGGTAGCAAATACCGTCACTGAAATGACTAAAAGGATGAGCATAAAGAAGAGACAATATAATTATTATGAATTATTAAGAAGACAGAGCTTAGAACTCATCCTTGTGGAACACCAGTTAGAAGTGGTTGAAAATTTGCCTAAAATCAGTTCTACAGAAAAGCATCGTTATCCCGACAGTCTGACCTGTTCTCATGCCAAATATTTAAACCATTTTTTTTTTCTTGTGAGGCCACATGACCCAGCTTAAAAAAAAAAGACAAACTGCTTTCTTTCCCACCCTTGAACTGTGAGAACAAGACAGGACAGGGAATCAATGGAAAGTTGGTGGGCTGGAGTGAAATGAAGGATTAGAGGAGAGGGAGTGAGAAAACAGGTTAATAAGAAGCCGTAAGCTGGTTGAAGATGTGTGAGAAATAGAGGGTTGAAAGGGATTGAGGCTCAAGAGGTTAGAACACGTGAGGGATGAATGTCAGAGCTGTGGCGAGCGCAGAGATCTCTGCTTCCTGTCACTCCGGGTTCATGTAGCACCTGCAGTTCCTGGGCCTCTAAGCCTAATTCTCTAAACAGCAGACAGGGACCACATTCCTCAGTTTCAGCGGTGGTCACTATGAATATTCACTAAATCTAAACTGACCCTCTGCATGTTCGGGGTTGGAGCCACAGTGATGCGCAGTCGTTGAATCAACCTCGACTGTAGAATGACTTTTTTGTGACCTTTAATACCTCAAAGAAAAAAATGTCTCGGCTGTTTCACGATTTAAAAGCCTTAAAATGAATGACTACCACTGAGCCTCTCTTCTTTTCTTTTAAAAAGCAAATTTGATAAATCAGTAACTAATGACATAACATCTGCTGACAGCTGTTTTATTTCATTTCACACCAACTCACCCCAAGTATCTTCGCCTGGCAGCGGCTGCACGTCGGAGCGAAGAACTCCTCATAGCAGTGTTCACAGTAGACGGAGCCATTTTCTTCCACGAAGCCCGTGTTTGCCAGGGATGTACGACAGTGGGCGCAGTTGAACTCCTCCTTATGCCATGATTTCCCCATCGCGACCAAAAACGGCCCCCTGAAAAATAAAGAGAAGATTAATAAATTTATGAGACGTCTGCAAATGGATTCAAACTGTATTTAGAGGGTGAAAAAACGATTAAAACATTGATTTAAGAAGTTTTCTCGATATCTACGGATGACTTGTTCTACTCTACTCTAAAGTAGGGCTGGGCGATAAACTGAAAATTTACTGATACCGAAATTCACGACAATAACCAATGCCATTTTGCCCATATCGGTATTTTCATTGTCAAATAAATAAATAAATAAATAAATAAATAAATAAATAAATAAAAGTTGGTTTCGGATGTGTGTAGGTAGGCTATGGTCTCATGTCCCTTTAAGACGCTGTCCTACGCCGTAGACGTGACTCCACCTTATCCAGTCCGAAACAAAGAGGGAAAGACAGGTGAGGAGATGGAGGACAGTTCAAAAGTTGTAGCGGCTGGAGCAGCAGCTGAAGTAGACAAAGAAGGGTGAGCAGCTTGTGGAGTAGTTATCGTCCATTTATCGTCATCGAGGTGAACTGCTCAATATATCATGAAATTGATTTGAGGCTATATCACCCAGCCCTACTCTAAAGCTCCTTTCACACATGCACTCCTGAGATTATCTGGAAATTTGCAGGAAAGTCCAAGAGTCGTCTCTCAGACCGAGAAGTTATGGATCAAGCTACAGCAGAGACACTCCTCCTCCTCCACTCTTGGATTTCTCTTCATCTATTTACATACTTGTCGCTGCTCTTTTCTTCTTTCTCAGGAATTTTAAGGAAATCCTCTGGCCTCAGGTTAGACCACAACAACTGATCTTGGCTTCCTAGAGATCTGTACATTTCCGGTCCAGTGTTTAAAAAAATTGTCCTTACCTTTGGTCTAATGTCTGAAAAGACTTGTAAACATTGTCTGGTTTCTGACCATCAATGATTTAGCTGTCGTTGACTCTAAGAGTCTAAATAATCCGTTATGAGATCTTTGCTTTCAGAGTTCATGCACTTTGAGGACAGAGATTGCATTTAAGCAGAAAGTACACTTTCTTTTCCCCCTCTCTCTTAGATCATCAATTCGGGCACGAGAGACATGTAGACTTCATTTGATCTCTTGAACCTCTTTCATGTCTCCATCAGTTCTAGTAAATGAAGTTCCCAAGGAGTTCCTGTCTGTGAAGCATCTCTAGAAAGAATGTCTCTCATAGACCCCGTCAAAACATAGTCCTTATCGTTGGTGATGTTTATGTGTTACTGCTATGTGACATCTGAAAAGGATTAGAAATTTATAATTTGAAGACATCCTCTGGGGCCGTGTTGATCAGGTGTGCTCTTACCACCTGCTTTGACTGATCCAGGAACAGCAGAGGCAGTGTTTTCCACAAATATCGCAGATTCCTTTTTAATTTGTCAAAATAATTAAGATATCACATCAAATGAGAAATTCCAATGATCAAAAATAGTTTAAAAAGTTGTGGTTTTATGCTCATTCAGCTGCCAAACAGGACACAGGATAATAATAATAATAATAATAATGCATCAGCTTTCATATAGCGCTTTATCAGAGACCCTCAAAGCGCTTTACATTGGATACATCATTCATTCGCTCACACAGTCACACTTTTGGTGGTGGTGGAAACGTGGCTGCCATTCTGCGCCTACGGCCTCTCCGACCACCACCACACAACTCTCACAATCATACACCAGTGGAGGACACACACTGGGAGCAAGGTGGGTTAAGTGTCTTGCCCAAGGACACAACGGACAGACTTGGATTAGGGGGGAATCGAACCGCCAACCTTCCGGTCATTGGACGACCGCTCTACCTCCTGTGTTTTTTTTTTTTACACCTGCTGAACATTTCTGGTGTGAGCCCTGGAAGATAGAAACTCCTGAATCTCCTTATCGTCTTTGCTATTCTTGTCTTGAAAATGATCCTCCTTATTCAACCACAGATGTTTTTTATTTACCATATTATGTGTTCCTTTTGCAGTTTGGCAACAGTTGCATGAAATAAATGTCATCACCCTCTTCCACTTGTGATGAATTTCCTTTTTTTTTTTTTCCAAACATCAGAGGAAATGTTGGCAATTTTTTCTACATGTGAAGTCCTGAGAGTTTGGAGAAATAGATTTAGGAGTTTTATACATGTGTGAGGAGGGTTTGATACTGAAATTTAAAACAATATTTAGCTTTGTGCAGGTTTAAACCAACATTTTCAGGTGTTTCAGGGAGAAAAAAAAATGTTTGTCCTTCAAAATCGTGTCTGTGGTCCTCAGCCTCCCCTCAGACACCACTTTGCAACTGTCCCCTGCTGATTAGGTTAAGTGGGAAAATGACAGAGACTTAGTTCCTTCACACAATAGCTGTGTTTATCTGAGCTTTCTCTGACTGAGATCCAAGCTTGGCAATGATGAGCATTTGTGCCACCTTATCCCTAATGTAAGGTGACACATGCTGGAAGATAACCCTTGGGTTTGGTTATGTCCGCCACAGGACAAGAAGACAGAAAGTAGACTAGAGGAGGGCAGAGGCAGACATAAACCCGGGGCTTCAAAATGAATTCCAAATGTTTCTGGAGAGTTAGAGAAAACGATAAAAAAAGATAACCCTTTTTTCATTTATGCTTATTTTCCATCCATTAGTTATTCACATCTACAGTTTGATCGAGTGTAAGGGCAACTAAATCCCCCTATACCCTTATCAACACCACAGCCTATTGTTTCATTCCTAGATTATTTACTTGTAATGGTTTCAATTATCCCAAGTGCCTCCTGGATTACTGAATAATTAAGACGCAGACATGTTTTCTTTTTCCGACTTAATTTGGATGAGTACAAAAGTTTGTCTGTGTCATTTTGGATTGTCCTTCTGCAAAAGGAATACCAGCTTGATGAGATGGAACTTAACACCCTGCACATTCACTGTTTTCCATAGAGAGTTATGACCTTAAATTACCATGACAGTCTCCTTTTTCCATCCAAAAACAGAGACCACAGATTTGTCACCCTGATCATCTTTTTCTACAGAGAAATATTTTAAAATGACTGTTAAATCCAGCTCTTGGTAGTTGTCTAGTTTTAAGATAAGAGGAGGTTCTGGGAGCAATGGTCTACTGCATGACTGGTCCAGCACCTTCACATATATTGTTTAGGGTCTTCAGCCCCTTCAGTTTTCCTCATGTTGTCTTGGTCTTTGAATATTTTTGTTTCCTTTTTGTAAGGTGTTTAAAAACCATGCATGGGGACGACGTCGCAGGTTCGAGTCCGGACCCAACCATGTGCATGTCCTCCCCCAGTGAGCTATGCAATCTTCCTGCGCCCATAGGCTGCATCAAGTGTCAATCAAAGAAAACATGAACCCCCTAATAACTTTTAAAAATGGAGCTGCACAGAAAAAAAGAGGACTTGAGCACAAACCAGTCTTACAATAACTACATGTCAACATCACAACCAGGGGGGAGAAAAATTTATATTTTGTTTAATTAATTTTCCAAACTTAATCATAATAATATCATCCAGCTCCATAAGGATGGCTGGAGGAGACTGGGTTTATGACCTATACTGCAGCCCATCAACAGAGGGTGCTGTTCTTGGGGTTGCTTCACCCAGTGAGGAGGCAGACAGCATCCATTCTATATACAGTCTATGGTCCAGCACCTTCACATATATTGTTTTGGTCCTTAAGTCCCTTAAGTAATCCAAACCCACAGAGACTGCTCTGTTATTGAGACTGTTATTCTGAGGTTAACCGTATTAAACGCAGGATTTGACCCTCACCTGATGACCATGTTGCAGTGGGCGCACATGGGTGTGCGAGTTCCAGCAGGAATGTGTTCTGCCATCTGCACCAGGGTGTCCTCGTCTTTGGGGTGGGGTTGAGGTAAAGGTCGGGCTGGGACGGGACCTCTCGGGACACTTGCATTTCCATTCCCCTTCATGCCAAACGATGGAGTGATCAGTCCAGTCTTTGGACTGTAACCTGAAGCCAATGGACAAATGATTCAAAAAAATGTCAAAAAGAAGAAGATGCATCATGAATCCTTGTGGTGTGACAAATGAGCAGTGAGCATGAGTTTATTTGACCTTTGCCCTCTCCCAGAAGGTGTAACGGTGGAATGTACAGCTGGCTCACAACCGGTGTCACATCCTTGGATTCCCAACATCGGTCTTGGTGTGTGTGCATGCATACATATGACCATGCATGCAAACACACACACACTTAGACCACCGAGACATTCCTTCAGCTACAGCCTGGACACCTGGCTAAACACACAGCTTGGTCTTTGATCTCCACACTGTGGATGGAGGTGTTTTGGTTTGTGTGTGCATGCTGTGAAACAGGGGCTTTAGCTTTGCATGTCACTCTGCAGGAAGCTAACACACTCTGGAGCTCTGCATCATGTGTTTTCTGGCTTTTTTTTTTTTTGTTATAAATAGCCTCAAATATTTTGGAGAGCTTAGATAAAAGCAAACACACTAAATCTGCAGTTCAGACTGCCAGAAGAATAAAAATGACTTCAAATGGTTGAGGCTGAAGGAGTAGGGATTTGGATTTATAACTATAAGAAGTTATTTATTTCATATTGTCCTCATAAAAAGTTTCAACTTGAAGTCCGTGTTGAATCTACCCCCAAGACACAATAAATTTTTGCTGAAAGAGCAGAATTTTCTGGAAAAAGTGGGAATCATTTACTGAAATCAAAGACTGCAGATTTTTTTTGTCATTTTTTTGCACAGTTAAAAACTCACTTAAGTATGACGCCAACATTCATCATGACAGTTTCCAGCATTAATTATAACACCATGCCATTTTTTTTAAAATGGGTATTTGCAACAAGATAGTTTTTGGATGCCTTGGTTTCTCTTACTGGATTCAAAACAGGTCAGTTGCTCGCTGGTGCTTGGGCGATATACTGCTGGTAGTATATTTTCATGAGCCTGGGTCCCACGGGTAAGTGACTACATTTACAACGAATGCTAGGTGGCAGTTCCTCCTTTGGGAGAGGAGAAGACTTGTGCTCAAAGACACGATACAAGAATAATTGAAGCCTTGCTAGTTATGACCTTGAGGATGTAAAAAGTTAATTATGTGGTCGTTATTGAGAGGAATGTGCTTTTTTAAAAACTTAGGGATCATGTACGGATTAGTCATGTAGCTCTACGTCTTGGCATTTCTCTCAAATTAGCGAGCTTTTGCACGTGTGTCTGACCAAGGTGCCACAGGTAGAGCTGTTCCTCCCTCCCTACCTACTCCCTCACTGGCTTACACGGAGGAAAAAGAGGAGAAAATAAAAAGGGAGTCTGCAATGACCTATTTCAAAACATATGCCACACTTCAGCCATGGAAAATAAGCCTCCTCTCCCTTCCTAACTGGCTGCAACAACATGAAGTCCAACGGCAGTAAATCAGTTTTACACTTTGCTATGATTCGAAACATTTTACGAACAAGAAGAAAAAAAACACTTTTAACTGTGTGCGGGATATATTAATCAATCAAAACACAGACTTCAAAAAAGATTTGGTTCAAGTCCTGAATGAGGGTTTATTTAAGGGATCTATTTAAGGGACTCGACATTCTGGGTATGCATGTGCACGCCGTGACTTATGCTAAGAAAACAGTTGAGGCTCCTAAGTCTGATTATACCCCGCTAGTTAATTTAGTGAAAAGAAAAAAAACCTCAACATGCCTTCATGGTAGCACACACACGCACAGCCCTACAGATATTCTTCTGTTGGATTTGGCAGCTTCGCTATTCCACAGATTTCATGCAGCAATTGGCTCCATGAGTGGAGATGTAATTCTATCACTCGAGCCCATGTGCTATAGATAAATGTTGTCTTCTTTGACGTACTGACCCAGAACTGTGTTTAGTCAGACTTTAGAAGGCATGCCAACCGTGGTTTGGTCTCACATCTTTGAATCAAATTTTATACAAAAAGAGAAAAAGAGCTGACAGTAAAATGTGACTGAATATAGGGCTACTAAACCAGGATGCGATTTGGAATTGTAGTTGCATATTATCTCCAGAAGGGGGCACATAAACAGTTTGTACATGGATGATTGTATGCACACATCCCATTGAGCTCTTACCTGCTGTTCAAACCATAGACATTATACACGTAGACGCCTCATTACGTGCTGGAGCGTAATCCAGCGTCGCCACCATATTGGATGGGCCTCCCCAGTCCAGGCTCACTCAAGAGCCAAACGGGGTCAATGGAGAACGAGCAACTATGCCCGTTTTTTTGCCCTTTTGGTTGAAAAACCCAACACATTATGGCTACATCCCTGCCGCTGTAACAAACCAAACAGTGTGAAAATCGGGCAGAGATTCAAAGAGTTATTATTAATATGGTTGGGCATTCCTACCTACTTAAATGCACTGGAGGTGCATGGGGGACCCATCCAAGACGGCGGCCGTGCTGATACGTGAGCTCCAATAGGCAATGTCAGGCTTTGAGGCATCTATGTATATTATGTCTATGGTTCAAACATTCAACTCAAACTACTTATCGTTCTGACATAGGTGTTGGCGTGTCTATCACTCTCAGTAGAGGATGGAGCACAAACACTGTGTTTACCGTGAGTCGCAGCAGGTCCTTTAATCATCGTCTTGACAACTGCTGTATCGTGGCTGTTGAGTTCTGGCTCTTCTCCTTCTTCACTGTACAAAGAGACAAAGTAGAAACAGAAATTATATGCTAATCAAACCAAACACCCAAATCCTCCATGAACTCAATTTTCTCTGCTAAAACTGCACAAAAATATTGTAACTACACATTTGCATTCTTCTAATTTTGAGCTATGGGCCATACAGTGGTAGAAAATTGCTGCTTCAGACACCCACTGCGTTATGTATATTAGTTTCTTTATTATCTGCAGGGCTGTCATCGTCTGTGTGATTTCTCTTACAGCCCATAGACTCATAACTAGAAAAAAAAGACAAGAATGAAAGGGAAAAAAATTGAAAGCACAGGGAAATGTTTCAAGTTCCTGTCAAAATACAGTATGACAGACTCCAGACCACCTACCTGCTGACAGAGCAGAGACAAATATGGTACTAACCAAAACACAGCCTGTGGCTACAGCCAAAACAGTACAGTACTCAGCTTCATGTTGCCCTTTCTACAGCGTGCACAGAAATGTTGCCCCGGTGGCTCTGTCATAGCAGAACAGAGTCCAGGCCACCAAGACGATGATGGATAGGAGACGAGTAAGTCCACACAGTGCTGATATATAGCACACCCGTTTAAAACCAGCGCCAGAATATCAATTTAGTGACATATAAGAAAGTAAGTGACTCCACAGGAGAGTAATATAGCAGAGTGTAATGAACAAAAGTGCCTAGATGAACTGCAGATAGATTTCAAACTGCCATAAACGATGGAGAGGACACAAAGCTGTTATAGTCTTATACAGTCAGACCGTTTTAATTCTGGATCATATGATCATTAAGTTATGAAATACTGTATGCGAGTTGATTTACAGACTAAATGTCTCCTCTGAAACCCCAAAGTACTGGACACAAAGAGACGAGATGAATTAGTTCCCACCGCAGCATTGGCAGTCCATTTTCATGTGCTCCAAGAAATAAAAACTGAAGTTCTCATTTGGGTCAAAGGCTGAGTAATTTAAAGACGGACGGCAGTAAAATTCAGAGGCGATTTCATCAAACCGTGCCAGAGCACTAATTCAAGTGATGACGTAGAGCGAATGACCTCACAGGACCAGGAGTATTTCTCAGCTGTCTGCACTTCATTTCTGCTGCACATGGTTCATATTCGCCGAACAGAGTGGTGGTCCACAGAGACCTGGTTTGTCTCTAAAGGAATATTCTGTAAACACACGTTATCTTGAACCATCTGAGTACCGAGAACAAAGACTCATCAGGGGACGGGACAGGCCTGCCTAAAGTCGACTGGGACATTTCAGATTAACATAAAGAATAAAAAATAAAAAATTTTCTGAGGATTGTGTTTGGATTTACATTTCAGCGTACCTACACAACAAGTGGACAATAGACATCCCAATATTTTACACGAAAAGCAATCATTATTCAAAGAAATACTCATAAATCACACAAAAGTTATTTTTTGAACTCCAGTTACTCTGACTGAATGAAAAATATACATAACAAAAGACATTTAGCAATGGTTGGGTTCATCTCATGTCTCTCTGAAGCAACAGAAGCACTTCGAGGTTTCGTTCAAGGATTGCAAAAGGACTAATTTTCTGGTTTTATGCCCGCCATTCTGTTGAAAAGGAGTGAAATATCTCTGCTCTTATATCAAATGTGACCCAAGGGTTTCAAACCCTCCACTGCGTTTTGAAATGACGCCAAATGAATAACCTCTCTATGAGTAACACAAACGTTGGTGTGTTTTTAAGTATGCGCACCAGCTGAGGAGCTTGGGTGGGCCAACAATCTCTTTCCCCCCAGACGTATTCCACCCATGATGCATTTTTCCAGCAAACGCCAACAGTTGGATCACTGCTGTCCTCCCCTTGTGCCTGGCTGTTCAGGGGGACTCATGGGAGACACGTGTTGTGGCAACTGCAGCCATAGTTACGACGAGTTGTGTTTGACTGTTTAGTGTGATTGAGAGAGAATAGGAAGAGAGAGGGGTCGAGTCGGTGACAGATAGAGTGAGGAGTGGACAGACAGACACGGAGGGAAAGATAGAAAAGGAATGTCACACTTGCATGGTTGTCCTCCCTAGCTCTGCTGTGATATTACTTGTGCGGACGCTTCATTTTGACATCACATTATACGGTCCCTAAAGAGCAGGGAGTTCCCTCTGTTCCTGATTCAAGCTTTTGGAATGAGCGCTTCAATATGTTAGTGTGGGCTTAAAAAGACAGTAAAAAAAAGAAAAATTTGGTTTTGCAATTTTCTCAAAGAGAGGTCAAAGAGTAGAACACAAATGTTTAGAAATGTCAATTTTAGTATTTTAAATGAAAATACAATAATTATAGGGATCTGCCAGCATAAAATTAACACAACAAGATAGACACCCTCTCGAGAGATGAATGTTATACCAACTTAAGTAACGTCCAAACGATAGCAATACACATCAGTCTGAGGAGCCATAAACAAGCCTCAACTAAAACACCACTCTATAGCCACAAATAATGCTCAGAACAGCACCGAACTTCATCAACAGTACATATAGGGTCCCAGCCACAGCACTAGCCACCAACCATCTTTTTAACTTTACCTAATTTATTTAGTCTTTAGTCTGCAAAGAGACTAAACACAACTCACCTACTCTCTTCCGGCAGCCGCTTATTTGTAGTGAGACCTTGGGCCAGTCCATTACAGACTACAGCGGGGTGCCGCAGCACAAGGAAGAACATTTATGATCATTTCTTTATCATTTCCTTGAAGTAATAATCATTATATTAATCATTTTGCACTGCAGACGCAGTAGTTCTTCTGCCTTAGTGTCTTGGTCTGATTTCCATGAAGAAATGATCATAAATATTCATCGTTGAGCTGCGTCGCCCCACTGCAGTCCGTAATGGACTGGCCCGAGGTCTCACTACAAATACGCGGCTGCTAGAGTAGACTGTGTAAAGTGTGTTTAGTCCCTTTGCTAAAGAAATTAGGGACCCTGTATGTACTGTTGATGAAGTTAGGTGCTGTTCTGAGCATTATTTGTGGCTATAGAGTGGCGTTTTGGTTTTGGTTTGTATGTGGCTCCTCAGACCACTGTGTATTGCTATCGTGCGGTCGTTACTAAATTTGGTATAACTAGAGAAGCAAGCGGTCGGCATCATTCAACTCTCGAGGGGGGTTTCTAACTTGGGGTTAAGGTGTGTTTGACCCTAAATTAATTTGACGCCAGAATATCCCTTTAAGGGGTAAAGAGGTTGAAAAACATCAACAAAATAAAAGTGAAACCTTAGCAATAGAGCTTAAAGAGTCAAGGCTAGCAAGTCCAGACAAAATAAAGATAGGATTTATTATTTACCTAAAGACATAGACAGCATTGACAGGAGAGGAGAAGAGAGGGTCTCCCTCCTCTGTGGCTGACTGATGCCAAGACACCCTTTGGCAGGAGAAGGAAAATATAAGAAAATTAAGACATAAGTCTTAGAAACAACTCGTACTGTAAACAAAAAATGGCAGAGATAGATGGTTAGGTGGTTGATGGAACCATGTTAAACATGTTACATCAAAAACACTCAATCCTGGACTACAAAATAAAACTGTTAGAGGGTTATGTGATTGATGCTCACACTGTTAACCAATAAACACATCAGCTTCCATGCTTTGACAAGGGCTGTGATAAATGCATCCAGTGGATGGTTATGTTAGCATTGATTCAAACTAATCAGCCGACACAGTCCCAGTCTAAGTACTCTCTATAGGAAAGAGACTGTCAGGCTGCAAGGCATCTGTCTTCGTTCTCATTATCTGCTTATCATCCTATGTCCCGGGAGTCTGACAGGAGGACACGGTACACATTAATTTCTTGAAGCTCTAACGTGAGAGACAAGTTTTGTTTACACACTAACTTTTAAACAAAGTTTGAAGAGACCAATAGTACCACCACCCCTACTCAAAGGCCCCCTGTCTGTAATCCTCAAAAATGGAGGTTTTACATTATTTAAAGGAAAGAAGAGTTTAAAATAAATAAATAAAAAAACAGGGAAAAATAAGTTGATTTTGTGTATCTGACTCTTTTCCTTTGACTTCTCATCAGGTTGTTGCACTTAAATTGAAACCATTACACCCCAAAGTTGGAAAAACAGAGATGTATAAAAAGAGTCTAGCTCTTAAACTCAACAGGAAGATAAATAACTGCACTGTAAAGAACAGGAAAGAGCTCATCCATATGTGGCCGTTAAGCTATTACCCTCCATGAGACTTAAGGATACAGGGCTATCTATTCACATTATCCAGGCCAAAGAGACGCTAACAACATGCATTCACATTAGCTATGCTAACTGGATAACAACAGGTGACAAGTAGAGCAGGAAATAAGACGCTCCCGAGTCATTCATTCATTAGAGCCAATTACAGCACAGCTCGTTAATATTCTCCACCAATCAGGACAATTACATGGGGACTTAATTGTATCCTGGAGGGCTGTGATTGGTTGATTGATGGGGGCCCTGCTGCTTTGATTCAATAGTAGCCGGTTAGCGTGCTGACCATCTGGATGTACTGCGCCACATATGAACCTTGTTGACTCATGGCAGAAGGAAGGAGGGAGAGAGGAATAGGTTTTTGGCGTCTTATCATGCGTCTGTATCTTCCCTGATTTGTGTTCGACTTATTCATGAATGAAACCTGCAGTCTGTTTTCAGCATTGTGTTCGGTCTATAAAAGACAGCACTTGTTTGCTGGAATGAAGTGATAATGAGGCAAAAAGGGTACATTTTCACTCCCCCAACTGTTTACATATGTAAAGTAACCCCTTGTGTGCTGTAGCTCCGACATGAACTTGTATTGTGCATCTCCTAAATGCGTTGGTTTGGTTTGAGCGTTGAACAAATGGTCCATTAACATATCTGACTGCTGTCCAGCAGCTCTCTCTTCCACACAACAGATGGTCTATAATTCAGCCCCTGTGATATTCTTTGGATCAAATTCAACGCTCACACACTATACCACCCATGCACCGTGTGCATTCACACACACATATATGCACAAACACAATAACAAAGACATCCATCCATCCAGACACCCACTCAAACTCTCTCACACACACTCTCCATACTTCACGGTCTAAATGTGTACAGTTGTGCCCACTAGCCAATGAGTGATCTGTGTGAGATGCTGCCAAGTCGTTTCACAGTGACCACAGAATGTCATAGCTGGTGTGAGTTGTCTCCACAGAGACATATGGAGCGTGTCTTTTGGTGCTGGCATGGACGGGCCAAGCACGACTTTGACTGCCATGAGAGGAACGTTTGGTGGACTATAGCTCTGTTTGAACTCGGGGTTTAAAAATAGATGTACTGTGCATCGTGTTTTTTTTTTTACTCCACTTAAAAGATTTATTACAACTTTCATCTTTAAGTTTTGTCAGTGTTTTAAACTTGAGTTGACTTTCCTTGTTAAGCTGCATGCGTCCAATCACACCATTACACAAAGTCAATTAGTTTTTCAGTGTTATTTCTGAAGTAGATTAAATCACCATCACTCCATCTTGGGCTCAGACCTGGACAAAACTATAAACTAAAGGTTTGAAAATAAAAAAAACAATCATATTAGGTTTTCATGCTTGTGCCAAACACAAACTCCCAAGACGTCAAACCCAGTTTCCATGGTAACAAAGTGAAATCAAGTTTTGTCCAGGTCCGCCCTGACTACCTCTTGTTCTTGGGCAGGTGCAGCTCACTGACAGTGCGACGCTTCTTCTTCTTCTTCCTCAAGCGTAGTGGCGGAGCTTGTAGGATGGGAGTGATGAGCAGGGCGTCCAATAATGACTGAGATACTGCCTTCTCAGGGGGCAGGGGGCTGCTCTGATAGGTTGGTCTGACACAGTGAGGACATATTCAAGAGGAGGAGGAGGAAGGATGGTTTTATCAAAAGATAAGTATGAAGGGGAGTTTTGAAAGAGTAAAATAACTTTTACCTCCCTTGCACTGGACTGTGATGCACATTATGTGTGTTTTGTGGGGGCTTATTAGGGGCACTGTGGTTGGGAAGAGGAGGGCAGGGGGCCGCTCTGGGCAGGAAGTCCAAAGGATTTGACAAGAGTTCTCTCCTGTGTATGAGTACACAAATATATATACATATACCAACATATACATGGAAAAAAATACTCAGCATAAACTTGTTCATCCAGGACTTCGCCAAAGTTGCTCCACAGACTTTCATGCCAGTAAAGTAACATGTTAAAAATCCTTTAATAGGAGCTGAGTTGAAGCTGGATGAACAACTTGATCCAAGTCTAAAAAAAGATGGATTTTGACAGTTTACAAATCCTTCAAAACCATTTTTTAAAATTCAAAATAGAGCAAAGACACTATGTTGAAATGTTAAAACATTAAAAATCTATTGTTTCATGAAAACATATATGTTTATATTAAGTTTGATACCAGCAACATGTTATAAGAAAGTGACAGTTATGTAATGTGAACAATAATCACCTTGAAGAACATCTCCAAACTATCTGTAACAGGTCAGAAACATGACTGGCTATAAAAAGGGTTTTCAAGAGAAGCCAAGTCTCTAACAAGGGAAAATAGGCAAATGGTTCACTGAGACTGAGCTATGAAACTGTTCAACAGCTTCAGGAAAATGCTCTTCGGTATGTAAATTAAAAGAATTTGTGGGTGACCAACCCTGCAAGACTGTGATCTTTAGGTGCTAAGGTGGTTCTGCAAACTGTTTCATTCACATTGAAAACCGGAAATGCTCCAGTCTTAGGAACATAGAGACTGTTAAGGAGTTAAAATACTATATCAGACAAGAATTAGGCAACATTTTACTTTAAAAACTCCAGAAACTGGTCTCCTTAATTCTCAAACATTCACAGTGTGTTCCTGAAAGAAAAGAAGATGCATCATGATGGCAGAGACATGATGTCTGTCTATGGGGTGGTATAGACCGCTACGCCAGCAACTCTACTTTCAATGAATTAAAGGCTTTAAATGATTTGCAGTCACAGTCTGTTTCTATCAACATTTTAAACAGTGGTCTAACTTTTCTAAATTTGGGGTCGAACTGTTTACAAAGTTAGCATGCTTCAAAACTGAACTCACAAACAGTTCCTACAAGGTTAAGGTAAAACCCTTGTTATTCTGTACCTGACAGGTTTGGTAGGAATCGCACGGTGATTTGTGGATGTGAAATGAGACGGATGATTATTGACTTGAACTGGAAAGCTGTGAGGACAGATGGAGGACAGACATCACAGATTGAAAAGATAGCAGAAGCATTTTAATGACTTGTCACAGAAAAGTTTACTCCGTGTGCATGAAAGTGCTGAAAATGTTGTACAACACCTGTGCTGAGAAGAAAGGCCAAGCTGACTTTGTGCTGCCTTCAGGAACTCTGGAGTTTGTCCATGTAACTCAGCACCAATAAGATCTGCCAAATGGTTGATGGACCTGAGCTTTTCTGAGTCTATGCTGCCCTCTAGTGGTGTCAATGGGGCACTACTGGATTAAGACAAAAAAATACTCATTACGGTGTCAGTTGTAAGAGATTCGAGGTGATGCTGTGAGTATTTGGGGATCATTCAAAGCTTTATATACCTTTCTGTATGCAGATTAAAGCTCATCAGGGGACTATGCGGAGCTGGGAGTCTTTGTGAAGGGACAGAGTCATGAGAAGGAGCCTCTGGTGTTTCATTTTTAACTGTTGGGGGGTCACCTCCATTTGATAAGTATGTCTCTTGAGCTGGTATTACACTAAAAACAGGTAATCCACCAAAATACTGTGGAAACACAGCATGAAGAGGAACGTCGCACGGCCTCTGGGTATGAGATGATGCATTCTGACTTAGTGTTGAACCGGAGTACGATAAAGGTACCAGCACTGGAGCCAATGGATTGTTCATATTAGACAAATGAGTCTGATCTATTTGACAAAACATGTCGATTGATCCTGAATATGAAACAGGGAAAGCAACCAGCTGCAGAGGTGCTGCAGAGGATGTGTAGTTGTCTTGGTGTTCATTTCTCAACATGCTGTCATGTTTCTCCTCACTGGGCGGTGCTGACTCTGAGCCTGGCTTTGTTTGGTGTATGGTCATGTAATCGGAGGTGGGTGTAGCCTCTGCATCACTGGTGGCTTGGCTAGAGGATTGATGCGGCGGGTATCTGTTACTGGCAGATAACAGAGTATTATAGTATTTAGCTCTTTGAAGTGGGATTTTTGGGGGATTGAAGTTTGGTTAAAACGGGGTGTGAAGAAAACAATCATCGCTAGTGGATTCATAGTGCATTAACCGCTGTGTTGCATAATAACACTTGTTAATGATTCAAACCGTAAATGCAAAAGCAGTCGATTAGTTACCATAAATAAAGGCATGGTTGATGATTGGAGAGATTGGTAATTATTATGAACCTTGTTTATATGGCGATCATGGTCCTATAGCGCGATCTCCACAAAGTGAAGAGAAAAAAGAACGGAAAAAAATCTGTTCACCCTGACAGGGGTGCAAAAACATTGACCAATGGGAGCCATCCGTCCCGGACAGTTCCTATTGGTCAATCTCCTGCTCTGCTTTTCCATCTGATCACCTTTCTGTATTCGACACACCCCTCTAGTAGTAGTCCCTCTAGTCTGTAGTTCCGACTCGTCCCCTCCCTCTCTCCCGGCCCTCCTTGGAGCTCTGAGTGGCTAAAAGTAGCGTAGCAGCTTAGCTACAGGAGCTGTGATGGAGAAGGATGCAAAAAAATAAACACTTCTGCTTGCCCCGCCGCAAAAAGTGCTAAGAAGACGCAAGCTGACAGAAGACAGAAGAAAGGGCAGAGTCGAAGAGGAAATGTGACCAAGGTACCAGCAGTAGTAGTGGAGAAAGCTCTGCTAGGATTTGGGCCTGAAAACAGACGCTGAGACAGCAGAGTTTTAGTTGAACAGGTAATTTTTGACACGTTACAAAAAAAAACTCTTATTAGTTGCTGCAATGTCAACATGGTAGCTATCCAGGCAGCTGCAGACGCTGCTTGCTAGCAGATCTGGCGTTTACTGCTGCTAGTTACTAGCAATCCGACATTGTGAATCCTATTTGAAGCTAGCGTAGGATCTTCTGCCGGCCGGCTTCTTGCTCTGCCAGAGGGGGTGTGTCGTGGGGAGGGCGATATGGGTTCAGGAGGAGTGATCGTGAAGCACAGAGGGGAGAGGTCTGTGTGTGGGGGGTGGGATGCTTTTTTCAAATCTGCCTCAACGGCTCAGTTTTTTTCAACTGCTTCTCAGATCGTCAACCATGCCTTTAAGTAAAAAAGTGACATTTGTTTTATTCATAATTGGCTTCTTTTTGTGGGACTATTGGATGTTAGAAGTGAGGAGATGAAAACAGACGTGAGTACTTCAGATGCTGGTTTATACCTGACCTCCAGACTGTTTGTCTCGGACTCAGTAAGACGACTAGAGAGAGGTAGTGAAGGCAATAAAGAAGAAGAGAGCACAGGAAGAAAACAAGAGTCAGAAAGAAAAAAGGCAAAGACTTTATTAGCTCGACTATATGGAGTAATAGTTTTGTAAACTCAACACACGGAGGAGATACAGGCACTTGATTTTCACTTTTGTTAAAACCACCACACAACTGTGATCTAAAAAGAAAGTTTAAACTGGGATATCTCAGTAAACATAAGGATATAATAAATGTAAAGGCAATATTAGGCAGTGTAAGATAAATATTTTACATAGTAAGTGCTTCAAAATAATACCTTTGTTTTACAAGCCATTTGTAGCATTTATACACACACTTTTCCACCGTCAAAGCTAACCAGCCTGCTTACTGCTAGAACCCCTTCTCACTTGCTTCATCTTAAACAACACAAATGTCTTAAAGCTCCAATCTGTAACTTTCCACCACAGCAGTTTAGCACAGAAGGCATTAGTTAAAATATACAGGACATACATGCAAACAAGATTTTCAGATTTGAAACTATTTCATGCCATTTTGTCTTTAAACAATGACTATAGCAGATAAAAGTGATGTAAACAAGCCTTTAAAGCTTTTAAAAGGTCTGAAATAAGTCTCATAACAGGAGCACAAAACTTCTTTTTATCGTGCTGTCTGGGTAAACTAACACTCAGAGATTTACCGGATGTGCTATTTTGGTTTATCTGAATAAACAGAATCCTTGAACAAACCCCATTTAGACACTTTTTCACATTTACATTACTGAGCTACAGAGGACGACAAGGACAGGACAATATTGTAGTAATATGGTGCAATCTGGGACAACAGGTTTGACCATATACTGTATATACTATGGACAACTTGGTTCTGCCTTTGCAGTATACGGATTTGAAGCCAAGAAGCTCTCAGTATTTCTGCGATATTTCTCCACTTCCTGAAACCAACATTGCGCAGTAGCATTGTACGCATTTGGCAAGAAAGTTGCCGAGAGTATCTGTGATGGCGCTCGGCTTAAACATCAAATCCCCAGGTGAGCTACGCAATCTTGGTACGCCCTGGGCTGTATCAAGTGTCAACCATAGAAAACATGAACTCTCTAATAACTTTTAAAAACTGAGCTGTACAGAAAAAAGAGGACTTGAGCACAAACCAGTCTTACAATAACTACATGTCAGCATCCCAAGACGGGAAAAAAAAATTATGTGCTGTGTAATTAATTTCTAAAGTTTGTCCATATCTCCATAAACTTTGCTTGAGAAGGTGGGACTTATGACATTTACTGCAGCCCGTCAGCAGAGGGTCCTGTTCTCGCGGTGGCTTCACCCTGCGAGGAGGCAGAACACGTCCATTCTATATACAGTCTATGGGTTGGACACCCTGTTTTCATGTTTTCTTCTCTGATAGTACAGAAAGGTAAGTTGTCTATTTTCATATTGGCTCACTGTGTAACATCGTGTCGTTTCCCGTGAGGCTGATGAAGCTGAAATAATCAATAAAATGCTGTCAGTGCAAATTAATGCAGAGCAGTTTGGCAGCTTGCCTCTAGATGTTGAGATATACGGCACATAAACATACAGGACATGAAGTCAGTATGCAATGTATGTTTAACATGTACATGTAGAGAAGAATGAGATTGGAGGAGATTCAGATTGACAACTTCGGACGAGTCTTCTATTAAAAATTATGACTGACTTGTCTTGCATTTCTGTTGCATTAAAAGACTGCTGCAAAAAAACACGCACACACAGTTGGACTCAGCTGACAACATGTCAAATGTTTTCCTCATCTAAACCATTGGTTTACTGCTCATGAGTCTAAAATACATTTATCTACAAGCGAAATAAGGTGTGATGTACCATATTATATTGTATGGAACTGTAAATCAAAACTGTCTACACGAAAAGGAGCACACGAGTGCTTTCAGCAAACCTAAGTTCATGCATGTTGAGTGAATGGAGACAACACCAATAACATATTGAATATTCAAGCATCTGATGAACACCTTGAGTGATGGAATCAGTGGAGTATCAAAGCAAAGAGGCAACACGTCTGAGTGAGCCAGTGCAGGCACTTGAAAAACAGTAAGGGACAAGCTGACTCACTCACACACACACCCACAAACGCACACAGACACACACACACGGAGACAAGCAGACACAGAGAAACTCCAACTGTTTCTTTCTAAGTTTTCGCTCCATTGTTCTCGGCTTCAGTTTCTTTATTTCCACAAACTTTTTACCCTCAATAGTCACAGAAGTGACCACCTACAGAAGTCAAACTGATACGATGCACACATAAAAAGGTAGACAGCCACACCTCCACACACACACTCTCTCACACACACACAAACACACACACACACACACACACTCTACTGGACATTGAGGGTGCGAGCAGACACTCCGTGGTGCCAGTCCCTCAGCTCGCCGTACTTGGGGCCAATCACCAACCGAGTGGTGGTCTTGTTCGCTCTGCCGCCACAGGGAGAAAAAGAGAAAACACACCAGAAGAGAGAAAAGGAGAAAAGAGGATTTAGCTGGAGTCGAGTGTTTGCCCTGCAGTTAGACACACGGTGAGCCATGCCACAAGAAAGAAAAGCTGCTAGCACAAACAAGAAGCTGGTGATTCACATGGAAGTCGATGGTGCGGTTCAGATGGAAAGCTTAGCTGTCAGCATCAGAAAATGACAGAAATCAATACACAGAGAGGGAAAGTCAGAACGGTTACTCCAGGTCAGAATTCAGCCCATGACTCAGAGTCTACATGAACAGGAACGATGAATCAATTCAGCCATGAAGCCACACACCGACACACTCAGACGGCAGGAATGTCAACATGTCATGTGGACACAAGTGATCACGGGGACACGGTGATCAGATGTTTCGCTACAAACCAAGAGAGCGACCAACAGCCGATGGATCACATCACACAATCCAGCCATGATGGTCCACAACACAGACTCAGGTTTGTACAACATGCAAAGACTGTCACACTAACCCCAAAATGCACAAACAACAACCACTCTGAGTGCACACGCCATCTCATGAATGACAAAATAATTCACAGTGATCACAGAGAGGGCGGTATAATTTAAAACTTTAGAGTCCGCAGTGGTCTGGCTTTGGACTTTGTGGCTCAAACATAAGAAAGGAGCTCTCACACCATCAATACAGCTGCCAGACCTGTGCCGCCGAGGTCTGGAGCTGGATTTCCAATGACTCCATAAATGTATTCACGTCAGAATGGCTTTCTATGTTTGAGGCGACTAGTGTTACAATTTATGAAAGGAGGTTGTGTTACTCCACACGATGCAAAGACAAAGATACTCAAGTTATTAAAACCAAAATCAGCTTTATGTTTGATTTGCACTTACTTTGTCTTCTTGGCTGAGTCAGTTTCTTCTGCTGGAGCTGTGAATTAAAAAACAAAATGATAATGAGTCTCTTGATCATCTCTCCAGTTTAGAAAAAGTTCACATTTTCAGCCTCGACAAGCAGTATGTTATGTTCCATTGCTACACAGTGCAATGAGATACAGATCATTTCTCAGTTTCAGAGCTTGCTGATCCTTCCTCCTGTGTTAAGGTCTGCACCGACCCGTTTTTGTTTTTAAAAGCTTAAAAGAACCACATAAATTAGTTTATTTGCATCAAGACTTTTTGACTTTGTCAGGAACCTCTATTTCAACAAAATAAAATAAAAAAAATTAAATTGACTAAATTATAAAATGCGCTTATTAAAATGATGGCTCTTGTCGTGTTAGGGTCGCTGTTGACCCGGTTAGATCAATATCTAATAATCAAAGCAAAAACTAAAATCATAAGTTCACTGTCAGGCACCACACTGACAGTCAGATCCTCTTCTAATCATGTGAGATTTAGGAAATTCTCATTTTTCCACGTATTTCCTGCACAAAAAACAACGTCGAGCATGTCCAGACATGTGAGATCAGTTCAGTATAGATGTCTGTGTGAGGGGTATACTGACAAAGAAAGGCCCTGAGACCCACTACAAAAACTATTATAAGCAATATTTTCATGGATAATTAAGCCTCACAAGTTAACCTAGAGATAAGAACCAACTTGGATGATAGAGAATTGTTTTTAGTGTAATTTACAGCTGATTTAAGACACGGGTCAAAACCGACTCTTAACATAGTGGGTGCGTAGAAAAAAGCTAACACAGGAGGAAGGTTAAAGGATTTGTGTTACACAGCGGGTTTGTTTGTGGATACTGTACAGAGTTTATTCTGCAGGCGTCGTCACTTTGCACCCTTCAGTCAAAAACCTAACTCACCGTTCTCAGTGCCAGTGATCTGAGCCAGGATCCTGAAGGATCTGGACTGGGTGGTGCCGGTGCGAGGGCGCCAGTCCTCTGTGTCCTCCATTATGCGCTTCCTGCTGGCATCAGCGTGAGTCGGCACATGGTAAAAGTGGATGTCTGTGTCTACGACGTGTTTCCTGGGAACTCTGGAAGGACAGGACTGATGATATTAGCAAACCGAGTTTAATAAATTCACATTCTCCCTCTCATTATTGATCAAAGTAACAGGGAGGAGCAGTGATTTCATGCCTCCTAAAACTCTTTTACTTTAAAAATGAAGTTCAGATGAAGGCACTCACAGTCACTCTTTAATAACATATGACCATCACTGAGTTGTGAGGCAATGTTTAGTTCTTTAAAGGGGTTTGAAATTCATACTCAGTCCATAGATGTGTGTTGACTTAGAGAAATGGCATTAAATTACAGGTTACATGAAATAGTGAGGATGATCTTAAAGTCTATTTTGATTAGACCTGAATAAGTAGGAGGGTGTCACACCAAACTTTGTTAAATGAATTTGAACTCTCCGTGTTAAACAGTCTGATACCTTGGCGGTGCAGGTTTTCTTTATTATCATTAACAGAGGAAAAAAAAAAACAGGACAGAGTCAGTCAGAAACACACAAAAAAGACGTAACAGCACAAATACAACACATACAGACAGAACGATCTAAAACAAGACTTACTTCAAAATACTTTGAGGTCCACTTTCAGAAAGGACAAGAAGAGAAGGAGAGAACAGAAAGAAATTCATTTAGCGAGGTGAAAGAGAGATTGGCGTGCAGAAAGAAGAAAAAAAAGAGAGAAAGTAAACTGCAGAAGCTACAGCATGCAAAACAGCCAAAATATCCGTGAGAGATTCAATCACTAATGAATCCTCAACACAAGCTACCACAAGGTGGTGCTGCTGAGCTGTATGGATATCAATTGGGGTATCTTTCATAATTTGGATGATTGAAACAGTGGAAAACATGCACTTCTTTTTTGTTTAGCATGCAGTATCCGTCTGCTGTAAGGTGTGGTCGTCATGACGTCATGAACAGCACATGTGTGTATCCGCAAGAAAAAGTCTGCTGGCGGGCGTTTCACTAATTGGCCACCGGTAAATCAGCTCTGACGACAAATACACACACATTCACACAGAGGGGCATTGAAGCCTTTTCAGACTCTGCTGTCAATAAATCACCTATAAATACACGCACACTCACCTACTACACAGAATGGACTGATTTATGAGGGTCTCTCAACACATTCCTGTCACTGCAGCAGCTATGTGAGTGTGGGGGTGTTGACAGCTCTGTGTGAGCCTGGTCACACACTTACAGGTCCACTGGAAGTGTCTGACAATACAGTGTGTGTATGTGTGATAATGTTTTGATTCATAGTCGAGTTAAAAATAAACTTCAAATACGGGGCACAGTTCAGTAAGCTGCATGCGTCTGTGCTAGAAAAGAGGTAATTAAACCATAAGGTGTCATTATTAGGAGTAACGCTCTCCAGGGCGATCCAAAGTAGGCACATGCAGAAGCAGTAAGACAGAGGACTAAAGAAGCAGACAAGCAAAAGAAGAGGAAAGAAGTCAAACACGTGCTTCAGAGACTAACTTTGTGACTTTAGGAGCTGTGCCGGTCTGCAAAGTAGAAGAAAAAGGATTGAAAGGAGAGAAAGGACAGAGAGCGCCGATATACACAAATTATTCCCCGTTAAGAGGAAGAAACATTAAAGTTAAAGTTCAAACATCCCGTCTCAAACAAACCACACAGTTCATTCACAGCATGCAGGCAAGATGCAAGGAGACGCACACACATGCTGTCCTACGTTTCTACTAACACATATATGAATGAATGAATGGATCAACTATTTATTAACATACTGTATTTATTACTATAACTTTTGTGTTGCTATGGGTAACCAAACTGGATTTAGTAGTTGTGGATAGTGTCGCTAATAATAACAGCATGGAAGATGTAAAAATGTAAAAAGAAAGAAACACTATTTTATGAGGAGAAGCAGGAAGAAGTCTTGTAAACACCAGATCTTGCTCCAATAAAGCTTGTTATTAAATGTCATTTGTATTTGAGGAAAGCTGTGAAATATAATGCGGCTTGTGTGTCCATGTCTGTTCACGGTTGCGTGTTGTAAGATCATATTGTGCAGAGGACCGGTGTCTGCTGTTTCTCACAGAGAGAGGAAAAACCACCGGACATTTAGTGGGTGAACCTCTCAAAGAAAGGAGCCCTGACAGAATATAAACAAGGGATGATTGGAGGAATTATGAGTCACATAATGAGTAAATAAAGCATTCTTGGTATCTTGACAGGAATAAATCAAAACCATTTATAGATGCCCCTCTTTTTCAGGGTGAATCTGAACACAAAAAATTGGAAAGAAAAAGGAGTGTTAGTCTGTGAAGACACACAGTTCATGTGTAAATCTACAAAGACGCGAGGCTAAAACCTTCTACTGACGGATTAATTTGCTATGAGAAAAAAGAGAATGCCACACAGCTTCAAGTTACCAACACTAGCTATATATATGCAGCTTAGTCACAACACGGATGCAAAGTTACACTCGCGATGCCTGCAGAGGGGGAGACAGAAAATGAGAGAAGGCGAAGGAGGGTATGGTGGAAAGATGGGAACCAGCAGCCCGGGTGTGATGAAAATAAAACACCATAAACTAAAATTTTAAAGACGAGGAAGGACAGACTTAGAAAGTCGGAGGCAGAGTGGGCAGACTAACACTTTTATCATCCAGTAACCACAAACATATCTTAAATGTAAACTACTTCCAGAGGTCTGGCTTTCCCAGGAGCTGAAACATGCTCATGTAACATATCCTGAAAGATCGAGACGAAAAGCCTCTAAATTTTACTCACAAATCCTCGGGTGATTGCAGCCCTCAGTCGAGGGATATTAACTTAACTGACTTCATTTTCTGGGATAAGAGATTCACAGGCAGGCTAATTCATCCTCCCTTTTAATTTGAATTCTTAATTAATTTTGCTGTTTAATTTTAAACATATTTTGCTGCATTCAAAAATGTCGCCTTATACGTAACTTAATGTGTAAAACCTATAATTTAGTCTGTAAATAGTAGATGACTTCTAGAGACATGACAAATGAGACGACAGACAATTGAATTTTCGTTTGGGGATCAATAAAGTTATTCATATTCTTATTCATTAGCATTAGCTTATTTGAACCCCCAGATTTTCCATTAACCCGCTAACAGATCAACATAGTAAACCAGCATCTGACTGTTTTTCTGTTTACTGACTGTTTAACAAGAAACAGCAACAAAACTGGCAGCAGTTACCGAGACAAATCAGTTCTTGAATCAACAAACACTCATAAACGGAGGATTCGTGATTAGCCTTTTGTTAAACTAAAACCAGTTTTTTTTTCCACAACAGTCTGAAATACTTTTGTTAATTTTGTTGTTTCAAACAAAATATAAACAGAAATTTAAGTCTGATTTCTGGTGACATTTTAGAAATGATTTCAGCCAAACAGCCAAAGTTGAAATGAACTAAGTCTCTGAGCAAGACTGTGTAATTTTATCATGAAAAAACATGATCTAACTTTGTTGACCATGACAGAGCTTCATGCTTTTGTTGATTATATAATCCTTTTTAAACTGACTCAGATAAACTTTAGGACTTTGTAAAGTTTAGTGATTTCAATGTTCAACTCTTGTCTGTAAGACTAAAGTCAAGACCAAGACGGAGAAAGAGGAGGGTTGGAAAATATCGAGTGGGATTCGTTTTTGGATTGATTGGAGTAAACACCACTCACCCATTAAACTGCAAAGGCAAGGCTCCACCTTGACTCTCCAACAGGCCCCGCCTCTGCCCCATGGCCACCTCACATGCGTTCTCGGTGGAGTAGAGGTTGATTGGCGTGTTATAAACTGATGGCTGGGGCGGGACGAGGACAGGTGGGGAGGGTGGAGAGGATGAGGTTGGGTAAGAGACAGGAGGTGGAGGGGGAGGAAAAGGGGGGCTGTAGGACTGGGAGGAGGCGGGAGTAAAGGCGGAGGATGGGGATGGAATAAAGGGAGTATAAGGAGTATGTGAGGGAGGGTGTTCACTCTCTGCTCTGCAGACCCCAAAAGGTCTGGGGTCCTTGTTGTAGGGGGCGGTGGAGGAGTTGGAGGGGCAGAAGGAGTGAGGATGAGGATGTGGTGGTGGTGGGTGGGTGAGGGCGACTGGTTTTATGATGTCTGTTCTGTTGTCCTATCGGCGTTAGAAAAAAAACATGCAGATACAAACCAAAATCAACAAATCACCACACAGCACACCCACACATATACTGATGCATCTCAGGTCATAGTTCATGGATGTGTTTGATGTAGTTTGTTTAACAGACTCTGATTACATTTAGAGATAAATCATTTTGTTTAGCATCATGAAATATTATCTGGTCATTTCTGGACCTAAAGAAGCATCAGTATACTAAACAAAAATACTGGAAACAACAAAAATCAGGTGATCAACGTGCTTCAAAAAGTGTGTATGGATCATTTTATAAGGGTAAATGCAGAAAAGCACATAGAGCACACCATGGTATTCTAGGTGAGTTTTAATACAGTCTAAATAAATCAATAATTAAGATTTACTGGGATCGGTTTATTTATCAGGTTCACTTCATGAGCAGGGGTTAAGAGGCTCTTGAGGCAATGCTTTTACGATGTAAATCACATCATTAAAGTGGTAATACTATCAATATTTTATTTTTTTATTAATATTATTATCAGTTATAGGCATACCAGCATCTAACTAACAGAAGCTGGCTTAACTTAGGCTGTAGATCAAAATGTTTTACGTTACAGAATATATAATAAGTCTAAAATATATTTTTTAACCTACTGTGCCTCTTTAAGGAAATAGGAACATCCTATAATTTTCTTTTACCCATAAATACACATGATGTGCACTTGAATGTGTGTAATAACGCAAACATGCAGTCTCACAGTACCTTTGGTGCCACAGGAGGAGGTTTGGGAACACTGGGGGCCCTAAAGGAAGAAAGGGAAGAGAAGAGAAAGTGCATGAGTTAAGAGTGTGCTATCCAAATAACACCTCATGTCAGTATTTAAAATATCTCTGAGGAGCTTTTAGCTGGTTATGACGCAGACTGAAATCAAAACCGATGCTTCTCTATGACCCCAAAAAGTAAACAAGAGAGGGTGTACAAGGTCATTTCAAGGGTTTGAAACCCGCAGCAGGCATAAAGTGTCAGACTAAGTGATAAGTAGCTGATGCATTTTTTTTTTCACGTGTTGCAACGCAGAGATTCTTTATCATCGTCACTCTGAGTGTTTAAAAAATAGATCAGATGTTTTTGTGGAGGAACACTTCTTGTTACACACTCACAGGATAAAATCTGTGATAAAACCACTTGGTTCACAGGAGGGCATCTCTCTCTTTCTCATCTAAAATGTGAAACTCCAGTTACTTAAGATGAAGATCATTTTAATGTGCACTTGCCTCTGAAGACAGCTGTTTTTACTCCATAACAGCTTGAATCAACCCAATACTCTTGGTGCTTGTTTCTCTAGATGCCACAGTGAGAAATAAGCCCACTTGAGTCACCCACAGGCTTTTGTCAACAGTATTTGATATCGACTTTATATTCATGTTCATCTGAATATTCATTTTTATTTACGTGGTATTTTATCTGTTTACTACAGTCATAGCTGACCCTGGTTTATAAGGATGTTAATGCAGCAAGACGGTGGATAATTGCTGCGAAATGAAGTGAGACATATCCAATTTTTATCCATCTACAGTTCATCTTTTGCAGCCCCTACATAAATAGTATGAAGTCCTCAAAGACATAACTACACACACTGAACAAATAAATGTAAGTCAAAGCATCAAAGATTCAAAGTCGGTGATATGATTGTTAAAAAAGACCCGGGTTCACATAAATTAAAGGTTAGGTAAACTGTGAAGTAACTCAAGACGTTTGAATGTCAGCAGCTCCACATTCCTTTCAGAGCAGCCTTTCTACAAACTTCCTGAGGGAGGTTCATGTCCTTCATTTCAGTAAATTTGAACCGACAGTCTCGTGGTAGCTAGAAACACATCAGGCTACAGACACAGCTACTCAGACGCTTGGCCTTTTCCTGTCTGTCTCTTATTTCTCTTGTAGCTTTTGTTTGCCAGCGGTGTCCTTTAATCAACATCATGTCCCCCTCTATTTGAGATGTGAGGATCTTAGAAGATATTAACACCAGTGGCACAATCTAAAAGCATTGAGGATTTCAAGCAATTAAATAAGTCTGCGGAGAAGCTCGATTAAACAGACTAAAAGGTGCTAAAGTGGGCCTGCCCTTTCAAAATATTTACTCACAATTCTTTGCATGTCAAAGACATTCCGAATAAGCCTGTTTTGTGTCTTAGTGAGCCACCCTGAACAGCTTGGTCGCCCTGGCTTTCCCTGGACACACTATACTGTCACGTATCAGAGCCACACCTATGGGATCACTGATGGCGAAGATGGAAGCAATGATCTCACTTGCCCCCCGATGGCATGAACTGCGAGAGGCACATAGAGTAGGAAGGGCAACACGTAGGTATTTCAAAAACTCCGATGGCATTCACGTGTGCAGTAGCCTCCATTACACTGGAGCTATAACTGGAAACACCACCATGGAAATACATTGCAGGTGGGATCTCTCAGACTATGAAGTGAATGAGAACCAGAGTTTAATTTTACACTCACCCTTTTCCTAAGGATTGTTAGGTTAGGCTCTACAAACATATGATAAATATGGACCAGTTTTCAATTTAGATGCCAACCAAAGTGGTCCTTTACCAGATACTCTGATAAGAAGGACCAGTAGTCGGCTTTAGGACCCCAAAAGTTCCTATTCATTGAACAGATCAGGGGTTTAGAGTGTCTATTAAACAGGGTTCCTATCATTGACTGTATATACGATGGACAACTTGGTTCCACTTTCCGCCAGTATACAGATTTGAAGCCAAAAAGCTCTTGGTAAATATGCGTTTTTTTCTCCATTTCCTGAAACCAACATTGCACAGTAGCATTGTACGCACTACACCACTTGCGCAGTAGCTTTGTGCGCATTTGCCAGGAATGACACTTGGCTCAAACAGCGTATTCCCCAGAGTGAGCTACGCAATCTTCGTACGCCCATAGGCTGTATCAAGTTTCAATCATAGAAAACATGAACCCCTAATAACTTTAAAACGGAGCTGTACAGAAAAAAGAGGACTTGAGCACAAACCAGTCTGACAGTAACTACATGTCAACATCACAACCAGGGGGGAGAAAAATGTTTATTCTGTGTAATTAATTTCTAAAGTTTGTCCACAGACCCATAAGCTTTGCTGGAGGAGGCGAAATTTATGATATACTGCAGCCTGTCACCAGAGGGTGCTGTCCTCAGAGTGGCTTCACCCAATGAGGAGGCAAACAGCTGTCCATTCTATCTACAGTCTATGGTTCCTACACATTTGGAATTTCCATACTTTACCATACACTACTTTTTGGAATACCTACTTTTCTATTTTTGAAGACTTTAGAACCGTGGTAATCATCTGGAAACATGAATATTTTTCCATACTTTATTTTTAATTTTCCATATTTTTTAATACCTGGAAATTGATCAAATTTATTCCATACTTTTCCATATTTTCCATACTAGCATAGAAACCATAATTATAGCTGTTATTGGGCACCACACCCTTTATAAATGGTGATAAATTCACTAGAATAACACTTGTGTACCTCTTGTTTTTCATCTATATACCTCTCTTACACCAAATCACTTTATAAATGAGTTGACCTCGAACTTCAAGAGGCAACTCTGCACTTTTTTAAGTGGTCTCAATGTTCCTGGGATCCAGTACGATCTTGGGACAGCTCATGAGAGGTGTAACCCTACTTCTCCTGTACAGTCATCTGAGCCTCAGACAGATATTAAGAAGAGTTGTTTATGCTGCAGCAGTTGGTACGTCACTAGAATAAGATGATCCTGCTCAGCATTGGTGTCTCTTTAAGCGGAGGAACATCACGGTACCCAACACTTTGCAGCAGGAATGTTTCTCCATGGTTCAAATGTGTCAGGGTCAAAGAGTTAGTGGACGCAATAAAGACAGTGACGGCGTGACAATGACAAACATGACATTTCATAGGTCTATCTCTTGAACACCAAAGGGGAACACTAACCGGTCTGCTCATGTGTGTGTATGTGTGTGTGTTCTTCATCAGTGTAGTAATCCACCAAGACTCTGATTTGATTCAGAGCCTAAGAGCAGCTGCCGTTCCTCTCCTCAATGTCTGAATTTGCATGTGTTGAGTTGCATGTTGCATGTCAACTGTCAGGCCTTCCGTGTCTGCTCCCTCCAATCTGTTTCGCTTTTGTGGAAGTTTTTCATAATAAAGTGATCGGCCCGTTCATAGACTGAGTTAGTAATACTCCAGCTATTCTATGTGGTGACAGCCATTTTTGGTTTTGCTTTGATACCTTACCACATCCCTGAGCACGCTGCGGTTACAGTGGTGCGCTTAAACGTTTTTCCATATTTTAGTAAAGTCATTCATACTCGTATTTATTTGACTTCTCTTTGAATGCTGGTCACAGGGGGGTTGCGTGTGCGTGTAGCTTCCTCATTGGAGCTCGGATCATTTTTCCTTCGAGATACACAAACTTATACAAGACGATAATTATGGGTTTTTATAGGACTCAATATTTTCATTTTAATGAGATTTATAGTCAATGATCATTTGATCTGCAGAGTCCTGTTTGACTTTAGCGAAAGTTTAGATGAAGCTCTTTGTGAACATCTCTGCATTTGGCAGTTTGATAGTTTGATGCTGGAGTTGATGCTGATGATAGCAGCACTGGTTAGCATGATATTTAGGGTGACCATATGTCCTCTTTTACCAGGACATGTCTTCTTTTTTGGGGGCTGTCCGGCTTTGTCCGGGGGAGTTCTTAAAACTCTTCAAATGTCCGGGGTTTTGTATGGAAGTTTTGAGTTTGTGTCATGTGGACCTACTGAGTTAGAAGCACTTAAAAAACACTTGACTCGACCCAAAAAACTCTCAAAATTTATGCGCGACTCCGTGACTCCGTCCTCTTTTGGGGGATTCAGAATATGGTTACCCTGATGATATTGAGGTTTCATGAAGATGATGATTATTTTGTCATTGATACTTTGTGGTGGTGATATTAACAGGGATTTAAAAAATGCTTCCCAACACACTCTGCAAAATCTCTCACTGCATGTCAGCACTTCTGTCCAATTAGACTTAAAGCAGTTTGTGTCTCTTACTCATGTTGTTTCACCCTGTCTTGTGTTGTACTGACTCTTAGATGTGTGTTTTTTAATCAAAAGCAGCTGCTAAATTCAATTTTTACAGTTTTCAAACATAATAACTCAAGCCTTACCATATGGATGTTGTTTTTTGATTTCTTAGCATTGAGCCTGTTGCATGTTATCACTGTTATCATGGTGTGTTTGCTAATGTTTTTTTCTACTATTCTGCGACATTTTTCCCACATTAATAAACTTAATTAAATAACCCTGTCATAGAGAAGTGGTTGCTATAACTCGTTCATCTCCTCTCAGATGACCTGTGCCCATGCGGCTGTTTAATGTTCTCAGCGGCACATTTGTGTTTAATCTCTCTAGTCTATTCTTACTCGAGTGAGATCATTGACCTATGTTTCCAGGGCTGTGCCCCGACAAGCTGACAGCTTCACTAGCAAGCAACCAGCGACACTGAATCAATGAGGGGCTGCTGTGTGTGTGAGTGTGTGAAGTCAAATTTGGGGTGTTTGGGGAGCAGGAAGGGTTTGGATGAAAGTGACACAGACTGGGCTTTGTTTGTAACACCAGTGAACAAACATGCTACTATAGATTTTATGAGCAAAGGTCAGTATGTTAACAATACTTTTATGGATGTATGACCTCTCATAATGGTGTGTTTTACATTTTCCATCTGTTCTGGAGGCTGACAAACACACACACACACACACACACACACACACACACACACACACACACACACACACACACCTATCGACTGAATGCATACAGCTTAAAGCATCAGACGCCCGTCTATCTTATTTGCAAAGCTACACAGAAATATTTTTCCATTTTATCATCGAGGAGGTTTTAAATGAGGTGTCTTGCCATTTGAGTGACAGATTTATTAAAAGTAGTGAATGGACAAGAGCCAGTTCACACACACATAGACACACACACACAAGCAAATGCGCAACTATAATAACACAATGATGTATTATGGGAGGGTTGACATTGATTTAAGCATGAAGGTTTGGTCCTGGAGGTTTTTATACTCCGCTGCATCTACACATGCAAGTAAGCTTTACTGACACAGCGAGTGTATCCAAGTCTGTTTTTAGATTTACTATGCCGAAGATATTTCCAAATATTGTATGTGTGAAAAACCCCGACTTGACAAGACCATTTCACATGACTGAGTTTTCTTTAGCTGTGCTGTGGTCCCGTTTGCCTCAGATCCAGTTTGGTGTTTTTATGAGCCCTGCACTTATCTGAGATTTGCACCTAATTTGTCTTGTAGAGACATTTCTTGGCAGCGCCTGTCATATTTTTTTTTTTGTGGTAGCTTCTGCGATCCTGCCAAGGACAGAGGGGAGTGATATCTTACATCTGAAGCAACACTTTTGATGCGAATGTTGAACAAATCAATGTAAGTTTGGAGAACCTGATCCTGAAATCTGTCAATTCTTAATCACTAAAAAAATCAATCATTTTGTCTCCTAGTTGTAGATACTTTATCTCAACCCAAATCAAACATGCGTTTCTTTGTCCTTTTCTGTTATTTTGTGTTTTTAGTCCATCTCCTTTCTTTCTTTTCTTCTCTGTTGTTTCAATTCTTTTGCTCTCTCCCTTTCACTTCCTCTGTCCTGCCTTTATTATCACTTTTTCTGGTAGAAATAAGGTCACTGCTTTTTACACAAAGGTAATAATGAAAAGGGGTCAGACACACTATACCATTGAACTGTCTATTTCTTTTTCTATTCATGATCACAACATGCTATTCAGCACTAAGTGGGAGTAAATCTCTATCACAGTAACCTGATTGTGACCCCCTTTGAAAATGAGATGCTACATCTCAGAAGTGTTCCTGTTCAGTAGCTGGAGTTACATTTGTTTGCTTTTGTGGCTAAATCAGAAAATAAAGGTGCAACTTCTTTGCTAGTTAGAGACCAATATGTGAGTTTATCTAAAGCTGGTCTTAAAATAGGCTGGGTGTGCTTGTCTTTATCAGCTCTCTCGTTGTTCTGTGGGTCTGAGTGTGGATCAACTTCGGGATCCCAGAACCATCGAACAGGACTGAAGGGTAAAAACATGAAATAAACTAATTTAGGAAGCAGGGTCCCCGTTTGTCCTGTCCTAGCAGAAGTCCTCATATTGACCAAGAACAAGCATGTATGTGTGTGTGTGTGTGTGTGTGTGTGTGTGTGTGTTATCTTCTCTACCTCCCACCAGTATCTCCACTGAGGCCCAGACAGACCTTCCAGCTGACTATGACGTCACATGAGATCCTAAAATAGCGTTGATGCTGACCAGACCAAAGCAGAAAAATCTGCTCGAACCAGAGCTGCTTCACTACAAAAACTTTACTCACTGACATCAACTTTGAGGAAAACTTGTTTGACAATCAAAAGCACACTGTTGATTTTCAGCTATTGTTTCTCTGCACATGTTTTTATTCCCTTTCCTCCAAAGCAAACTCCACGCCGTGTAAGCCACATTATGAATGAAGAGTTATGTTACATGTACGCTGTAAATCTTTTTTATTGTTCGCTCTAGAGATCAATATGGCGAGACAAAAAGCCTGAGGGTTTGAACTAGCTGTGGGTTTCTTGAAAGAGGCTGTAACATGTATAGCTGCCCACTGATGTGGAATCAAAAATCCAGACTTGACATGTCCTAGTATAAAAAGCATTAAATCAGCCTCACCGTTACATTTATAAGTACATTTTCTTTATTTTCATCTGTAAAAACCTATAAAAATAAAAAGGAGTTAATATCACAAACATGGAAATGCTCCTGTTCTGTGTTTCTTGTGGTCACATAGCAACAAACAAAAACATTTTATAGTAGCTCCTTTTTTTTTTTTTACAACAACAATGCAGTGGTACCCCGAGGATTATTAAAAGCAGACCATGAGAGGAAACATGCCCATTAGGTTCAGCCTCACCAGGGCAGGAGAAAAGGAGCCAATGTGTCCAACAGGAACATTCAACACAACCGAACCGAAGCAGAAGAGTATCTGTTGAAACGCATGAATACAGTTTTGAATTAAATTTATATTTTCAAGGTAAGAAAGTGGATGAAAAGCCACTGAACTTTAACAGCATCTAATTCATCCTCGATGTTTCCAACAGCTGTGAATGCTTTTTAATGCCGCATTACAATTATGCAAAGATATATATTTTTAAGGAGGTATGTGGAACAATAACGCAACAGCATGATTTAACGGTTTGGCTCTTGAGCTGGAGTTAGTAGGTGTGACTGCCCATGCTGTCTCAAGAGTCATAGGGTAGTAAAACTGTAGATGTTGTCTTTTTTACAACTAATTTAAACTTTTACAGCTCTGTTTCTCCTTAGATTGACTAAAACTTCACATGGAGTTGCTAACCAAGACTAACAGACATAAACAGACTCTGTCACAAAGCCAAGAGCAGAAGAGATACAACAATTTCCACACTTCTGCACCACATAACCTCCCAAAATGAGCTTTTATTCTCACTTCAGCTCACTGACAAACACACCTCTCAACAAGAACCACCAAACAGGAGAAGGAGGAAAACACCCGACCGATTTCGTGTGCGAATCTGAGTTTATCAAAGTCATATCTGGTATGTCAAACGCTTTCAGTGGTTTTCTACAATAACTCAATACAGATTAAACCAGCCAAAGCCCTGGTGTGATTTCATGAGACTCAGATGGAGAATGTATTGTTTCAAGCGTGGGTTCAAGGTGGAGGGAGTTTAGGAATCTCTGTCTTGGAGGCAAAGCTAGTACTTGCTGGGGCCCCATAAGGGAAACTGAGGGGAACAGGGGGTCCAAAGTGGATCAGGACAACCACATAACTCTTTGGAGGCCCAGAAACAATGAATTAGAACCAAGATTAAGGATTAAAGATCTACCCAGCACTAAATTATGGTCTCAGATTATAAATTTCTGCATTTATTATATCAACGCTCATCTGTAATATGTTAATAAACGCCTTGAACGATGACAGACACAGAACAAGTTAAGATGTTCATCTAACCTTGGTTTATTGTTTTCTACATAAAAGCTTCTTTTTTCAGTCTGGCGGCGAACAGACACTTTCTAAGGAAGCAGAAAAAAGACAAAGAACATCAAACAGAAGGACAGAAGGAGGAGACGGCCCCGCAGGCTCGGTCCAGCACTCAGCACTGGGACAGCCTGCCTGTCAAAATGATCCACAGCTGGACCAGGAAGTGTTTTCCATATTCAACATCTGGTCTAAGGACTGTTAAGTGTGTTACGGATATCAAAGTGCGTCAATATCACTCATAGTGATTTACCAACAGGGAGGCGAGATTTACTGACCTTAGTTATTCTTCGTTCGGTGTTCATCTTTCCGCTTCTGATTCTCACTCACGCACACCCTCCCAAACACACCTCTTGAGTGACATGTCTCAAGAACCAAAGCGACACACACACACACCAAAAGTCATAAAATGTAGCTGGCAACAAAAATGAATGAACGTCTCAAGTCCATGTGCTCCTTTGTTTCCGCTGTAAAACCACATTTTTAGGAGATTATATTGAAGAGGATAACAGTGGGGACAGAGGTCCACGTAAGGTACAGCAAAGTAGTACAGAGACATTTTTCTGTTCCCCCCAAAAGACACACAAATGTCCTCAAGGCTGGACTTCAAACTCTCTGGCCGTCTATGGACTTGAATCAGAGCAAAAAATAAACACCTAGTGCGTCATTGGCTGATTTCAAATATATCTCGGCCAATCTGAGCTGATAACGGCGCAGATTTAATGTGAGAACTGCAAGAAAAGATGGCAAATGTGCCTGGGACCCACGGGTAATGTGTTTCATAACATGATGATTGTAATTTATTCGAGAGTCATTTGTTACTATAATTAGAAGCTTATTTTATCTGGAACAAAGCTGCTGAGTGCACAGTTTATGCTCTGTCTGTCTGAGTCTAACACCCTGAAACTCATTTATGGTATTTACACAGTGCTTATGAAATGTGACTTCTTGTTTTTCCCCCTCTAATAAGTCCAGATGATTTTTCACACAGCTCCAGCTGCCCCGTTTGGGTATCGTTCAACAATGCTGGCTGGCCTAAAGATGAGTGCTCTTGGCTTACAGAAAGATATATTTGGCAAATGGCAGAGAAGAATTAAAAAAGCAGAGACAGATGAGCCTGACACACTGTTCTTGGCCCCGGATTATGTGTGGGCTACCTTCACAGACCCCTAAGGTTCTTGTGATTTGTATTTTCTTTGGCAAAAACAACAGACTAGTGAGAGACAGGCAGAGACAGGTGTGTCTCCCCGTAGCTACATTCTCCCGGTGTTAGGATATAACCGGACAAGCCTCATCAAAAGACGATGGCTGTTAGTTTTAGATGATCTTTGGCAAATACTACAGACCAGTGAAAGACAGAGACAGGTGAGCCCAGTTTAGCACTCTTGGCTTTGGAACATCTCTGGCAAACATCAGAGCGGAGTAAGTGACAATGGCAGCTGCTGCTGCAGAGAGAGCCTATGACTACAGAGGCTTTTCATAGGGCAGAGGATTTCTGCAGCTACAGCTCAAGTCTCACAGGCTCGATGTGAATCAGCTGACACTAAACTTGTAATGCTGGGAAATATACAGTAGCTGACTAGTTTCACTGAGCTTTTTCTTATAACACTATAACCAGAGGGCCAAATTAACCTGATCAAGCACAACGGTTCATAAGTTTAGCCTTCTCAGAAAAGGGGAATGTATTAGAGCACATTTCTGGGTAAGTGAACTGGATAACTTACACGACAGGTATTTATTCAAAGCATACTCCCTGCAGTCTCTTGTATAAAAATTAGACTCAATCGAACATACTGTTTTTATCAGCTCCAAATAAGCAAGACTTGTTTTTCTTATTTTTTTCTAAGTATGCGCTACAAACTTGGAATGGATAATTCAGCCTCGCCAACAATCAAGGAACAAACTTTACCCTGACAGTTATATTACTCGCAGGAATCCTCCGGTCTGTGAGTTCAGACAGCTACGTGACATGGACCTCCTCATAGATGAAGTTATCACGCCAATACACCAGTGGGGTACACTGGGACAGAGGGAAACATATACCAACTTCCTGTATGCATGTGCTTGTGCATGTGCGTTTGTGGCTATACGTCGGGCACGTGGCTATGCGGTGCAATCAGCATTCGCACGTACGTCAGGATCTTGTTGTCTCTATTTGGAGAACGCAATGTAAACAAAATGAAAACGTACACCCCGACCCTTCATAAACTTCTCTCGCCCAACCCCTTCTGCAGCGTCAAGAGCCAACTTCCACACTCAAAATAACCCGAGCAGCTGCAATGAGATCTGTGCAAGTGTGCGAATGAGAGTTTAAGTGCATGTCTATGTAGAAACGTTCGTGTCTAATATTTCTTTCAAAGAGATAATTCTTTAATATGCTTCCCTTGCATGTAATAAAAGTGTTAATTTATGTTTTTTGCAACTACAGAGTGCTGTGGTGAGCTACATCTCTTCTCCTTTTCATGTGTGGTTGTGCGTGTGTAGAGGAGGAGGGGGAGGGTCTATAAATCAGAGTAAATGCCGCAAACAACACCTCCAGAGCGCTGCGACTCAGCATAAAAGCAAACACACAAGAGACCTAAAAGCTGACGCTGTTTATTAATGACTTATTACGCCCTGTGATTACGGTCTCCATTATGAATGTGACGGCTCCTTTATTGAAGCTCTAACTCACAAAAACAGGCTTGAAAATCACTTTAATTATCCGTCGGAGGTCCTTTCAACGGGGTTAGATCCACACTTTGATAACAGAAAAGTGGAACCAATTTACAACACAAAACCTTTCTTCGCTGCGGGACTATTTGTTTACCCCAATCCTGCCCTTATTTGGCTCTTTGCTCATGCTTATGCGTAGATGAGTGCATTGGGTTAATTGTTTTTCTCTTTGTGCCTTTTTTCTTTACTTCCTCGAACACATCAAGACCATGAGATAGTGCCATTACAGGAGAAAAACACTTAATACAGAGGACCATTAAACAGTCAAATGGGCCTCGAAAAGACTTGACTGTGGGGAATAGAGCATTTAGCCAGACTGAGGCGGTTGAAACAAACCTAACAGCAAAAATACAAAGGTGGTTTTGTCGAGGCATAGGATGATTGGTTGAAATGAACAGTTTAATACCAGTGTGCTGCGTAGCTCTAAGGAGAATAATTATGTCTCTGAAGAGGCTAATTTAAGTGCTGAAACTCTGTGGTTGCTCTACACCACGGGGACTACTCTGAAGTGAATAAATAGGAGCCGGGGAAAGGTCGTTGTAGGTTAGTAAATTTTCAGAAACTTCAAGATAGTTGGCTTTTATTTCACTCCCTTATTCTTTGAGTTCCAACGCTATTTGTCCACATTATTTTCAAATTATCCTCCCTTCTTGTTCTCCCTGTAGTCCGGCAAGAAGACATGAATAAATCAACGGTTTATCTGAGAACTGGAGATCGTTACTATTGTGGATTTGATTAGAAGTAACATCTATAACACTGACAACCACTTAGCTGGAGTTGTATGATGTAGAGGTACTGGAGACTACGAGTTTCGGTTCGTACTCCTGCAAAGTGCATATTTCATGTTTCTAATCAAGTTTGTTTGTTTTGCTCCTAAAAAGTTGGTAATATAATAGTTTCAAATAGACAGCGTTGTCCGCTCTCGTCCATCTGTTCTTGCTGGAAAGACTGAAGAGATTCAATATATATAAAACGTATAAACGTTACAGTGCCAGCCGGCCCTTTGACGTGTTTTTCTCCGCGTCCACTGTGTGTGTGAGTTTTCAACACATGTGCTGCACATGTGTCTGAATGCTCCCACACAGTCTGTCTGCTGTCTCCAGAAGAAGATACGAGACCTTTTCCTCAGCTTCATCAAACTAAACCCAGTCTGACAACAAAGATTAAAACGCAGAAATCATCGTAGGAAAAAAAGTTTCCGGGAAAAAAAAACATTCACTGCATTTTTTCAACATCTGTGTTGATCAGTAGAATTTAAAGGATATCTAGCAGTAATGTTTTAACATTCTTCACTGGTGCCATCCAGCAGAGCGATTCACGGTTTACAAAAGCCGCAGATGTCAAGCAGGTTGATCAAAAAAACATCACCCTTGGAGGAATCCATCACTATCATTGTTTATGTGTCTTTCTTTCATCTTTTCACCATGATGTTACTTCCATTTGTCTTCTTTGGCCTCTTAAAAGATTTTTTTCCTTTTACTTCTTTCCTGCTTCTGCTTCTTTCAACAAACTCAGTCTCCGGTCAGAGAGCTGCATCCACAAACACACTGAATGTTGAAAAACTGTGAAAGCCGCAGAGGTCATGAAGCAAAAATGTGGACTTTGAGGGGACATTGTTACCCGAACAATACAAAGTGCATTCCTAGACAGAGGAAAAATCAAGCGAAGACTGAAAAGATAAACAAACAGGTAAGGTCACTAACCGGTTTATCAGCTTTTTCTCCGATACAGAGGAAAAAACAATTTCATTACAGATCCTCTCAAGAAAAAAAGGACCTTAAACCTTTGAATGTGAACTGGGTATATTTCTTCTTTAAAGCCTCTTCACTCGTCTGAAAGTCCTGCAGTGGTGAAATAACAGACTCACTTCCACTTAATTCAATTGGCATACTTCATTGCCAGACACTAGCTGCAGCAGCTATATATAGTTCAGCCATATATTCAGAGTTATAAGAGCGAACAGTCAATGCTCATCCTGAATCTAAGCGAAAAGAGACAAGTGGAAACCATTTCAACTTTATAGTGAAAAAAATATATACAATTTAAGAATCAAAGAGGTAAATTTTGGGATGATAGAAGCTGTTATGAACATATTTCGGGGTATAAAAATGGGTCCTACACAGTTGTAATTCCCATACTTTTCCATACCCTAATTTTTAGAATTATTTTTGGGAATACCTTCTTTTCTATTTTAGAAAACAGTATTTTAGAACTGTGGTAATAGTTTGGAAACATAAATATTTTTTCCATACTTTATTTTTCATTTTCAATACTTTTTAAGACCTGGAAATTGATCAAATTTATTCCATACTTTCCATACCTGCATAGGAACCCTGTATAAATGATCCCTTTTAAGTCAAAAATTAAACATTTTAAAGTAAAAACCCACCCTTAAACAAAAAAAAAAAAAACTGTCTATTGAGGAGACTTATGGAAAAAGCCTCAAATAAAATTCAAGATATCTTTCATTGAAACTGTTCTTTATTTTTAAATAATGCATGTATATCTTGTTGCTCCTGCTTTGGAAACTTTTTACATACTGACTGATCAGTGGTGGAAAGAATGGGGTGGGGAGTGGATTATCCTTTAGTCTGGCTTAACTTTGCAGTAAATAAATCCTTGTACTGTTCCAGTATTTAAACATGGTGGATATGTGACAGTATCGGAATAGTACAAATTCATCTTTAAGCCAGTCTGATCGATTTTCTTTTGTACATCCAGTGTCTTTTCCTTCTCATCATCACATCTTTATTCGACAAAAGACCACAGCCTGTCTCCTTCTAAACTACACACACACACACGCGAACACCACATGCTTTACAAACACGCCTTTGTGTCTTCTCCCTCTTAACACCCCGCCTGCCGTCTGAACTGAAGCAGTGGCAAACCCAATCTAAATGTGCCGGCAGCATGGAAGAATTAAAAGTGAAGCAAGTGACACCTCCAATAATTGAAAAGAAACAGCCAGGAGATTGGTTCTTTCCATTACGTATGTAAACCCATTAAAGTCCAGATGTTGACCTCAGTGTGACACTCTCAGAATATGAAGTATTTTTTAACACACAGTGCCAACAAATGCCAATAAACAAATAGGATGAAACTCTGAAACTCTTGTTTCTTTGGGTGAATGGAGTCTGGAGAATTAAGGGATTACAGTAAATCTTTCTGACCCAAAAGTATCCAAGTAAATCAGGAGCTGGAGCCAGCTGTCCCCAACAAGGCTGCTTGCTTACACGGCTTTAATTATATTATACTGCCACTTAATGAAACAAGCTGATCCATGTGGTTCCAACAGGGCATGCATCAAGCTTACATGGGATGATGTCTGCCACAGGCACACGGTGATACGGGACACATAATCCTTTAACTGGGCTGCCAAACAAGCTGGACCTTATATAAAAACTGTACACTAACCCTGGTGCTCAGCAGCACTTAGGTGATTTAAGGAGAACAATGAGGTAACTGGAAAAGAAAGTCTACGCTTCGCAAGCTGAATCAATTTTGACTCCAGTGAGTTTTTCTCCTTGCCGTCTAGTTTTCAAGACTAAAATATTTACTCAAATTTTTTGTTGGGGTGTGGAGAATAAGATCACGTTCACACCAGCCTTTTTTAGTCCAGTCAAACTGAACTCAGGAGCGTTTACCTCCTTGGTGCAGTTCGTTTTGGTTGCTGTGAATGCTGGCCTCAGACTCTGGTGCGGACCAGTCAACCACTCACGGGTCCGCCTGGTAGGAGTGGTCTCGGACCGCCATCAAGTGAACTCTAGAGTGGTTTACTTCTGGTGTGAACCGGCTTCACACCAATCACAGGAAGCACACCATCATATCATGTTTTGGTCAGAGGCAAAGTTATCGAAGTGCGGCTAATGTCTAGCAGGGGACAAACGTGGAGTTACAAAGTATTGCCTGTCGTCTTCTGTGATATGACCGTCCAGTTGCAGAACGTCTACTAGGACCTGCATGTATTAATACATTATTTAATTCCTGCAGTCTTCCCAGCCGCTCATATGCGAAGTTTGTCAAAGTCTGCTGATATACAGTCCAGATCAGCACCAACATAAGAATGAGCAGACGATGCTCCATTATGTACCGTAAAAATTGCAACAGATTTGTTGTCTACCCGCCTAGACTGTATAAGCAATCACAGAATGGCTTTTCCACGTGACAATTTTTGGACCATTTGAGTTTAGCCTTTGTGAACGTGAACCGGACCGGTTGAGAAATTGCAACACAATATCATCAATGTATCATCCTTGCTTTGGTTCGTATCAGAAAACAGACCTTTTAGTGTGAACACAACCTAAGACTGATGCTTAAGCTAAATCAATACATAAGTTTTAGCTTGTGCAAGCTCCAGCTATGGGACGGTCAGGCTCACCGGCATCACATTTGATATTTCAGATTTCTTACTTTTCAAGCACTATCCTCTGTGTGAAATACAAGAACACATAAAAAACTTCTCTCAATGTTTGGCACTGGTATACTGGATTTGTTGCCTTTTAAATGACAAAAATCTATTAAAAATACATCACACTCCTTGAATTTTACAGAAGTTGTATCATCAATATTAATGCTGCTTTTAGAAACAGTGTGAGAAGATGAAGAGTGCAAATGTTCCGTTACATACTGTGCAGCCTCCTCACAAAATGATGGAATAAAAAAAGAATAATAACATCCATGAATCCATAAATTTCTGCTTTGACAGTAAAATTAACTCAACCATTGATGACCGTCAGGCCGAGCATTATTCTAGGACCCGCTTCACTCATTATGAGAACATTTTGATCACGGATCGGGAGTCGCGGTAAACACTGTGGCTACACAGTATTTGTTCTCTGCCGCTCACTCGGAGCAAATGTCTCCACTCTGTCATCATTTGGATCTAAGTTAGAGGACATGCTCAGTTAGCTTTAAATGAAGCGAACCCTGAAGGAACGATGAAAAGTCTTCAAGAGACAAGCAAAAATGTAACATGCCTAAGCAGAGAAGCAACAAAACACAGACGGAACACAACCCTGAGCTTATTACAACACCGGCTAGTTTAGATTTAATACAAAGCAACATCTGGTCTTTGAAACTGCTAATCTGCTCCTTTCGTTATCTTGCAGTTTCTAAATAAAAACACACGCATGCCCCAAAGCTACGAGTCCTGTCAATGAAACAGCCCATTCAGATCACACGAGAAGCCGTTTAAAAACACGCACACACAGTTTTAATACACTGTAAGACAACTGTTTGTTATAAATCAGCTCTGCAGGATCCCATTAAACAGCTCGGGGTATGAAATAGGCCTCAGGGAGGAGGGGGCGGTCCACATGTGTGATGCTCTTGCAGAGATTTCAGTTATCCCTGTGTCCTTTAGGGAACGGGACATCAGGCAGAACTAATAGTGTGGTTGCGATTTAGGAAGAAGATTAACTCCTACAACAACAGTGAACATCTGCTTATATGCAGGATGTGTGGGGTTGAAAGGGGGAACCGTGGACTCTAAATCTGGTGTAGAGATGGGTTGTTTGGAAGTGTTTGAAAGTGAGTGCATGGATCCTGTGTCCTCGAGGAGATAAATGGCTTCCCACTCGCATTCACACATTAAATCATTGTAAAAGAAGCAGCTGTGTTTCTGCTTTATCGGTGCGCACATGTATACAGAGCATGAGCTCAGGGCTTACTTCTGCAGGTTGAGGCTGAGGTTGCCAGTGCAGTTCTTGATCTTATTCTGGGCTTCGAGGTGGTTCATGCCCTCTGTGGCGATGCCGTCAATAGACAGAACCAGGTCTCCAACGGCGACGCCGCCTTTGGCCGCCTTGCCGCCATCTGTCAGCTGCAAAACACAAAAACCAAAAATGATGCACATAACCAGCAACATCACAGGATTATTAAACAGGAGCGTGAGTCAAGGTGAAGCGGAAATGAGTAATCTCTTTATTGATCTCAGGAGTTATGGGTTCATGTGGGAGATTAGGCCAAAGCTAATGACAGACCTTGTCCTATAACCGCATAATTGAGGGTCTCTACTGTTCATTCACTGATGTGTGTCTAATAGACAGAACCATCACTTTGAGTTACCTTTGTTTCTACTTTATGACCTGCTGTCACACTGGGCTTTCAACTCAGAAGAGGGGAGGGAAGGTTTAAAACGTCTCGACCACAGCACAGGGAATAAGGACTCAGTCACAACTCAGTAAGTCCGTTTGGTGGCTAAAAGCGAAGGAAATTGGTCAAGATGTTTGTCTCTCAAGCAATGTTTTATCTCCTCCATGGGATGCCAAAGAGCTCCAAGGCTCTTACTGAATCCCCCAAAGAACAAGTTCTCGGTTACCTTGATCTCCCCCAAGCTGGATATGAGTGGAAAACCTCCAAAAGTAGGGGGTCCAGGGTTATAAGGCATCTGTTTTAGATGCTTACACCACCTCAGATGAATGTCTCCATAAGAGCAGCAGATCTACTCCAAGCTCTCTTCAGGATATCATCATCATTTTGGAAGCTATTATCTGTCATCTCAGTCTATCTGTCACAGCCCAAAGTTTGTAGACAAGGGTTGGAACATGGATGTTAAATTGAAAGCAGGTTGCTCCCTCTTCACCTGAATAGTTCGATTGCATCTTGAGATCCTGTCAGTTAAAATCAAGCAGAACCCAAAACCTGGGTCAAGCCTACTGAAGTACACATGGTTCCGATGAAGCGGATTCAAACACAGCTGTCATTAGCTCATACAGGGACTGGATGGTTAGCAGCAGCAATGACCACACTACCTTATTTTCCTGCAGTAGCACCTACCCTTGGATTCTATTGTGGGCTCTCTCCAAGTCAACAATACACATTACAATCAAATGAGCAAACTCACTCCCTAGACACCCTCCAAAAGTTGGCCAAATGTTCAACCACCTCACACTTCTAAGGGATTGTTTAGAGTTTTGGGCTGTTTGGCATTACTTTAATATCATTTCAGTCGAATCTGAAAAAATGAATCACTTTAATCCGTGCTCTGGAAAAGAAGTCAACTTTGATTGATGTTGCCAGAAGTAAATCAGGGAGAGATTTTATTAGATCCCAAAGACTCAGCAAAAGAGGCACAGAGCGAGATTCTTATCAAAGATTTTGCCTCACATGTGGTAGTTGCTACGCAAAATAAAACAATAGAAAACAAAACAGAGATTGCGGGGTCTTGTGTGAAATCCAGAGCTAAACTTCGACAGCATCTGTGAGGATGATGCTGTTTTGCAATGTGTTCTCCTATGAACAACGAAAAAAAAAAGAGATGCTGATTTACTGTTTTAATAAAGATTAAGTGAATGTAGCCCTAGTAAAAAGCTATTTTTCCATTTTACTCCTGACTAAACACGGTTAAAAGGGTGACAAATAGCTAATGGAACCCTACATGGTGTAAACACATACCAGTTTTATGGGTTTTCAGGAATCAGCTGCAATTACAAGCCAGACACGTCTTAACTGGTGCGTATCATAAATTATGCAGACCCTCAATTATTATTGTCACAGCTTTTTAAGCTCATGAATTTTTTTGGTATACTTTTTATATATATCAATGTCCTAGCTTGGTTTAATTGCTGCACTTTCATTGTAGGGGGAAACTGGTTAATTTGAAACAGACTGAAGCCACACGAAACCGCTCACAGCTTATTCTGCTAAAGTTTAATTCAGTCTGAGACTGCTGCTGGACATGAAGTCAACATGCACTTCTACTCCACTGCAGCAACTGTCTTCTATGACAGCTGTGAATAATATTACATAACAATAGTTGAGTTTCTGTCCATCTATTGTGACTAATGCTTGACATATTTAGTAAACAAGTGTTGGGAAAACAGTTGCCAGGCAACTCATTACTAAACATGGACACAAGCTGGCTAAGTCCACAAGAAGAAAAAAGGACACTAGAAAATAAATTGAACTGGTCTGTACTGGGTTATTTTTTTGTTGCAGCTTTAGAAAACTGACACTGCTATATCTCTTATCAAGTACTTTTTAAAAAGTACTGGAAGTGCGGAAGAGGAAAAGGGCCACATGAAGTCGAAATTTCAAGATTAAAATCAAAATTTTGAGAGTTGAAAATGAAATTTCGAGATTGAAGTAGAAATTTAAAGATTGAAGTCAACATCAATAAATTTAAAATTTTGTGAATTAAATCAAAATTTCTAGCTTGAATTGGAAATTACAAGATTAAAGTTGGCGCAAATAAAGACTAAATTTCATGAATAAAGTCGTAATGTTGAGATTGATGATAATGAAACAACAGCATTGTCACTCGACAACATTTCCTCTGTACAACAGTTTATAAAGCTTTACTTCAGAATTGGATTTTGTAAAAAGGAAATCCTTGCTCTTTTACACAGTGTGGTCATAAGTATTCAGACTCTGAAAAGACTGTGCCAAAGATTATGATGCAGATGCAGGGTTAGCGATGGTAACACCAGCGTGCTATACAGTGAGGCTATGTTGTCTCGCAAGATACAATAAGACAACTGATCAAGTTGATTGATCCTGAAGGTGTGGAGCACAGACAAGCCTGGCGTCTGAGGCGCAGGCATCACCGAAGCCGAGGACCAAATGCGCTCTGGCACATGGATGGCTATGACAAATTTAAGCCATACGGCATTTCATTTGGATTTTTTTTTATTTCGACTCTAATCCCTCCCTCCCTCCTGTAATTATTTTTTCCTCTTGTTGTGGCCCTAATCCTCTTTCATAGAGGAAAGCTACAGGAAACACGGGGAGCAGAGAGTGGGAGAAGACACCCATCAAACTAGTGACTGCTGCAGCTAGGACAACTAGGACCAATTTGCCATCAGCGCCCTATCAAAGAACTTTTAACACTGATAGGTCATTTTATTATAATGAGTAAATAAAGTGACAACAGGATAAATGTTGTTAAAGCTATAAATGAAGCCAAATGAATGTCTTGATGTTCTTTACTCATTGACTGCTTCGTCACTGCAGCATGCGTCATTTCGACCAGAGTTCCTCTTATCTGCAGGCTGAGGGTGGACAGGGACAAGTTTGGAAGTGTGTGCAGGATGTTACACGTTGTATCTCTTGTCTTTTTCCCATGACGTTAAAGCGCTATATCCACACTAGGACCAATGAGGTATCATTACATTTGCTGCTGATAAAATTCTTTTTTGTTTTGGCTGTTTTTTCATAACGCATACCAACATGTGAGCAATCAGATAAGCTAGAAATTTTTGTTTTGTGAGCAGCGTAAAGGAAATATCTTTAATTTCAGGTCTTTAGAGATCAGAAACCTCCTGGTAGCTGTGATTGTGACCATTCTTGGTCACACAGAAGGTCTGCATGTGTCCGAAGGGGGAGTGAGGTCATTTGTTTCTTTTGACACTATAAAAAAAGGACCACACAGACCACTTTGCTGAACACACACATGCACACAGACCGCTGTTATGCTTGTCCTAACTTTAAAGTGACTCTTAATCTCTGCCGCCACCAATCACTACCTATGGAGCAATTGAATTTGAAAGAAAATGTGTTTCTACTGAATAAGAAGTGACAGTTACGGATGAGGGGGTGTGATGTGGGTTTAGTCCTCTTTGGTGTTTCATCCCTGCTCTGTGTGTGTGTGCGTGTGTGTGTGTGTGTGTTTTCGCCTCTATCTTAGTCTCTCACTCACACAAACACAAAGACAGACAGACACAGGCAGGGCTAATAAAAGTGGCTCTGCACCCGGATTAGCTCTAAGGCGCTGCGGCCCCAACCTTTTATAGTCATATTAGCCCAACACACGCAACATCACTCACCACTCCTCAAAACCACAGAGGGCAGGAAGAAGAGGGAGTAATGAGGGATCAGCTTGACACTGATTAAAATTGCATGGATGGAAAAGAACGAAGAAACAGAAGGAACAGAGAGGAAAACTATTACATGGCACTCTGAACCTGTGGGCTCCAAATCCCCGAACATCTTGACTTATTCGAACACTCTGGCACTGTTGTGGACCAATTACTCACCCCAAAAAGTTTTCTTCCAATTAATTCTCTCACACGGATACACGCACTGACCCACGAAACATTCCTGCTTCTCCACGCATCAAGTGATAAAAAAAAGGGGGGCCTCAAAACACAGGAATAATATGAATTAATTTACATTCTTGTTACTTAATCCTTGTGTCTAATACTCAAAATCTGTTTCAGAAAAATAAATATATTAAAAAAAATTGTTTTCAGCTACAATAGCTGCGTTTACATGAGCACAAATAATCAGAATAAATGCCCGATCGGAATAAAATTGTGTCATGTAAACATGTTGTTTGGAAGGTTCTGATCCAATTCCGCTCAATCGGAAAGAAATTGTATTCTGATCGAGAGGGGTGGTTAATGCCGATCGCTATTCCGAAACGTGTCCATGTAAACACTTATTCCGATCGTGACTCTCTTACTTAACTTGATCTTCACTCTTTAGCCTTTGTCTTATTTATTGAGGTCAGTTCAGGAGGTTTCATTATTAACACTCTGGCATAAAACACAACTGCGGGCGCCATGTCTGCTCCTCCGATAACATAACAAGGCGTACATACAGCGTAATGATGTCACATCGGCACACAGAGAGCAACCTTTGACAGAACAGTAAAAGAAATACGCAAGGGCGCCATCTAGTGACAATATTTAACAAGGGGAAAACTCCTGATTGGATGGAGTAAGCCACTAATGCGTTTGTTGGTTTGTTGACAGCGCAGTTTTTTCAGCGAAATCAGACAATTCTGGGCATGTCCAAATGCTTCTAATCTGACTAAAGTTTGGTGCATGTATGCCACGTCATGATCAGGTTATTTGATTTTACGCCCATATAAACAGTGGATTCAGATTATCCGATCCCTTAAACTTTTAATCGGATTAAATTTCCCCCATGTAAACTTGGTTTATGATGAAAAAAATCCCGTTATTTTAATGTCCATGTCAGAGAGAGTGCAACAAATCTTTAAGAAAATCTAAACACAGAAATCTCAATAACCTGTTGTATCACTCAGCTGAGCACCTCCAGTTTCCCAGGGTTTGATTAATGATTCTGTTTCTTTGGCTCTGACCAAAAAACAAAAAGAGCAGCTTTAACACGTTTTAACACCCGGCAGGCACACACGCTTACATATTACATATGTGTGAAATCAAGCTGCTTTATGAAGCTCTGCCTCTCGCAGTGCAGAGTTTGGAAACTTTTTTCTTTCACTTGTGTCAGAGCCAGAGAGGCTCGAATTCACATTAATAAAAACAGCTTCTCACAAATTCTGCATAAACGCCCTCATAAGAAAATATGTAGGTATTGAAAAAGCCTACAGCTATGCTTTAAGTTAAACCTTCTACAATAAAAACAGATGAAAAACCTTTGTAAGATCGTGAATTATCTCTGAGCTGTGAAACAGAGGCTACAGGCTGTTGTTTTCTGTTAACTAGGGTGGTTAGCTTTGGGCTTTTTGTCAATTCATTCATGCAAAAGAAAAAGGAAGAATGAACCCTCATTCACAAAATGAGAAAAACACATGTACAGTGTGAAGAAAGCCTTCACAGATGAATTTGCTATTATGCTTCAAGCCACTTCGGTTTTCGACACATTTTCTGTCTGATTTAAGTGCTTTGAAAAAAAAAACAAAGTTCGAACATACAGCAAAGGAACCTTTCTGAAATGGGTGGTGAAATATTGTCAGGTTTGATCATACACTGACTGGTCTAAGTGCTTTTAACAATGGCTGCTTTCAGCGAGAGGAGTGACAGAGATGACAGGCAGATGGTTCGCATCACGCTACGAGTCAAACCCTGAAAGTCGAAGGCATGAATACGTAGACTGTTCCCTGGAACTTTAACATCCGCGAAATCTGCTTCGGTGTGCCAAACTTAAAAAATATTTATTTCTCTTAGATTGTACTGCTTTAGGAGAAATGTTCCCATTGGTTTGAATCCATGTAGAAATAAAAAATGCTAAAATAAACCCTGCTCTGTCGTTTTCTGTCAAAATACTGAACATTAGGCTGCTTCTCTCTTTTTTAACAGGAGTTTTGCTATGAACCTTTTAAAGACAGGAAAATAGCATTACAGCTTTGGTGCTCTCCAAGCAACAAAACAAACAAAAAATAACATTAAAAAGTTAAAAGGGACAAGGTGAGTTTAGGGCTTCTAGACAAAAAACTGACTGGGAATCGTCTGAAGCACAAAAGTGATGGAAGGAGTTAAGAGAGGACGCAGCTTTGAGCCGTATGATATAGCACATTGTAAACATACAGCCAACAATCCAATTACACTACAGGCCTTGAATGATCATGGAGCATCATGGAAATAGTGCAACATGATCTCATCAAAGTCCATCTCTGTAATACAGCTGCAAATAGTGGCACTTGCGTAACAGATTGTACATATTAAACAAGGGTGACCATATTGTGAATCCCCAAAAAGAGGACTCGACGACATGGGGGCGGAGTCACAGATTCACGCGTAGCTAATTGTGAAAGTTTTTCGGGCTGGATCAAGTGTCTTTTACACACTTTTGCGACACAAACTTGAAACTTCCAAATGAAACCACAGACATTTAAAGGATTTTATAAACCCCCCCGGACAAGGCCGGACAGCCCAGAAAGGCCCCCAAAAAGAAGACATCTCTGGGTAAAAGAGGACATATGCTCCCCCTAATTAAATGCAAGGCTTTGTTCACAATATCAGTGATCTGGACGCCATTTATGAAGAAGTTTCATTTAAGCGTACTGCAACTCTGGGACAAGCTGGCCAGGTCAGCCGCTGGCTTCTTCTTTCTTTATTTTGCAAGATGGTACCAATGCTTCTGGACGCTTTAGTGCCATCTGTAGGTCAGTGTAATCGTTGCACAGACCTACGTTGAGATCAATTAGGAATCACTCAAATTAACTATGATTTAAGTAACAAGAGTAAAAATAAAAAGCTGTAGCAGCTCACAGAGAAACGGCACACACACATCAAAAAGTCTGGAAATCCTGAATCATGCTCTTACAACATTTAAGTACTAAAAGGTTGACCTGACACGAAGATTTGTGTGGGAATGAACCGAGGTATTGCTCATGTTCAAGACGCCTGTATTGTAGAGAAAAAAAAGGGATCAGCGTCAACAAATCCCCGACATTATTTTGTGTTGTAAAAGAAAACTGCCCCTTGCTAAACCTGAAGAGAACAAGCCAGCATTCACAGCCAGACTCAATGATGTGATTGTGATGGTGCTGGGGGACTCAGCGTTGGCAGAGCTGAGGAACACACGTCCAGAAACACAACCACATGAACACAAGACTTGGTTGTTCTTGCTCCATATGAACGCACAGCGAGCTGCTTGTGTGTCATTAGTGGCACACACTCAGAGAAGCTGTAATTAAGCCTAACGAGGGCGTGACGTCACGTGGAAGGTCGGGTTTGACTTTTAACAGTGACTGGAGTGCTAAAGCTAACTCTCCAAAAATCTGAATAGGGTTCACGTTATAATCAGATGGACCTGGTCTGTGACAGTCATGTTTGTTTTCTGGCCTCTAAAGCTATTTAAATACAACATTCATATTTTTACTAAAACTGCTTCTTTCAAAAAGTTGTGATAATCCAAAGTGTGTAAATATTGTTTTCTTTTATGAATTTAAGTGCGGGTCCGGGTCGCGGGGGCAGGAGGGAAGCCAAGACAGCCCTCACCCCAGCCACTTCCACCAGCTCCAGGCCAGGTGAGAGAAATAATCCCTCCACCTGGTCCTGGGCCGGCCACAAGGTCTCCTCCCAGTGGGACATGTCTGGAACACCTTTAATGGGAGGCATCCAGAAGGCATCCCAACCAGATGCCTGAGCCACTTTAGCTGACTCCTCTCAACGTGGAGGAGCAGCGGTTCTACTCTGAGCACCTCCTAAGTGTCCGAGCTCCTTACCCTATCTCTAAGGCTGAGCCTGGCCACACTGCGAAGGAGCCCCCTTTCGGCCGCTTGTATCCGCGATCTTGTTCTTTCGGTCATTACCCAAAGTTCATGACCATAGGTGAGGGTCAGCACGTAGATCGAGAGTCTCGCCTTACGGCTCAGCTCCTTCTTCACCACGACAGATCGGTTAAGCATCTGCATCACTGCTGACGCCGCTCCAATCTGCCTGTCAATCTCCTGCTCCATCCTACCCTCACTTGTGAACAAGATCCTGAGATACTTGAACTCCTCCACCTGAGGCGACCCCGGAGAAGGCAATCTACCTTTTTCTGACTGAGGACCATGGCCTCGGACTTGGAGGTGCTGATTCACATCCCAGCCCTCAAGTGTCTTATTATAATCTACCACTGTTTCCTCAGCCTCTTAAGACGTTTTTAATTATCTAAACAAAAGGTAATGATTTCTGGGTAATAAAGAAGATCAAAACCTGTTAAGGCTTTCTCCGATTGAGTCTATTTGATGTATGACTTTCACTAATGAGGTTTTTGACACAGAATAACACGGGTCCCAGAAGCACCTTTATGAGCGCCAACATTCTTTTGTCTTTCTATTCAATAGAAATAGATCCAATACTTTGGGACTGATAAACTGTTTGAGTCCTGTGGGAACTCAGAAAGTCTCAATTTCCTCAGGTTAGAACCTCTTTCCAAATTCAACAAAGCGGCTAATGGCTGTTCAACAAAAGTCTGGTCCTGCTCAAGGTTTCTGCCTGTCAGAGGGAAGTTTTTCCAGACCAGACAAAATGTCTTGCCTGTGGTCAATTAAGATGGGATGAGCTTGAATAAGATAAGATTGGATTTTCTTGTCTTGGTGTAGAGACTCGTTAAATAATAGAGTTTTTTTAGACCTGCTCTTTGTGTCTTAAGATTGCATTTGAGGTGCTAAATAAATAAAGATACATTGATTGATTATAAAAGTGTTGCCTGTCACTGTAAATGTAAAACAAGTCTACCTTAACACAGACACAGACACACACAGACACACACAGACACACACACACACACACACACACACACACACACACACACACACACACACACACACACACACACACACACAAGCACTGACAGATTGATTTGTGGGGGAGGAAATGAAAAATGTTGATTCTGGCTGCGGGACTGTTTTTCTAAAGACAGAAAAGATACTCAGGAGGAAAACATGGGACTTGTTTGATTAAGATGGATTTAAAGAACTATTAACTCAGATGAAAGAGCTGTCAACCGGCTCCAATAGTCTGGTATGGAAGCGAAAAGGCGTTGAGTTTGCAACAGCACTGGTGTGAGACCTGGTCTGAAATGTGAGGGTGAGTATTGTAAGCACATGAAAGAGGAGGTGAGGCGAGGGCGGCAGAAAGACAGAGAGTCTGTTTTAAATAGACCCATCACTAATGCTCAGTTGTTGTCATCGCCAGCCCGAACCATCGCTGGGAAGGCAGGAAACATTTATCGCTGATGCTGTTCCAAGAACTGCATTCTTCCTCGAAAAGGTTTCAGTATAGATTAATCGTCCGTTAAACCAGCACAGCATTACGCAGCTAGATTACCATTTCTTTAAAACCTGTTTTCCTCTTATAGACATTTCAGTGCAGAGCTCCAGAGAGGAGTTAGATCAATAACAACCTTCAGATGAACTGTGATGGATTTAAACAAATATGTAAGCAAATTTGTATCATAATTCAAATGAAAATAGATTAACAGAAATGCATTTGTATTTTTCAGAATGTACCTGCACATCTTGACACATAAATAAAATTAAAAATAAATAATCTAAACTGCGATTGCTTTCTCTTTTTCAAAACTGATTATTCTGTAAGTTAATTCAAATGTAGAAGAAAAAGCCATCTGGGATTTAATTTTCCAAATATCTACCAAAATTCAATTCGAAATGTCAAATCTGAGAATTCAAACGCATTTGCAGTATGGCTTGTTCGTTCCAAAGTCAAAACTGTGTAATTTGACCCAGAAATAAAATTAAGAATAAATAATACAAGCTGCATTTTCATTTTCTTATTTGAGCTGCACATTTTGTAATACAATTCAAAAAAGAAACCAAACAGGCTATTGCTTTTTCGTTTTCATGTCAGTTTGCTAAATGTCTTTGTTTTAACTTTCATCTGTGCTAAGTAACTTAGCTCGTAAGCTAACCTGTTCAGATACAACATACCATATGTATTTTCACTGTCTCAAACTCAATCGCGTTGCTGTCACAGCACCATTAGGTCTCGGTTGTTACCTTACATTTATGGATTATAGTTTAATGTGCTTATCTGGTACTGGCCCCGACTCAGTACATGCTATCATGACAGACAGACATCTAAACACTAGTGTCTAATCAGAAATAAAAAACAGCCAGTCTGGTGTTGTGTCAGTCTTCTCGCTTCCACCCGTGACGCATCTTTTTCCCCCCTGGAAAGTTGCAAAATCGCCTCGCGCTTGATGTGTATGGTCAGGCGCGTCAAAATTCGCTTCCGAATATTTCGTAATTTCGCATCGTATATTTGCGTCGTTCCCGGTGTGTAAAGACCTTAAAAATGCAAATTCATTTCTGTTCATTCATTTTCATTTGAATTATGAAACAAATTTGCTTACATTATTAAAGGGGGAAACCCATGAATATGTAATCCTAGAAAAGTGCGTGCACAAAGCTGATATCACAGAGGTAAAATTTGTTAAGCGCCAGTCCTGAAAGCAGCGACCCCTGGTTTGACTCCTATGTTGTGGCACTCATGTTGTGTTTTTGACTCCATCTATTATCAATAAAGGCATGACGCTTATCTTAGAAAATAAATCTGAAATACTCCTAGATCAAAGAGGTCTCCAAAACAGGACTACGGATCCCACCTCAGTTTGTCAGGAGTGGGTGCAGTCATGGGAGGCGACCTGTGAAATGATGCAACTATTCTTAGAAGCCTAATGCACACAGTCCCCTGGGCGGCCCTCTCTTAAATTATTTTAGCAGTGGATCCTGTAAGTGGGCTGCCCTCAGAAACGCTTTAAATATTGATTCACTGTTGTAAATAGAACTGTGAATGGTAAGCAGACCTTTCCTGTCCGTCCCTGCAGGAGAGAACTTGTTCCTGGAATTATTCTCAAGTAAATTGATTTCACAGTAAGTAGTCTCAATGAGGAGAACAGTCTGTTGTCTGCACACTCTCTGCAGCAGTCTGTCAATTAGCTGCTTTACAAAAAAAGCAAGGTAATAAGGTAGCATGGTGACTCTGAAACAACCATGTTACCAAACAACCATTATTCCCTATTAGCCAACAACAAAAGCACGATCTGAGTTTGTAATGAAACCCATTCTTACAAAGAGCGTCTGCAGACAATGTACCTTTTACTACAATATTTCCTTTCCTCTGTAAATATCTCCTTTTATGGACAACGTCTGACTGGAATGCTGTTGTAAATTTTTTATAGGCACTTTAAGAAGTAACACTGTCAGCTTTGGCCTGTAATGAAACTGTTTTTTCTAAACTGAGAAGAAAAGAAAAAAGAGGTTTCGAGAACAAGAGCACTCACGGCAGAGATAGTTCAGGATGTAGAGTTGAGATTTGAAGAAGCTCGCCTGTTAAGATACATCAGTGCAGTGTGTCAATACTTCTGCTATGACTTGTTCGTTAAACAAAACGCACAGTATGTTCATGTATGTGTAGAGCTTAGCAACAGCAGCTGTTAGGGCGAGTGTGGTTTGGCAGCAGGAGTGTGTTCCCTAATAACCTCTATACCTTCTGAGTACCAACCATGTGGTTAGACTGGCACTGCACGATCCATGTGTGTGTGTGTGTGTGTGTGTTTTTGTTGTGTGTGCCAGTGCATATGAGCAGACGGTTGGTGATTAGCGGTCAGGAGGATTGCCCTTTATTGCCTTTAAATGGATTTAATAGATGGTATAAGATGAAGGTTTGGTTTGATTCTTGTACCTCGACCTAAATATATTTCTGCGAGGGGTGAGTCACATCTTATGTAAGATAAAACAGACAGGCCGATGAAAGAGAGACATGGTTACAGAAGAGAGGGAGGGGGAGAGGAGAGGATGAAGGTATGATAAGAATGAAAGGGTCAGCGGGGCAAACCCAGAAAGATGACCTGTTGAATGGCATCAAATGTTTGTGCCATTTAAACTTGCTGTCATGAGTCCCTCTGTGAGCCTCTGTGATAAACTTTCATCTAAATTGCATTTTAATATTTTAAGCCATAGGGATGGGCGATATGGGCTAAAAAACTTCTCGATAAGATTTGCTATTCTGGCGATAACGATAAAAGTCCCGATAAAAGATATTATAATTCCATTTCTTCTTCATTACCTTCAGCCATGTTCGTTTGTTTTTCTGCTCTGTGTGGACTATGGCTGCGAGTCCATCACACACGCTTACGTCATCAACTTGCACTTATAATACTTATAATGAGATGGCAAACATTTATCATGTAGGATTTTTCTGACAATATATTGTGAACGATAATTTATCACCCATCCCTACTAAGACATTTTCTTTCTTACAGGGATCTGAAATTACTCTGCTGACTCAGTCAAAGTCACACTGCCAGTCTGTTTTAAGAAACTGAAGTATAAAAGAAAAAAGCTGAGCAGCTTTAAATTATGACATAATTATTTATACATTTAAATTTTTAAGTATCATGAATATCAGTTGGGGAAATAAAATAATACAGTCAAGCACTTAATTTTGCTACATTTTACTTTAGGAAATTACAAAAAAAGAACACACATTAAAGCCGATATTCTGAGATTTAACCCCAGCCTGGAATTATCTGAAAGTACTCTAATGCTGCGTTCCAGTTGTAGAGTAAAATACTGCGTTATGCGTTGTTTATAACTGGTATAGCTAACAACAACTAACAACAGCTGACAATTGCTAACAACAGCTAACAACGGCTAACAGTAGGTGTCCATCTTGGTTTTCTGACTTGTTTACTGGAACCCCGTCAACTCGGGTGTAGCATCATTACCAGCTCCGACATCTGACTTCCGAGGTAACTGGAGCGCAGCATGAGCTGTAACAGTCAAAAACTTTATAGAACTTGGAAAACTCTTCTTTATCAACACTAGAATCTATAAAAGTACTTTTTTAATACTCCTGCCAACATTTTAAAACCCCAAACCACATAACTGTCATTGTAATAATGCAGTCGAGGTCATTGGGATGGCTCTGAAGTTTAAGTAAATCCATCGTGCACATCACTGGGAATAAGAAAACCTTGACGGATCAACATCCACTTCTATTTAACTATGTATGCATGATTTCTTTGGAAAGCACTTTTATATAAAGCATAAAGTTTTAAAGATTTATTTCAGATATGACTCTGTATGACATGTTGAAACTCATGATTGTGTATCCTTGTTTTGGTTCATTCTGGTTGGTTACTCTATCTTCTCGCTGTTTCGCCTTCTGTCCATCATTTGTTTCCTCTCAGTTTCCAATAATTTTGATTCAGTGCGCGCACACACTCCAAGACACACACACACACACACACAAACGCACAACTGTGGTAAAAATACACATGGTTTCAGTTAGTGGGAAAAGTATCACATCCAAAGTAATAACACAAACATGGCAACCCAAAGCAGCCCTAGGGGGATTGGCAACCAACCTGGCAAGCCATCCATCATCAGTCTCATGTTGCCATGGGCCTGTGCACTGCTAGTGTTGGTGATTTGTGTGTTTGTGTGTGCATGTGAATACACACACATGTGCAAATGTGGGTGTATTCTCCAGTGTATTTGTATAAGTTCCCTTTACTAGACTGGAGAGTCCAAGCAGAGTGGGAACAGACAGAAGCTTGAACAAACTTAGAAACAGATTATCTCGTGTCAGGATCAGACTCTGGTTAAAGTGATAAGGGGGGGCTTTGTTAGTGTGAACTTACATGTGTGAATGAAAAGCAGATTTGGAGGGCAACAAAAGGTTACAATTAAAGGCGGAGAAACCACGGGACCATCAAGTTACTTGTTCACGCGAAGGGACCGGAGCCAAGATCTGAGCGCCAAAACTTTGATTGCTGCGCTATCATCGCAGACAGTGAAAAACGTAATGCTTACAGAGAGCAGGGAAAGGTTTCCTGTCTGGTCAATACATGACAGATGGCATATGATTCAGTGGAGCTATCATGAGGGAGGCGGTGGGGGTTGAGGCAGGGAGACACCAGGAACAGGGAGAGGTGGTGAAAAGACCACCAAAGAGAAAGGGAAAAGGTGCAGACAGAGGGAAATGAAGGATTCATGGAGATCAGTTTTCATTTTGTAAATTACTTATCAGCTGTATGGCATTGCTGCAATGTTATCCTACATCTGCATGTGATGACTGAGCGCATGTGTGTGATAATGAAACAGAGGTGTTTGCTCAAAGTGAGTAAGAGAAAGTATGTTTAAGAGGAAATATCCATGTCTTACCCTGGAGATGGCAAGGGGCATGTTGAAGTCCTTCCCCCCCTGCAGCCTGAAGCCCCAGGGGGCGGGTCCCAGCAGAGTGACGCTGTAGTTGCTGCTCATGGTCTCCTTTACTATATCAAAGCACGCTTTCGATGTTGATGTAACGGACAGGCGGTGATGCCAATAGAGACTCTGCTGCAGGTTAAGCAAAACTTCACTGGGTTTCAGGGGTTTCAATCAGATCTGCTTTGGCTCTTTTGAAGATGATCCTAAATCTGTGGGAAGACATGGAAAAAAAAGCTGATTTTAGATGTGTCACATAAATAAGACAAAGGTAGTGACTGAGGAAAATGCAGAGACGAGCTTCATATGAGCAAACAGTGTGGTCAAGATGAAAATATGCACCTCTGAGTACACAAACCAAAGACATTCTGATTAGATATGAAATATTATGGTTAAAAATTGAGAAAATTATTACATTTCCATTATGGAATTGGCTGAACACCTTTGGCAGGTGAGAATATTAACATTTACACACAATGAAATATTTTAAAAAAGCAATTCTGTCCATTTAATATGGAGAATATTCAATAACACAAATAAAGGCCAGTCTCACAGATAATATGAATTAGTAAATGCAGAATTTGTGCTACTTTGAGAGCTACCATAATATAACAAAAAAGGCAGTACCTCTTTAGTCTTTATTCCAGAGAGGAGAATAATTCCTTCACAAGCAGGTAGACAATGTAATCCCCTGGACTATCCCCTTCCCAGTCAACACACAGTGTGTGTGAGAGCAGTGCAGAGGGATGCAGTGCTCTTATATATCAGCTAATGACAGAGGGGAGGGGAAAGGTGGAGGAAGGGAGTGAGTGAGTGAGTGAGTAAGAGGGAAGCGAGAGGAAGATCGAGTAGGGGTTAGTTAAGGGGGAGAGAGGGAGGAGAAAGAGGAGGGGGACCGGCTCATGGGTGGAGTGAGTGGAACACAGAAGAGGAGGAGAAATCAACGAGATGATATGAAGGGGGAGATTAGAGGATGGGAGGAGACATCCCCTGAAAAAAACGAGGGGGGTGGAAGGAGACGGGGGGCGAGTGGAGGGATTAGGGGAAAGAGTGTGGGAGCACTGCACACAGAGAAAATGACAAGGGGAGGGAGGGGAGGCATGGGACGGTTTATCTTTCATCTGGATATTTTGGGAACATGGACTCAATGCTGTGGGCTTTTGATTTAAGGTGGTACCAGCCGTAAGCAGATCATGACCCGAGGACACGTTCCCAAAGGCCCCACAAAGGTTACCCTAAAATGACACCGTGAGGTGATGCCATGGGGTACGAACTCAGGATCACCTTGTTCAAACCCTGTTCAAACAACATGGTCGTTTCGCACGTGCTGCACTGATTCTTTAACCAGGGTCTCTGCTCCCCTTTCTTTTTGATATCAGGGCCAAATATATTTAATAATCTTTGTTACAATCTCTATATATTTATCTATGAAGTTGTTTAGATGTTATGTTGAGTTTAATTTGTAGATTCTTCAGCTGGAAAATCCTCCCTTTATTTATCTGCAATGGCTTTCTGCCATCATCCTCTTACAACTTAATTTTGTACATAAAGTGTTATTGTTCTGCCTAAATCAAACACTTATCCCTCTGCTTTCATGGTCCTTATCATACACAGTACATCCTACTAAACCATAACTGTGCACTCCACAGGAAAACTCTTAAGTATATTAAAATTAAACAAAAGCAGAGATGAAAAGGCCGATATTTAACATGTGCACCATGAAGAACACAAAATTTACTATGAACTTGCTACCAACACTTTGAAGGTTTTAGGTTAAATTTACTGTACATACACACAGGATGCTCATCATTAGTCTGAATACAGGGCTAACACAAGGCCGGGTTCTGCATAGCCAGGTTTAACAATAGCAGAGCAGATGCTGGGAGGAGCTGAAGCGGCAGCAGAGTCATTAACCCTGTTTCTGCTGCAGGGCTTCAGGGTCTTGATGTGCGCGGTTAAAGCGGAGTAAAAATTTACAGCAAATGTAATTACAAAAACTAGGATAGTGGTGATTCTGAGCTGTCGCACAGATGGTTATGCACTCCTAGAGCAGGAAGGATTAAACGCACTTTTACACTGAGAGATGGCGTAAATAATGAGTGATTCTGGTTGGCCTTGTTTGGAGTTATGTCTGAGACCAGATCTGTCTTTACTAATAAAAAAACACATTAATGCCTCAAACCTGGTTGTTACATTAATTAGAAACACATCACTGATTTGTTTATCACTGTTGCTCACATGCTCTGTCCTGTACATTCATATAAACACGCTCTTCTTTCCTTTTTTAGTTTTACAAGATCCCACATTTGACACTGTATGCTTCATGTCAGGGGTATCCAAGGTAAACAGTAACAGGATTTCATGTGTGGGAGACTGAGAGACAGAGAGTGCTGCAGACACCTGATATAAGAGTGTGTTTTTAAGTTTCATTACAGAGGGAGAGACGTCCGTTAAAAGAGGGTTTGGATAGAGATGTCTACCACAAAGTAAACAACCTTTCAAGTAATAATATGAGTATGAAACAGTAACAGAATAACGGCTAAATGCTGTAAGGTACACCCATTCCTATTTGACAAAGGCGCTGATTTGATCCCATGAAGATACAGTTTCTAATATATGGGCTCAACAAACCTTTTTCCACTTTCTTTGGATATTCGATTGTTTTCATTGTCAAAAATGACCGATGACAAAAATCTGTATCAGAGACAACAAAGAGAATTATGTAGACCACAGGATCATGATATCAAACGCTAACAATAGAGGGTGTGCAGTAGCAAGAAACCCCAGACAGCCTGCCAGTCTTTTGTTCTGTCAAATGGTCTATTCCAGTCCCCATATGCTCACCTCTCCACATGCTTAATGATCACAGCTTAGCAGCCCGCAGTCAAACACACACCCATCCTGACCAGCTCCACCCCGTCACAGTTTGATAATCTGCCTCTCATATGACATTTAATGCATCATCTACTTGTGTATAAGTCAGGGGAACACCTGCCCCCCTATTCTACCAGCTGCCCACACACACACACACACTCACTCACACATACACACACACACACACAAGACCTGAGGGTCACAACATGTGCACCATCTCTCTTGTGGGTGCTTAAGGTCAAGCATGACTACAGCAGCTGTGGACTGAATAGCATTAATTCTAATTCTTTGTTTTTGGTCACGTGTGATCTAGTAAAAGTACAAGGACGCTGAAAGACCTTGTACGGGTTTAAATTCGCTTCTCTTTTCTGTGGCTCAAGAATTTAAATGTCACATAACAGTGAGATGATCCTGCATCAAAAGATTTAAAAAAAGCAAAAGCAAGAATCAGTTTTTAAAGAGCTCTGGAAAGCAGTTTTGTTTAGTGGAAGATTTGAGGTATTTTTCGATCACATTCGGTTTGATGGATGAGCAGCATGGAGAAGACACACGCAAATTACAAAATCCCCGTAATCACAAGCCATACTTTCACTAACAAGTGAGTACACAATCATCTACCAGAAGACAAACATATGTACGATTGTTTACGTAGGGGAGAGTATTTGTCTGGCAGCCATCTAATCAGTCTGACCCCTCCAGACTGATATAAGCCAAACTAATCCTGCAAACCATCTCTGTAAATACTGCACGGTTAGGGGTAGGCTTAGTGTAGTAGCCTTTTTTTCCTCCCCAAGATCTTATACAAATGCAGTCAAAAAATAAATATGATCCACTGGCGAGAATTTAGTCAAACCAGAAATTGGAATATGACTAAATGGGATTTTTTGTTAAAGCTCCTGTGGGGAGTTTTTTTTTATGTGTATGAAGTAGACTGAAATTCATACCAGTGCTGAAACATGTACTGTAGGGTAGGTGTCAGCCAAACAGCTGAAGAAACAGCCCCGCCCCAACAGCCCAAACAAACCCACAACTTACTGCACGTTTCACATTTTGTCAAAGATGAAAGACACGCACGGCCCGAACATAGAGATGAGCCTTTTATCAGAAGCCTGAATCTCATCTGTGAGCTCAGTCACTGTTTATAACTGTGTGCTTCAACAATGGAAAGTATTCCTCCCTGTTTGCCAGCCAACCGTACAGACGGACGCAGACAGAAAAGCACACTGGGAGACAGATAGTCCAGCCTACGCGAATGTCCCTCCTAAGAAAGATAAACTGAGAAAATCTGGCTGCAGCTGTGGACACACACTGACATATACACACACTCACACACGGTTAGTTACTCGCTCAGTCACAGACTATAAATGTACACATCAGTACTTAATGCTTATGTCAAGTCTGGGTCAATCAAAGAGAGGCATTTTAAAAGCCATGTGTAATGTTTCCTTGGAGATATAAACTCATTTCAGAGACTATCTACAGCATCAAAGACCTTTAAAATCAGCAGCTCTGAATCATTCTTTCCACTCCATACTGAAAACATAATGAACACTTGAGTCACTGACATTATTTTTATACCTACACCCTTTGGCATCAGTTATTATCTAAGGATTTTTTTCAATATTGTAATAAGTCTGGCTATTTTTTTTAAAACCAATGAGAAGAGCACCAAAAAAATGGTATTGTTTGGTGAAACTGCAATGACAGGGCATCAAACTTTGATCTAAAGTGATCAGGGATGCCAGTTTAGCTCAGCTGGTAGAGCAGGTACTGTATCCCTTTTTGCATTGGTCGCAGGTTTGAGTTGTGGTCCTGTTATTGCTTGGTCATGCCATTCCCCATCTCTTCCTCCCCATAATTCCAGTCTCCCCTCAAGTCTCTTATCAAATAAAGACAAAAAGACCCTCAAAATGATCCTGAAACTGTGTGACTAAAATGGAAAGAACAGCTTATATTTCCTAAACCAAACTAAATTAAGATTAGGAGTCACGAGGAAATCCACTGTGGTCCAAATAATGTCACAGACTGCTTATTTCAGCAGTGAGGATGCTTTTAACCAAAGTGATGGCGATACGATTGATGAGGGAGATTAAAAAGAAGACTGCCTTGACTGTAAAAAGTGTGACTTAGCAATGTGATGAATATAACCTTCAACATAAGCTACAGCTGGCAAACAGCTGCCAGCTCTGAGGAACTGTGTAGAGCTGTTTCCATAATAATAAAATAAAACTCTGCCTCACTTTTTGCTATTAAAAACAGGCAGGACCAGGCCTACCATGTAATTTTTATTTAATTTTTATTTTTATTTTTTTTCTATCAGTGATAGAAAGTGAGCCCATTTGTTTTTGGATGCAACACACGTATTTTTATCTTCTACCAGCAACAACTGATCTACTGACCTGATTTGTAATGTGCAGTTCATCTATCTTGAATTAGATTACCAGGTAACTTCATTTCAATCCCCTTCATCTGCAAGCACAGTTTGTTTTGAAACGGTAAACGTTACCAAGCTCCACTCTTAACTTAATATGTTTAACTTCCTCATAAAACTTATATGCAGACTTCTACTTGTTTCCACAACACTATTCCTACTTTACAACTGAGAGAGGTTAAAGGTTGGTTTCCCAATTTCTCAAACATGCAGAGGTTCACTGACTCTAAACAACAAAACAACAGTCAAATGGGCACAGAACCAACACATTGCTTTTAACAGGTTTTCCTTTCATGTATCTTTTTCACTGTCTTTACTAACAGCCCATCCTATTGAGCTGTTAATAAAAGAATTAAAGCAAGGGAGGAAGGAAGAAAGAAAGAACTGTATTTCCTACATTGTGTGAACTCACATTTAAAAAATGACCGATGACTCCCTCTTGTGGCTATTGACGATACTCACTAGTAATGCTTATTACTCCAAGTATAGCATGGTATATTTGGCCCGGTTTGGTATTTAACTTGATCCAGTGTTTACTCACTCATAAAAATTATGTCATAAGGGCATCCAAACCAAAAGTTTAACAGATCAAATTAACCCAGTAATGAAAATACAAAGAAAAATGGAGAAAGTCTTACCTTTGCAGAGTCCCTCCAAGCCTGAGCTGGTATTTCTCGACCAAGAGGAGACCCTTCTTCTAAAAGTGAACACCCAAGCTCTGACACCATGGCTGCAGCTCGACCCAACCTTCGACAAAATCACAGGAGCCATAGAATCAGTAGTTGATGGTGATATGGAGCTTCCACCTTTTGACCCAGGTCCAAAGCTCCACTCTGAAGCTGTCCAAACCATTCTAGTCTGAAGTGGTAAACTGTTGCTGGATCCAGCATGGTTTTGCCACAACTGTGGTTCACCCTCCATTACAGAGTGTCGGTAGATTGGGATCCGGTTGTGCTGGTGGAGGGTACTACGGCTGCTGTGTCTCCTCCATCTTTGGCCTGGAGACTCCGCCATGGCTGTCCAAGGCTCTCTCATACATCACCTTCACCTGAGGTAGGCAGCTTGGCTCTCTTCCATGAGGAGGAGATGCTACAGATTTAAATTTATACGTTATTAACTGAGTTATTTTGTGAGATGAAATACCTGAAACAATTGTTTTTTGACTGTGATTCAGTCCACTCAGTCTGAAATGATAGGTATTAGCTACAGTCAGACCCCTTGAGGCTTAAAATGCTGTGGAGTAAACAGAACATGATGAAATGCCTTTTCTTTGCAGTGAATAAAATACAACCAAGTGCCTTCTGGATGACACTGCAATAGATAAAACCTAAGATTAGTGCCCTATAGATGCCCTTTCAGGAAATTAAATGTTCCCCTCCAGTGAATAAAACTCATAAGATGTTCCCTCTGAATGTCTTTTAAGCAATTAAAATCTTAAAAGGTGTCTTTTTAATGCCCTTCCAGTGAATTAAATATAAAATAGTGCCCATGAGTCATTTTTGTCGTGTCATTATCTGCTGAGTTAGATTCATCAGCTGAATTTTAAAATGACCGTGTGGAAAATAAGGACTTAATTTCACCAGAATGTGAACTTCAAGTAGGAAGTAATCAGAGTCACCATTATTGTCATTCTAATTGTGATTCTGATTAGTAGTAGTGTAGCTGAAGGATATTAGACTGTTAAGGGTTATGCTGGTTTAAGCATTCAGCTTAATGGTTTGTCTGCAAGGACAACTAAGCACATGAGAGGGAGTTCCAATCCAGAGTTTTTATTCCGTATGCATTCAGCTGTTTTTTCTGGAGAGGGTGAGACAGGGGTAACAAAAGTGAATTCAATAAAATACAAGCATGATCAATATCACAATTTCCATTAATAATATCAGAGCAAAATAACTAAAATCATTCAAATATATGCAAACTAAGGAGCATCCTTTCTTAACTGTAAAATTATATATAATTCAGGATAATAAATCAAAGATGAGTTGTATAACGATTGAAACAAAGCAAACTCACAGGGTAAGCATGCAGTGAATGATACTGGTGGTGTTTCTCTCAGTCAGACAGCTCTATTGTCTCCAGTGTCCCCAGAAAGAGTTTGCAGCAGGTAAGCTGGCTGTCTTTAATGACTCTGGGGCTCTTTCCATGCAGGGAGCCTGGAGTCAGGTCAGAGAGTCAGAGAAGGAGGGGGGATTTTCCACAGTAGCTGATCTCAGACTTTCTCTTGCATTGGTAGACCGGTCATAATTCCTGCACAGACACCCTGAAGAGATACTGAGATGACAAAAGAGTATAATGTCTCTAACAGCCACTTGTATTGTAAAAGCTGCAGCAGTAACACTATAAGGGACACAGCAGAGTGGCCATGATAAATATTAAACAAAGAAATGAATCTGTTTAATTCCTTGTCTTATTTCGTATATTTTATTTCCCCCTGGTTCTTGTGTGTGTCATTACTTGAAACAACCACACAGGGGTGCAAAGTCAAACCTACCGTTGAGGACCAGCAATACTGTGGTGGTACCACTCAAATCTACAAGGGCCCAGCAGAGGGCGTTATACTGCCTTAATTTCGGTATAACCAATTTCAAAATTAAAAAACACTACAGGAAACGAAGGATTTGCGCGACAATTCTTAATAACACATCAAAAAATATTAACTTACAATATTCTCCAACTTCTTAAAGTAACATGTGATACTTAATTTTAAATCATTTTTGATCCTCTCTTACACAAAGGTTTGATGATCAAAATTTCCTAGAAGGTATCCAGTTCCTCCTCTCAGAACTTACATGAATGCTGTATCTATGGGGAATATGAAAAAGGATCTAAGTCTTCTGCTTATCTTCTTCTACTAACTACTGCCCAGATTGCCCAACGAAAGTTTTGTAAACCGTGAAATATTCTGCTCCTTTAAAACGCCATGTTCGTCTGTACGGCAACATCTTTAACCAATACTTTGAAAAACGCTTTATATTCTCTATTCCGACTCTCTAGAAAACCGTGCTCATAGACACCGTCGATATTCTGGTAAAACAAGGGTAAAAACAAGTTCTTACACATAAATATCTGATTATATTGCTTCTTTTTCTGTAATACTTTGCCCATCAGTTTTGAGGCGCCTTTGCCTGTCAGTCCAAACGCGGGGATGCAGTCACTTCGGACATCTCGCGAGATTTGTTCCAGTGGCGGGAATAAACAAGGAGGTTCTTGTGTCAGCTACAGTTGTGTTGTTGCTTCTCGGTGTCTGTCTTGTTATGATTATTGACGCGGCTTGATACAGCGCTCTTAGTTGTTTAAATCTATAATATAAGGGTTGAAGCTCTCTTTTACTCAGTACTTTGTTTGTTAGAAAATGTCGGACGCTTTATCTGAAGACGGGAGCGACATTAACCAAGATGACAGCCGGGAGGAGGATGTTATGACTCCGGTTGAGCTGATCGCCAAACTGGAAGAGGTGAGCTGAACTTACCTGTCTTGTCCTCATAGTTATAGTGTTATAGTGTGTGATAGTTTAAGAAGACTTATTTGAGACATGTCAGCCTCTTTTCCTCACACTCGTGCTTTTCTCTGTCGCTCACAGGCCTGGCTGAACGAGAAGTTTTCCCCGGAGCTCCTGGAGAATAAGTCAGAGGTGGTGGAGTGTGTGATGGAGCAGCTCACACACATGGTAAGTCCGACTCACACTCATCGTATGCCATTTAAAGCAGTGGTTCTCAACTGGTGGGTCCCGACCCAAAAGTGGGTCGCGGACACGTTAAGGAAGGGTCACGAACAGCTGGTTTGATATTTTCTGTACACGGAACTTCAGTAGTTGTCGTCTTCATGTTGTCCCCTTCATGCACCGTGAAATGCACTTTATTCAATTTATGTTAAAGATGTTTAAGATTAGAGTCTTTAAAGTTTATATATATGTATGTATAAAATGAAATTGCTTGGTTTGAATTCTAGAAAAGTGGGTTGCGACCATAAAGTGTAGTAGCACCGACGTCAGCAGTGACATGCTAACGCGGCCATTTTGACAGATATAACAACACTAAGCACACTGGAATGAATGAAATTAGGACGATGCTAGGTTTTAAAAACCAGCTATTTATTAGCTGACTACACAGTAACGGAGAATGGAATGGAGAGAGCAAAACTTGGACTCAACATACCGTACAGGGACAAGCTGAACAATGAAGAAAGAGAGGGTTACCATAGCAAAAGTGCGGACATTGCTGGACTCGACCCATATGAACACACTGTATGGTCAGAAGATGATTTCGAGATGCTACCACCACTTAACCGAGTGCACCAAGTTACTGTCTGTCAAAATGGACGGGCTGGCATGTTTTGCACCACGCTTCCCGTGCTGACGTCAAGGCTACTTCACTTCATATAGAATGGACAGCGTCTGCCTCCTCGATGGGTGAAGCTACTCCGGGAACAGCACACCCTGGTGACAGGCTGCAGTATAGGTCATAAATCCCGCCTCTGCCAGCAAAGCTTATGGAGCTGTGGTCTGGTGTTTCTCCTCCTCCTCTTGACAAACAGCCCCACTCACACTCTCTCTATGGCTCAGGTCAGGCAAGTAGACTGGCCGCACAAGCACTTTAAATATCAATACTATTTGCTGGCTGTTCCGGCACTGTAGACAGGTGCTCATTCCTACTGGGAGAGCAAATCAAAATCTTTGTGAAGCCTGTCAGCAGATGGAAGTGCTCTAAATCTCTTGGTAGATGTCTGTGTTGCTTTTGGACTTGATAAAAACACAGCAGATTAACACCAGCAAAGAACGGCATGTCACCAAATGTCAATACAGACTGCAGAAACTCTGAACTGGACTTCAGAGTCAGTGTTTCTGCACTCTTCTTTCAAACTGTGAACTTTTTGATTGATCTTTTATCGCCATGTCATTTGCCTCATTGTTTGGTGGTGTTTGGTCAGTCATTTTCATAACAATAATAATAATAATAATAATAACTTTATTTTTATAGCATTTTTAAAAACAGAAGTTTACAAAGTGCTCTGATATAAAGCCTTAAAGCACACGGAAAAAGACAGATAAAAACAAAAGCTCAGTTCAAACGGAATTGAAGGTCATGTTCATATCATAAGGAACCCAGACAATACAAGAACCCTGCAACATAACATGAGACCATGAGGACCAAAATAAAAACATAAAATAGTTATTATAAAGAAAATGCAGTTAAAGGGGAAAGCAGGATAGTAAAAATAAAAGACTATATCAATGATGAATAACAAGTCGTACTGATAATAGTAATGATGAAGTAGAGCAACAGAAATGAGCAAGAGAAAAAAAAAAAGCAATAAAAAAAGCTGAAAAGACAGCAAAGCCAAAATAAGATAGAGCTTAAAGAGATAAGAGATGACAGGTAAAAGATAAAAGATGATAAATAATAATCTTTATTAAACAATAATAAATTATTATGTAATATTTGCTGAAAACCCTTATTAAATTCGATTCTCATGGGAACTAAGGTTACCTGATTGCCTTATGTCTTTCCAAATAACAGAAAAATTTCTGTTCAATGATTTAAGGGCTCTTAGTAGGTCGTGTTATTTAAGTTTGATACTGACAGCAGTATACACGGTGTTCAAAATCTGCCCAAAAATACTGCTACTTGTTTGTTTCCTCTGCAAGTTTGGGTTAGAATAAAGTTGGAGTGAATATTCAAGCTGCTGTATATAACTCAGATTTAGGTAGGTCATTGCTCTAACATAATCACTCGTTTAAAAAATCAGATCTCTTATTCTTCCTCTTGATAAATAAAATGCTAACTTGTGATGCTTTTCTGACCTTCCACTCAATAGGAAGCCAACTTGCAACGGGTGAAGAAAGGCGATGCCAAGGCGAGCATCCATCGAATGGAGATTGACAGGATCCGGTTTGTGCTCAGCAGCTACCTGCGCTCTCGTCTGCAGAAGGTCAGTTAATTTAACACAACAGCATGAAAAAAAAAAACCAAAGCTCTCATCTCAGCGGCTGTTGAGCAAACATGCTTCAATCTTGTGTGTCTGTTTATCTAGATTGAAAAGTTTTTCCCACACGTCCTGGAGAAAGAAAAATCCAGAAGGGAGGGAGATACATCACTGCTTTCCCCTGAGGAGTTTGCCTTTGCCAAAGAGTGAGTATAAAGAGGTAAGATTGTAGATGTGGATTTTTTTTAATGACCTTTGGGATGCAAACAAATGTTCCTCTGCCGTACAGATACTACACCAACACAGAATCCTACCTGAAGGCTGTAGCATTGAAGCGTATGCCTCCCAACCTGCAGACAGTGGACATGCTCAAAGCAGGTAAAATCTCCTCTAACTGTCCATACTTTAACTTCAGAAACTCTTTAGATCTTACCAACCTTTAATGACACATGCTAGAAATATTGTTATCAACATGCACTGGCATTTCGTGACCATCACACTAAGATTTATATATCCTAATGTAACCGCAGTGCCTGAGCCCTGCCTGGACTCCTTTGTGTTTCTACGAGTGAAGGAAAGACAGGAGAACATCCTAGTGGAGCCTGAAACGGATGATCAGAGGTACAGCACTCAAAAACTTGTCACTGTGATATTTTCCTGCATGGATACTGAATTAAGCAATCATATTATCTGTCTTCTGTCTCTTCTTTCAGAGAGTATGTTGTGGATCTGGATGAAGACTCTCAGCATCTGATGCGGTATCGAACTATTGCGCCATTTGTCTCAAGTGGAGCAGTGCAGTTAATTTAAATGTGGAGGTAAGTTCATTAAAGGGATATTCCAGCGTAAAGTTAATTTAGGGTCAAACACACCATAACACCCCGTGTTAGACACCCCGTCGAGAGATGAATTTTGCCGACCGCTTGCTTCTCTAGTTATACGAATTTTCATTAAGACCGCAGATAGCAATACAGAGAGCGACACGCTGAACCAAAACGCCACTCGATAGCCACAAATAATGCTCAGAACAGCACCTAACTTCATCAACAGTACATATAGGGTCCTAGCCATAGCACTAGCAACCAAAAAAATCTTTTTAGCTTTGCCTAATTTCTTTGGCATAGAGACTAAACACAACTCACCTACTCTCTTCCAGCAGCCGCTTGTTTGTACGGAGACCTCCAGGCGAATCCATCAACTGCAGCGGGGTGACGCAGCTCAAGGAAGAACATTAATGTTCATTTCTTTATCATTTCCTTGAAGTAATAATCACCATATTAATTATTTTGTACTGTAGACACGGTAGTTCTACTGGCTCTGCGTCTCGGTCTGATTACATTTCCATGAAGATATGATCATAAATGTTCTTCCTTGAGCTGCAGCACCCCGCTGCAGTCGATGGACTTGCCCAGAGGTCTCCGTACAAACAAGCGGCTGCTGGAAGAGAGAGGATGAGTAGTGTTTGCTAAAGAAATTAGGCAAAGCTAAAAAAGATGTTTGGTGGCTTGTACTATGGCTGGGACCCTATATATACTGTTGATGAAGTTAGGTGCTGTTCTGAGAATTATTTGTGGTTATAGAGTGGCGTTTCGGTTGAGCGCTTTGCTCTCTGTATTGCTATCTGCGGTTGTTACTAAACTTGGTAAAACTAGAATAGAAAGCAGTTTGCAAAATTCATGTTTCGACGGGGTGTCTAACCCGGTGTTATGGTGTGTTTGGCCCTAAATTAATTTTATGCAGGAATATCCCTTTAAATTAGATTGGGTAGTCTTTCTCATTGCCCCCATACTGCCCTTACAAACCCTCTTTTTACAAACATCTGTTCACTCATTTCTGCATCAGCTGCTTTCTCGTGACATCTGGATTTTTTAGCCCCCCTTTGTTTGCAATGTTCATTTTGTCGTGGCTGCACATTATGGTGGACCAGAATAGACTGTTTGGCTGAAGCCCTGTTACTCATAAGTGTTTTTTTATGCTACAGGTATGCCCGTTGGTGTGGATGTCCATTTGAGCTCCAAGAGTAAAAGAGCAGTGACCTGATTTTTGGGACATTTCTATAATTAGATGTATCATCAGCAAAAACTGCATCAGAAAGTGCTCTCATCTTTCGCTCTAACGTCAGGATTAAAGACTTGTCCATGAGGGGCAAACGTGGACATTTGTTGGACCAAGTCTTAAAGCTGTTTCTGAATCAACCCTGCCCACCACCAGACCAGCCGCTGTGTTATTTTTGTACGCTTTTAATCATCACAACAAGTTTGGTTGCGTAATAATAATGTTTGCTGGAGTGTCGGTGCTGATTTGGCTGGTCAATGCAGGTCTTGCTAATCCGGTGATTTACACTTATTCTGTTACTGTATCCGGGTGGCCCACATTGTTGGACTTTTTCCTCTGCTGCTCAATAACAAGATGCATCAAATAACCCGGAGGTGAAATTTCATCAGCTCACTCGGCACCATTAGATTGCCAAAGTGAATGTAATTGTGCACGTATGTTGTTTCTTTTGCTGTTCGAATGAGACGCAAGTTGATAGAATTTTGCTTTTCTGTCATGAGCTGTATAAATTCTGCAAATATTGGCCATTATTACTGAACTTAAAAGTGCATTTTTTTTCTCCTAATACAACATATTTTGTAAAATCACGTTTCTGTTGAGTGTTTGTGTGTTACACAACCCTATCTCCAGCCAGATATTATTTTTTATAAAAGTATTCTTATATAAGATGCTAAAAATGGGAAATCAGTGCTAATTACTTTGCCCTCACACAAATTGCTCAGTTATTGGAACTAACAAGGGACGGAGGGGGGGACGGATTGTAAATTTGAGCCTCATATCAACTGACTTGAGCCTCTACAAAGGCTTTGCTAATCTACATATAGGCCGAGAGTCATCTGAGGAGGAAGTATCTCTAAATTAAGGCGAGATTATCTAACTTGGATATGATCATGCATGGCTGGACACATGAAATCACACGGAGGCTTTTAGAGTAAGGTTTGGCGTTAAAGAAGAAATCTCAAAATTCTATTTAACTTCATAATAAATTAAATGGGACATCGTACTGTTTTAAATTTATCTGCTTTCTGGACTTTATCCAATATAGTTTACAGATGAGTATGCTCCATTTTACACCAGATCTGAGAGTCATCAGTCATCAAAATGTCCTGAAGTATCACTCCCAAATACATCTCGGTACGTGTTTTGTGTTATCTTGCACACTGACATGTACATGGATTGATATCTTGAATGTCTTCCTCAGATAGCTGACTGACATGTTAGGAGTTGTTTGTAATCAGACCCTCCCCGGTGTATCTCACATGCCAGTGGACTGTATGGCAACAGTCCCTTCAGGTCAGGATGCAGCCAGGTCTGAGAATAGAGCCTCGGATGTCTGGAATAGTTTCCACAATGCAGAGCCGAGTTATGTCAAGCAGGAAATCACGTACAGCACAGAAACACATTTTGATATAAATCTTTATATGTAACATACTTTTTGTAATATGTTTCTGTCTTGACATGGAATGAATATTCAGTGTTTTGATACTTACAAGGAAAACATTACAGAGGAGCACAGAAACCGAAAGACTGAGCTGATTGGTCGAGAGAGAGGAGAAGGAGGGGTTTACAACATGACATCCTAACTGAGGTAGTATAAATAGGATCTTGGGCCACATTCTGCTGTAGGCAAGGGGTTGACTGAGACTACAGACGACAACTTGCTGCTCATGGAAGTGTGTAAGTCAGATTTCAGACTCTTAATGGGTGTTTTTAAAGTTACATCATATTTGCAAAATTGTGTATGAGATCTGTATAATACATCAAATTTCTCCTATTTTCTAGAATTCCAACCAAACAGAGGACAGTTTCCATCAGTCTACCATCATGCCTATGACCAGTGTGAGGTAAGCACATAAACGCTCTTTCTGCTATTGCCTACACTGTGTCTGTCACATCCCGAGAGTTTCACAGCTCTCTTTCTTCCTCCAGCGTCCTGCCTGCGGTTGACCTCAGGTCAGCAGCTCAGTCAGCTGGACTCGCTGAGCTTGCTGTCACACTGTGCTTAAACCAACGTAAACAACTGTGTCCTCATGTCTGGGTTCCCATCCTTAAACCACAGCGTCCCTGCATCCGCCCCCACGTTTCAGATCAGCTATCCTCTGATTTCTTTAACCAGGCCTTTCTGAACCACCTCCTCCCACCTTTCTTGAAAGATTTGGATGATGATGATGATGATGATGTTGTGCTCCCGATCAAGAACAAGCATGTAGTTTTCGCGGACTCGCAGGGGTTGTCTCTGACGGCCGTGCGAGAATTTTCTGATGAAGAGGAGCAGTGTGACCTCGACCTCTTGCCATCGCTGCAGGATTTGGGAAGCATGACGGAGGATGGTTACAGCTGCACCGTCAGCACCTGCTGCCCGGGTACACGCCTCAAACTGGGCTTCCCGCTGCCCTCGGCAGATTTTCAGGCCTTCCGAGCCAAGCTGGCAGAGAGCATGGTAATCCTGGAGAACTGCAGCGTCACAGATCAAACCATACGAGGAACCGTCCGAGTCAGAAACATCAACTACCAGAAGGATGTCAGTGTTCGCATCACCTTCGACTCCTGGCAGAGTTGTAGAGATGTACCCTGCACATTCCTGCCGAAACGCTTCGGCGGACCCCAGATAGACATCTTTGAATTCAACATTACCGTTCCCAAAGTGCTCGATGCCAAAAGGAGGATAGAGTTCTGTCTGAGGTATCTTCCAGGAGGGCAGAGTGAGCCTTTCTGGGACAACAATAATGGTGAGAATTACAGCATCTCTGTGAGTGTAAGCTCACATCTCTGCCGTGGCAACAGTCCTTATAAAAGGGCATAAATCAAACCTTCAGCGATTGCTCAAGCTTGAGCTAAATTCTTCAGCGTGCTGTTTTCTTTTACTCTAAATTGACCTTTCTTGTTTGTTGAGACATCGATTTATCTGTTTTGTATAAAAAGGTTTCTAAAACTTGTCATTGTCTCCAGCTTTCTTTCACATTCAGACTGGTGACCTTTGTACTCACTCTCTCTTGTCTGTCACGTTGCCAGACACTTTGGCTCTTCGCTGCCCGCGTTGCTTGTTGAGCGCTGTGGAGGGGTTTCTTTCACTGCGGGCATTGCTGGGATTCCCATATAGGTCAGAGATTATTAGGCAGGGACAAACACAAGCCCCATAGCGAGGACTGAGCTAATCTTAGCTCAGCTCTGTTTAGAGAGCAGAGGTTTGCTGTCAGAGATCATCACTCTCTTTTTTTTTTATGAGCTTTCAGAAGTATTACAGAGTTTGACAGGAGGGCACTATTAATATCAGACATTTGGAGATTATATGTTCCTTTTTAAAAGGCAGAACATCTGGCAGTGACTTTGTAAAGATTGCATTTTGGGAAGTACGAACTGCGACTTACTTGGCAGCTGTGACATTTAAAACACGGACTCGTCAAAGCGGCAAGCCTCGAACATTTGCACCTCTGGGTTTTGTCAGACATAGAAAAAACAAAATGACATCAAAGTTTTGGTCCATCTTAAAAACTGAAATCAAACACATTATCAGGAAAAAATAAAACTTCCAAGAGAGAGTTACAAAAAGTCCACAAAAACAACAAAGACTTCAGATATTTCTCAACAAATAATTTCAGCTAAAACCTATCATGTACTTCAGGTTCTTTTTTTTTAAAGCAGTGGATTAATGTAAACTGTATTTCCAGCTGTGATCATGATGAACATCTTCTTTTAGAAATACTCACTATTCTAGTAGTGGCGGGGGGGAGAGAGGGACAGCAGCATGCACACACCCCGAGAGGTGGGCTGTTTCCTCTGTGTTCTGACCTACACGTAATGGACTCTACTGTTATGTCATCTGGAACAGCGTCTCTTAGTTTGGTAGGCTCAAACACACGCAGATCTCATTTCCCCCTCAGCGGCCAACGCTAATGTTGCACACTTTGCAGCTCGGGTCCTTCTTGGCGTTGGCGGTGGTTAAACTCTTGAGCTGGTGGTGCCCACTGATCTGCTCCACGGTGCCCTGATCCAAGTGAACCGGCTCTGTGAAAAGCACCTCGAGGATGACATCACTTGCATGGCAGTATAAAGGCTCTTCCCCCGGCCTCTGGGGTTCAATGTACGTGAGGAAAGGGTTGGATCCCAGTTCCAGCAGAGGCAAGCGGGTGCGACAGAAGGTGTCTCCTGCTGAGCCAACAGGGGCCAGCACAAGTACAACATAGTGATAAGCCGTGTACATGCAGTAGAAATCGGCAAAGTACAGGCTGATGTTGGGGTTTAGCAGATGTCCAGCTGGTATTTGGAAGCGCAGGGGGCCATAAGGGGAGTCTTTGGGAGGGAGGCCTGTGTCAAACTCGGTGTTGCAGCTGAAGAAGACCCCCTGCAGTTTGCCGTTGACGGGGGAGCCGTGACTGCCGCTGCTGTCTTTGAGGGCCGGGGGCATCAGGCTCCCACATTCCCTTCTGATACAATGAGAAGACAAAAAAAGACGATTACATTTGGGGTTTGGAGGATACAGTAGACAGAAATGTTTTCTTTAATACTGGTAATTATACTTTAGAAAGCAGTGGTAGCAAAGAGATCAGAAACAGCGAGTATGGCTCTTGCTAAAAGGAGCAAAGTCAATGATCAGCACCATTGAGTATGTTTCAAAAGTACAAAAACAACAAGGTGGGTTCGTGTGAAGTGAATGCCCTTTGGGGATCAATAAAGTTGTCTGAATCTGAATCTGAATCTGAAAATCATCAATGTGGTCCTAAAGTATTCTCTCTCATAGATTCGCACAATCTGAAATATTTTTGGGGTTCTGGGTGTTGTTAGTAGTGTAAGTATCACTTCAGCAGGCAGTAAGTGTATGTAGAATGACTCAAGACATGACCCTTTTTTTTAATTTTGAGATTTGACCTCAATTTGTTAGAATAGACCTTTAGTACTTTGTTTAACTAAATAATGGCATTCAGCCCCTTTTGGCCCAAAACAGCCACATCTAAACCAATGCATCATGACCCTTGCAGCAGAAGAATATGCAGTGTTTTCTGAAATGCATTCAGTTTTTTAAAGCGGGGCTTCAAGCACAGCTCTTTATTTCACTTTTTCCCCCAAGTGAATGGCCCATATTGCCCTAAGTCATCCCCGGGGCAAAAGCGAACAGTTCGAATAACCCGCCAGGGACGCTACTCAGGCTGCTGAAGGCCGATGTGCCTTTGTAACAAGCTCAAAAAGTCCCTTGGTGTTGATATGAATGTTAAATACTGAATCTGAGGTGAAAATAGTTTGTTGGTGTGTGCACATGTGCGTGTGTATCATTTTCTGCTTGAGTGATACACATTTGATAGTAGATCTCTGCAGGTCAGAATTTTCTTTTCTTTCACTCCGTCAATGCTGCTTTTTTCACGACTGCACGTCTGCGGCTACTCTCTCACACATGTCCTCATTTTCACTGTATGCAGAGACCTGGAATGAAACTGTGGCGATGAAACTGTGGTGCATGTGATTGCCAAAGACATCTGATCATAGAGGAATTTGATTTTATCAAGTCTTGTGACTGTTTATTTTTATCATGCACTCCTTAAAAAGTATGAAAGAGTGCATGATGCTATTTTATGTGTGAAAAAATAAGTGCATCATGTTTTCAAAGAGGCATACAAAAGGTTAAAGTTCTGAAAATAAATAACCTTTTAATGTAATTGTGTAATTTGTCTACTAACCTAACCGTCTGCATGTTGTTTGCTGTTTCTTTTACCAACTTTCTTTTCCAACTTTCAATAAGAAATGAGTATTTGCTTCATGTGGAACCATTCCTTAACTGGTGCTTGAATCATTTAGATGTACGTCACACTGACAGGGGTGCAGCACTGACCTGACAAAGTCGAAGTATTCTGGATGCTGGTTTCGATAAAACACCGAGAATTTTAGCAGCCTCCCTGCAGAGCCTTTAGCCTTGTCTAGGAGCTGCTGTAGGTGCTCCATGGCATAGTCTGCAAAGATGATGTGAGATAAGAAATCATTTCAAAAGTCTGCGCTCCTTTGAAATGCAAATGAATAACCATTGCTGAGACAGACTTTCTTTTTTTGTCACTTCTGTGCGCTGCAGTTCTTTGTCCTGCTCTTGTGTAACTTGGGTTGGAGCTGTCAGACTATATATTACACTAATAGAGAATGAGACGTACCCCCAGTGCAAAACTCTACCACCTGGCTCCACTCTGACACCTGGTAGTCCCCATCGGGCTGCCGGACAGCAGTTTGGACAGCAACACAGTATTCTGTCCTCGGACTGAGGAACCAGTGTCCCCTTACTGCCATGGGGAGTGGCACAGCTTTGGCCACCAGCTTAGTTGGCACATCCTGCAGGGGAAAGGAGGAGGGAGATGACATCCTGGACTGAGGGCTGCTGTATGTTTTAATCTACATTTCAAAGCGAATGTAAATGCATTTGTCGAGCTATAAACTTCACCTTATTAGCGTGGTACTGCAATTAGAGCTCAAGCTGCTGTAACTAGGATACATCTTATCAAATCAGTGCCTTTGTTTTGACCAAGGCCTCTGAGAAGCTCAGCTAATTAACCACAGGCTCAGAGGCTCATACAGTATATCCATAGCAACATCTCTGATGCAAGTTTGTTTGTGCCTCTTTATTCCTCACAGAAAGAGAGAACATGTCATCCATTCAGGAGCAACTTACTCACTCCTAACCCTGCATGACTTCTCAAAAAGCAGTGAATGTCAGCTGTAATAATAGACCATAATTACAGCCAGTACTTTGCATTTGAAGCAGAGTGAGATGAGAAATGTAAGGCCTCAGCGACGGGAGATAAATTTAGACATCAAATGGCTGAAACGCTGAGAATATTGAGACTTCAGTGCATTCAGCCAATGTAACAAGGAGAAATCCTGTATCATCTCGAGCTCTGTAGCCCAAAGCCACATATGGGCTGCTAAAAACACCATGCTAACATTGAATGGTAAAAATACCCATATGGATATGTAACATATGTATACATGTATTGGGATGAAATGAGGGAAAACATTAATGAACGTGTATGGACAAACCTTATATCAAAACCAATGTTCTCTATATATGTGTCTGTGGTCTTTACAAATATATAAGTTTTATTTATTTTTAATATATATGATCAAAACATATATTATCATACTCCAATTAATTATATAGATTTTTTAATATACCTGCATTTATAATAAAATCATATATTTTTGACATGGGTGAAGAAAACCTATAATGCCATAATCAGATTTAACATATATTATCAGCATATATATAAAAAATGCATATAATACCATATATAAATCAAACATATATTTGACATATGGACAAAAAATGACACCATATATGAATTCAACATAAATGTATTTTTTGTAAACTTGCATCCATTAATTTAATATATTCAAATAGTATGTAAAAATAATGATGATTTCTATGTATATAGTTTAATATATGTCATTTTAGTGATTTTATACTGGTTTTTCCTATATGTTCCAGACTCATTTGCCATATTTGTAACATGTATGTCATATATCTTATTTCTGTACTGGAAATAGAATCCTGCTGCAAAGCAGATATAACTGTCTCCTGTCACACCTTTCTAAGTTTAGTATTTTGGCATTTGTTAGTTTCAATCAACAAAGAAAAGCTTACGTTGATGGAGATGACAGGAGTTTTGTGGGTGTTCTGGGCTTTTTGGAAAAGGTTGTGAATTTTGATTGAAAGTCAGAAAATGACCAAAGAGGAGAACATGCCCACACTTCAACATGAGTCTATCCAACGATTAAGACAGTGACTAAAAAAGCCAGAAATGTCAAACTGGTTGTAGTCAGAGCTTCATTCAGTGGACCACCTCATCCAAACAAGCTTCTTCTTCTACAGGGGATCTGTCTGTTCAAGGCAATCCATCAAATGGGCTTGTTGAGATATTTCTGCCCAGTCTAATGTGGTTGCTGTCCCTTCAGCCATGCCACAGGGCTGAACCAGATTAGGCAAACACCAGTTCATGGCAGGGAAATTAAATATATGTTTCCCCTGCAAGGGATGCAGATAATCTGGAGCTTTCAGAAGCACCAAAGATCAGGTCTTTACATTCCCTCTTCATATAAGTGATGTTTGACATTTGTTAACATGAAAAGTGATTTTGCTGCAGAAGAATTTGTCAGTTTTTGTCCCTATAAAAGGAAACAATGTGCAAGTGAGTCACTGGCCTGAAGCCATTGACTGGACTCATTTTCCTTTTTTGTCTGTATTGAATGTGACTGAGAGGGTGCAACCACTGTTTTATGTGCTCAGACTATCACAGAGCTCCATAAAGTGCCTACTTTAATAAAATGCATGTTCTCCTCCCTGATTTGAGATATGTAGGTGGGAGAAATAGATCCAGGTTATATGATGGAAATCATATCAGTTTCACGTTGTCTGACCCTGTGTTTGAAGCGGTTTGGGTCCCTGCTTTCTTTACGGCTCAGGTCGATAAAGAAGTGCGTGGCTCTGGCTGTGTCCTGGGGCGTCATATCCCACATGATGCGGAAGGAATCGCAGGTGACCTCGCAGATCTGGATGTTGCAGGGAGTGCAGAGGGGGGCGTCCATTTTAGGTCTCCTGCCATTAAACCAAGAGACACAAAAAAGACAGTTAGAGTGGAGAGTAATCTGGGACTGTAATACCAGCGCTGGCAACATCTGGTAACGGGGATTAAAGTGTTTCAAAGAGAGCCAGAGTGAACACTCAGAGAGTTCAGAAACACCCCCGACTGAAAACACCTCAGACAAAATCCAATTAACCTTTCATTTAGGGTGTTTTATTCACCGTCCTGCTCTCCTCCCCCCTTTTATTGCCCTTAACTGACATTTCCCATCATTACACAACTCAATACGCTCCCAGCTGAGTGACTGGCCTCTGCTTTCCCCGCACATTTCATAATCCACCTACAGCAGTCTCCCAGCAACCACACGTCTGCATCCTCCTGCTTGTCCTGTAAGGTTCTCAAGGATGGAGTCAACAACAAAAACTCAGCTGCACCCTCAGCACTCATTTAAACTACAGGTAACTTTTTCAGCACTCCAGCCTCATCATTTGAGTGCAAACCTTTCAGAAACAGCTGAGCAAGTCAGCTCCACGCAGCTCAGGGGAAATCTTCCAGCAGCTTTTATGTTGTTTGGGCAGAAATTGGGGGTTTAAGTAGGTTTCAGCTGCAGGTGATGCATGATCATATTTCCTCAGTTGCCCATCAGTGGTTCGATCCAGGCGGCTGCACACAGCCTTGAGTGCAGGGCTGGGGGTAATCTGATGTTCAGGGTGTGTTCCTGTTTGATTAGCTGTCACCTCTCCTCCTATAAACTGATGGTAAGTCCCTGCAGCGTGAGCACTTTGGTCATCTCCTGTTTGCTCTGAGATTTAATGCACATCAAGTTTGCTCCTAATTTCTACCAATCGAAGCCGTCTCCTCAAGTGCTCACTTATCCAGATAAAAGCAGCTCTGGTTATGTTGCACGCTGCATATTTTCTCTTTATTTAAACTGCCCTCCAACTGAGCATACGCTAAATCACAGATGCGCCTAAAAATAACCCAGCAAACAATCATGGCATGCTCCTTTTCTTCTTCTTCGTGTGATCCTATACAGATGCCTGCCTGCCGTGGTGTCAGAGTCTCAGACTGAGGTCTGGTAAGGTATCCTCTCTCCAGTATGATGGACAGGCTGCAGCAGCTCATTAAAGGCTGTGAACTGTGAAATTTGTGCTCTAGCTCGTTCACACAGGGGCCAGTGGGGAGAGATTGTCTGTTGCATCACGCACGTGTGTTTCCACGCGTCTGCTTTATCCAGATGCTGCTCTCATTTCTCGCCACGGCGTCTTTTTCAGAGCCGGAAACTGGGGCAAAAGGGAAGGATCCTCACAGGACAAGTCATCAAAGCCCCATGTTTCTACGTGTGTCCCACTTTTTGATCGAACACATGTGGGCACAGTTCAGCAGCAGGTTTCTACACCATTCACACGACCCCATCTCCCGCATGTTTAAATCATCAGAGGGAGATATCGGCCAATTATATCTGCGGGAAAATTGGCTTTGTTCTATAAGCATGCAAGTGGGTCTAACTTAAAATTACAACAGAGACTCATACAATAAATCATCATTGATCTTGCAGTGTGTGAACGCTCAGTTACAATTCTCACACCACAGAGATGTTGTTTTCTCTGCGAGACAGCATCATGAAAGAAGCTACTGCCTTCATGCATATGGAGCAGGGCACAGAGAGCAACTCTGCGCTTCAAAGTCATGTTTTCTCTTCCAAGGAGAACTCTTTAAAAGACATTCAAATGCCTGCAAAAGAAGAAGAAGGAGAAGACGGCACAGTTTCCCCACTGTGGTTTTAAAACTAAAGAGGGTGAAATGGCCATTTTACTGCATGCAACACTTGCAAATATTGTGCAAAGTTTGACAAACAAGCTGAGACATTGTGTGACTAACACAGTTTGACACGCTGCACAATTAAACCAAGCGTGAAATATTAAGGAAAAGAAGCACCAATCGCATCCTATCAACCAGTCACTGCTGCTCTCAGAGATGTCCTTACAGTGACACATGAAATAGCTCCAGTAAGACCTATCAATGCGCTTAATGGGCGGTAAACGTCAACACACATGACCAGAACATGCAAGAAAAGAGTCATGCATTAGTACGACTTTTTGATTCATGCAATTGAGAAATGCATGAATAAAACATGTAATTTCAACGTCACATCACTTGATCTCTGCAACTTCGGTGCAAAAATGACAGATTTAACAGCACATGCATGTATAAGTTAGCGGATTTGAAGTAATTCCTTACTTGTGTGATATTCAGATTCTTGATTGGAGAAGATTTGAACAAATTTGAATGCTAATATCTCCCTTTTTCTCTTTTCTCTTTGCCTCCTGTGCTGCCGGATGATAGATCCCCCAGGAAAACTGATTAGGAGGTGAAACGAACACACAGCATCCTCTCTCTCTCTTCTTCCCTCCGTCTGTTTCGCTCTGACTCTCCGTGTCACACAAACACTCTAACCCTCCTCCCTCCCCTCCACCTCCCTCACTCTCTACTCCCTCTCTTTTCACTCCCTCTCGCTTTCTCTCTCCCATTCTCATTTTTGCTCTGGGCTTTGAGAATGATGTTTACTTGACTCATGTGCACAGTCACACTGGATGAATTAAAACCTTTTTAACAAAAAAAAAAAACGAAACACTGAATTGTCCGAGTGAAGTGTGACCACAGTGAGACGGTCAGTCAGCCTTGTCAGCATCATGCTCGCACCGGTCAATCATGCATACACAACCCTCGCATGTGAGTCTCCCCTCAGGGAACAAAAATCCACACTCTCCTGATATAGACTGAACACTTTCCTGCTCGTCACCTCTCTCTGATATAGAAACAGTTTGCACACAAGGGTGAATAAATGAAGCAGTTTTTACACGCTCCAGTGGCTGCAGAGGATTCAAAAGAGATTACACTGATTGATGCCCCAGCGCTTTCCATAGAGCACCATCAAGACCTCAAAAATATACATGTGCCAACTGTTATGCCATATGGACCGGACTCCATGGGCCATCTCCCCCTCAGCCAATCCTGAGGCGAGGGAGGTCACTGTGTAAGTCCAGAGTAAGCAGATTTCTACTGGCATTCATTTTTTTCAAAGGGATGTTTTTGTACTCACTCAACCTCAGGGGGGGCAACTTCATTTAGGATTTCATTAGAGATTAAAAAAGAGAGACCCTATCCAGATTATCGCCTGTAATCTGATGATAAAACAATAGGCGGGGGCGCAGAGTAAAGTCAGATAACAGAGAGATAGAGTCAGAGTGAAAGCAAAGTCCTGTTGCAAACAAGTAATATTTGAAAAATGACAGAGATGTATTGCCATAATTCCACGGACTGTGAACTGTATTGAAAAGCTTCATTTCTTTCTAGCCAGCCACAGATAAGTGATACCCTCAGAGTGTAATTAAATTGCAATCATCCATCATTAGTCATGCCATGACGCTCTGCCTCCGTCCAAATAACCCTCACAGCTCCAGAGGTGGGAATAGTCTGAGTGTTACAAGAGTGCTGGCTCTGCCTGTTTAACAGCGGATGTTGTCCTATTTACATAAACCAGCCCTGATGTGTTACAAACAGTGATATCTACGCATATTTCAGCTTAACGCTGGCGTAGTTTAACACCATGCAAAATTAGGTGAAGACCATAAGTGGCAAACCCAGTGCTGTATCCACTATCAGCAGGACCAGACACCATCAGGGTGGAGAAGATGTCTGGCCCAGAGCAACAAAGAAGTCAGAAACAGCCTGCAGCAGAGATTTATGTCTCCCTCTTGTTCCTGAGGCAGCAGACTCAGGGTGAGACCAGAAAAAAAGTGGGCTCATTTATGAATAGATGTTCTACGCATCATATATTTTTATAAATGAATGTTCCATGAATGTCAAAGAAACATTTTACAAGCTGTTCAGTCGTTGACTTCATATAACATGAGAATTATGCAAATTAACAAAGAATGAACTATAACTTTGATGAGCAATTTGTAAAAGAACCGTAGCCAAAAGAAAAAAAAACAGCTTTAAATTACACCAGATCTGTGATATGAATTTATGATTATCTTTAATTCCAGTAGCCCATATAAATACAGCGCTCGCTTCTATATTATTCGTGAAGCCATTACTGGTTTCATTGGACTTTTTCAGCCAAACGAGGCGGTATCTGTTTGCATCAGCAGCTCATGTGAATAAAATGCATTTGTGCAAAACTAGAAACAGGAATAGATTTCTCTGTGCTTTATAATTATTTCTTTATCCATGCAAATTTCTTGTGTTTCATTAAAAAAAATTATGCAAATATATGCAATGCTATAACTACAATATTCCCAAGAGCTGATCCTTAGTTTAGAGAAAATATTCAACCAGTAAGACACACTTTTATGATGAAAATAAGTTGCACTACATAAGAGGCATGTTCAAAGGGTTGGCGCTGGCCTCATTTTCATTTTAAAGGAATAAACTTTAGAGGATTTATTTATTTTTGAATGTTTCTTACATGGTTGTTACTGAAAACAGATTATTAAGACAGAGAGTGTAAGTGCTGTGAATTTTCACGTGTATATGTCCATACATACCCCGGCCACCCTGGCCTTGTTGGTGCCCCAGGCAACCCCCGTCGAAAAATCGTGGATGTGTCCCTGCTTAATGGTAATTTTATTCACAATCACAAAAATAAACGCCAATATTGTGAAATGTGGGGCATAATTCACTTGATATTTTTAATAATATTGAATTAAAAGTATTAAACATCAAAAAACACTCATAACATTTAGAAATTTAACAGTAAAAGCAAAGAGAACAAACTGTTCCAAACGCTTTTTTCAGACTTTATGCGCCGATTTACTATTTCACAAACTCAAAACTCATGTCAAATCCATTAAACAGGAGAAATGGCCCTATATAACTAAATTTTACAATGTAAATAAGTAATTTGATGAATATGCGGGTCATTCTGCGCAGGCTCGATGCTCGTGAACACAGGGAGCTGATGACACTGCGGAAGTGTCATGGCGCCTCTCGTCATGCAGTAGCAGACTCGGCATACTCACTGAACAACTTAGAAAAACTCTTCAGGATTGAGTTTTGGATCATTATGTGTTAAAGACAGCCCAGGAATCATAAGGTCGGTGTCCGGAGGAGCAGGGTATGTCCATAAATAAACCTGTCAGTGTTAAAGTTCATCATGTCAGAGTGATATCCATGTAGACATGTTTTGATTTGGACACGTGTTCCTGAATTTTTCTGATTTTTAGGAAAAATTTATTAAATATCACATGTTAAAGTCCTGAAATTGATAAATTAAACAAATTAATCTCATTGGATGTTAACTAAAATTAGTTGACATTTGTTTTTGTCATTAGTAGCTTTGTTGTGATGCAACAGCAGAGGCTCGTTTAGAAATTAGAAAGGAAATAATTGATGTTTCTTTTCTTGCATAATAAGAAATAATAGACAATCTTAAAATGGCTCATCTTACCCCACTCTCCCCTACATGCTGTAAAGAGTGTCAACTCAGGAAATACATGAAAAATTAGAAAGAAACTTGATTGTTTGGTGAAAAGCTGTTTATTTTTCAATGCTGGAGAAGTGATGATATCTATAATCTCATTTAGCCAGCTGTTTGCAAACAATGATGGCTGTCTCTGTAACTACATTATAGATAATGATGTGATTGAAGTGACTAAAGACATCAAAGTTGCAGTGATTAAAACTTTCATCGACAATCAGACCATAAGGGATGTATAATGAAGCTAAACTACTTAAAAGATTTGGATCATGTACAGCATTTTTTTTCAAAGTTTGCAATGATGCTTTTGTTGTTATGAAAAATCACTTCAGATAAAAGTAAAGATACGTAATTATTTCAAGTCTTGTTCAGGGTCTTTCTTTCTTTCTTTAGAGAAAATCCAGTTCAGGATGGCAGATTCAGGCTCAAATGACCCCAGTGGTCAACGTGCGCAAACTCCAGGAGGGAGCAGTACGGGGATGCTGACAGGCCGCCGACCAGGTGGAGCTGTGACACCCGGACGTTTTCCCGGGATGAGATCCAGAGACCTCACCCTGGGGGGAGTTAAGAAGGTAAAATATGTCAATGTCAGAGTAAGGTGGGAAAGGTTATTTTATATTATAGATATCATAGATTGTGTGGGATAGATTTCCAGATTGTTGCCTGATTTTATGACTGTTTGCTTACTGATGAAATTTTTTGTTTTGTTTTATTTCTTTAGAAAACTTTCACACCCAACATTATTGGCCGAAAAGTCAAAGACGAGTAAGTTTGTTGTTGGTGGTAATGAGATTAAAATATGGCAAATAAACTGTTTTTCTTTCTGGTTGTTAACTATTAAATGTATCTGTCATTCTAGTGCAAAAGCTGAAGGTGAGCAGAGAAGAGACAAGAGGAACGAGGGCCGAGGTCGGGGCCCCAGAGACAGAGGTAGAGGCCGGGGCCGAGGCCAAGAGATCATCCAGTCTCACTCTATTTTTGAACAGGGGCCTGCGGAGATGATGCTGAAAAAGAGAGGTAAGAGTTCAGCTCATCAGCTTTTCACTTTGTACTCCTGTACTCTCCTTTGTGGGAACTTTATCTTTAATGTACAACAATATCGTTAGAGTAAGTCATGCATCACTTACAGGTGGGTATGAGAATGAGAGAGAGGCTCCGATTGTGGGACCGTCACCCATCATCAATATTAAGAAGGAGAAGAGAGAGACTGAGGAGGAAACCAAAGAGATCCTGCGCAGTTTAGAGCGAGATAATGTAAGTCCCACTCGTTTGCCACTTTCGGTTAAACTAGAAAGGGTTCAGACAAATTAAAAATATTGCTATTCTCAGTTATGTGACACAATATGATATGATGTAGTGCTTTATTCAGATTTCTCCTCCGATTTGGCTCATTGCATCACTTCTTCGTGACTCCACGTGGTGGTGCTAATAACATTTATTTGCTCCTGACCTCTAGGGGGCATTGTATTCTCCAGTTAATCAGATATTTATGTGTATCAATATACAGTTCATCATTTGTTGCAGAGTCACCATATTATGATATGATTGTAGGTAATTTACCATATTTGGTACTGTGAGTCTATGTGTGATTCCCATCTCTGAAACTAGGTGTGTGAGCAATACTTCAAAGTTTACAATATCCTCCATATTAGAGTAACAATCACATATAATGAGAAATAGAGAGCCCACCTCATTGCTATGGATCTTGCAGATAACAGTGGCTAAATTAAAATGTTTTTAGGCCAGACTTACAGTAGATCTTCACCAAAACCACCAGAAAGTGATGGTTTTGGATTTAACTGACCATATAATCGGCTTTCTTCAGTTCATAGATGATCCTTTCCTGAGGAGTGAGCAGAGCAGCTGCCCTGTCCAGCTCCCCCTTGCTGTGTCAGGATGGGGATTCAAGGAAGAATTTAGCACACCTGCTGTTAAAATAGAGAAAATCGATGAGGATGATGAGCCCATGGAGCCTGTGGTGGAAGGTAACATTGAGATAACGTCCTGAGAATAGTTTGCAGCTTCAAATATTTCTGACAGTTTCTGAAGTCAACGCCTTGCTCTTCTCAGTGAAACAGGAGCCGGTGGAGGTTGATGTAAAGAAGTCAGAGGCAGCATACAGGCCTCCTCCTCTCCCAGAGCCCGAGGTTTTACCTGACCTGCTGCACAGGTGGAGTCTGAGCAAAGGGGAAGAGCTTTTCTTCATGCAGCTGCCAGACTCGCTGCCTGGTCAGCCCCCCACCAAAGAGCACAGACCTGTGAAAACAGAGGTGCAGACGGAGGACGGACAGTCAGTGCTGCTGAAAACTGAAACTCAGGTTCGAAATGTGTCAAACTGAACTTGCAACACAATGGTAATGACATCATGTGTATAAATGTTTTTTGTTGTTTTAATTTAAACAGGAGGAGGAGGAAGACAACAGCTGCAATCTGAAGGACTTACAAGAGGGTCTTGTGGGAAAGATGCTGGTGCGGAAGTCTGGACGGGTCCAGCTCATACTGGGACAGGTGACACTGGACGTGTCTCTAGGAACATCGTGCTCTTTCCTCCAGGTGGGATAGCTATGTATATCTGGCACCATGTTATGTTTGCCTATTTTATCTCGTATTCTCTTCTTCTTTTTGAGTTTCCAAATTGAATCTGAATTATTTACATTTATGGCACACTTTTCTCTTCTTCTCTTCTTCAGGAGCTGGTCTCTGTCAACACAGAGGGAAGAACAGGTGACATGACTGTTTTAGGGAACATCAAACACAGAATGGTTTGCTCCCCAGACTTCGAGGCTCTCCTGGAGAGCAGTGCGTAATGCTCATGAAGCTTGATAAGTGGATGCACTTGTGGTAGGTTATGCTAACTAAGTTGTGAACTGTTCCTATGGACTCATGGCAACCAAACATCAAATAAGAGGCCACTGTTTTTGGTTTACTTTCTTTTGTTTGTTTACAAAGTGGCAGTAATATCATCAAAATACACTATATTTAAATAGGAATTTATTTTTTTTGTGAAGGATTATTAATGGAGAGTGTAAAGGTCGAATGCTGTGCCAAATATCTGTTATTTTTTATTTCTCTGTATCTGAAAATACAGTATTTGGGGGAAAAAACATTGATGTATGTACTGTATGTGTGTGAATAAACATGAGTTTTGTTATTCAAGTATCTTGGGTATTAACTTTTAACTTTTGATTCATTAAATGGGAAAGGATTATTTCAAGTGGCCTTTTTCCTAATCGTTTTACATGGGTTTAAAGATATGAGAAATTTAAAAGCCCTTCAGAGGACAATAGAGCTAAAGGTCCTTTTTTTCTGCTAAGTATTTTCCTTTAATAAGGATACACCCGTAACCCATTGTATGTATCCTCTCTTTATCTGTATTGTGCTACATGGTTGTCCACTTTTTCGTTCTGATGTTTTTCATTTGATTTATGTATTCATGTTAGTTGAATTCCCTTTCATTAATGTGATATTTTAACAGCCACTGATCTAAACAGTGCTCTACAGTGCCCCGTGTGGTTTAACCATTTTACTACTTTAAATCAAAATGTTAGTGTAGTACCTTCTTCTGGACACCAGGTGTCGGTGTGAAACAGAGTGTTGATGTAGTAGAGGTCCGGCTGATGGGGGCTGGTCGTCTCAAATACGTCTCCAGCTTCGGGCCGCCCGTTGTCTGCCCATGTTGTCCACCGGGTGGAGTTTGGCTACAGTCCGCAAGACAAAGACACACAAGTGATTGAGCAGAGAGAGGCTACTGTACCGGCTCTGGAAAATAACGTGACTGGAGGTTGGTGAGGTCTTTTACTTTGAATATTTATCTCAGCTTTGCTGATAACCTGTCAAGAATTAATGTTTTTAACACGGGTTTAAAACATTAAGAAAAAGGTTGTCTCAGCATTTCACACTCACCCGGTACGGTACTCTGGAGGGGACTGAGCGCGAGCTAGCAGGAGGACGAGGTGGAGCACGCGAGGAGACGTTATTTTAGCGCAGCCGTTAGCTCGGAGGCCAAAAACCCCAACTTTAGACTTTTAAAACATCCGTGTGGGCACAACAGTCCTGACTCTCACCACCAGAGTACCAGCTTTCACCGTCCTTGTGTTTATTTTGCCGTGAGTATCTCAGGAAGTGTTGGCTGTTAAAAAGATGAGGCTAGCTAACTGAGTGTGATGGTTGTATGCGGGGATGTTGCTGCTCGTTAGCCGTCCTGCTGCATCACCAGATCGGATGAGGACGGAGGGCCTCTCGCGTTATCACTGAACTGTTGCTGATAATAGCAGGCATTTTCCTTCATAATCATCTCGTCGTGTGCCGGTGTTGCGACGTAGAATGCACCCCTGTCTTAGAATGTCCCCCCTGACGGAAGCGCGGTACTTGGGAGTACATAACAAGGCGAAATAATCCAAGTTTTCCTCACCGTTGGATGGATTCAACGGTGAGGAATGACCGAAAACAACAGCCGTCGCCGAAAATATCATGTTCTCTACCTTGACAGCTAACTGTACAGTTTATATATATACCTCTACATGTGGATTTTTGAGACACATAAGAACAGACGAAAAGTTTGCTTCTCCATTTGACATGTTGGCATGATCCAACATCGTGTTTTTTTAAACATGACAAGAATATTTTCCACTTCAAGAAGCTAATAACGAGTGGATGGGATGCAGGGGTGCTTTCTACGCAGGGTTGCATTCTACGGCACAACACCTGTAAAGGGACAGAGAACCGTCCATCTTTCTCTTGATAAAATTACTAGCATCTGAGTCTCGGCAGATATCTTGGAGCCACTAGACACGTTTTCTGTCTTATATTGGTAAACTATATGATATGTACACAGGTCATAGAGGACATGCAGTCTGGACTGACCATTTGTTTTTACATCTTTGCAGGACGGTGTCACACAGAGCTGCAGACCCCTGGATCTTCCTCCCTAGACAAGGGAAGCCCCTGCTGTGCTGTCCTCACTTTGTTTTTGTGACATTGTTGACATATCTGTCATCAGCGGGAGGCTCTGCTCAAACAGCTTAGGACATCTGCAGCAAGAACCTGACATTATATCATCACAGCTGCTCCCAAGACACATCATCACTTTTCCTGGAACAGGATACAGCTGGATATCAGAGAGCTATTGGTGGTGAAAGCTATGAAATTCATTGACATTGCCCATTTGGGCGCCTTGAAGATGGTCATCTGTATGTATAGTGACTCACTGAGTAAGAGGAGAAGCTCTATCTCATAGTGATCTTAATGAAGGCCTTTTTCTGACAAAAGACAAGGGCCGTTTGAGGCCAAGTGGTGGAGGGCTGTACATCCTCTGCCATCTGATTTCAACTGTTTAATAGATTTTAGTGCCCTGAATTAAGATGGAGCTGTTCTTTAACCCCTTTGACAACCTAATATGCATCCTGCTCGGCATCTCCTTCACCGTTTGGTTCACCTTGCTGCTGGTGTTCATCATCGTGCCTGCCATCTTTGGGGTATCCTTTGGTATCCGACGTCTTTACATGAAATCGTTGTTAAAAATATTTGAGGTAAGCATACTGCTTCATGGCTAAAACTGGTTATTTTACATCAAGTTTTTTGTCAAACATAAACGATTCAGTGGAAAAAGAAAAACTTTCACTCTTTGTGAAACTGTTAATAGTTTGATAAATTAATGGTTAGTGTCTTCTCTTCTTGCCAAATTATTTCATACTCTAAAAACTATAGATTCATACAGTTCTTGGCTCTGTCCTCTGAGGACAGCTTGTTCTTGTAAATGCTGTGCTTCCCCCACCCTTTCAGCCAAGACAGATCACATGTATAGATGATTTTTCAACCCTTTTCAAAAAAAAAAATCCTTATTTCTCAGAAGAGGCATTGATCAGAGACAGGTTTCATGCTTGTAGTGTCCAACCAGTGGCCTTTGTGTTCACCAGCTGATACAGATTAACATCTCCGCCACAGAGCCGTCTCTCCATGGTTATGTAACAGGAGAAAACAGTGGTACAGACCTTGTCAGTAACTGTTATCTGTGACAGGGTTTAAACAGCCTTGGATACTGCTGGCTGATTTTCACTTTCTAGAAAGAAGTCAAGCCACTAGCGATGGTATTTACGGATCAGCTCTCCTCACTGCTTATTATTTGTTCCAAGATGTCAATATTCATGATTTATCGGTCACCTCTTGTAGGAACTGCAGATGTAGCTATCTAGTTTCACTCATGCTTCAATCTTTGCTGTTGAAAACTGTCATCACTTTCCAGCGTGTTCCTCTGAGAGCAGATCTTGTGCCAGAAATAAAATGGACTAGTGGGAGATATGAGAGATGTTCTTAGCTCATAATTCCAGTAGCAACAATTAGATTTAGAAAAGGTCAGCGAACAGATGCAGAGGAGCAGACTGTTCCTGCATTAAGCCTGGTGTATATTATTTACATAGGATTTTTTTTATTACTTGTTACATCTACATTCTAGTCTTCTTAGTTTCAATTTAAATGTCAGAGGTTCGATCTGCCAGGATACAAGAAAACATCTACTGGTTGCATCAATTCGAAGCAAGACCAGTTGGATTTAATCATCACATTTGTTTGATTAAAGAGTTTGCATTGCGTCATACTTGACAGCATTATTGTAGATATAATTGAACTCTGATCCCACTCATCCTTTTTACCACGCCATCAAGATAGACCTGCTGTTTATTCCCGTACTGTTACTCGAAGATGCAGCTGTCTTTAGCTTTATTCCGCCCAAGCAAAGAGTCAGTACCACCCTCTCTGGAGCTGCAGTGTAATATGATGACTCTCTTAATAATACATGTCATCACAGCACTATTTAAAGGTGGCTTTATTAAAGTACGGCATAATAAGTGTGGGAGAGGATGGAAGTGCGCATACTTTTTATACTTTAGTCACGGTTGATGACTAACATAGTTTGGAATGGGTTTCAATTTGGGAAAACTAAAAAAGGTTGGAAAAACAATATGTGGGGTTAGTTGATGTAAACAGTAGATAATTGAAAATCATCTGTTTTCCAGCCTGACTTCTTCAGCCTTTCGCTGCAGGCGCTCCCACTGTGTCAATTAACATTCTTAGAAGTTTTGTGCAGGTGCCCCTTGGCTTTATTCCAGTGTTATTTTGTCCGCTGTCAGTGCATTCCCAAACACTGATGAATGCAGACGGATCTTGGAGATATCTCATGCTGTGGTATGAACTGAAGTGTGAGACTGTTGGCAAGTCAGGTTTCCTGATCCTTCCTGCTTTTTTCCAGCTAGAACACTTTGTCCTTTTCTTGCACTCTCTGAGCCTGACCTGCTGGTTTTTGTCTCAGCATGCAGAGTGCAAACAAAGTTCTACATACTAAAGAAGGAGAGGTGTGGAATAAAGCATTAGTTTCTGTGGTCACAGATAAAACATGTTTTGGTTTTTAATAAGCGAATATTCTATAAAACCTCAGATTTCTCAGCTTTGTTGAAGTTTTGCACCTGACGCTTTACATCAAGTGAACAAAGTGTTTGCTAAAGAATTCACAATGTTGTGGTCATTGAGGTTTTTGAATGCACAGTTCTATTTCAGAAAGGTCAACTTAGCCACAGTCTGCTAATAGTGTCAGCTAGATGCTACTTGTGAGGTATCTTGGCTGACTTTCTCCATGTTCGGTGACACTGTGTTTCAAACTCCCTCTAAGCATCTGTTAGTGATATTCCATCTTTGTAAATGTATGATATATAAAAATATGTGGTCTTTTCTTCGCAGTGGGCCACTCTACGGATAGAGAGAGGAGCAAAAGAGAAAGATTACCACTTGTACAAACCTTACTCCAATGGTAAGATGTTTTGTCAGTCTGTTTTCCTTCTTGTGTGCACTCTTCCACGGAGTGTTTGTTTTAGAGATGAGTATTGCTGACATGCTCTCTGTTTTTCTCTGGATTGCTCTAGCTATCATTGCCAAGGAGCCAACCTCTTTAGAGGAGGAGATTAAGGAGATCCGGCGGAGTGGTAGCAACAGAGACCTGGACTCAGCCTCAGAGTTTGAGATGTCTGACATCTTCTATTTTGCTCGGCGAGGGGTGGAGAGCATCATGGACGATGAGGTGACCAAAAGGTTTTCTGCTGAGGAGCTTGAGTCCTGGAATCTGCTGACTCGCAGCAATAACAACTTTCACTACATCAGCCTGAGGCTGACCGTCCTATGGGGGCTGGGTCTGCTGATCCGCTACGGCTTCCTGCTGCCTCTCAGGTATTAACTGAACCTTCGAGGTAGAGGTACACGAGTAAGCCTTTCCAAACAAGGTTTCAAGGAAAACATGAACACTGTGCAGTTTAGTTTATTGTCTCACCTCTTTCTCACCCTTACGCACTCACACATCTCATGTGCTGACCACTGGCTTGTTCTGCCTCTCTGGGATCCTCCTTACTTTGTATACATCTGCTGTGTTGAGCAGTTTATTTCAGTAAGTTGCCCACAAAGTAGATCTCAGGTTTCATTTATTTCACCTGCCTTTGCTCTTTTATGACAGCAAGTGAGCGCTGTGAGCGAGGCTTCTTAATGATGTAGCCTTTTAAAATATTTGAACCCCTTACTGTAACGCTACACAAAGACATCAGACAGCTGCTGATGCAAAACAATGGCGTCACTCTGTGCGTGCCATTTCCTCATTCAGACTGAAATAGATTAATACTAAAAAGGCTAAATTGCATCACAAGTTGTCTTAGTGTGTAGTAAAATGTGGAGAACAAGACCGGCAGATTTAGCATTATTTGATAACACAATATCCAACCTGTTATGCACTGTATATTATAATTTCAACCATCTTAAACTGCTGTTAGTACAATAAGAAACTTCTTAACTGCAGCATCAGCAAGTATATGTTCTCAGTTTAAATAAACTGCTCATCCTTTGCATGGACTTATTCCGCTGTGGGACATGATGACAGGCTTACGAATAAACTCGTCACTGAATTTGGCTGTGAAGAGTCAAAAAGCTTTTTTTTCCTGCTGCTAATTGAAGGTTTGTAAACGTTCATAAATGTGGGTCTGCAGCGTACGACGTGAGACTCCAAACTGAATGCTGGCACACATTGAGTACATGAGGGACTTCCTCATTAGGGGTCAGCTTAGAGGGACAGGGACAGTGACTCAGTATTAAGCCTGGCTGGCCCATTTCCAATTGCCAGTGGGGAGACAAATCAGGCCACTGCCACACTAGCGGACATCATTCTAGTTTCCCATCCAGCTGATAGACTCCGCCATCCAGTACTTGTCTGGTTAAACTTTGCAAACTTAGATGAGTCTTTAACTCCTCTTTCCTTGCTTGCTCTTTGCACGTTTTCTTTGGCGTCTTTCCAAACCCTGGCGATTGATTCATCCAGATTATGGCGACCTGTTAGCTGGATTAAATATTGCCTTATATGCCCTATATGGTAGGAGGTGGAGAGAGCTTCCAGTTTACACCAAGAACTCTCCTCCATCATGTTCCTGCTTTTAAATGCCTGTTAAAAGACCTGTTAGTTTTAAGTTTGTACATGATTATACAGCAGCTTTGTTCTAAGACTCCCCGCAGAGAAATTCTGTGTAACCTGTCTGTCTTTCTGTCTTCAAGGGTAACTCTTGCCTTCACCGGTGTAGGACTCCTTGTGTTCCTCACCTCTGTAGTTGGACTGCTGCCAAATGGAAAGTAAGGCAAATTTGTTTAATTTGTCAGAGTATGGGCTCAGACACATCAATGTGATTATCTTTGATCCGCCCTCTAGACACACAAACCCAGTGAGACTGTCATGTGCTCTCTTTTGCAGGATGAAAAACTTTCTAAGTGAGAAAGTCCATTTGATGTGCTACAGAATATGTGTCAGAGCTCTGACTGCCATTATAACCTACCATGACAGGTAAAGCCCCTACAGTGTAAATCATGTGACTACTAACTCTGATTAATTTTTTTTAAATCTCTGGATTACTCAGGTTTTCAGTCAGCAGACTTCCTGGAAAGGTGTTAAAAGGTTGTATGCGATAAGGACAGGAGGGGGTCAGGTGAGATGAAGTGTATATGGGACAGTGAGTCAGTCCAGGAGAGGATCTGTCAGACTGTATACATTAATCTGATCCTCACGGGTTATCTAATGAAGTCACTTACACATGATTCATGGAATTAAAGTGAATAGAAATGAGAGAGGCATGATAAAAAACCTCATGACTTCCTCACAAACACTTAGACAGTGTATATAATATTATAAACCCTTGTTAAAGAAAATGCAGAGCTTTGGCAGCCGTTGAGAAACCAGTGATTTCAACAGTTTTGGTAATGCATTATCAATCTTTGCAGCTGAGTAATTGCAAGGATTTAGATCGTTTTTGCCAACAAATAATAATCTTTCAGTTTCTCACTGTTAAACAGAAATACAGCGTAGCTTGAAGGTCCAATGAAGGCACTCAGGCCTTCAAGTTCAGGCATCAGTTGATTGTAAAGGATATGCTTGAACACGTTTCCTTTTCTTTATGTGATCTCCTATTAAGTAGGATAAACAACATTTGGTCTCATGTGACATGAAGTAATCGGGATGGTTTTCGAACGTTATCAGGGTGGAGTTTCAAGGTTGTTTCTTTGCAGACAAACTGGCTTAGGGTGTCGCACACTGAGGAGACAATAAGACCATAATTAAGTCTGTCTTTAGTTAAGAAGTCTGCAAAGTGACAGAAATGCAGAACAGAGATATCTCAAACCGACGAAGCTGGCACTTCTCTGTATACCAGCATCAGTGGTGTGTACCTGACCATGTGAACACGTAATTTATCTCAATTAGACTAGGTAGGCAGAAAACTAGATGCAGTTGGTCTGACATATTCTTCTGTTCACTTCTTATGTTGCAGCATTTCCCCATGTGGTGGTTTAAGCCTGCACATGACTATATGTTCACAGATTCTAGTTGCATAAGCCTGCTCTGCATGTTGAAACTTGTAGTGTTGAACTACGTTTGTGCCTTTAAATGTTCTGTAGATATGCAATACCGTTTAAGTTAAATCCATTATTTGCAAAGGAAAAACACATGATTTAGGGAAAAAAAATCACATTTTGAATCGACTTTTAATAAGACAACAACTGATCAATAACATTTTTAAAGATCAATCATAGGGGATACAATGAATTTGTGTCGCAGAGCTAGAGCAATAATGTGCTGACTGATTTACGTGAAGGAAGTTGTCGCTTGCAGCTTTAACAACTTATGGATCGAGAGGAACGTTTGTTGCAGTTTGACTCAAAGATGCTGTTTTCTCCCTCTGTATGCAGCTTGTTGAAAATTAGCCCCTTTAGAGCCATTTTGCCTCATGAATTTAACAAATAAAATCTTTATAAAAGGTTCTCAAAATGTTTTAAAGCTTCAGTTATGGCCTGAATTTTATTTGCAGTCTTTATTTGTAATACTACAAATACTTTTTTATAAGGCTGCTCTAATGCGGCTCACCTCATTCACGGGGCCCATTATTTAACTTTTAAAACCCCACCCACTGAAGGTCTGTCGCTTTGACAAGAGAGGGCTATATATGAGATTCTATACAGGCGCATGAGTTATCTTTGGAAAGCAGAAAACTGGGTATGTTAGCAGTTGCAATCTGAGCACCCAGACTGTAAACATGAAAGGGAGGGTGCCTGAGGCCACACTGTCCACTCTGGTGCTCATTGCAGCTGGCTTATTAACTTAGGTTAGGCACAAAGCTCTCCTGAGTAATACCTTCTCTCACAGAAAACCAGACCATGCCCTCTAAAGCAGTATCTTTTTTCTCATGAAATACGATCTTTTACTGTGGGACTAAGAAGCTAAAGGATCATGACTCTAAAGACTGACAGAGCTCTTTAATGATGATGGCACAGGCAACAATAGCTGTGTGTATCCGCCCATCAACTGTAGTCTGTATCAGCTGTTGTTGTTTTGGGTTCACTGCAGTTCATACTTGACTGAATATGACATCCAAGAGTGGAAATGTTCTCTTGATTTGAGAGATTTAATGTATATAAATGAAACTTTTTAACATTTACGTACTTGTTTCTGAAAATGACTGCCAAAATAACCAGTAGTTATAAAACACAGTTGGAGGAAGATTCAGCGTGACAAAGCCACATGTCTGTCTCTGAGCGTCTGCCATCAGGAATCGTTGGAACACGTATTGCTCTCTAGTCTTGAGCTATAAATACACGGTGACATGGGAAGTAGTGGTCGCTCTCTTCCTCTATTTAAGATTGTAACTTTATCTTTGGAATGTGGATTCAGTATGTACAAGTCCTGCGTCCTACTCTGGGGGGGCCAAACCTTTAACATTTCCACCACTGGCAGCTTTGCACTTTTGTGGTGGGCCAAAGTGTACCCTTCTTTGAATAATATTGACCTCTACTTGCATTGCTTTTTCCTGTCGAACTGAAAAAATGCTTTTAATACCCCAACCACACATATTATAATTAAAGATATGGTTTCAAAACATAAATTAATCATGTTCCTGTCCCTTTTTTAGTGAGAACAAACCTAAAAATGGAGGGATCTGTGTTGCAAACCATACTTCCCCTATTGACGTTATCATCTTGGCCAGTGACGGCTGCTATGCTATGGTGAGTTTACTGCAATAACACAGTGACCAGGCATTTTTTTTCCACTGTTGCTTCTTGTCTGTTGAAATTTAGTATTACCCAGAAACAAATTTGTGTATCTTAACCAGTGTTTGTGTTGTCGTTTTCATCAGGTCGGTCAAATCCATGGTGGCTTGATGGGGGTCATTCAGAGATCCATGGTCAAAGCCTGCCCGCATGTATGGTTTGAACGCTCAGAAGTCAAAGACAGACATCTAGTGGCCAAAAGGTAGAATCACAGCAAGTCTGCTTTATTTATTTGTTGTTGTTTTTTTACATTAAAAAATCTCTTTTGGTAGTTTCCCCAGTTTATCAGAATGTATTTTAAGATAAGTTAGCTCTTCTAAATTGAAGTATAGACTTTATTTGGAAAGTGTATTTTCCACAGTTGTGTTTCTTTGTTATAACTTTTATACTTTTTCTGTGTAGATTGAGTGACCATGTGGAGGACAAATCCAAACTGCCCATTCTCATCTTTCCTGAAGGTAAGCCTTTTTTAAATCCAGCACAAGTAGGGACTTCATAATAACAATGAGGCGGTGTTGTCTGGTTAAAGAAAGCAACTAATCTATTTATCATTAATACCTTAAATCTGTAGGTACCTGCATTAACAATACATCAGTTATGATGTTCAAGAAAGGGAGCTTTGAGATTGGTGCCACGGTCTACCCTGTGGCCATCAAGGTGAGAATAATGCAACTCTTTTTCATGAAATGTTCTTTTTACATCTGTATTTATGAACTGAAATCAGCACTCTGTTCCAAAGTAAGACATACGTTCACTGTTCATTTTGTAGTATGATCCTCGTTTTGGAGACGCCTTCTGGAACAGCAGCAAGTTTGGGATGGTCAACTATCTGTTACGCATGATGAGCAGCTGGGCCATAGTCTGTAGTGTGTGGTATCTTCCTCCCATGTCTCGAGAGGTGAGTCGAGTCCAGGGTTTTCTGTAGTCATAATCAACTCCATAACAGGGAGCGCTGCAGTTTTTGAAATTGTTTAGCTTTATTTTTGTTCACAATACATGAATCCACAGCTACAAAGTAATAATATAAAGAAATGTTAACCTGTGTTTCCATTCCGTGCGTCTTCTCTATCAGGAGGGCGAGGATGCTGTACAGTTTGCAAATCGCGTAAAGGCAGCAATAGCCAGGCAAGGTGGACTGGTCGACCTCCTTTGGTAAGATAACATCCACTCAGCTTAACCATTTCTCACAGTTTCATGGCTGATAATGAATATACCAACACATATGTCAGTATTCACATCAATCTTTTATCAAAGGTTTATAAACATGTTTCACAACAAATACTTTGACAGGCATGAAAGAGAAAGTGCAGAGGCGTAAATTAACCAACTTTTTTCATTTTGAAAGAGCCGGTCGAATGTTTTTAGTACCTGGGATACAGTTTTAGTGGTTCAACCTGAGCTTTGATTAAAAAAAATGGTCACAGCTCATAAATAGGAAAGTGGAGTTGGGCAAGTTAATGCTTATCCTTTCCACGACAATACTAAATAATTCATGGTAACACTTTACAATAACCATCATTTGTAAATGGTAAAAAGATAATTTATTAATGTTAATTCATCATTGAAAAACAGCATATAGACCAATTATAAATGGCAAATAGATTGTTTTTAATGCAATAATAGTAACTTTACCATTAACAAGCAATGGAGTTATGATGAATAATTTTCATTAATTATTAATGGACTATTTCTTAAATGTTTATATAGGGTTTAAATATTGGTTGTAAAACCTCTAAATTAAAATGTGTGTCAGTAGCACTTTGTAAATGGTTAATATTTGGATTTTAAACCATCTATAAACATTACTTGGATGGTTATTGTAAAGTTAGGGTTAGGTTTTTAAAATTGTAAAATGTACAATTTTTTAATGGTCTATATGCCATTTATAAATGATGATTAAACATTTATAAACTATCTGCTTACATTTATAAATGGTCTATTTACGATTTATAAGTTACGGTTATTGTAAAGTGTTACCTAATTTATATAGTTGACAAATTCCCCTATCAATCACTGTTTTCTTCAATAAAATTAAACATAGGTGTTTTTAATTTGTAGTTTCAGATCTTTAATCTGTGCTTTTTGGCTAACTGTAATAAGATACGTTACATAGTTTGTGTTCAGTAAAGATCGATAGGGTTGCAGTGTCTGGGGCTCTATTTTCCTGGCCAGCTTGGATGCATGTGAAGCCTTGTAGGTGATAAAACATATTTGGACTGCATTGCTCTGGTAGGCCCTAAAGGATGGGAGTAAAATGTTTGTCAAATACATCTGTACCTGTTGTCACTAATTTCACTCTCTCTTTCAGGGACGGAGGACTGAAGCGAGGAAAGGTAAAGGATACCTTCAAAGAAGAGCAGCAGAAGCTCTACAGTAAAATGCTCGTTGGCACCCAAGAGGACCGCAGTCGCTCCTGAAGGACTTCTCGTGAAGGGGGGACAGTCTCAGTGACACACTTAAAAACCTCTGACTAAAGGACTAGTCAGCAGGCTTATGTCTGTACTGGAGCTCTCTGGAAAAACTCCCTCTGATGTCAACGCCTCTCCATAAAGCTTCCTCGGTCACTGCCTCAGCTCAGCATGTTCAGTTTGTGTCGCTGTTACGGGTCATTCTGAGTCTGCTGCTGCCCTTTGTTGGAAAAGCTTCTCAAGCCTTGCTTTACAAGGAAAGCAAGGTACACGTGGAAAAGGGGCATTGTCTTCCTTGGTGGCAGTTTTTTTAAAAGGAAAACTTGTATTATTACTTTTTGTTTGATAGTTAAGCTTTAAAATTTATAATTTACTTTAATATTTGTATCACTCTGCATTCGAGTTGCAGATCTGATAAAAACTGGGAGAGTTCTTGTAGATAACAACTAGTTTGTTTGTGAGCTAAAACCCGTGACTGAGTTGAGGTTTTGCATGAATGACTTGTGCCCATGATTTAGAGCACATTGCCAGATTTTGTTACATTTCAGAATTTTTATGGGCTTTTTCCAAGAGAAACTTTAATTTTATGCTTTGTGTTTTACAATAAGACTTGTATCAAACTATGCGGTCAATATCCTAGTTCTGATGCTGACAAGCTCAGATACGTTGTGAGTTTCTTTGATTCTCCACTGAATGTGAAAACCCTCACATTATGAAGTGGAAATTGTGCAACTGCAGGTACTCTGGATTGAGGCAGATGTTCCTTTTTGAGCTAATGATGCAGCATAGAGCCGAATAGAGGCAGTCAAAGAGTTTTTAGTCCATTAAGAATTTATTTGGGATGCTTTCAACGCTGTCCCTTTAAAGCCTGGAGCAGAACTAGTGATGTAGTGACTGTCTCCTGCCAAAAACACAGACATAAAGACAATTGGTTGATAAATAATCATACTGATACACTCTTCATCATGTTTCCATGAGCTTCCTGCCTCTGCAGCGACCACCCAGTTTATTTTAAATCAACTGTAAAAGCTTTGTCTTTATTTTCCCTCTCATCAACAATCTTTCTCCTACTTGGCAGCCTCTTCAAAGAGGGACAGCGTGCAGCTGTAGTGTGTACTGTTGGCTGCAGCTAAGGGATATGATGAGCAGCCTCGGGGAGTAGTAACCTGGAGGCTCTTTTCCCTCTAGCTCGCTTTTATCAGGGATAGTCGTTAAGACCGTGTCAAATCTGTTCATCAAAATAAATGTTCAAGAATGTGAATCTACCCTGGACTTCATTTCTCTTTATGCTTTTGACTCTTTTGACACTGAAGCTGTTTAAACTTGTTCTTACAGATGCATGTGATACTGAAAAATCCTAAACATACCTGAATGAAAATGTCGAGGGATGTGCAAGAGAAAAGAAAGACTAAAGATTATTAAAATCTTTGTTTTCAGATTGCAGTTAGATCATCAACTAATTTCATTTTTAAATGAGTTGTCAAAAAAATGATTAAAATTGCACCTTGTCCTCCAGCTAAATTAAGGACTAAATTTGGCTTGTTTACCGTTGGCACAATTTTCCTGAAATCACAGCTTTTTGTACTTGATGTTTGTAGCATCCACGCTCAAAATTGTGTTGCTGTATTCCTGGCAGTCAAGTCGATTCCTGGCTTATGTATAGTCCAGGGTGCACCGAGCTGCTACAATGCTGTCTGGCCATTAGATTTAAACAGTTTCTCTTGAATATATTCCTTAGCTGACTATGTGATCAGCATGGGGGTCTTAAGGATGTGTCTTTCTGTGGTTGTATGTCGCCAATTCTTTCACAGCTGCTGCTTCTAAAAGCCGGGGCCTCTCCTCTTGGCTGTAACAAGTTGCCTTGGGCTCCTTTCAGGGAGGTTTCCCCCTTTAGCCGTGTTTGTTTCCAAACCGGTGATGGACATGGCAGCATTGTTTACAGTCTGTGTTGCAATCGTTTCAAATGCATCTGCTGACGCTAGTGGATAAAGTAAAGAGGAGGAGTAGGAGGAAGCGGGGGGCTCAAAGGGTTGGCTGTGTAAACCATGCCATGGTTGAACAGCTCACTTACAGCACTATGGAAAACTGAGTCAGGCCCCCAGCAATCTTTGCTTTCGCCTGGGCGGGAGCCCAGACTGCTGGATGGCACAGATCCACGTCTCAACTAGAGCTGAGTTATAGGGTATGGAGGGAGAACGACTAATGCTGTGTTGTAGTGTATTGTGGTTACTCGGCTGTTGTGGTGACTAGAAGTTGTTGGTGGCATGATAATTTAAGAAGGGGTTGTGAGAAATGATGAATCTAAGTTTTGTCCATTACTACAAAACTAGACTGTCTGATTTAACATCAGTTTATTACAGTTACAGAGTATTTTGATTAGACAAGAAGTATTCTATGAGGCAGTGGTACTTTGTACAGATGAATCAATATCACATGGTAGGGGAGAGTGGGGTAAGTTGACCCAAAGGGTAAGTTGAGCCACCCCCTGTTTCTTGGAAATAGTGAAAGAAATTGATCATGTGACCAAATATTGAGGAGATGGGCATCAATTCATGGAGTCTGTGAAGGTTAGAAGCACATGAGTGAAAGGGTTAGACATTTATTCAAAAAAAAAATTTTTCACTTTTGAAGTGAATTTAGTCTGTCATAAGTTTTATTAGAATTGTGTTCAGACCAAAAAAGATCATTTTAAATTAGTTTATACATTAACTGTGGTATCTATGAGTTACACCATGAGATCAAAACCTATAAAAGTCCACCATTTTAGCTTAAAGGACTAATAAAGTCATTATAGTAGTTCAGGGGTAAGTTGAACCATTTGGCCAGTTGACCATTTTAGCTCAATTGAGAAAGTAAAGAAGTCTGATGAGAGGGGCAGAGTTTCAGTTCAGATTGTTGAAATGTTTTTACTTTTTCTTTTCAAAAATACAGCTGTGAATGTTCTGAATCACTTAAAGGCATTCTCATGTTAAAATGACTTTTTACAAAACAGCTTTTTAGCAGTTATTTGCAATAATAATAATAATAATAATAACAAAATGTACCAGTTGAATAGCGTATAATAGTATAATACACATGAATGTGAAGAAGTGACTGTTATTTAGGGAGAGAGAAAGTGAGGGAGGGCTGGGTTGGAGTAGTAGGGATACAGCTCAACTTGATATAGTGATCCAAAATATGAAAAATGGCTCATCTTACCCCACTCTCCCCTACTACGAAACTAGACCTTCTGATTTAACATTATTAAAGTTACCAAGTTTTTTGATTAGACAAGAAGTCTACTATGAACCAGTGGTATTCTGTACAGATAGATCAGTATCACATGGTGCCTTGCTTTTCTTTGAGTGGTGATATGGTAAATGTAAACCTAGAGTTGCTCTGTAATTCGACTCTGGTGAAGAGAGTGTGTTGTTGCTTTAAAACTGGTCGGTTTTAATGACATTTAGGGAGAATAATCACGCGTGTGCACTCACTCACTCACTGAGGGGATGTTTGAATGAGAGACAAGAGCCCCAGAGAAAGAAAATGAGTAACTTCCGGCTGAGACAACACAGACTGAGCCTGTGGTATGTTGACTGGTGTGTAGAGCCCTGAGGTGGTTTAGTTACAGCAACTCCATGCTGTCTAAAGTGCTGTTATTCAATAGTGTAGTGAGGTATCTTGGAGAAATTGAAGTAAATGATAAAACAGGTTTCCAGACCACTTCATTATATTGTAATAAGGCTTCATTTTGGGGTGACAGCCTCAATGCTGGTTGAGCGGTAATACTCAACATAAGGAAGACTGTAAGAGACGGGTGGAGGAGGCGGAGCACCGGAGTTTATTACCCAACACTGGCTCTAAGTGCTGGGTCCGGTTGTCAGAGCGTTTGTGAAGGCAGGAGCAGATGCGCCGTCCAGGCTGGTTAAGTCCCCTAAGAAGCTACTAGTCCAATTAACGTAGAGGAGGCGGAAATCCACCCATGTCGGCGGCTATTAAACTAACTTACCGCCGCTCGGCTCGATGATGGACATGAACACCGCTCCGGTAAATGTAAACGACCTGATGCTACAGCCCACCGTCAGCGAACAAGTTGGACCCGAGGCGACGCCGACTCTTCAGAGGGATGCGGGTGTATTTTAAGCCGTTGTAGTCGCGGTTTTTTTTGGTGGGCGAACACAATAAGCCTTTTTAAGCTCCTGTTGTAGGCCTGCTGCACGCGCGTCGTTCGGCGACGCTACGGAGTTTCCTCGCGCTGTTGGTGAAGGAGGCACGTTAACATGGAAACATACACTGATGTGCTGCTCGTCACCGCAAATGTCGGGTCACTGTTTGACAATGTAAGTAGACTGGGTAAGAGTAACATTTAAAGCACTCCAGACTGACACGCTGCCAGGGGATTATACCTAATACCATTGGGCTGATAGACAAATAATGAGTCGACAGTGTAACAGCTAGTATTGCATTGTGAAGTTTGGACCCTACATGGCCTCTGTCAGTATATACCTTCAGGTATAATTACGTAACAACCGTGCTAAGCTCCGCACGCGCCACCTATATTTAAATATAGGCTATATAACATTTGTATTGTATCTAATAATCTACCACCATGTAGTGTTTGTGAGTCCACTCTGGTTAAACAAAAACATCAACGAGCCAAAAGTCGCTTATTGTTACCTGTTGGACGTAGGGGAGAGTGGGGTAAGATGAGACATTTTTCATATTTGGAATTACCACATCAAGGCAATAATAGTTTTGTCACTAAATAGTGTAGCTGCATATATTTCAAGATGTTGTGCAGCCCTGCAAACCAAAAGAATGAGTGCAAACAAAACTGTCTTGATAATACAGCATGCCAAAAAAGTGGTCTCCTATGGTCAACTGTATGGCTCATGATGTATGTACCCCATGAGCCCCCCCCCTCACCTTCTCTCTCCCTAAATAACAGTCACTTCTTCACATTCATGTGCATTTTAACTATTTTATGCTATTTAACTGGTAGAATAATTATTTTTATTATTATTGCATATAACTGCCAAATAGCATGAGAATGCCTGTAAGTGATTCAGAACATTCACAGCTGTATTTTTGAAAAGGCAAAGTATCATATTTCAACAATCTGAACTGAAACTCTGATCCTCTCATCAGACTCCTTTACTTTTTCAGTTGAGCCACTGGCTCAACTTGCCCCAGAACCACTATTATGACTTTATTAGTCCTCGAAGCAAAGTTTTTGACCTGATGTTGTAGCTCATAGATACCCCAATTGATGTATAAAACAATTTTTTAAATGAAATTTTTTTGGTCTGAACACAATTATTATAAAACTTTTGACAGACTAAATTCACTTTCAAAAGTTAAAAACAGCCTCCATGAATTGATGCCCATCTCCTAAATGTTTGGTCACATGATCAATTTTCTTTCACCATTTCCAATTAACAGGGGGGGTGGCTCAACTTACCCTTTGGCTCAACTTACCCCACTCTCCCTCACACATTTTTATGCATCACCTGACCAGCCTATAGTCCGGCTACATCTACGAAAGTTATTTTAGCCCATGCCTTGTCCGATTATAAGGCAAGCGCTAAAATAACTTTCATAGCCATCTTGTTTCAGGCCTCCGATTTAGCTTTTTTCCAACTTGGTAACTGAAACGCTGGAAATCGAGTGTCATGTCATTTTCAGCTCCGACATCTGACTTTCGAGGCAACTCGAACGCAGCAATAAATTCAAGGTAACATTCTAGGCAATGTTACTAATTAATTTTTTCAATATAACATATTTCCTTTTGTTAGCCAAATTGCGTTCATGAACAAGGATCTTATTAGGTTACTAAGCTATGTTTTTATTGTAGCATAGAGTAGATGAAGTTGAAACATACAGGCATGGTTTCAAAAGTACATATTCTAATATTCCCATTTTAACACACTGAATTTAAAATTCTCAGGTATCTGTATTGTATGTTTTTAGTAGTCATTTGTGTCTGCGCAGTAATAGTTAATGCCATCATCTGTGAAAGCCCTTCATAAAAAATGTGGCCTCCATGCTCTTTACCTTTCTCCCAAAATATAAATCCTCATCCATGAGTTGGAACTTACATGTCGTCGATATATGTAAAAGGTAAAAATGTTAGAAAAAAAACTCAAAAGTCAGTTATTATTTTCCTTATCTTTGCTGTGTATCATCTTTGTCATCATCTTTGGTGGCCACTTAATTTCCAATGCAAACTTTAAAGCTCCTGTGAGTAACTTTACTTTGTGTCAACTTTGGCGCCCCCTGTGAACTAAGCAGTCTTTACTTATCCCGTCCTCTAGATGTTTAGATAGTGTCTCTGGTCAAGAATCTCTTCTTAGTGACTTTTTTCAGTCAAATGCATCATCTATTGTGAATAATTTTGTGTAAATTGTAAAAACAAAGTTGTTTTTACAGCTGCGGATCAATGTTATCAGCTCACACCAGTTTTAGTTGTTAGAAATTATAATGTGAAAGTAGTCAGTCTTGTTGCTGATGGTTTTGTTTGCTATTTTATACCATAAAAAGGCATTTGTATGAATTTGAGTCTGTCTCATTGGCATCAATAAAACTCTGCACTGTAGCTTTAAGGGTTAAAGAGATTAAAGTAAAATGTTACAGTTCTGAGCAGAAGGATAAATATTGAGGACTTTTATAGATTCAGTCCAGAAACTTTCCAACATTGCAGGGAGGAGAGCTCTTACACTCATGGAAATTTGGCACAGGACCATGTTTCCGGTTGCCAGATCTGTCTCCAATGAAAACATGTTAGATCCCATTGTGGGAGTTATGTAAACAGATGAAAATCTTTTCCTTCGGGACTTGAACTTTTCTACCAACTTAGGTTCCCTATTTCAAACAAATACTCCTAAATGTACAACCATCCTTCAGGATAAGAGCAAGACCCGAGGCACATCACAAGATAAATCCTACTACTTTACAATGCTGGAAAAGCCAAGTGTGCTGACAGAGCAATAACCCCATGAGACAGTCAACTCAAAATATTCCTGTTTTTTATGATGTAAGACCAGAGCACTGAGCTGAAGATTATATCCATCCTGTGTGTGTAAAGACCAAAAATAGACTGCATTTAAAACATACAAGAGAACCAAAAACGTTCTCTTTCACAGTACAAGCTGTGTCACGTAGAATGTAACGTGAGAGTCTTAAGTGATGGAAGGAGGATGCTTTTCAGCCAGTTTTCCAAAGCATTATAAGACAGCTGTAAACAACAAAAAAAGCCTTTACTTAATGACTGCCCAGGATCCTCTAAAGCAAAGTGTGTCTTTGGAAAGCTGTTGTGGAAGCTCACTTAGGACCTCTTTTATATGGCATGCCCGGTCTTGTTTGGTGACGCACTGTCACTAGTATGCACCAAAGATAAAGGAGACACTCCATTTTAAACTCTTATTTTTTTCATTAACAGCCTCCCGTGTGCTGTTTGTTGAAGAACTTTGAATGTTAACACATGCTGGAGTTGAATTCAAACGAACCAGGGTCAGTGGAAACAGTGGATACAGGCTGTTGATCCAGAGCCGAGATGCAGCCTTCCCCGTCTCACTGCCATGCAAATCCACTATGCAAAGCCATTTCTTAACCAATATGAGCCCACCTGGCTTTGTAGGGGATTGTATTTCACTTTGCAAGTATACTCAGAAGACTCAGCAGCAGAGTTAAAGAAATAGAAACACAAGAAAGTCAAGTAGATGAACCTCCTGTTAACCTTATTTATTTATATTAATGCTGTCATGGGCGGCTCTTTGGTTTCATAAAGGAGAGGGCCGCTAAATAAGCCTCGGCTTTGTTTGACAGATCGCTGTATGTAAAATTTATCTGTCTGCCTTACTCATAGTTTACTCATCTTCCAAATGTTTATGCACTTCTAAACTCATCATTAGGGTTGATGCATGGACCCTGGACAGATTATAACAGGTGCAGCCACACTTGAACGAGATTACATCCTGGAACAACAAAACAATGGGAAGCTCAGATGATAAAATCTACAGACCATCTTCATTGTTTGCTTTAACCTGCTTAGAGTTAATATTAGCTCAGCGTTCCCCTCAGAGATTTATGACTCCAGTTTGACCTCCTTGTCTGTCAGCTCGCTTTATAGTTTTTCCATACAGACGTTACAACTTAGAAATGAGACCCCCTTAGTTAAAATGGAACTTTTTATGAAAACAGCAGAGGAAACAAAAATAATTTATGATGTGAAAAAAGTCACTCACAGGGTTAAAGTCTCAGATAATCGCCACATGTTTTTGTCGTTAAAAGCAAGATGTCTCTGACGCATCAGCCCACCTGCTGAGTTACTGTCAGCATGTGTGAAATGCGACACTGCTTTGCATCTGCTGTGGATTAATTATGACTAAATGGTTTACAAAATAGACCCTAAATTAGATTAACTTTTTTATTGTTATGCTAATGCAAGTCAAGACTGTCACCAGGTTGGATAAGTCATTTATAACACCAACAGAGCCTTTGTTTACACTTTTATCCTCACCAGATAAAGACAAGGAAACATGAACATTTTGTACCAAGAGAACAACAGTTTGTTGATAAAAATCAGTGATGAAATTAGTTGCAGATGGATTTAGGTCAATGATTAGTCATCCTGTGTTTGTACATCATTCTCCTTTGTTAAAGTGCTCAGACTTTTGCAGCCTTAAAATCTGTGCTGCAAGTGTGAAACAGTTACCAAAGATGGGACAGGTTATCAAAGCATAGCGACATGGCAGCAGGCATGCAAAACCATTACGTCATAAAACTTCTAGAGAACAGGAGAATTTTAACCGTCAATGCTGCAGAGCAAAGAGCTGCCTGCAAGATCTGTACACTGGAATTGACTTATTATGAGAGCATGTCGGTAATGCACAAGTGTTTAAAGCAGCAATTGTGACATTCAACTTAACAGTTTAAAGTCTGAGTCATGATGTGAGTTTGCACTTTTAGTTCCCTTCTTTCAAGTCTTTATCTTTTTCCTCTCCTTCTCTATTCATACCTTTATATACTATGACGCTAGTGACTGTCTTTTTGAAGCCTTGAGCTTGACTTTTGGATCGTTTTTAGAGCTAGAGATGACCATATTGGGGCCAGAGGGCTGGAGGAGTGAAGGGTTGGCAAATGCTGAGTTTTCAAATGCCCGTGTCTCTAAGGGAGATAGCTATTGTGTGCACTCTTCTTTTTTTCGACCTCTAAAAGTGCTTTATGCTACAGGTCGGCTTTCACCCATTCACACAAACGTAAACACATGAATACCAGTGCCATGCAAGATCCTAGTTGCAGCCATACTCTTCATACATAACTTTATGCCTGAAAGTACAATGATGATACCAGTACAGATCAGTAGTGTTGTATTGGGATATAGCTACTTAATGATTACGCTTCAGTGCAGAACCAGGGGGACTTACGCTCTGCTGACCATAGAGTTCCACATCCTCCTAATTTCAAAGCTGATGTTACTGCATATCATGAAAGTGCAGAGTGTCTCACTCACCTGGTTCACTTGGGTTCTCTTTTCTACATAGGTCAAGATACCAAAATCAGATCTAGGTAGAGACTCAGCACAGCCAGTAGGATGTTTAGTATTGGAATTTAGCTGAGTAAGCTAACTTTGTGGGAAACACCAAGAGTAACTGACCTTTTTAGAAGTTATCTGTTGTCTGGAAGAGATACAGTAAGGGCAGGGTCAGAGTGCAGGAAGACGCAGCTGAGTTCGTAGACACCATCAAGTCCTTTTGATGAAGACTTTAACAGATACAGATAAAGGGTTTGTTGGTGTTTTCTGCCCATTTGTTTAATTGATTGTGAGGATGTTAAAGGCATTTCTTTAGATATGATAAAACGTTGTTGTTTGATAAAGTAGACTTGTCCCTTCTTTACACTTATCAGCTCACTAAAACCAAATAAATGCTAAAGTCTCTGTTGCATTCTGGAGTTTTAAAACTTTAACTTTTGTCCAATCTATAACTCCTAATTTGGTTTGTTAGTGTTGTCTTTGCAGATGATTGGATAAAATATCAATAAAAATGTAGTATTTGTTTTTTTAGACATTACATAAGGAAACTTGCATACTGTACCTTTAATAATTCTTCTCTTTGCCTTGTTTTAGGTGGGTGAAATTCAAAATGAGTGGTTACAAGAGCTGTACAAGGTAAGCCTGATAATGAACAGTGTTTTTTCCTCTTCTCAGTGTTTGTTTTTGCTCAGAATATCTTCCAAATTTGGATGAGAGTCTGCTGCATTTTAGGCAAATGAAATAAACATTGTTACACAGTCAGCAGCTCCAGCTTCCTGTAGAAAACACACACTGCTGATAAGTGAAAACATGTCACAGCAGAAAATCAGTGACAGAAAAACTCCAGATGACCGCCATGGATAGTTAATGTTATCCTTATGCACAATGTCAACCTGTCTCAACTCAATATTTACTCTGTAATGTATAATTGGCTTTGACTAACACCCCTTTTTGCTTCTTTTCGATAGACTATCCAGAACTACAAGCCACAGTTCATTGCCCTGCACTTCCAGGAAGTGGGAGGGAAGGATTACATGGCCAACATGGGCTATGCTGAAAACTTCTTTTGGTAAACTGACAACAAGTTTTCCCATAATTCCCTGTATTTTTCTGTGAGTCCATCATTATGTTTTGGGTTTTGAAAACAGTAAACCGCCCATCACAGTTTGTTCAAGGCCAAGCTGATGCATGAAGATCACATACATGTTCCCCAAAAGGTCCATAAACCAAAAACATTTACATTTAAGAGGCGAGCAGAAGAAAGAAGTGTCCGATCAATTAAGCGACTAATCTCTTTAGCTCCACGTCAAAGGGGTTGACCTTTTTATTCTCTTGCCTGACTAGAGCCCTCATGTTGTCTGTTGTTTGCAGGAGCATTGAGTCCAGTGAGGAAATGAAAGGTTATGACAGAGTCTGCATCTACGTGGACAACCACTTCCAAGCAGAAGACAGCTTTACGGTAAGGAAACACCATGAGACGGCTCAATCGGAGTAATTCACATGAGCTTCCACTAGATGGAGCCCTCCTCCATGTTAGTGAGAAGCGTCAGCAGGATGTGCAGCTTGTATTCTGCTGATGAGTCAAACCAGAGCTACAAAGTCTGACAGTGTTGTAACAGAAAACAGCAAATACCTGCAATTTAAGCTTAAGTTGGTTATGTGAAGAAATCCTGTTTCCTCACATCTCTTGCAGAAGTCATGACTCTGCAGATGTAGTCCTTCTTGACAATGTTGGTGAGCTGCAGTATGTGGACCCTGTTGGTTCCTTTCATACATCAAATAGGCTTATCCTACACCTCCTATTTAGAGTTTTTTTAGAAACTGAATTGTATTAGTCTTATGGTAAAGAAGACAGCGATGCTTGAGTGTAGCATGAGTTAAAAAACAGACGTTAGTGTTTGGTTTAGCTGAACTAATATAAGTTATTACATCCTCTAAGCAGCACCATGATTACAAGCCAGTTAAGTGAATTACTATTACTTTTTACCACCAGACCACAGCTCAGGGCTGCTGCTGCAGTTATGGTACTGTGATACTCAACCATCAGGATGTAAACTGACTCAGATGACAGATGACATCGTGCAGCGTGGTGTGGTTTGGCAGCATTTTAATGTATTGAATGTTAACAAAGTTATATGTTAGCTGTGTTTGATATAACCATAAACAAGAGCAAAGTGTGACCAGCACAGACCTGTAGAGAGCACCACGTAAACCAGTTTTACATCGTTTACTCACAGAATCTGTTATGTGTGGCTGTGAAACATAAATTATCCTCATTTTGGCTGTTTCATGAGTGTTTTCTTATCTGTAGACTAGTCAGTCAACTGAAATTTATAATTAAGATATATGGTCTTGCCCTGTCCTATCTCTCTGAGCTTCTTTACCCATATACACCCACCTGCAAGCTCAGGGAGGACCGTGCATTTGCTGTTGCAGCCCCAAAACTATGAAACGATCGCCCTCAAAACATTAAACTGGCCTCTTCTCTACCGGAGTTTAAATCTCTTCTTAAAACCTCTTCTCCTTGGCCTCTGTTACCTAGTAAGACGTTGGCTTGATTTGATTTGATTAGAAATTTATCTTATTTTATTGTTTCTTTTATTGCATGGCTATTATTTTACCTATGTTGAATGCCTTTTAGATTATTTTATCGTGTTATGTGAGATAATGTTGACTTTTATTTATGACCCCATACAACACTTTGGTCCTCTGTGGATGTTTTAAAGTGCACAAACATATGTGTATATATATATATATATGTATAACAGCACAGCGTAACTCAACTTTATCTATATACCTTTCATAAATGAGTATGCAGTCCAGAGAGCTTCACAAAATAAAAAACAGGCAGCAAATGAAAGCAGTAGCCAGAATTATAAAAGACTAAAAGTGGAATTAACACAATTGATAAGAAATGTAAGGGTGGGAAAAAAACTCAAAATCAATGAAAACTGAAAAGATAATACGAATACAAGCATGAATTAATGAGTGAATGAAAAAAACTGTCTTAACATCTGAAGTCATCGTTCTACATACCTGTTTGTTATCTTGTTTGTTACATATGTGTGCAGTTGTTGTTTTTTTTTCCGCTTGGTTTATACATATCACATTTCACAGAATCATCTTTGACATGTTTGGAAAACAACAACCCAACAGGATGTTTGTATCGTTGATCTCTTAGATATAGCATGAAACAATGTGCTGCTAGTTTCACAGCGTGGACACAGACTGAGGGCATGTCCTTAAAGACAAGTCAGTTATGTCTCTGCCTACATATCTTATCACCATCCATCTCTAAACCCACAGCCTGTCCGAAAGCATGAACTTATGCTTTTCAGTACCTGGCGACATCCTGCTCAGGTCACGGACTTCATTCCTGCTCAAGAGATGTTTTTAAATTCCTTTTTTCCAAGGCCGTAAAACAACGGCACAAACAAGTTTTCCTGTTTTCTTTTTCCTTGGAAGTGAAAGTTTTTCCGAGATTCAGCATCGGAGATAAGTAAAACCTTCTCCACCTGAGAAAAAGTGTCAGTATTTCTCAAACTATTAACCCTTACTCCTCCCATGTGAAACCCTCACACTGTGCGTCTGACAGAAGGGGTCAGCGGCTGCGTCTCTGGACCAAAGGTGTGTGAAGTAAAACGGGGAAAAGTCAATGGCCAGGTGTTGGGGAGACAGGCCAAAGTCAATACATTTAACTCCAGATTAAAACTATTGATCCCAGCCCATTTGTGCACGATAAATAAAGTGTGAGGGGGGAGTAAAAGACAGCTGGGACTAAGTTTCCCCTGCGCTCCGGTGTTCGCACCCTCCACTGTTTGCCCTGAGAGCCCCCTCCCACTCCCACCCCTCCTAATGCCTCATTCTCATTTCGTCTGTGCCACCTGCATTGATTTTCAATTTGTTTCCCCTTGGCTGTGGATCATCAGTTATGTGGCCAAGAGAGAGTTTGGGGGGTTCTCCTTTCAGAGGGGCTGCAGCAGCAGAGGGGGCAGACTTGCATGCATTCCCAGTACAAATGGTGTTTTGATAAAAAATCACTTGTAAGTCAATATTTTTTTATTAAACTGTGCACAAACCTGATTGATGAAGATAGGTGTTTGGCAGAGTATGTGGAGGAGAATGTGTGTGTTTGTACTTGCCACGCTGTTCAAACATGAAGTGTTACAGATCCAACATACCTTGGTTCGAATCGAGATAAGCTTTCAGGAGCTTTTTGTGAAAACATGTGATCATTTTGATCTAATTGTTCATTTAAAATACAATAAAACTTTTTTTTAAAGTTTTTTTTCTTGCCAATCTTCTTCACTCTGCTTGAATCTTTATCTTTTAGCTAATAACTTTCATCAGCCTCGTTTAAAAAACTCCTGATATGTACTTTAGACAAGTTATTTGCTAATTCTAACTCACTGTGCCACCAAGACCCTTCAATTTTATTAAATGAGGATGACTTTGGCACTAAAGATAAATGATCTCTTCAGGGAGAGATCTCTCATTCTGCGGCTGTGTGTGTGTGTGTGTGTGTTTGTATTTGAGGGGGTTGCACGGCGGTCCGTCACGCCCCGAACCCTCTGAGCGCCGGCTGATTTTTCTTCGGCCCCCAGTCACAGCAGCAGCGTTGGCAGACAGCAGGCCTACTGCTTAATACCTTTTAAATTGTTTTAATTTTCTGTCTTTATTGATCTCTCGGGGCATGATTAATCAGATCAGTGGAGCAGGCAGTTAGTACATTAAAAATTGTCAGCGGCGTGTCAGGGATGATTGGGTGCTGAAGTGTGAGCATGAGGGGTAATGTCTGAATGTGCTGGGCGGTCGAGTGTTCACTGTGAGCGTCTCTATTCTTTAAAGTTTCATGTGTCTTTGGGAGAGTAAGAATATACAGTGTGTCAGACTCGATCATTCAATACAAAGCCCACAAATCAGCGCACATAATGGTGAAATGAACGCTTTAATTCATCACGTCAGCGGTGGAGTTCAGATGATTTCTGCTGTTTTTGGCGTCATATATAGATGTTTAGTTTTTATCGTGGATGGCTGCTGGAAAATGGCTCTGAATGGGTCACGTAGAGCTCAGTAGTTCCCTTTAAAAGTCTTAAAAACTGAAGTTTTATCCAGTTTGATGTGAAGATGTGTGGCTCATTTTGGCATTCTTAGTTCAGTCTCTATAGGAAAAATGATATCAATAACAAAAAGTGAAATAATCAATGGATATAAGGCCTCTTTAAGTCGAATTCAAAACCACAATTTATCATCTTATTCTTCTCTGTTTTTTGGTTTATCCCTACAACAATTACTTAATTTCTACTTATATTCTGATTGTAAGTAATCATTTATGGTTTGGATGGTGCTAGATGATTAATTTTATAATATTTATCATACCCCTGCTGTAATTTTTGACCATTTTTGCATCGCTGTACCTTATAAGCGTTTTCTTATGCTCCTTTTCGAAAATTAAAATTTGCAAAAACAGTAAGGGTATATTCTTAGCAATAATGAGTTCCGATGCTCACCATAGCGATGAACTGATTGATTTCATAATAATCTTCTTTTTACTCTCTTATTGTTTTTACGCTGTTTGCTGGTACGTTCATCGGTTAATGTCAGTCCATTTCTCTTTCTTCACAGGCGTTGGGGAGCATGTACTTCATCCACAAGTCACTGGAAAACATCCACCAGTATGATTTTAATGGTAAGTTTCACCTTCAACATAAACCCCACCCCTTACATCTCGAACTATTTTGTTAATGGCTCATAAAAAAGCTTCTAACATCAGTGCAGCGACTTCAGACTTGCATGTGATTGACATTTAATCATCAGACATGTGAGGACATCTCTCTGTGTTATTGCACTTTGATGGCCGGTTATTCCAACCATGTATTTGCAAAGCACCTGAATTTAAAGTGGAGCTCTTATTTCGCTGCTGCATAGTCCAGTCACGTTAGGCATGAAAAAGCTCCTCAGAAAAGCTTATGGAAGAACCATAAACATCCCGCAGCTGCCACCGGCTGTGCAGCCCAAACCGATTGTTGTTTGCCAAACACAATCTAATGGCTCGCTTATAGATCCTCTCATCACGTATGCCGCTCTGATGAGGTTAACACCAGTTTATTGATTGCTGTTTGCATGTTTTCTCACTCTTTTACATGTCACCCCTCTCTCTCTCATTCCTCCTACTCTCACAGATAAAGATTTCAAAGCAGTGTCAGGGCACAACAAACACGTGGGCTCTCTCGACGGTGTCACCACAGTGGAAAAAGAAAAATTCCCCAAGAATTTCTGGCCTGATGTGAGTATGTATGCAAGAGTGCATCTGTGTATACCTGCGTTTTTAGATTTGTGTGTGTGTGTGTGCAGGTGTAAGGAGGGGGGATGTGAGGGCCAAAGGGAGATGTTGGGACAAATGAGTCTACTGGGGCTTCGGTGGGCTGTCTGCCTGCTGTGACAGGGAGATGAGACAAATTATGTGCGAGAATCAATAATTATCAGTATGTCCCTTCAAAGACACGGCTCACTGCTGTTTAGTGACCCACTCTCATCTGTCTCTGTTACAGTTCAAGTGGTCCAGGAAGGGCTTCATGAGGACCCGCTGGATCATACACAACCAGTACGTAGCCGCACCCTGAAAAACTTCAGGCTGAGACTCACTTCTACTTGTTTTGTGTAAAAAAACTGCAGCGACTACTCCCACTTTTAGACCAAAAGTAGTGGTCTTGTGATCTCCTGCAATGTTTTTTCTCTTTGACCTGCTTTGTCTGTTTATCTACTATAAAACAATAGACTGCTCCACCCCCTGTTTCCACTTCAGGGGCCGGGTTGGGTATTGTTAGAAGGGAAACAACAAAAAAAAGCTGATAAAATACTTCACAACTTTACTTTTTGACCCTTTATTCTTCCGTGCTGCTGCTGCTCTTTTGGTGAAGAGGCCCTTGAGAAATGGCTGCGAATTTCCTGCTCAAATCAAAACAGCGATTAGTAAAGAGCTAATGAACAGCCTGGAGGACTTTAAATAAAGGTACAGTGGGTAGAAATGGGAAGTCAGATAGAAATTAGGTCATAACTTCACTGCCCCCTCCCAAAATCCTTTAATAATAATGATAAATAACAATATACTAGGGCCCGACCGATATGGATATTTTAGGGCCGATGCCGAAAAAACTCTGATTACAGATTAATCAGCCGATTTTAAACATTTTTTATGAAGTTTTAAAATTTTGTTAATTTAAGTAATTAACAAAAAAATCAACATATTTACTTTTTTTTTTTTTTTTTTTTTTTTTTACAAATGGCTGCTTTTGAGCCTTCCAAACACTTCTCAGTAACATTGACATTAACCTCAGTAATATTTTACGTATTCATCATGAATCAAACTCGGACCAGAAAAGCGTTTTCAACTCTCCTCCGTGCGTCCCTGAGCTGCCTGCTTCAGATCCGTCACTCTGCTGTGCTGTGAGGTAGTTAGTGGTTGGGGATCGTCATGAGGTCGCTGCACCATCTACTGGATTAGTCGGCGGAACATTTTTGAAGTGAAACCGAATCTTATTCTTCGCATTTTATTTCTGAAAATATCAGCAACAATTGGCGAGTTTTTGGCCGATTACCGATTAGTCTCAAACGTGCTAAAATTGGCCAATTTAATCGGCTTGCACATTTACCAAAAGGATATTTAACAAAATAAAAGTCTTACCAGGGAAAATCCCACAGTGATGCAGCCATTTTTATTCAGCGCTTGCCAGTGTGAACCTGTGTTTGTTTTACTGTACGTTTGCCAGAACATTCCTCTGGGAGTCAGCATGTTTGGTTTATTGGATAACATAATTAATTTTGCAGAGATGGCCTAAAAAAACGAGTGAACTCAGAGTACAAATGTGTTTGTTTTTCGACTCAGAATCAAAACATGTTTATTGAAGAGAGAAGATACATCCTTAGACGTGACACACATTTCCATTCACCCTCACCGGTCTGGATTTTTTGATTTTTACTTTATTTAACTTTCATTTAACCAGGTAAAATCTCATTGAGATCATTATTCATTTACAAGGGTGACCCGGCCAAGAGGTCAGCAGCACACATCATAATAAATGCAATAGATATGAGAGAACCAACAACGAATTCACAGTTAAAGTGCAACAAACATTTTGAGACAATTACAGTTTAAAAACACGGGCATTGTTCGTAGGATTTTCTCTGCTCAGCGAATAAAATGGAGCAAAAGTCTTCAAATGAAACCAGTTCTGACATTTTCAGCCCTGTGTGTTGTGTTCCAGGCTGCAGGGGCAGCATAACAAAAAGCCTGTTTCACCAGTTCAGTTCAGACTCTGGGCACATTTAGATGATAAGTTGCACAGGATCATAACGGATAGGCACTTCTTGATTTCCAAAGAAGAGAACAGAGGTAGGATGGGACCAATCCAAAGAGAGACTTATAAATCAACATCATCCAATGGGTGGCCCTCCTGGAGCTCAAGGAGGGCCACTCAACTTTGGCATACAGCTGTGGTGCTGTCAGTTTGGTTCCTCTGTCACCTGCAGAGTTTCATCATATCTGGTCTGCTTGTGCCCTTCACAGAGGTCTGGACCTGGTCAATGTCCACCTGTTCCACGATGCCTCCAACCTCATTGCCTGCAACTCCAGTCCATCAATTTACTCAGCCAACCGCAAAAATGCTCTCAGATATGTCATCAACAGGTCAGATTTCAAAATACTCTTAACTGTGAAAAGCATGACTTTATAGGGGTTAATAGATTCCTCTAAATGTATATTAAATTAATCAATATTTGTCCACAGAAAGGCCTGAGCACCCCTGTTCTTACCAAAAGGATCTTTATTTTCTCTCTAGGATATCAGACAGCCGATTCACTCCTCTGCCTTTCTTCGTGTTTGGAGATTTCAACTTTCGCCTGGACGCCCTGAGTCTGGTACAGGTATGACACTACTTTAATTCCTCCTAAAACTACATGACTCTTCTCTGCATGTGTGTAAATTAACTAAGTGTTTCTTCTTGCAGCATCTGTCTATTTCAGCAGATGTTCAGACGGTAAAGAAAGACAGCAGTAATGAAGTGGAGAAGATCATCTGTGAAGAAAAAGACAACGACCATCAGGTGATGAAAACTGGGTCAGTAAAGACAACAGCTTACGTGGAGATGTTTTTGCTTAACTTGCCTGCAATTCACCCGCAGGTGCTGCTCCACATCGAAGAGAAGCTGTTTGCCTACCTGCATCAGGCTGTTTTCAGGGAGGACAACGGCAGAGCGGTAAGAAAACAGTTTTGATATGATATCAACACGATCGCGTTGGCAGAATTTTCTGTTGCTGGTGCAGCTGTTTATTTACAATCTAACATGCCATGCTTGATTTTAGGTTAGATCCCGTCACTAGATCTGACCTAAAATCTAGGTGGTTGCGAAAGATGCAAAAATAACCTTCTACGAATCCCCACAGTTAGAGAATTTATTATCAGTGCCCTAGTTTCACTGGCTCATTTTTAAAATGATGAGACTTCCTGTGTATGAGTCATGATCTTTTCCCCTCAGCTCTTGAAGTACGATAAAGAAGTTGGAGCCTTTCATGATGTAGTTGGAGAAGAGGAAATCAGCTTTCCACCGAGGTGAGAGGAGTAACAGAGCTGCTTATCCCAAACACACTTTGAACTTTGAACATGAAACTCTGTGGATTTTTTTCTAAAACACACTCTCTGTTTCTTAGTTACCCCTACAGTGAAGAAAACACTAAACCAACTCAGTACATGAACACCCGCTGTCCCGCCTGGTGTGACCGTATCCTCATGTCGCACGCTGCCCAAGAATTCATCCACAGGGTCAGTCAGTGCTCAGTAGACTTTTGATGACTTTTTATGATGCACAAAATGAACAAGACCGTCAGCAACAAGACTGATGGTTTTATGGGGGGGTAACTGTCAGCTGAGAAAACTGCTCATACAGTTTTCTCTTAAAATTTTGACAATAAATGACACAAACTAACATCAAGAATCAGCAGAATATGATTTTTGGTCAGTTGTTTAGATGCATAAAAAATCTCTTTGTATTTGTGTCTGTTTGAGACACGTGAGGAACATTTTAAAGGGTAACATTTGAGCACCTCAGAGATCTGACTGGAGAATAAAAACACTTAAAAGTGCTTAAAATCAATTCTAACTGAGAGAGAGAGCCAGGGCAGAGTAAGGTGATCAGTTTATGGGTTAAAACTCTGACAGTGGAGTCTGAATGAGCTGGAGTTTTCTGAGAAGTCTTAAAGGGATGTGGTAAAAGCATGACTTATAATTTCATTATCTTTCTGGGGTCAGACTTTCGCAGTGAAACGGAGGTGATAAAATGAAGTATGACCTCGTTAAAATGGCGTATAGATTTAAATCTTAAGTCACTTCGAGGTTGCTCCTCTTGCTGCTTTGGGACCTATGAAAAGGTTTTCTGTTTTATCTTCATTCTGATTTAAAAAGTTCTTGCTCATCTGTGGGGTAAGGGTTTTTAGAGCATGTGTAGTGATGCAGAAATGTTCAGCTGAGTGTCATCTGCATAGAAATGAAAGAAAACATCTTTATTGTTCTTGAAATGATAAAAAAAAGTATTCGTCCAGGTTTTAAAAGATTGTAAGCAAATTTAAAAACCTTTGTTTTAACACTTTGATTGTGAATTTTAATGGTTTAGTGGCTCTGTAATACTTCAAACACAGTGAAGTGGGATAATACATTTGAAAGAAGTCAACTCAAACGCCACATTTACTCTGTTACATGTCCAGCTAACAACATTAACTTTCCTCCCCAGAGAGATGATGATGAGAAGACGGTTATTTACAACACAGTGGGTCCCAACATCTGTATGGGAGACCACAAGGTAACAGCTCAGATTTCATATCTATTGTTCAGGCGAACAAACCGGGGATGTGGAGTGAACTCTGTTGTTCTCTTCTTTTCTTGCAGCCGGTTTTCTTGTTCTTCTCCCTGAAGACAAACGAACACTGACAGGGATCTTTCTCAGAGGTGAGTGCATGTGTCAGAGAGTGAGCTTCTATAGTGTATAAGATGCAGAGTTGTCTATGTGTCTCTATAGTGGTTCCAGAGGGAGGGATTCAGTGTGCTGGAGCGATCACAGCAATCTTACACAGCTCCCCTGGGAGCCATAACCGCGGCTGGACCATTGGAGTCGGGATATGAACTAAGATGAAGTGCCTGCGGGACACAAGCACTCCTTTGTGTCCAGTGTAGTTGGACCACAGGCGATCAGCACCTTTCACTGATCTATGTCTATTGAATCCTCTCCACTGTCACTGTGGATACACACTAAGTGCACCTCAGGCCTGCTCTTCATTAATTACCATCTGGATGGCCGTCCAGAGAAACATGCATTTTACTAGACAGAATATTGGCATTTTTATGGCCATGATTTTGTTTTGCTGCTTTTTAAATTTATTTTTTTTAAGGATGAATTGTTTTTTCATGAGGGTCTTTCTTTGGAGGGTTGCAGAATGATGAGAGGAACACAATGAAAAGACTAAAAAGATGCTGCAGACAGCTTACTCGGTGTTACATGTATGACATTCATAATTCGTGATTGTAAAACGGTGGTTGGTGTGTGTTTTAAATGCAGCACCCAGGTTAATGATAATTTTGTGTTTCTATTTGTGTGTCTGCAACAGGTTATCAGCATGATGATCACCCACCTATCAGCTGGTTATGGGCCTGAACATGGAAGAACCCCCACCTCACATCGCAGGTGTCTCACATTTGATCTCCCAGCCATATTGATGACATGTGCACAGATTTATTAGAGGATTTCATGGATGGAGGACGGTCTCCTACTTCCCTTTTTGTAACAGGAATAAATGCCGATGTCTGGACTGCAGCTCTGTTTGAACAGTTTCAGTCGAGTCATTTATATGCTGTTATGTTACAATTAATTTCTATTACCCCTTAAACTTTCTTAAACCTCTCAAGTCTGCAGATAGAAACTAAACTAGATAGCTTGAATCCAGTATTGCGACATTGTGGCGTTGATAACTCTTATTTAAACATTACGAGGAAAATCAGTGTTAATTTGAGAGTCTATGTAAAATTACGAGCATTCGATTGTGTTTAATATGTAGCATCCTCCTCACTGCGTATCTCACTGCCTCGCGTATCTTAATCACATTTAATTCAGAGCACATTTTGATAGATCGATATCAGGATTCTTATAAGAAAATGATAGAGAAATGACACTAGACGTTTTATAAAATATCGTAACGCAATGACACAAAGACAACAGCAGTTGATTCTGATGAGGGAAGAGCTGAGTTAATTTGCATAATCTAGCAGCGGTGTTTCACTCTGTTTAATTAAGTAGCAGTCTTTTGTTTATTTTCTCATGTAACATCTGTCCGTTAATACAAAGTGCTTTATTCAAGAGGTTGAAACCAAGCAGTTTTTCTATGTTTTGATTGTATCTATCGTCACTCAGAGACAGTTGTCTGCACTGTTTATCTCGTTTTTTGCAGAATTCTCTCCATTCCTCTCCTGGTTGGCATCGACCTTATTTCATTGCCAAAATAATAACAATGTTGGCTGCATGTGTTTACTTCTACCTTATCATGTAAGAGTGCAAATGTGTTTGTTGGTACACAGGGCACTGTTTGAGTTTGGATGTCTTCGGTTTTCTCTTGTTTGTTTTGTTTGATAAATAGTCTCATAATGTAGCACCAGTAATATATTTTTGATCATGTATTATTGTTAGGATTTGTTGGCCAACTGACACCATTTACATCATGTTATACGATTGTTTTTTTCGAATTGTCCACCCTGGAGGACTGCAGCTAGTGGCAGCTGGTGTGTGTTTTGATGAGCGTGTTTCTTCGTTGTTAACACTCCTTGTATCTTACCGATTTCGGGGAACACAGTTCGCAGGATTTTTGGACCGTCAGCCATGTTTTAAAGTGGAATCCAACACTCGTCATAACAAGGTTAAGTTATAGGTCATGTCTGATCAGTGTGAGAACAGTTCTTAGGTTTTAGGATTCGAGCTGGTTACTGCTGACTGGTCATGAGTGTGGAGTTTATTAAAAGGCCAGTATTACATATAGACTAACTTTGTCAAACACTACTTTATTGTGATATTTCTCTTTTGTAAATAAATGTTACCCTCATGAGTATTTTGCATCATTTATTTTGTCCTTATCACACTGCACTGACAGGTTCAGCTAAAAATACTAATATCTGTCATTGGATTTTGAAGAAATGGATAATAATGGCCAGCATCTAAAAATCTCAAAATATAACATGTTACATTTTAAAATGATGTCAATCACAGTTTAAATTGTATAAATACTGTACATTTCTAGTTTAGCTCAGTACACACAATCACAGTTTTGGGAGGACTGCTGATCTTACAGTCTTCCTGAGGTCATAGAGGGTCATTGCTGAAAAGACTGGCTGTTTGCAGAAAGCTGCTTCAAGGGACAGTACTGGAAAGCTGACTGGGGGGTAAAAGCGTGGCAGAAAAATGTGCATAAGCAACAGGGCTGCCTGGAAGACCTGAGATTGTTGAGAATTCAAGCTCTTGTAGGAGGTTTACAAGGAGTGGACTGAGACTGGTGTCAGGAGCGCGTCAGGAGTCACTGTGCACAGGCGTCCTCTGGAGAGGGGCTGCAACTGTGGTAATGCTAATATCAAGTCATTCCTGAACGGGAGACATCAGCAGCGTCTTACCTCAGCTGAGAAAAAAAAGACTGGACTTCTGCTCTGTGAGAAAGACCGGAGAGGCACAAAATCCAAGGTGTTCCAGTTGAATGTGAAAATTGACAGTTTCCTGCCTACAGCGTCAAAACTACTACCAAATAGTTTGCTGAAATAGTAGCCTGACCTGAATCCCTCTAAACATCTATGGAGTTTTTAAAAAAAATGTAAGAAACACCCAACCAAAAAAGACAGATCAGCTGAAGGCTGCTTATTATTTTAAACTGATATCTGGGAATATTCTAATAATTTGAAATGCTGGATTTCTGGCTTGAATTATTCACTTTACATGTAGTAAATATAAAATATATGTGAGTTTCAACCTTTTTTAAATGAATGACATGAAAACCTTTTTCAAAATATTTCTTTTTGAGCTGCACCCTCATGCAGCTCATGTTTAGGAAAATGAAACTGTTCACTTTTGCTGCAAGGACACACACACACACACGCCCACACACACCTTTAAGACACACCTGTCTGGGAAATGCCATGTTGAAGATCATATTTATAATGCAATCTTAAGCTGTTAACTTGAAAGGTTGGTTTAAGTACCACATGCCACAATTTTTTACACCCATCCAGGCTTTTGTTATAAGAGGGTGAAATCGAAAACTTGGCTTGAGTCAAAGAAAAAGTATGAATAAAACAATTACACATATTGAATTCACTTCCCGTAAAATTGAGAAAAAAAAATAGAAGAAAAATTATGACCAGACTAAAGCAATATAGACCAGATCATGCATAATGGACTTTCAGCCTGCACAAACTTAAGCATTGCTGTATGTCCGAATTATTCATTCAGAATCCATATGAAGACAATTTATCTGTTGGGTCGAGCTGTGCTTATTTTGAAATGTAAGAAAAATGAGACCTTAAACAGAGGAGGGATCAAGCTTGTATTGGCTATTGAGGACTTTCTGTTCAGATTGGAAGTCTTTAAGGTTTCACACATCAAGAGGCATTTTTTTCCATAATTGCATTTCATTTTTTGTGTTGGTTGAATGGTTTTACTGATAAATACAGAATCTTTTAAGACCAAAACAATAAGTCCCCCTCTAAGATTCACAAATCACAAAGATTATTCGTTGCTATACCATTTTAATAAATTAGCTTTCTATACAGAACAGTGGAAATTGAATATGATGATCGTAACCTACATTGCATGACATGAACCTTTGTACAAGTGCACCATTGGCACAGTCCATTTCATCACGTTTGCAGTGAGAAATCAAAGTAAAAGTGTCCCTGCAGCATTCCTCAGCCTCTCCTCTGACAGTCACCCTGTTGGCTCGATGTTGGCTGACTGCTCCATATGGAGTCCCAGCTCGATGAGTCTGAGGTGAATGAGCCACTCTGTCTGTATTGATTTTATGTTGAGGTGGGTGGTGGGGGACATTGTCTTCGGTTAAACCTCTCTGTACAGAAATCACACTTGATTGGACCTTTGACCTCTGCACTTCTCTTCAGCGTTCGTGCCTTTTTTGTTTTCCAGTTCAGCCGTCACTTTACCACAAATACAGCAGCAGAATTGGAGTTAGTGTAGCAACATTGATTTCCTTTAAAGGCAAACATGACAGTTAAATAGCTCAGTCACAATAATTTATTCGTCTCAGAAGTTTGTAACACTATTGGCCTAAATATTTTTACAATGTATTTCAAAAGTATGTGTACAGTATAAAAGAAAAAATAAACATCTGCAGCGAAAACCACATAAAAATGAACAGAAAATGTGTCACACGGTGCCTGGCTGTCAATTACATTTTTTTGATTGCTTAAAGCTCCTGTGAGGAGTTTTTTTTTTTTAGGTTTATGAAATTCATGTTGATGCTTTTTTATGATACACAAAACAAAACAAAACCATCAGCAACAAGACTGGCAATTTTTAGTTTAAGCACTTTCACTATTGTGAAAACTTTTGCTTTATGTCAGTTCTGATGATACCTCTTTTCTTTTGTGCTGTACATGTAACAGTCGTCTTAGACAAAAAAAAAGGAATCCTGATTTTTTTCTTTTCTAAAAGTAAACCCAAATACTTGCCATAAAAAAGCAAATATAAGGGCTGTCAATCTTCTGATTGACTTCTGGCGGTTTTAGGAAATTTCAGCCTTGTTGCTGATGGTCTCATTCGCTTTTGAATGTCATACAGAGGCATTAGCATCAGTTTCAGCCTGTTTCTCAACCTGTTTAAAACTCCTTACAGTGCCTTTAACCTGCAGATGTATTATTTTTTAATTTTCTACATATTTTCTGATTAAAACTATCGCTCTTCGACCCAATCAGACTATGACATTTTGCATATTTGCAGGTATTTCTAGATAGAATTATATCAATTCAACTACGTGGTCTATGGCACAAAGTGACTCTTCCACCGTAAAACAAAATAACATGAATAACTTAAGACTCCTCACTTTATTTACTTATTTGTATGATTGGTAGTACCATGCAGTAATTTTCTTATTGTTACAAAATGCTGTATATGACACAATCCCTCTTAAAGCAGTGTAACATTAACAGACCAGATATCAGCTCATGAAAGTAAATGTAGTTGAGTTTAATTTTTTACACACAGCCGGTTTGTTTATTAAACCGTCTTGTTAAATAACCACAAATGACCTCTGCTGAACATGCTTTAAAGGCTCATTGATTAAACTCTGATGTTAATATGAACTCATCATTACAGCATGCAGGTCTGCGGTGGTGGGGCGCGCGCGCGTGTATGACCTTTGTGTGTGTGTTTCAGCGCGTGCACAGTTTGGACATTAGACGTGGTGGGGCCCGAGGCGCAGGACGGAGAAGGCCCTGCGGTGTTTGCGGAGCAACAGTCGGATTTTGTCGTCGTCGGAGTCCGGGTCCAGAGGTTTGTTGTACTCCTCGTCCTCGACCTCGTTCTCCGAGGCCTCACCGCCTTGACCCGCGAGGCTAGCCTGCGTGGAGCTCGGCTCGGAGGCGCTCTTCTTCCGCCATTTGGTACGACGGTTCTGAAACCAAACCTGAACACAAACACACCGAGAGAAGCTCTTTCAGTTAACCGGGACAGTTTGTTCGCAGATTAATCATGAAAACATGCTCCTGTTGTCATGTGCTGACCTGTTTTTAACAGTTATAGCGAGTAGAAACTAATTAAAGGTACTTAAAGTGCAGGATAGACTGGTTTGTTTGTATTGTACCTTTCAAAACAAGAGTAGCATTTAAAAGTGCACGTTAAACCACAATATACGATCAAGGAAAAAAGGAAAACACATAACATGAAGAATAATAAAATAAAAAAGCTTGTAACTAATTAAAGGTTCTTAAAGTGCAGGTTAGAGGTTAGACAGGTTTATTTCTATTGTACCTTTCAAAATAAGAGTCGCATCTGAAGTAAACCTCTATAAAGGACCAGAGCAACATAAAAGGTCAAGGGAAGAGAAAAAGACATAACATGAAGAAAAGTAAAATGAAAAGCTTGTAATTAATAAAAGGTACTTAAAGTGCAGGTTAGACAGGTTTATTTCTATTGTGCCTTTCAAAATAAGAGTTGCATCTTAAGTGCTCGTTAAACCACAATAAAGGACCTGAGAAACATAAAAGGTCATGGGAAGAGAAGAAGGCATAACATGAAAAATAGTAAAAATAAAAGCTTGCAACTCACAAAAGGTACCTAAAGTGCATTTTAGACTGAATTATTTCTATTGTACCTCTGAAGTAAACCACAATATATGACCAGAGAATCACAAAGGTCAGAAAGAGAAAAAAAACATGACATGAAAAATAGTTAAATGATGCAAAGCAAAGTTTTAGTGTCTCCTCTCATAAAGGCATCATGTATCCCTTTATTGCCTTTTCTATCATATTTGATAGATACTTTTATGATACTTCTATCAAATCAATATGATCAACAAATTACTAAAAAACACCTGAATACAGTCCGATAAATGATAAAAATGTCCTCTTGTGGTTTATCAGTTTCCAAAAACATCTAATGTACCAAACAAGATAAATAGACATATTTGTTTAATTTTAAGGACATTTAGATTTTTTTGGTTTTCAGTAGCAAGTGAAATAAACATTTCAGCTCCCCAAAAAATATGAATTTTCTGGCCATAATTTGTGGTTTCAGGCATTAAAGGGTTTTTAAACAGCTTCACTAACATGCAGTCATCTTTACCTTGACCTGTGACTCAGTCATTCCCAGAGAGTAAGCCAGTCTAGCTCTCTCAGGCCCGGCCAGGTACTTTGTCTGCTCAAATGTTTTTTCCAGAGCAAATATCTGGTGTCCGCTGAATGTGGGTCTGGTGTGTTTCTTCCTGCCTGACATCTCAGCAAGAGGACCACTATCTGGAAATAACAGGGAGGGGAAAAAATGCACAAAGATAAACCACTGCAGCAATGTCATTGAGTCTTAAGACAAAGATTATGTCCCCCTCTATTATAGATATTGTTTAAATATAGTAGAAGTTCAGTAAAAATCACAAAAACATATAAACCAGCTGTTAAAGTGCAATTTTCACTCGACATTAAACTCATCTCCTGGTGAAAATAGTTGTCTTTAAGATTACAATTCCTGAAAATGTACATACATGCACAATTAAGGGAATTAATTATGTGTTGGAAGTTTTCATACAAATACATGCCGTCACCATGCAATGAGATCATTATGTTGTTGCATATTTCTATATTGTTTCAAACTCAGCTGAGATAGATACGATAAAGATCTTAAACATTGTAGATGATGTCTGCAGTAGAGACTCACTGTTGGTGCACTGCTGCCTCCCTCCTCTCCACTCACAGCCGCTCTCCGCCCAGCAGCTAACACTGCGACCCTTCATGGGGCACTCAGCGCTTGGCTTTGAGAAGCCACCCAGGTTGGTGTTGTAGTCACGGTTGTAGTACACAGATGTACTGGTGACCGAAGGGCCGAATCCCCCCATCGTGGAGTATCCAGACAGCAAGGTGGTGGTTCCCGTGGAGCCCATCCCCACCATGGAGCGGCTCAGGATGTCGCTGATGCCGTGCGGGGTCCCTGCCTGCAGCTGGCTGTTGAGGCCCGGGTTGAGCTTGTAGAAAGAGTTTGGCACAGAGTACTGGCACACCGGGGCCTTCAGGTCTGTGGGGAACTGGTTCAGACTGTTGTTGAAGAGGAAAGACCCCTGGATGTTTGGATCCATGGGGAAATCTGTAACTCTACCTCCAGGTCTCAGTAACACATCCAATAAGATCCAGGCGAAGAAGACCTCTGAGGGGCCCACGAGGAGTTCTCCTACTCACGGGCGATGTCTCGATTTGGTTCAACACCTTTTTGACTTGGTATTTAAATAACAAATAACACCAACAGAATTTTGACAGTCTTCAATGTTTCCTGAAGTTTGCACGGCACCAGATTAACTCTTAACACTTGCCCTGCACCCTCTTCTCAGCCACAGTGCAGTCTGTGATAATCCCATATCTGAAGTCTTGCGTGAGCCCTCCAGAAACAGATTTTCCCCTAAAGGAACGTCCCTCCAGCCGGCTCTCCTCTCAGAAATCATAAATAAGCAGTATGTGGAAATGGACTGGCACCTTGATAAAGATGGGACACATTAGAATGCAGCCCAGGATTGGCCGGGGTCTCACAGCATTAATGGCTTTCTATTGGCTCCTCTCTGAGAGCCGAGCCTTTTATTGGACGGCAGCAGATTAATAGTGTTTTGAACAGGTGGAGTGGGAACAAGTTGATTTTTTGATGGCCTGCTATGTCTGACCAAGTGTGGTAGAGGAGGGGAGGGGGCTGAGCCTGGGGTTGCAAAGAGGAGGAGGGGGGGTTGTGTGCTTTGCTCTGTTTCCTTTAATGATAAGGAAACAGGAAAATAAAACACTGAATTCTTTTCTTGATGCAACCATAACACAAACCTGAGAAAGTCCACATTTCTGCATCCATGTCAGTGGAAAAAAGTATGTAGTGACTATGCTGACCTGAATTTTAGTCACTTTCTGGGTGTGTGAGTGAGGTGTTTTTGATGTGCTTCCAGTACAACAACCCAATGTCCAATCCAAGGTTGTTGTTGAGCTATATTTTGCCATTTATTATGAAAAACAAACAAAAAAAGGACAGATATGTCCAGCTTACGATGATGATGAGGGAGAGATTGCTGTTGGAGATTAGCGGTAAAAACTGTGTGCTCCTCCCGTTCCCCAGATCACCACTTCACCTGTGTCCCTTTTGTAGCATTTACCTGCTAATCCACCTGAAGTGCCCCTTATGGTGATTGTACAAGGAACAAAAATAATATAGATAAAATGGCTCATACAAAGTCTACATTAAAACAAATAAACACTCATGCATCCACATTTTAAAAAGACGTGATTGCTTTTATTTCTTTGGCTCTCTTTTTGCACTCATATTCTCCTTGTTCTAAGTCTTATGCTGTTATAAAGATTTTTTTCTACCAGCATGCTTCAGAAAAAAAGTCCCCTACGAGTCTGAAAAAATAACCAAAAAGACTATTAATGTTATTCTGAAATTGTTTGTTATTGTGATATCCCCTCTCAGAATAAATATACTTTCAAACAAAATATTCACCCACTTTTTTCACACAGGGTCAAGTCTTGGAGCCAAAGTGAATCAGCTCAAACTCAGGCTATCTGCATGAGTTTAGATTTTTTTTGTTGCTAGAAAGAAGAGCCTCATTTCCATGTAACCTAACCTTTGCAAAATGAAATAAAAATGCATCGTAATAAATCCATCAATGAAAAACGTTTAGAAAAACACATGCATTCATATTCATAAGACATGATTGCTATTATTTCTTTATCTCTGTTTTTGCTCTCATATTCTCCTTTGTGATTATTAATTGCATCAAGTCTTATGCTGTTATAAAGATTTTTTTTCTACCAGCATGCTTCAGAAAATTAAAAAAAGGTCCCCTAGGGGTCTAAAGAAAAAACCAAAAGTACTATTAATGTTATTCTGAAATTGCTTGTTATTGTAATATCCCCTCCCAGAATAAAATATACTTTTAAATAAAATATTCACCCATTTATTTTTAAAGTCATGGAGCCAAAGCAAATCAGCACAACCTCTGGCTATTTGCATGAGTTTACACTTTTTTGTTGCTAGAGAGAAGAGCCTAATTTCTATGTTACCTTACCTTTGCAAAATGAAATAAAAATACATCGTAATAAATCTGTCAATTAAAAACGTTGTGCTTGGGTCTTTATTTTGCATTAATTAGTCTCAACATTATAAGGCAGAAAGAGTATTAGTGTAACAAATTAATATGTTACAGGGTTGTGTAAAAACAGAAAACATTCAAATAGGTCAATAAATTATAAATTGCTTTATGGTCAAGTAAACAGAGGACAGTCATTTTGAAAGTCTATCACAGGAAACCTTAGTAAATATTTAATCCATTTTATAAAACTGTTTCTGAGACCTCATACATTTACAGGAATCAAAGTGTGAACTTAAGTTTCATTATAAGTGAGCAGGTCAATTGCCTTTATTTTCATTATTACCTGGCATGATGTCAGATTATGCAATTACACCTGAGAACAAAAGGATTTTCATCCACCTCATAAAGTTGAGTATAAAATAAAAACTTAACATAGAAAATTTGGAGTTATCATGTTACCCCTCAAATTATATGCCATAGGGCAGACTGGGGTAAGATGAGCCATTTTTCATATTTCGGATCACTACATCAAGGCAATCACAGTTTTGTCTCCAACCGTTCACATTAGATGCCGCAATACCGCATAAAAAGATCGGATTTGACAAAAAATATAAACTGTGCATGATAACCTGCAGTATGAACGTAGCCTATGATTGCATATAACTGTTAAAAAGCTGTTTTGTAAAAAGCCATTTTAACACAAGAATGCCTTTTAGTGATTTAGAACATTCACAGCTGTATTCTTGAAAAGAAAAAGTAAAACATTTCAACAATCTGAACTGAAATTCTGTTCCTCTCATCAAACTAATTTACTTTCTCTGTTAAACCACTGGCTCAACTTACCCCAGAACTACTATGATGACTTTATTAGTCCTCTAAGCTAAAATGTTGGACTTTTATAGGTTTTTGACCTCATGTTGTAGCTCACAGATACCTCAATTGATGTAAAAACAATGATGATAAAATGATCTTTTTTGGTCTGAACACAATTCTAATAAAACTTATAACAGACTGAATTCACTTTCAAGAGTGAAAAATGTTTTTTTTTTTTTTTTAAATAAATGTCTAACCCCTTCACCCATGTGCTTCTAACCTTCACAGACTCCATTAATTGATGCCCATCTCTAAAATATTTGGTCACATGATCAATTTTCTTTTGCCATTTCAAAGCAACAGGGGGTGGCTCAACTTATCCCAGTCTCCCCTATTGAAGATTTATAAGTTAATACAGTATATCTCACTGATTTGCTGTTTGATTGGATAGTAATGAACATGTCTTATTGGAGGCTGTCCTGACCATAGACTTCTATATACAGTCTATGGTCCTGACACGTGTCCGGACATGCCCGCTTTTCCAGGGATCCTCTCCGTGTGCCTCTAAGCGTCTGAAATTTCCCTGGGATTTCAGAGTCTTGTTGGAAGAAATCATGTGATTTTGTTCAAGGATGCTGTAGGAAACTCTGTAACTTTCCAAGAGTGATGATGTCAGCCAGGAATCCCAGACATGGAATTACACCGTGTCACATGACCACGACAGCCAATCAATCAGCCAGCGTATTTCCTGTGGGAGGCGACAAAGTGTGTACACACTCATCCACGATTACCGGGCAGAAACCAGGAAACTCTAGAGGTATGGACTTCATCATCGTACACTCATCGAATTTCTCTCGTTTTACACAACATTACAGCACGTAGAGAGTTCTTTGAAAACCACAGAAGAAGCCAAGCAGGTGGAGTTTGAAGCGGTGGTAATTTTCCATCATGTTTTCAACTTAAACACTACTTCAAAACTGGTGTGGAAAAACGAGGTCAAATTGGGTTGCATTTCCGAAAAAGCTTTTTGGGTTCTGAGGAAATGGGTTTGTCTGAGTGAAGTTTTTCAGATATGAGCTTCCCCTCAGTTTAGGAAAACGACACATCTCAAAAAAGGGTCAAATTTACAGTGAATTTAAGCACTTTTATATGAGGAGAGGCACTTTAAAGCTTCAATTCAGGCAGATGCCCAATATGAACACCTTCACATGAAAAATAACAGATTTAAACTTTGAGAAAGTTTAGTTTTAGTGTGAGAAAACAACTTATAGGCATCAGTAAATGAAAATTAAGTACAAACTGGGTGCATTCATGAGAAAATAAACATACACTTTATTTGTAATCCCAATTAAACCATAAATTTTGTCTAATCTTTTCTATTTTTGCAAAACTTACACAATAATATGAAGTTTGTCTTACGGCATAAAACACAAGACAGTAACAAAAGTGAAGAAGAACCTTCGTCCAAAACTTCTGAAATATTTTTTAAATTAAACTTTAACTTCTGTGTGATCTATTCTATTTTTGCAAAACTTACACATGCATATCATCAAGTTTGTCTTACAGCATAAAACACAAGACAGTAACAAAGGTGAGCCAGGACTTTTGTCCAAGACTTCTGAAATATGCAACATCACATGAAAAAAAAAATCTGAAATTTTGGACAGAAATAAGCATTTTTATTAAAGTTAGCAATTTTAACCTCTTTCTGATCTACTCTTTTTTCGCAAAACTTACACATGCATATCATCAAGTTTGTCTTACAGCATAAAACATATGACAGTAACAAAAGTAAACTGGGACTTTTGTTCAAAACTTCTGAAATATGCGACATTGCATGAAAAAAATCTGATATTTTGGACATAAGTGAGCTTTTTTATTGTTAGGCTGTCGCAGTTAAACCATAACTCTTGTATGAAATCTATTTTTGTACACAAATGCATCTGATTATCAGTATGACCTTTGTCTTTCAGCATTAAAACACAGTATATGACAATACCAGATAGAAAAAGTTAGAGATTTGCACATGTGATTTTTACAGATCATGTGTCTCGTGATTTTTTGAGACCCCTCCTTCTTAACAGGTCAAGGAAATGTAAAACAAACAGGAATTCTGTTGGCGGGATGCCCTCCCTGGCCCTAAAACTTTGAGGAAAATTTCCAAAGTTTGGTTCCACCCTCTCGGTCCCGCCTCTTTCACTTTTCATGTGAGGTCTGGATTGTTGCTGTTTTGAAGCAGCACGTGCTCTATTTAAGGCAGCCAGCACTCCCTCTTCATGACAGTTAAAGCAATACATGCGGACGAGAAAGAGACGCGAAGAAAACACTGACAGCCTCTTCAAGATGATGAAGTGTGACAATGAGAACTTGGGTGAGTTTCTTGTGCTTTTTTGTTAACAGAGAAATGATAACTTTGATTTTTGAGATAATGCTTAAATAGTAAAGGGTCTTCGGAATGAATTGTCTTGTTTAATAATATAAGGAGCAAAAACTAATTTGGGATTTTTAAGACTGAAGTTTTGCAAGAAGTTGCCTTATTTATGTATATTTAATGTCAAGACAGATACATTTTTCATTCTATGTACTTATGACCTTAAATTTTGGAATGATCTTTTATGTATAGTTAACATCCTGTTACATTATCTCACATGACTCATCTGACAGAGCTTTGTATTTACAGTAATGTAATAGTGAGCTCTTTGTGTTTAATTGATGTCCTCTCAGTGCTGCAACAGCTCTGCAAACAGGAGGTTATCTTAAAACAAAGAAGAAACATAGGATGAACTCAGCACACTGAATAATAAAAGAGATAAGATGTTTCTAAAAGCTACACACTTCATGGGAAACACCCAGTCTGTCACTGCTCAGAAGGGTTTATAGGTTTTACATACGAGAAGTATGTGGGTTAATGGTATTGCTTCACGTGTGTGAGTAACACCTGTGAGATAGATCTTTCAGTGCACAGGATGAATGATGGTTTATTGATGTCAGCTTCTCTTCTGTGAATGATCAACTTGCTGGATAGATAAAGGAGTACTTGTTTGTTTTGGCCAGAAGGATACGCGATCATGTGGACTGCAAAAGCGAAAGCATTTTCTTCTTTCATTTTGACTTGTTTACTTGCTTATCTGCTCCCTGAGACTTGAAAGCCCTCTTTATGGCTTTACTCAAGTAAATCTTTAACCTTCAAATCCGTCTTGAATAGAGACACCGGCGCTGTAGACAAAACTTGACCTCAATAGAGTTTCTTGAAACCCTTTTCACAAACTGATAAGTTGCAATTTGCAATATTAAGAAATCCATGCACAGCTACATTCATAACTGTGTCATTGTTTTTTTTTTTGCAGACATTGTTGAGACGTCACACAGGTGTGGCTACTCCTGCCTTGGTCCCCTGACCTTCCACAGTCAGGCAGTGGGCACCAAGGTCAGCCTCAGCCATGACCTCCGCCGTGCAACACGGGTCCAAAACACATTTAAGAACGGTCTGGTGTTCAGCAACCGAGCCATTAAACCCATGGAGAAGATTCATCTGCGGGTGGAGAAGGACATGTTAAACTGGCACGGCGCTTTGCGTGTGGGCTTCACCAATATCCCACCATCATCCAGGTCTCAGCCACTGCCCCCCTTGGCTATCCCCAACCTCACCAGCACCCCCGGGTACTGGGCCGCTCCTGTGAGTGAGTCTCTCTGCAGCCGGGGTTCAGAGCTGGAGTTCTGGTTTTCCTCTGGAGGCTCCATCTACGTCTCAGGATCCAACAACCACAAACACAAACTGACAACAGGAGTGGACCTCAGGCTGCCCCTGTGGGCCGTGATCGACATCTATGGAAACACGTGCTCCATCTCCCTCCTGGGTGAGTTTACAAACACAGAATAAGGATTCTTTGCCTTCTGCGTATCCAGTTTGTCCTGTAGTTGTGTGGACTGAAAGCTCACAAGTATTTGATTGTTGATTTTCTTTGCTGCAGGCTCAAAGAAAGTGACCTGGGCCATGACAAAAACCTCCTGTCCTGCACCTGAGTGCCTCAACTCATCTGACAAGAGCCAATGTGGAAACAGTGGAGAAACCATCTCTTTTCTGAAAATTGGAACACAAATAGGTGAGAAAATCATTCAAGCTAGATTTACACTGAGAACTTTGCTTTCGCTAATCAAAAATGGGGAGGAGAATATGATCAACTAATATGAATCTCCTATTTATGATTTCTCTATGTTAGGAGATGATGACAATACGATGGACTGTGTGGTGTGTATGGGAAAACTCGCCAGAGTAAATCTGCCTTGTGGCCACCGGTGTCTGTGTGTTTGTTGTGCTGAAAGGGTCTTCGAACAGTTTGGAAAGTGTCCCCTGTGCCGACATCCAATTTGAGCTGCGGAGGAGGAAGTCAGATCTGGACACCTTTCAGGGGAACGGATTCACCAGAACACAAGCTATTTTGAGTGACTATGAGAAGAAAACAGCATGAGCTGAAACCACAGAGAGTATCCTGGTTGCTGTTTGCTGTAGTCACTGAGCCCGTTTGACAAATAATGTTGTCACATGTCATTACTGGGCTTTTGTTAATGTGTAAATGTTGTACAGAAGCTGTGAGATAAAACATGCTGAGGTGTTAATGTGAAGGTTAGAAGTCTGTTCTGCTTGTGTGGGAAGAAAAATACAAAGTGAAACACTGGAAAATGAAGAAAACTGCAGATTTACTTTTACTGTAAATACCACATGAAGATAGGGATAAAAATGAAGAGCCATACTGTGTGTAAAACTGTGAATTTGTAAAAAAAAATGTTTATATTGTAAAGTTGTTTGTCTTTTAAAAACATGTTCACATTTTTGTACAGTCAGACATGACTCAAAATAAAAAATCTATTTCGTACCTCATGCTCTTTTTGGTTGTCTGTCACACAAACTCATACAATTCTCAGTAAATTTAGAAAAGAAAACTATTATGAAGAAATCATGACGATAAAATGCTCCCAAACAACATGCATCAAGAAAATAAACCTCCTTTTCAAGTGTCAACTCTACTATCAGGAGGAGATTAAACTGCTTTGTTTAACATTTAATGTTCAATAAGAAAAATACATCTTCTACATGAGTGTCTGAGGCGACACAGGCAGTAAAGTTTCTCTCTTAAAAAAGGAAAACCAAATACTTTCATGTTCATCATTTAACTGACCTATGATCACATGACTTTTCTGATATTAACCCTCCTGTTGTGTTCGACCCCTCACCTTACTTAAGTGTTCCCGGTCTATTTTAACTGCTCTTAAACTAACACAAAAGCCATTACTCACCACCAAGTCTTTATTTAACACTCTTTTCAGCTGTAAACAATGTCTCTGAGTAGTAGTTAACATGAATAACTGCAGTGAAAATACAAACAGTTACTGAAAATATATTAAAAAATGAACATGTAACGTAAAACAGAAATCAAAAACCAGAGACCAAACTCCGTAACATATAGTTGTGTGTACTCGTGTGTGTGTGTGTGTGTGTCTGTGTTGGGGTGGTGTGTATGGGGATGTTTTATCATCAGATGGATGAATATAATCTGGATATCCATTCATCTCCTATGGCGGTCACTTTTGACCGGGAACACCACAGATGTAACAAAGTTGATTAAAACATTCAAAGTTTAATGAAAGTAGTCATTATCACTTTTATATGTTCAAGTGCACAATGTGGAGGATATCATTAGGTCTTGAGGCAATCAGATGTAAAATACCAAATTTATGAGTGTTTTAAGTTGTAAATCGGTCAGAATCGACCCGAACGCGACAGGAAGGTTAAGTCTCCCCCCAAAAAAACAGAAATGAATGTAATAAAACAACCAGGCAGCATTTTAAAGGCAAAACTTTGTTAATCGGGGTCAGTAAAGGTCTGACTGCTGGTCTGTTCATTGTCAAATTAAGTTGACCTTAAAGGTTTGCATTGTAGCAGCTCTCCTTTTTATATAAGGTCAGAATAAACACTATGAGTTCATGCTCACCGCTATGTGCATACCATGAATTGATTTATGGAATAAAATACAAACGTCTTCTTGTAACTCAGAGTGAAAAGAGTAATCCATGCAAACAGAAAGAGAAAGAAATGCACACTACAGAGAGGTCACTTGATAAACTGAATGTACCCTCAGTGTGATTGCTCAGGTGGTTCAAAAACCTTGAACAAAGATGAAAACATCTGTGAATCAATGCGGCGAGACTCTCCTGACTCAACATGAACACGGTGTGAAGTTTATTTTTATGTGTTTTTGATAACCTTCAAATCTGGGAGATAAACATTCAGCTAGTTTCACTATTACTTTTATTGTTTGTTTACATGTATAATTAACGTTTCATTGCAGCTAAAGGTTAACCACACAGATTCAGCTTAACAAGCAAATATGCTCATGTGGGTTAAAGTGCACAAGATGTTACTTGATGTCACAGATAAGCAGATGTAATCTCCCTGTTAAGGCTGTAAAGGAATGAAAAAAATTAAAAACAAATGTTTCGTTATTACTATTAAATGGGACCTTCCATCAGACTGATAACAGTGGGAGGTCACTGAGGTGCACGTCTTTGAACAAGGCTCTTTCAGGTCATTTCCTAGATGCTGCACAGACTCTTTTTCCCCCTTTTTAACTTGTAATTTAAAATGAAGGGACCAAGAGACTGAATGAAAACTAAACACAGTGATTAAGGTTTGCTCTCAAAATAAAAATAGTCTATCAAAGAAAAGAGCTTCCGCTATTTCAATCAGTATTAGTGAAGAACTGAAAAAGAAACTTCTTTGAATAAGTTCAGCCACAGGTTTAAAAAACAAACCTCTGTATATGTATTTGTATTAACTAAAATATGCTTTTATGCACTCATGTTGGGCTGTGGGACATCCTCGTGTAAACAATGTTCAAAGTATGAATGTAATTGTCCAGTTTTTGATCCATAATGTTGCATAATCCGTGTATTTGGATGGTGGTGTGCATGACGAGCTGCAGAGGCAGATCCAAGAGTTTGCAAAGGTGGTCTTTGTCACACCAACAATCCTTGAACGACTGTTTGGGATTGTGTTGTTACAGGCTCCTATTAGCTTTCATTGCATTGACGCACATTTTCACTATTTATCTATTTATTGGGAGTTAAAGGGTAAAAGGGTGTGACCATTTTTCAATTACAAATTAGCTTTGTTGTTGTTTTCTTGTGAGTGTTAAGAAAAGTCAATGCGTTGATTATTCAGTGACTCTCTGTTGTGTCCTGTAATAGTAGATCAGGTCACACTTTATATGAGCGTCCTCATAATAAACACATATCAATAATAAATAAGCCACTGATAAGACCCCATAAGATGTTGATAAAAGCACAATTATTATTGCTCATAAAACAGTTACAGGCTCTCTGTTTACAGTTAATATACCTTTATAAACATACATTTTACAAATGCCATCTTCATGATCGTCTTTTGTAAAGGAGTAGTATTTATTTTTGTTTTTGTTGTCTCTTTCGTTTCAGCCCTCATGGAGAAAACTGACCAAGCCTGTTGGTCTGGCATGCTGCTCTACCACACAGGTGAGGAACATGTTTGATGTCAAACAGAGAGACACGCGGCACCATTTTTCTTGTCTTTGCATAGTTCAGTAAACTGGTCTGACCCGATGATGATGTACTGAACTTTGAAGTCATTTTTACCTGAAACCATTTCACAAATTTTACTCTTACAAGAACTTGTAAAGATGTTTCTTGCATCACTTTTGTTTTTATAAAATGAGAACTAGCTATGCATCTGTTTTAGATCTGAAAATGTGTCTTTAATTGTCTCCCTGACTGTGTGAAGAAGCTTGGATTGCAGATTATTTCCACCCACAGTTAAAAAGATAAAGCCAAGGTCCTTATCACCCCCTGTGGACATGTATTTCCCAAACGTGATTTGCAGTCTCGTTTTCATCTTTATCTTGGGTTGTAAAAACTGTCATGTGGAGCCTTAGGTGTGCCTGTTGGCCAGGCCCTGAGTCTGGATCAGCATGTTTTAGTTTTCTCCTCCTTCTTTCTTGAAAAAGGTCTTTTGTGTTCAGCTGTGTCATGCTTTTGTTGAATCTCAGTCTGACTGTTGCAGTTTTTTTCTGGCCTTGTCTTAAAAACCCGTCTTACATCTTCTGTGAGTGCTTCAAAATGCTGCTGCTAACCTGATCGTCTGGATGGTCACGTGTTACACCTCTTTTATCTTCACAGAGACTCCTTTTTAATTCAATTTACACCTTTATACACTGATGATTGAGAATAGACTGTTGAATGATTAAGCATTAGCTTATGTTTAGGTGAAGCCATGAAACTCAGGTCATCTGGTCAGGTAGGGGAGATCGGGGCTTGTTGTCACTTTTTACACTCTTATATATTTCTTGCAATCAATACATCATATATAAACAAAATGTGAATCAAATGAAAGATCAAAGTCTCAGGTATATATTTTGTATTCATGTCATTTTTATATCTAGTGTCAATTCAGAGTTATAAGCAATCAAGTAGAGAGTGTGAACATGCGACATATGGGGTAAGATGTCACAGTGGATTTTGCAGCTAGGCACAGGCACAGACAATGTTTATCATTGAGGTTGAAAAAGTCATTGTGCAAACGTTAACATAAAATATATTACGCAACATGCTTTGAATTAAAGTCTGTAGTAACTGCTGGAACATAGGCTATGGCTCTCAACATCAAATGCCTGTTTTACTTTTTGAAACTGAAAAATCCAGATTGAATTGAAAATGTGGACATAGTTCCAACAACAACTTGAAGATCCATTCATAAAAACTCATAATATACTCCTCAAGTTGAAGTTCTCACTGTGCGCTAAAAACCTGCCGTGTTGATTTGTACCCAACAACTGTTGTTGGGACACCTATCTCCATGTTTCGGCTGGGGTGAATGCTTTGCAGTACCGAGCCAAGGTTTGGTAGTTGACATTAAAGTCCTTTATTGTCCTCCAGATTGGTTTATTAGCTAGGGTCACCTGCCTCCTCTCCTTTAAACCAGTGGTTCTCAAGTCCAGTCCTCGAGGTCCACTGTCCTGCATGTTTTGGATGTTTCCCTGCTCCAACACACCTGATTCAAATGATCAGCTCGTTATCAAGCTCTGCAATGGCTTAATAACGAGCTAATCATTTGAATCAGGTGTGTTGGAGCATGTCATGAATCTGAGTTAAACAAAAAAAAAAAAGGGATTAATTTACAAAGAATTAAATAACAAGCAACAAAATCTTACTATAAAACTATAAAACTATAAACTATAAAACTCACAAGACAGGACTACAGGGGAACAGAAACACACTCAAATAACAAAACCAGGGGCAAACTAAATACCAGAACATATCATGACATCTGCTGATAAGCAAACTCTTTATGTTAATTTTAATCCCTTTTTATACTTGTTATTCTGGGGTAAATTATCACATGTGACAATTTAACCCAGAATGACTGAGACATGTCACCCCAAACTACCATGTCTACTAATTGTTGCTCTATCTTAAAGTTACCTCAAAACAGAACAATGACTGAACAAGGACTTTTAAAATATATCAAGTTAAATTTTTTTTACTAAGGGTTGTGTGAAATGGTTAATTGGTGCTCATCTCAGCTCACAATGTGCTCTTCTCTTCTCAGACAGGACACGACCCCTGACCATGTAAAAGAACAAAACTAGTATTCCACTTTTTAGTTGCACCCCCAGGTGGAGAAGATAATTGCAATGTGACAACTTACCTATGTGACAACAAGCCCCGGTCTCCCCTATTGCAGTCTGTTGAGTCTGTTTGAGGTTGTCACCTCTAAACCTTTTAAATATCTCCAACCATAACTTAAGACTGTGAATTTTGTTAAGTTTTTAAAAAAGCTGTTTAAGATCAATTTATTCAGAGTTGTCTGTTAAATCTCTCTGCTCTTAATATCTGTTGCATATTTACCTTTTAATGTTTAATCACGAGACACTTTATAAATGTTCCACACTGACTCACTCTCTGACACATGCACATCTTGAAGAAGTGCACATATCCGGTCATAAGAGGCATCAAACAATAATTTCCTATGCTTGAAACTATTTCCTGTGTATTCTTGTTGGCATGTTTGAGGCTCTGGCGACATCTGTCTGTGATAAGACGGTAGAACGAAACTAAACTTCAGGTGCAGTTCATCTTAGAGCCACTGAGGGGCAGTATAGTTTTATTTAGTATACAAGCATCTGTCACTGAGTAAAGTTTGACAAGGCCTGAAAGTTTTACAAGTTTCACTGTTACTGACATTTAAGATACGTTATTAGACCTGCAATTAAACAAGAAGTGTCAGTCAAGCAGAGTTAATTATTGCATCTTGAACATTTATTTCTGATTTTATTCTGATTTCCTTTAAAGTTTCTTGAAGTGTTATAACTCTCATGGTGATTATTGTACCTGAAGATGATTCCAGATTTGACCTTTGTCCTCTAATCTTTCTGCCAACCTGTCAAATATTTATCTTGCGCGGAAGACTTCTTGTACTCGGCTTGTATGTGCAGGAATCCAGCAGGCGTCTTCAGACCCAGAAAATATCTGCACAGAAGCTTCACGCCGTTCAATATGAAGTCTACAAATCACAGCTGATCTGACACCGGTGGGTTTAAAGTAAGGAGAGCTGTAGCTGTAATCCTCTTGGCTGTGCTGCAAGGTTTTCCTCATACTGGGTGAGTCTGGTACTGGAAGAGAACATGGAAATCCTGAAACATCTGTGTATGAGTGTGGGAGTTAAAGTGTGTGCATTTCATCAACAAAAACTCTATGTTAAGATAGATGGTGCGAACATAAAGACAAGTGAATAGAGCCGTCAGGAAACTGTCTTTTGTGCAAGATTTGAATATAGCAGACATGACATAAAGAGACACATGACAGCACAAACACTTGGTTGTTGTATTATAGATGCTTATGGGATTATTCATTGAGACGTCTATGGAGATCGCCTCCTCTTCCTAGCACGTAAAACACTAGAGGGCGGTGCCACCGAGCCCCCGCCTGTACGGGAATCTCTATTATTTCCAGCTGTGGATGGAAACTATTACTGAGCTCCTTCTCCCTGATGAGCTTTCAAGTGCACACACACACACACACACACACACACACACACACACGCATAACACACGCCTACGGAGCCTCAGTCAAACATTCAGACCCACGCTGAATCACTGAGCAGAGATAAAAGACACCCTGTTGGTCTGAGAAAGAGAAAGAGAGAGAGAGAAAGAGAGAGAGAGAGAGAAGATCAGCAGAGGATCCCTCCTTCCCTTTCATTCACTTCCTCTCTCCCTCTGTACTGAGGACACCTCTCAGCTCTGACTGTAAGTACTGTACAACTTCTGCTACTTCAAATCGAGGCTTAATATCAAGAAGTCAGTAGTTTAAGTTCAGATAAGAGGTGTTTCTTTTCCATCTTTAAATCTTTTCATTTCCCTCTGCAATGTTTTTTATGTTTTTCTTTCATCAGTCATCTTATCTGCAGAAACCACACAGACAAACATGCAATGTTTATCACTGTTTTGTCACTGTTGTGACACGTTTTGTAGTTTCTCCCAGCACATGTTGAGTAACAGCTGAAAAGGGCGGACTTTGCCGCGGCAGATGCGGATCTTTTACTGTCTGTGGTTCAGGGGATGGTTATCATCAGACCTCTGTCCAAGAGCGGCCCCACTTGTTTTGGCTTTTAGTTGTTGTTTTGGTCTGAAGCGACATATTTCATTTGTTTTTTGAGATGTTTCCTTCAGCAAACTTCTCCACATGAGCATCCCCTGAGGTCCCATGATGGTTTAGGACTATGTTGGTTTGTTTGTCTCCGAGTTCTGCATGTGCAGCTCAGTAAGAAATGTTGTTTACAGCTGAAATAAACCATGATGCTTTTGTGTTTGTCCTGAGAGAAATTCCACAAGTGCTGCCTCAGAGCTGATCTTCTACCATGGAGCTCATCTTCTCTGAAAACTCACCTGTCGAGTTGTACCTTTTCATTTGATTTAACTTCATTGTGGCGTATTTACAGACAAGCTATCTCTTGTTTCTTAAGGGAAGCCCGGGGCTACAGTGGTTCAATTATGTATTATATAACAGCTTCATGTCAGCATTGTTCATCCGCTGAAGTCTTTGGTGATGATGCTTTATGAGCCTCTGTAACGTGCACTAAAAGTTGATAATCTTAACCCACAAACGTGTTTTCATCAGGGTTCCAATCAAGTTATTTCTTGAAATCACTGCAAAGTCTCATTAGTTAGTTGTGATTAATCACATTGTAACTGCATGACTGAATTTCACATTTTTTAAATAAAATAGTGTAAAGTCTGACCAAAAATGCATGCAGTAAAATTCATGTTTAGATTAATTAGTCAGATAAATGCTGCGCTGCTTCACCTGTGTGCTCTGAAAACATGACGAAGAGGTTTAAGAGGTGAGAAACAGATCCATAGCACTTATTTTGTGAAATATAGAGTTTATTATTTTTTCAAGAAATGCCTGTATGATGTGATTTTATTTCTAAAATACTCACAGAAGTATTCACACTTTTAGGAGTACCTGTTTGGTTTTATACCTCTGTACGCAGGACTCTGCAGCTGACATGCTAATCAGACTTCAGCCTTTCACAGTTTTGACTGATCTGCAGTCACTTTCTTCTCTCTTATTTATTTCAAGTAGTCTTTGTTGATGTCAAACTCCTAATGAGTGCTCTATCAGCCTGATCAGCTGCACCTGTATGCTTCGCTCATGGGTGGTAGCTCAAACTTCAAGTATGATAATATTTTAGAGATAAGACATCACGTAAACTAAAAATAACTTTTTTTTCTGTTTGAGATTCTGACATTTACCACAACTGACCTGCAGTTATTATTTGGGGCTTTTTGCTTCTCTATTTATACCAACTTTAGTAACGACCACACGATAGCAATACACAGCGGTCTGAGGAGCCATAAACAAACCTCAACCAAAAAGCCACTCTATATCCACAAATAATGCTCAGAACAGCACCTAACTTCATCAGCAGTACATATAGGGTCCTAGCCACAGCACTAGCCACCAAACATCACGAAACACAACGCACCTACTCTCTTCCAGCAGCCGCTTGTTTGTAGCGAGGCCTCAGGCCAGTCTATTACAGATTGCTGTGGGGTTACGCAGCTCAAGGAAGAACATTTATGATCATTTCTTCATGGAAATCAAACTGAGATGCTAAGCAGTGCAAAATGATTATAATGGTGATTATTACTTCAAGGAAATGATCAAGAAATGATCATAAATGTTCTTGGTGTTGCGGTGTGTTTAACCCTAAATTAATTTTATCCCTTTAATTTTTCATTGTGGATAGGATGACTGCCATAACAAGTATCTGAAAATGCTCATTTTGACTAAGAAGAACCCTTTGATGCATGTTATAAACACCATAGGAAGGGGGCTGTCCGGTTTGTCTATGTAACCTGTCAAAACAGCCTGCCATAGTGTTTGGCCTTAACAACACAGTCTATCCGTGAGGTAGTGATGTCAAAAACATCCGTCTTCCTTGCTCTGACAATGTTTCTGTTGGAGCTGCCACTTATGCAGCCTTGTGTTTGTTTTAGCAGAGATACTGACACAAGCTGAACAAGGATCTACTGTGTAAAGAGGTGTCACGTCCCGGGCCAAAACCTCCAATCGCCTCTTGCGTGATTACCTCATTACACTGCAGAGTGACAGGGTGTCAGATGAGCTCACAGCGGGGTGAAAGTCTGCTCTGGCAGGACACAGATAATGAAGAGAGAGCCTCTCCGCCCGCAGCTCTGCTCTGATCTGCTCTGCTTCGCTTCGCTCCTCGAGGTTCAGCGGCTCAACTGTTTGGCAAAAACAGGCTTGCTAGGAGAGCTGGGCTCAGTAAATGGATATCTGAACTGAGCTGCGCTGTGCCAAGCCAGACCACTGAATTATTAAGAAAGAGCTGAGTCCTTGGATTTCAGGTTGGAAGAAAGACGCAGACACACACACACACACACACACACACACACACACACACACACACACACACACACACACACACTAGACCCTGCTTGGTGGTTTTCTTTGCCCTGTGAAAGTTTATTGCCTCAGCCCAAAGTGCATTTCAGTTAAACAGGTGACTGCTTCTGTTGGCAGGTGACACCGTGTACTTCTCCCCTGTATTGTGGACCTTGTCTTCGGGTCTCTTCATATTTTTTTCGTCTGTCTGTCCAACCATTTTTCATCCAAGAGGCCTAACATGCAACCACACTTGATTTATACTGCTGAAATTACATAAATGTTTTAGATATTCTACTCAAATCAAATTAAATGTAAAATAAAACAACTTGACGTCTTATTCAGGATGGTTCATGAGGCCAAATACTACAGTTTTACTGAAATGCAAAGTGTAAGTCTGTAGATCTTTTGTTCAGATGCTCATTAAAGCAAAGAAAGCTGCTTTCTGCTCACCTGGTTTAGACTCAAACAAGCCGGAACTAGCATCTCAACATGTTAGATTTCACTTCCTGAACTGTTTTATCTTCTTTGGCAAAGACTGCGGACAAACCGGAAATCCTGGTTTGTTTTCGTTAGAATTTAATGAAAAATGAGACACCTTTTTGGAGATTGTGCTAAATTCCTCTTTAGATTCTCATTTCTGAGATTAGAAGAACCATCCTGCTTCAATTTGAATACTGCTGGAGTTATCAGAGTGCTTACAGCATCTCCTGATTTGAATAGTTTGAACATATTCCCGTCTCCCTTTCCTCCAACCTTGACGTGCAACAGTACTGCTAGTTTACATCTGTGTTTGTCTTTGCATACTTGTGAGTACCAGCTCTTTCTGGTTGACCTGTCTTGTGAGGACATCTTTCTTATGGTGACATTTTGTCCCCACAAAGAAAAAACTGAAATTACATTTTAACTCTACCCTCCTCTGGTGCTAGATTCATTTCTTGCAAAATTCAAGCTGAAATGTTAGCCTCCATAAAAACACAACTCACCATCTCTCTTCCAGCAGCCGCTTGTTTGTACGGAGACCTTCGGGCGAGTCCATCGTCTACAGCGGGGGGGCCGCAGCTCAAGGAAGAACATTTATGATTATTACTTCACGGAAATGCAATCAGACTGAGATGCTAAAGCAGAAGAACTACCGGGTCTGCGGTGCAAAATGATTAATTTGGTGATTATCACCAGTAAATGTTCTTCGTTGAGCTGTGTCACCCCGCTGCAGTCAGTGAAATCCCTGGAGGTCTCCGTACAAACAAGCAGCTGCTGGAAGAGAGTAGGTGAGTTGTGTTTAGTCTCTTTGCAAAAGAAATCAGGCAAAGTTAAAAAGATGTTTGGTGGCTGGGACCCTTTATGTACTGTTGATGAAGTTAGGTGCTGTTCTGAGCATATTTGTGGCTATAGAGTGGCTTTTTGGTTGAGTTTGACCCTAACTTAATTTTACGCCGGAATACCCCTTTAAGAGTTTGAATGTGTGTGTATGTGAAAGAGAGAAACCCTGTCAGATGTGGACTAAACAGAGCAGAGTAATGACTCTGAAATACTTCCAGAGCTACTGGAACAGAAACAGCTCCCTTTCCCTCTTCATGCCTTTGGCGAGCCAGAGACCTGGCCTTTGCTCTCACACACAAACACGCACATCTAAACACACACACACACACAAAAGCAGAGGGGAGGCATGGGTGAGATGAAGTTAAGGAGAGTTTAGAGGAGGGGGTGACTGTGCCGAGTGACTGGGAGGTGGAGGTGATGAACTATTTGTGGTTAACCCTGCACTGTGAAATATCACCTTATCACAACAATGGGTCCGGCGAGCCAAGAGCAGGGTGCCTTTTGGAACAGGGGGCTGAATGAAGTGGGGTTGCTATGGCAATGCTTGTCAACCGGGAAGTCCTCCTCAGCAAGAGGCTGGGCAAAGAGAGAAAGAGAGAGAGAGTCCTGGCTCGTATTAGAGTGAGAGAGATCAGGGAGTGTGTGCAGAGTTGTTGACGTGCAGGCAGACACAGCAGAGGTGTGAGTTCACTTGTGGGTGCTACTTTTTTAAGGTGAGTACACTCTCTTTTTTTCCCATGGGAGCACAAAATTAAAACACAGGGTGTGATCTTTTACGTGGAAGAACGTAAATCTGTTAGGCTGTTTTTCTTTTAAGGGTTGGGTAACCTGTCTGACAGCTCAGGTCTCCTCAGGATTAGAGTTGCAGAATTACCCAAGAGCAGCGCCTTAAAAGAGGGATGCGTTTGCGGATCGCCTGTTAACAAGTCAGCCAATGTGGTGCGTAGTTTGGACACCTGTGGGAGTAAAATGACTGAGCTTTTTTGGGGCAAGAGAGAGGCAGAGAGAGAGAGAGAGAGAGAGAGAGAGAAGGAGGGCACAGTGGGCAGTGTTTCCCAACATGTCATGCCTCATTGCTCTGCCCGGTGTGTTCACTGACACTCCAGAGAGTCAGAGGAAATCATTTCTACTACCAGACCGTCCCGTTTCAGCTCCCAAAAGCCGTAACAGTCTGAAGTCAGATCGGTCGCAGTCATCACTGGTGGCTCCCCTTACTGTCAGGGTGATTTCCACAGCCGGCTCTGATTCCCTTTGTGATATGACTGAGGGTCCCGGCTGCCAGGCCTCATATCCACAGGCTGCTCTCAGCTTTGAAGATGCAGAGTGACAGGCGTGGGGATCTGGGAGATTTCTCTGCAGTTAGTGTGAGTGTTTTCTCATGCTTTATGTGACATTTCGGATCATAGTTTTCCCTTTAAAAGTCGGCTTAAGTAAAGAGGCATCTAGAGGGATATGTGTTTCATCATGTAGGAGCAAATCTGATAAAACGTCTTGGCCAGAGAGAAAGAGAGAGGGGGTCTTTGATTTATCGCCCTGCAGATTCTCCTGGGAACACATCGCCTCCCCATTGACAAGAAGCACTCAGGCCAGAGGAGCACCATACAAGGAGGTGAAATACTTCCCTCCTGATAAATGTGTGTATCCCCCAATAACCGCATATCATAAACTCACGGCTGCAGGTCCTTGTATGGGCTGTGTCTGCACATCTGCTTGGATGCGGAAGGCCACATAGCTGCAGAGTGACTCATTTTCGTTTGTTTATAAAAAAAATGCCTGCTTTATTTATTCATCAAATGTGCTTGTAATTACACCCTCACCACTTTTTTGTGGCAGTGTTTCTTTTGCTTTTATGACCCCGTTATGTAACTTGTTGGTCAGCAGTTACACGGTGTACGTGCGAATGAATGATAAGACCTGACCTCCTGTCTGTCAAGCTCTTTTTTAGTACCAGGGAACAGTTGAAAAGTAATGTGATGTTGGATTCGATCAAAACTTAGGGATTGGATGTTTTAAAGGGAAGATATCAGATTTGTTTTTGTTTTCTTCAAGATTTTGAGAGTGAATTCAGGCTGGACTGTCGGTACAAAAAATGATAAAAAGTAAAAATTAAATGAAAGATTTCCATGATGATGTTGATATTTCAGACACGACCTTACGACCTTTTGTTTTCTATTTTTAGTGCCCCCTGTGGACAAAGTAAGCAGTGCGTTATCTCATTTGGAGCACTGGTGAACCAGATTTGGTAATCCCTAAAGTGTATATTTGGATGAGGTTGATCTTATTCGGTTTTCCTGGAACAAAAGCTAGCCAAATTTTCTGATCCTTAAAAGCAAAAAATGGACTCTTACGTGTGGTTAATTTTTCGTTTATTACGTTATTGAGCGAGAGGACCTCAATGCTTTTTTATATCTGTATAAGCTTGTTAAGAAGTGCACAGTAATGGGGCGCCATTTCAGCGCATTGAGTGGAGCAGGCGTCCCGAAATTATTTTTTTTTTGGAGCTGAAATGTTTATTTCACTCACTACTGAAAACCAAAAAAATCAAAATGTCCTTAAAATTTAACAAATATATATCTTTATCTCGTTTTATACATTAGATGTTTTTGGAAACTGATAAACCACAAGAGGACATTTTTATCATTTGTCTGACTGTATTCAGCTGTTTTTTTTTAGTAATTTGTTGATCATATTGATTTGCAGACACATCGCAGATATGTGCGCACTACTTGAGGCAGAAAGCAGGACATTTCTTATTCTTTTACAAGCTGAGTCAATGGAGAAAGAAAATGACAAGCAGCTGTTGTGTAAACTCTGTAAACTGCACAAATCGGCAAAACAAACTATCGGCAAACATTACGACCCTGCTCCCGATATTAGAAACATCTAAAACAACGTCAGTGAACTGAGTGAAATTCATGGATATTTCAGCAAGTGTTTCTCTGATTTTGATGCAACGAAAGACAAACCGGTTTTTCAATTAAATAACAGTTTAATCGCAATTGTGTCAGGAAGAACTTGCAAACGATTCTCACTCCGAAGCAGGCTTTTGCCCCATGGTTGCGCCCGCACCTGGTATTGTTTGTACACAAGAAACCTGTCTATATGATACAAAGGGCATTAAAGGGTTAGGATTCTTCCTTTCCTGTCGGGTTGTTCAATCAAACCCAATAATAATCAAAAATAAGAATTGCAAAATATCAAGGTTTGAGGACAATGTGTAGGTCAGAGGTAAACTACAACTCTATCCCCACCTTGAGCCAATATTGAGCTTTTTAAGAGTCTCCCTGTCATGCATGTGAGCAGGACTTAGATTCATACACAGGACAGTCATATGTAGAAGTTCCCACCTTCAGGAGTCAATGATTAACTCTCCGCTCCACACAGGAGCAGAGAACAACCCTTGTGCTAATGAATGAGGATCCATTCACCAGTGACACTTTTATTTGTTTTATTTAAACCCCAGGACCTTAAGTCATTGTCCCCGCTCATCACTGACACATCCTCCACCTTCACTTGTTGTACGGATGATCTTACAGACAATGTGACCACAAATCATTACTCTCCTGATGGCGCGTTCACACAGAAGTTCATGGGTCAACGCTGGGACAGTTATTCATGAGGGTGTATGCGTGGTCACCTTGACAGCCTTGTATTAAGGAGAACAATGCAGGAAACTCTACATGAGGTGAAGACTGAGGTCATCAGAGGTTGGGAGCTCCTCCGAAAGACCCGGTTGAATCTTTTTATGGAAGAAATTGAAAGTTAAAGGCAGGAAATACGAAGAATAATGAATAGTGAGCAATATTGACCTCATAGGAAATTCACTTACGGGGCTGGCCTTGTTCAAGTAAGAACTGCAATATGAGTGTTTTCATTTTTTCTGCAGTATTGTTTTACTGCAGGGCTTTGATCCCCAGCTGCGAAAACCACCCATAGTGTTTCACATGAATCACAGGGGTGTGGTGAGTTCACTGACCTTGTATCTGCTGAGTAGGTCTGCTCTGCCTCAGCAACTTCAGATAAAAGTCTGACTCCTCATCCGCTTCTTATGTGTGGAAAAAAAAGAGGAACTATACCCTCACTATATTCACTGTTAAATGCTGGACTTCTGTTTCCAGTGTCAGTTTACAGAGTTTAATAACATCTGGCCTGATGCGTCCAGAGACCGGATAAGTTTCCTGGGGGCAGAGGAAGAGATTTCCATTCTGAAATCCCCAGGCCCTCATTTCAGATGTCCTCATTTAGCCCGCAACCAAACAAATATAAAACATACGTCATGCGCTTCGACTGATACTCTGCAATTTCCTTAAACTTGAATCTTGAAATACTTATAATTTGAAAGTCTAAAACAGGACATGATGTCATCCTCAGCTGCATATGAACCTTTTACAGGCTTTGTTTTTCCTCATCCTGTGGAGATAATGAACCTCTCACCTAGCAGGGGTTTAGCTTGTAAATATGCGGGCTATTAAGTTCATACATTTTCAGACAGACAGCATCAAGGCACTTGCACACCACCAGTCTCCATGTGGAAGCTTATGTCTGCTTCTCTGTTGGGGCTCAGTAATTTTATAAGAATGTACCAAGAGAAAGCCAACGGCGAGCCAGACTTCTGCTCTGGGATTTTCTTCAACAGATATCCACGCTCATTCTCTCCTTTTTAGGAAGGATTGTGTTTGCTGGTCTCGAAGGGGGAATGTAGAAGTATGTCTCGGTTGTGTTGGACTCCCCTAAGAGAAATGAGACACACAGACTCTGTTATGACCTGAGCTTACTCATCAGGATACCGAATGGATGAGCGTTTTCAGTACTTTTGAGTAAATGTGGTTTGAGCAAAAAGAAATCCATAATTTTAATGATATGAAGATATAAAGGAATTTTATTGGTTTATTTACTTTGGAGCAAATATTCAGTCCAACAGCGGGAAATGACCAGAAAAAGGCACAACATCAAATATAGCATAGCCACCTGCTTCAAGCTTGGGCCCTGACTGCCATAATGTTATAATCTCCACTACCTGGATGCAAACAGTCACCAATGGTAGATGGTATCTTGTAGCATGGTGCTGTTATACTATGTTCAAATTACCTTGAAGTCAGATGTCGGAGCTGAAAATGACGTTGCACCTGAGATACCAGCGAAGTCGGAAAAAAGCAAAATCAGAGGCGGAAACTAGAGCCTCCAATTTTGCTTTTTTTTCCGACTTGGTAACTGAAAAGCTGGTAACTCGGGTGTGACGTCATTTTGAGCTCCGACATCTGACTTCCGAGGTAACTCGAACATAAGACAGTATTTTGATCTAGAACATGGAGACATGGGTGTATGGAGGTTGGACACTGCACCTCTATGCTCCGCCCACTGTGAGATGTTTCGCCAAAGTACAGCCTCGATGGGCACTGACATATTGAACTGAGCAGACGAAGTCTGGCCAGTGTAGTCAAGAAACTAACTTCACGTCTCCTTGGGCTGACAACAAAACACATGCTGTAACAAAATACAAAAAAATACATCAACCAATAGAAAAACAAAAACTGTAAACTCACATATAAAACGATAAAGATCCTCCAGGTTTGTGCAGTCTACAGCATAACTTTACAAAGTTCAATAATTATTGTGTTCATGTCTGTTCGATCTTCTCCCTCTCAGTCCCTCCGCTCTAAGCCCCAGGTAACAGTGCTCAATTTTAACATTTTTATAACTTTTTCTGACATAAAAACTTCTTACTCAGTCAGAATCTAAACTTACATTTAATTTTCTGGACAATAACCAACTTCAAAAAATTTCTAAATGCTACCACTTATAAAAAACACCCCAAGTTAGAGCTTGTTTTCAAGGTATATGAAAAGATAAGATGCTATTATCTATTTGAGGTAACCAGCTCATGTTAGCAGCTGTTAGCGACTGTTACAACATGTACCCTAATAGAGATTAAAGCCAATCTTTAAATGCCTGATAGTAGAAAACACTAAAGTGGACTGTCTGAAACAGCTGATTCCTAAAAGACGACGTTATCTTAATGTTGTATCCAGCCGGTATGAACATTTGGTTAATTAAAATGTCTTCATGAGAGTAATGGGACCTTTGAGGTGAGCGGGAGCCTGCTGAGAGGAGATCTGGTGTGAATAAAACCCAGCATGTCGAACACGTAGTAAAAAGGGATTACTTTAAGCTGTTATTTGGAAGTGTATCTTGTTTGCAGTGTTTCCTCTTGTCAGACGGATAATGAACTGGCCGTGATAGGTCATCTGTCATGCCTGAGCTGTGATGGTATTGTTGCAGACACAATCCCATATTTTCCCTCTTATGTAATGCAGTTTATTGGAGGACGGTGACTCAGATGGAGCATCATCCTCGTCTGGAAGCAGAAACACTGATTCTCTCACTGCTTTCTGCTAACCTAGAGCACAGGGACACAGAGTTAGTTCAGTTTTCTTGCTCCTGACCACAACGATCACAGACTTGAATGTTTCGCTGCAAATGCCACATGGAAAACCCATCAGTAAAACTGCGTAGGATTGGTCCTCGTCAGAGAGTTTTCTACTTTCTGGCCAAGTCGCAGGGCGGTAGTTTGCACCAAAACAGAAAATGTAACTCAATCCTAAATTTCCCCTGTTGTTTATGCAGGCTAAGATAAATATGTTTTGACCCCAACCCAGTACTTTTCATTCAGAGTCAGAGTCTTTGTGTTCCAGGGATGCAGGACTCTACAGCAGCTGCGGTTTCCATGCTAACACAGTCATTATGAGGCATTTAGCCACCGTAAATGAGAGCTGCCTGCCTCATACAGGAGCGGAAACAGCCTCCCTCCTCTTCCTCCGCATGGCTTTGATGTCAAACAGCAGGCCTAATCTGTTTTTCTGAGGCGCAATTGATTAGAGGCCGGACTTCACTTTCAGTAGCAGACCCTCTCCATCATCCAGACCCTTTAAGTCTGGATCGTTACTAATTGTGTCACTGGAAGCAGCGAACTGGTTATATGTGAGTCAGAGTCATTGTTTTGGGTGGGTTTTTTCCTTATTGGAAACAGGGAAAAAGTGGGTGATACTGACCTTCCCTCTTTTAATGGGATGGGATCATGGAACAGCGTGGATGTGAAGATGGATTTATGACGGAAGGACTTTGAGGGACCCCACACAACTCAGACTGAGAGTTTGAGAGCTAAAATTTTGTTGTTTATGGATTATTTTTCACAGACATTTATAAATTATTGACATTGAAGAAGATAGATTTTTGTGCGTCTCTCTGACCCTGGACATTGTTTTATTTTGTCATTTAATTTGTTTTTTGAGAAATACCCTTATTGCTCTGTATTACTTGGATCAGTTTTTTTTTCTTCAGACTGTTCGTCAGTGCTCCACATCCTGGTTTAGAGCTCTATTTTAAGGCCTTGTTGGAAAAAGGTGATGTAATTTTTTCAGTCCTTTTTTTTTGGTTCCACTTGTGGGATTGTTACTCGCGCAGAGCCAAAAGTTTTTTCAGCATTTGAATCACCGTGCTGTTTTCAATTCTAGCCACAACTTTTGCTTTCGTAGGGAATGTTAAAGGTTTTTACAAGTTTTTATAAAGGATGAGGGAACAAGTGTACTTTCTTTAAAAACATTTTTATGTGTCTTTACAGATTCTTTTGATGCTATATCTGTGACACCCGGACCAGAAGAGATCACATGCAGTCTCAGGTAACGTCCTTTATTATCATTATTATCATACTATAGGAGTTTTCACAGATGGTGGTAAAGTCAATACAAACTCCAAAGTTCCTCACAGCAGCTTTAAAGGTGGGGTAGGCAGGATCTGATGAAGTGATAGTTTTGGGGAGAAATCTTGAATGTAAACTCTACCCCTCCCAACCAGTTTTCCCCTCAGCTCCTCCTCCCCCCTCCATCTCTGCTCCAGCAAGCCCCGCCCACAAACAGCCGCTCCTGCTCGCTCGTATCACCAATGGGGCCCAGTCAACGTGAAACGTGAAAGTGTGGTGCTACTGTAGATGTCAACAGACTACCAGCAAACACAATGTTTGCATAAAGTGACATAGTCCAGGACCCGAGGTAAACAGTTTAGCGGCGCTACAACATGCAGCAGGTCCCATTTGACAAGAAACACTTCTGTTACACTTGGCTTACTTTGTTAAAGTGGTTTACCTGTCCAGCAGATCCCGAAAGCATCTCCCATCAACCTGGTTTCCTAGCTCTTGTCTGGTCTACCTCCGTTTTAAGCGCCCGTTATTCTGTCAGAGTCTCCGGTATTTACTTTGTTTTCTTGCTTGTGTTGGCAGTCGTGGCCAAAGGAGGATTCAGACAATTTTCCGTACTTTCTGGTTGGTTTCTACTGTCCGATATTGTAGCACGCTAACTTTGTTTGGGCTCATAAAGGTTATTCGAGGACGCGGAGCAGCGTCTGCCTCACAACCAATCAGGTTAGGGGAGGCGGGGAATGGCTTTGTTTACATTTAGAAAGAGCGGGCCGCTCAAAAAATGTAAAATGTTGACTACACAGACACAAAAAACACAGCGATATCATTATATTACCAAATATCATCAATAACTAATAGATATTGACTGATATTAAAAGCTTTTTTGTGAATACACCACTAAAAAAGATGCTTCTTTAAGGGATCCCTGCCTACCTCACCTTTAAGTATGGGTGTTTTTATTTTTTTACTAAATGCAGTTTTCTTAGAAGAGCATATTTTTATTCTTGAAAATGCAGAAAAAACCCCATGAATGTGACACAGGTCAACCCAGTCCAGGGTCAAAGTTAAAGCACTGCTATCATAACATTTTTATCATCCCCACTTAGCACAGGGTCTTTCCCATGACCCCTGGCTTCCATGTTGAGGGGGCCGAAGCACCTGATTCAGACACACACACACACACACACACACACACACACACACACACACACACACACACACACACACACACGCACACACACACACGAGCTGGACTCAAAATCCTGGGTGGAGGGAGTGAAAAAGATCACCATGGAGACCACAACTGCTAACCCTGCTGGACTTTGAGGTCGACATCTTTGGCCCCCTTCCCCAACTCTGTGCCCTTGGCTCCGCCCCCCTGGCTGCAGGACAGGGAGGCCGGCTGAATGGGGAGTTAATGGGCTCATAATGGTCCTCTCCTGTTTCAGAGCCCCCACCCTGCACCTTCAATGAAGCCTTTCTGCAGTTGTGGCAAGAGAGATGATGAAGTGGGAGGAAAATCACATCCCACTGCTCCTGCTTTAAATAAATTAGGGGCCTTTTCTTCAGAGAGACCCCCTCCCTCCCCACAGAGGCCAGTTATTCTCTGGAGAGTAGCGGGGCAGCTAACAAGTTCACATGACCTCCCCCTAGAGAGCGATGTTTACGCAGGCTGACGGAAGGACATGACAGGAGCAAAGTGCACACATTGTTTTTGTTCACCCATATTTTCTCATTTCCTCTGTGTTTAGCACCACACGGACATGGTCGGGGATCAAAATGGCTCTGCGATTGTCTTCTCCGGGGAGCCTGAAGTTCCCTCCAATCAGCAGCAGATCCTGACGTCTCCAGAGCTGACCCATGAAGTGGTCATCTCACCTGGACTCCCCACACCTCCTCTCAGCCCTTATCGCTCAGCAGGGCTGCCATACGCAGAGATGAAGGTATGCACAGGCTGGGTTTAGAGGAAGAATTCAGTAAACGAGTGCTCCTCCCTGTGGACAGATGAGGCATCACATGCTTTGACTTCAGCTTTAAACTGTCAATATTGGGGTTATCTAGAAGATAATAGTTATTGCTGGTTTTGCTGATAAAAAACTTTACTTTTCTCAAGGTGACTGAAGTGAATGGAAGTGGACCAACAACTCTGAGCTTTGGATCTTACTATGGCCCATCACAGTCTGCAGGTAAGTTTGTAGATGTTTTATATATGAAACAAGAACAGAGTAGGTGCAAGCATTCAATAAATAAATAAATCCAATCCAATCCGCTTTATTTATATAGCACATGTTAAAAAACATTCAAGTTTACCAAAGTGCTGCACAAGAACAGACACTGCAGAAAACGTCAAGAGGAAATTAAATAAAAGCAGGTAAAAAAAACAAGCATTTAAAATGAAATAAAAGTGATAAAAGGACCATAAAAAACATAAAAGGACAGAGATCACACAACTCTCATGCTGAGCTAAAAGCCAAGGAATAAAAATGAGTTTTGAGACGGGATTTAAAAATAAAAACAAAAGTGCAATTTTGAAATCAGAACCAAATGTGGTTGGAAATTTGGTTGAAGTTCAAGCATTCAAAGGAGACAAATGTCAGTTAAATGTTAGTTTAGTTGAAGTGTAAGTGAGTATCAGGGATGAGCCATAGAAACTAAAATTCTGACTAGCTGCCCAGTCTGAAGTTTAGAAAAAACTCCAAAAACAGTCATAATTAAGCCTCATTTATTCAACATAATCTGCATCTGTCTGTAAAATATCTAAAATAGTCATCCATGCGTGGCTAATGTGAGCAGACTACACACTACCTGTCTTGGATTCATATGATAGGGTAGATGTCTTCAGTAATTGTGCGCCTGAAATCACAGTTAAATTGTGTTTTATTAAGGTGGCAGACTGTCCAATGGAGTCCAAAGTGCTTCCACATTACCCCGTAGCTGGACCCCCAGCAGAGAGGAGAGACTCATCAAATTCTCCGGTATCGGTCCTGTGGATGAAACCGGGATGCCCATTGCCTCCAGATCAGTAAGACGATGATATTCAAACACTAATGCTGAATCTGATTGATTTATTTTTAATTAATCTCCTCAAAAAGCTTCTTTTATGTTGAGAGGAGTTTACTGTTTTATGTTTTTGCTTCACTAAGTGGGCTGTTTTTCTTTGGGATTTATCTTCTGCACCCTGCTCTCTTTTCTTTCACCAGAGTGTGAACAAGCCCAGAGACTGGTACAAGAGCATGTTCAGACAGATTCACAAGAGGCCAGAGGGTAAGCTCACTCCTCCTCCTCCTCCTCCTCCTCCTCCTCCTCCTCTTCTTCTTCTTTACAAACACAGCAGCGAGATTCCTCTACCCGAGTCAGGTACATCAGAGGTGATCCAGCAAACAGTGATTGCAGAGGCAAAATAAGACATGATGAAAGAGCTGTAAAGTCTTATGTCATGTCTACTTACGAGCTCTGACAATAATCCACCGTCTTATCTCAGCCCCTCAGTCCTAAATGGAGCTCCTTATTCGTCTCCATCACGTGTTGCGTAATAGAGGGACATTCCCTGTTGTTTGTGTTGTTAATGACACATCCAAAGACAGCAGGTTTTACGGGATTGTTTGGGATCAGTTTTTTTTTTAGTTGAATTCTTGCAATTCTTCAGGAATGATGTGTCCTCTCAGGAACATTATCGCTATAATGTGAGCCGTGGAGGTGCTGCTGAAACACTTTGGTGAGACGTGAAGGGATGTTAGTGTCATTTAAAATCAGAATTACTAAATCATTTTAATAGTTCATTATTTGACGTATTGATTTATGAAAGTATTGCAGTATAGAGGAGTTTTCACAGGTTATAGATAAAAAGTAAATGATAATGATAATGCTCCTTTATGACCAACAAAATAGTGATGGGCACAGCAGTTCTTTTAGATGTACTGAAATACTTGAATCAGTTCACTAAAAAGAGTCATTCAAAAGATTTGTTCATCGAATCATCGAATCACTGAATCATTCAGTGCTTGGCGGGAGGAGCCAAACAGGTTTGTAAAAATGAAGTCATGATGTTTAAAGTGTACTGTCCTATGGTATGCTATTTATCAGGTCTGCTCAGTAAATTGGGCTCAGTGAGTGATTCGTTCACTGAAAGTTTAGAAAAATTCACACTGAACATGAACCGTTCCCTCGCAAACAGCTGCAAGTATAGGATGCTGCGGGTTCTATGCACAACTTGTTACATGCTGTGTCCTATTGTATGCAAGTTGTTGTGGTGGCAATTTAGCAGTAAAAAATTAAAAAAGTTAGTTTTGTCCTACAAAAATGATTCCAGAGAGTGTAGTTCAATGCGTGATTCGTTTACCAAGTGATTCAGGCGTTGCTGCACACAGTCCCTTATTCAACGGCTGCTTGCTTGGCAATGCTACGTGCTATAGCATCTGCCCTGCTGACAGCTCAACTGAATTGAGAAACGAACGAATCACTTAAGGAACTGATTCGGTTCAGTACTTTCACTTAAAAGATTCGGTTCTTTTGAACGAATCGTTCACGAACGACACAACACTACAACAAAACCAAACCAGGTTCGCACTTTTAAACACTTTCAGCACCGCCAGGATATCATAACGAAGATTTTCGGTCTTTTACTGCTGCAAAGATTGAAAGTGAGCAATATTTGACCATTAAAAGATAGCACGATGCATTTTTTTACATGTGTAGGACAAGATCAACAAAACATGCTTTTTCACATGGAAAACCAGATCCAAAAAAATAAAGTTTATCAGAGTCGCTTTGAAAAAGGATGAAATGTTCCTTTTTGATTTTATCTGTAGGATGTGTTGCATCATTTATTGTATTTGCCTTATTTTAAAAAGTGCAGCAGTCTAAAAGTTTCTCTGTTGTTCTCATTCGCCAGAACTAGAGGAGGATTCAGAGCACTGGTCCGCTGAACGTGAGTAAACCTACCAAATCCCCACATTATTCTTTTGTCCAGTTACATAACCAGTTTGTACTCGAGACTGATTTGAACTGATTTACAGGACTCAAGTTTTCTGCCAACACAGAAGAAAATAATGACGCAGACAACAATCTCTTCAGACTAACACCCCATGGAGCTCTTCCAGACTGGTGAGTCTGGGTAACCGTTTCAGGGTCAGCGGGGTTTTTGCTATCAGGCACATACAGGCAGATTTACAATCACTCATGTTCACACCTCTGGGCAATTTAATAAAGTCTTGAATCAACATGAGCCGCATTTTTTTCTACTTTGGTAAGGAGATTAGACCCACAGGCATTTATCAAACACACACAGAGTAAAGAGGGAGAGTGGGATACACACTTTTGGTTTTATTGTAGAAAAATAGGTAAGAAAGTTGATGGAGTAAAACAATACAAAGCTTTGTACAATAGTTTAGTACAAAGTTTTGATTCAGTTTGTGTTAGACTTGTTTTTTTCCACCTCTCTTTAATAAACTAAAAGAGAGTTTTGTTGATTTTTTAATCTTACAATCTGTCAGAAAACAATTAAACATATTCCCCAAATTTGTATGATATCTAAGGGAATTTCTGATTAGGTCTCTGTTTTAATTTTTGGACAAAGCTATTTTTCCTCTGTTTTATATTCGCACTAAACCAAGCCAGCCATCCTCTGGTCTGATTTATATTTGATAAACAAAATTCACTTTGGTTTGTAGAAATATTTACATAGCAGTATAGTGAAAGAACATATTTGGGAACAGATCAAAAAGTTCCATGTCAGTGTTTTACACAAAGTTGGAGGATAAAAAGTTACTCATTACTATCATGGGCCCCTTATATGAGGAGTTTGACAGTCAACTCAAACTGCAGGGAAAGAGCAGCGAAGAGAAAACTCGACAAGTTAGGATCTGTTGGAGCTCTCACAATGAAGCCATGATTAAGTTGCTGCTATGGTGTGTGTCTGTGTGTGTGTGTCTCTATGTGTCTGTGTGTGTGTGCTTGGGTGTTATGTTTCAGGAGTGAAGATGTAGATAAGCTATCAGACCCGGGAAAGCAGCACCCTCAACCTAAAAGCATATTCGACTTTGAGCCTGGAAAGAGCAGCGCTTCAGAGAGCCACAGCCAGGTACGAGTCAGAAACAGGCCGTGATATTTTTGATGCCTCCAGAATCAAATGTGGATTCTTTGAGCTCCAGATCGATCCCGCGCTCTTGTTCTTGTTGGCTCTAATCTCTGGGATTCTTTGTGTTGTCCTGCACTGTTTTCCCAAAGCAGGTCTTAAGAACAAGTTTGAGGATAGGCGCCTTTTCTTCAAGGATTAGCATCATGTTTCACCTTCTCACGCGAGGACACTTCTGAATGTGCTCTTTCTACAGTTTATCTGTGCTCGCTTTTTCTTTTCTTCAGAGGATCCAACAGCTTTTATATAACCTACTAACCTCTTCAAGACAAGAAAAAGCAAGATTAAAGAGTTTATGCTGTTGTTTAACTGAGATTCAATGATTTACAAGCGGGTGTTGGTGACACTTGACTCCTGTTTATTCATCCCCGGGGTTGTAATTTATTATCTTGTGTATTATCCGCTGTCCGGGAGCTTTTATAACAGAGTGTGCAAATCTTTGTATGCGTCTCTCTCTGTTTGAAAGCCCTCGGCGAGTTACCTAGTGTGGCCTCTAAAGTTGTTTTCTTTTTCAATGGCTCTTGTAACAATGTCCCAGATCTGGTGCAAATTGTGCCTTGTGTCTGTGCCCGTGAAGAAAAGGAATCTTTGTTTCCAGTCCCCCACGGGAGCAGAGGTGTCTTGTGATCCGTATTATGGTGTTAACCTCTTGTGGTGTTTAATGGCTCACAGCATGGAGACTTATTTCATTTCCTCAACATGACGGCGGCCTGTGTTCAGTCCCCCCCAGATGACGTTTAGAAAGGCAGCGTGCGGACCATATCAGGTGTTGAGCTGTACTCGATGACAGTACAGTCTGGGATTGTTGCGAGGAAGACTCCCAGCTGAGGGGGGGAAGGATTTGGCTTTCAGAGAGACACCTCCAGCCAAGGTTATGCAGGAAAAAAATGAAAATGGGACAGGGAGGTTATGAGGTTCTTGAAAGCAGAGCCTTATAAAGTAGTGCTTGGTGGAATCAGCTGTTTGAGAGGTATTTTACTTCTGTAAGGAGAAGCAGAAGCAGTATTACCGGCTAATGTAATCAGTTAGTTTAAAATCAATGAAAGAAACATGTGGATCATATCATCTTACTCTGCCTGTACAGGGTCTGTGTGCAGCTACAGTTCAAACATCAGATGTTGAGACTGAAAATTTAGTCTTTTTTTGATAAATATATGCTTGATTTGAATTTATTGCCACCAGCACTTTAAAATAAGTCCAGACAGGATCATATTTATCACTTCTTCTGTTAATGAGGAGGTGAGTTTACAAAGTTTGGAAAGTTCTTGTCTGACTTATAGGGTTTCAACTGTCTCCCTTTTCTTTTTCATGTCATAACGCACCAAATATTTTTCAATGGGACTGCAAGCTGTCCATTTTAGCACCTTAGCTTTGAACTTTGAAGTGTTTTGACACCTACACTGTGTTTTTGTGGACAATAGGGATGGGAGTCACCAGTGGCCCCACGATACAATATTATTGCGGTTTTTAACATTTTGCAACACAGTGAGTATTGTGATACCATATATTGCGATTTATACAATTTTTTCAACTGTTTAGCTAATTTAGCATTTGTCTTTCCTTTACGTTCGTCTTATTTAAGCTGAATTTTATTTTCAGGTAGCACATATTGCTCACCTTTTATATATTTGTTGTACTAACTTTATCCTGCTCTATTATGTAACCTTTGCCAACCTCAATGGACAACTAGTTGATTTTATTTTTACATTATCATTGATTAGACTTCATATTAGCAATTAATTTGAAAAATCGATACTTGGTGAATGAGACGATACGATATATCACCAAACAAAATATCGCGATACTGTGCTGTATTGATTTTTACTCCCACCCCTAACGGACAAAATCAGTATATAGATAATAAAATAAACCTTATAATGTGTCCTGTCTTTTTTCATCAGGCTCATTTATCTCCAAAGAAACAACCTGAGAAACCCAAGTCTTCTTCAATCGAGGTAAGCTGCTCCTGACGTGGCTTCAGTTTCTGTCTTCCTCCAGTCGCTTTATTTGGGTTAAAGAACAAAAAAGAAAAAAGTCATTACAAAGGGACACCATCAGCTCCAAAAGTCTTTAAGTATTTTAATTTTGCCCTTCGACTCAGGCCAGTCTGGTCTCTGAGCTGAGTCAGTTTGAGGCTGAGCTGGACTCGGAGATCCAGGGTCTGGAGAGGACACTTTCCCAGAAGAAGCAGCAGCATCGAGGCCGGGGTGAGGTACTGAGCCCCCGTCCTGACTGTGTCTGCTCAAGCATCCCTTCACCTCACCAGAATCCTCACTCTCCCACTCTCACCCACTCTCACCCTGACTGAAATCTGAGTGAGACCCCTCCTGCCTGCTAGCTTTGACCTCCAATGTTGTTGTCCTTCCTCTTTTGACGTAGATGACAGAATCTTCCGCCTGCATGGCATTTTGGATCGATCTGTTTTGTTCATCACCCGCCTGCTCGACCCCCTCCCTCACAAATTTGGCTGCAAAAAAAAAAGTGAACTTTTGCAAACAATGACTTCTTTGTGATCATGTTGTTTTGCAATCCCTCAGTGCTTGAAAGTTCTGTGATTGATTCTGCTCTTTGCTATATCTGCTGTGATTTTCGCTGAACTCAGAGAAGGCGCAGACAGATCATGAGAGTGGCGTTTGTTTGTGTTTTAGCCCGAGGAGGATAGGACCCAGGGGATTTCTTGCTCCTTTGGGAGTGGTCAGCACCTCCACTTTGTCTGAGTTGTTGTGAGACTTCCTCTGAGCTGTGAGATACACCAAGCTGCAGGGAGCAGACTGTGTTTTAACTGTTCACTGTGCTTTCAGGAGGCCAGAGGCAGGGACACAGTGACTGCTGCGAAGACCGGCGCTACAAATTACAGGTCAGTGGCTGCAAAACTTAAAAGAGCGATGTGGAATATTACAACTCTGAATGATACGGTGCAGTTTTTATTGCTTTTTTTCTGAACTAAAGAATGCATTCTCTTATTCGAGACGCTTTTCAACTAAAACTTAAAATAGAGACATTCTCCACATATTGCGTATCTTTCATACAATCAAAAGGGTGATTTTTAAACTTACAAATAAGTCATTTTAAAGTTGATTCAAGTGTATTCTTCTTGGCACATTTACAAATCTGTAGCCCTGTTTTCTCTTCATCATGGTGTAAAAATGAAGTTAAATCACTCTGTTGCTGTTTTTCAGCAGGTCCTAAAGTGATTTTTTTCCTAATGTGCGGATTGTAAAGGTTAATGCAGGGTCAGTCATCACGTAACAGACCTCCTCTGGGCCAAACACCAGGCCTCTTAAACCTACTTTGATGTTGCTTCATCAAGTGGGAGTAACTTCACAGTAATTCTTGCTGCTGTTTCTTTTTTTTTCTTTCATTAAATCGAACGCAGCGCTGTGATTGGACACAACGAGCGTTAAATGTCTGCAGGGTACCTTTTCTGTTTCTTAACCAGGTGGCCTCTCAGTTCTGGACTCTGTTAGGGAAGCTGTTGTTGTTTAACAAGCTGAGCTTCAGTATTTGTGACTTCAAACAGCGAGCTGCTTTCCACATTTCTCACCGCGTGTGTCATGCTCTCCACCAGGGTTGCTGTTGTTTGCTAAGCTGAGTTCACAGCTTTTGACCTTTCCTGGCTCTGAGTGGATGAGGGGCTTTCTTTTACAGAACCTGTTGCTAAGGACACATGAAACTAAACAGCAAAATAGTCTTTTTTTTTTTTTTTTTTTACAGCTTCCTGTTATGTCGTCAAGCTCTCGCATGTGTCCCAGCTGTAGATACTGGAAGGTTTGCCAACTCTGACTGGAAATATGTAAATAAGTTCAGAGGAAGTGCACTGATTTTTCTGGGTAATTTAATATCATAAGAGTCAGAGTTACAGTTCAAGGATAACACCATGACTCACACACTTATCATCTGTTTGACCCTTTTTCACTGTTACATTATCTGTCTTATCACCGCTCAGTGTGGGGAGGCAGCAGCTGCATCCAGATGTGGCGCACACTGCAAAAAATGAATTTCAAGAAAGAAAAACAGCCTCGTATTAAGGGAATAAGTCTAATTTTTTTGTACAAAAAGAATATTAATCTTGTCAAGCATGTTTGGCATTAGAAAAATGATCTAATTTGAAGAAAAAAAACGGCTGACTTTTTCTCGATAAGATATTCCAGCTAATTTTGAGATAGAATGAACCAGAAAAAGAGCAGAAAAAGGTTTTACAATTAAATCCAGCGGAGCCACAAGGTCATTCGTCTCATTTTAAGAGTAAGACATATGTAGAACTTCTCAGTTTAAGAATGCCATGAAACAAGAACAGCTGATCTTTGTTTAAATTAAGATTTCTATTGCAGGTCATCTGAACCTGACAGAATCTGCTGCCTCATACATTATATGACATATAAAGATGTCAGTCGGCTAGTCTGTACAACAGACAACATAATACAGGGACCAGATGAAAACTGCAAAACAACAAAGAACATGCTTGCTTGTGGAATAAAAAATATATATTTAATGAGAATGTTTTGGTATCTTGATTTAAGGCAACATCACTCATATTTGTTATGCTGTTTTAAGAAATTATGTCTTAGGCTACGTTCACACTGCAGGTTATGATGCACAATTCAGATTTTTTGTTAAATCTAATCGTGCGGTCGTTCACATTACAACAACGAATGCGGCATCTAATGTGAACGGAACACATCCGTGAAGTGACCCGCATGCGCACAAAGCCCAAATTGCTTTCTGCGCCTGTTTGTGTTGTCGAACAATGATGACGTTTGTCGCATATCGATGACGTATAGGTCGGATGAACGCAACCTGAGCGTCCACTCTGCAGTCACATCGGATACATATCTGATTTATATCCACATACAAAAGAGGCCTGGGTCGGATTTGAAAAATTCAGAGTTGCACTGTTCATGAAAAAATCAGATATGTGTCACATATGGTTAAAAAATCGGAATTGACCTGCAGTGTGAACATAGCCTTATTTGAAATATTGTCATGCTCAGTAATAATCCCAGATTAAGGTGTATTTTCTTGAAGTTCATTCATTCAAGAGACTAAAATTCCAATTTTAAGTAACTTCATCTTCATTTTTCAGTGCTTGCTGTAGAAAAAATTTGATTAATAAAAGATTTTCTGTCTAGTTTTAAGTTTCATTCGAGTCTGTCAGGGCCAAGAAATTTGTTCTTATTTTGAGAATTCTTGTCAAGCAAAAAAAATCTTACCCCATTGGCAGATTTTTTTTTGCTTGATATGAGATTATTTGATTAAATATAAAGATATTTTGCTTCTTTCTAGTGGGGCTGTTTTTGCACTGCAAATCAGCAGGAAAAAGGAACACACACATGCGCACACACACACACAAGCAGACTAAGGTGTTGTGTGTATTCCAGCAAGTTTGACACTTTTTATTCCATCAGAGACCTCCATGTATGATCTGGAGGCACAGTGGTTTGCTTGCTGGGTTAATATATCTTCATTTTAGAGGAGCAGGAGGATGTTTACACTTTTTTACACCTTGCTTACCTTTCCAGTTCACATATTTAAAAGACATTTACAGTGTTGAGTTTAAGATAAACATAAAAATGTATTTATTTTTTCACTTTTGTAGCGATCCATCAGCATCAAAGCAGCCCGTCCATCGCTTTGCCGGCACATCATCGCCCTCCGCTCCGACACATGGTAAACATGGAGATCCTTTACTCTCGACACACATGAACCTTGTGATTTTTCCCACCATTTCACTCCCTCTCCAAAAAAAAAATCCCTACATTCACACCGCTGATTCAATCAGGCTGCATATATTTGATGAAAGCTGTTTGTAATCTAATATATTCTGAAGGTCCCATGATGCTCTTTGCGTCAGCTCTGGTATTTCACATTTGCGATGTGGCTGTTGGTGTGAACGTGGAAAGCTTTCACAGTTTTTTTCCCCTTAAGGATCAGCTGGAGATGGGTGGGGAGGAAGCCCACAAAAATAGGAAGTGGAACCAGGAAGACCTGATTAAAGATTGGCTTTATCCAATTGTTTTTCCTGAATATTAGTGCAGAGAGCGAGCATGAATAGAGTCTAAGATCCTTTGATTGCTTTTTTCCATTGCAACCCGTGTAGGAAACATTTGCTGAACAAAAGAGTGCACGTTTCAGACTCATACAAATTGTTGTGCGTTCACTTTCTCTCACAGTAGAACGTCTATCGCCTGCAAATGAAACCATGGAGCTCCCGCCTAAGAAAGAGGAGAAAAAGGTTGGTTCCCATGATTTTCTTTTTTTACCTGATAAGCCTGTAAAATCGTTTTCAAACATGCGCTTCCTGAGTTCTTTCTGCATCGTTTAATAACTGAATCTGTGCAAAATCTCCAGTAAACTGAATGGCATGTTTGTTTTTCCAGATGAAAGCAGCGCGTGCCAAGTTCAACTTCCAGGCCCAGTCGCCAAAGTAAGAGACATTTGGAGCTAATATAATAAAAGTGTTTTTTCCCCCCCCTTCACTTCTCTGAAAGAAAGCAACAATCTAACAAAAGTTCGATATTTTTCTTTAAGTGCTTCTTGAACTTGTGTCTTCATCCTTTCTTCTGTGTCTCATCATCCTAATTTCTTTCCTCCAGGGAGCTAATGCTGCAGAAAGGCGACATTGTTTACATCCACAGGCAGGTGGATGCAAACTGGTTTGAAGGAGAGCATCATGGAAGAGCTGGCATTTTCCCCACAACTTATGTCGAGGTAAATTCCTCCGTCATGTCTGGTTCTTGCTGCTTTTTTTTTTGTCACTTTGTGTCAGTCGGATTTGAATCTCTCTCTTCTCTACAGATCCTTGCTCCTACAGAGAAGCCAACTCCGATAAAGTCTCCAACTCTACAGGTGCTGGACTATGGAGAGGCTGTGGCTCTGTTTAACTTCAACGCTGACCTTCCTGTTGAGCTTTCCTTTCGTAAAGTAAGTTTGCTTTCCTCTACACCTCTATGCTTACATAGTAAACTACATGATAGTATTAGTTTCCCAGTTACTCAGCATGGCATTGTGGTACAATGGCCTCTTTGCCCAACTTTGGTTGTCTTTCTGGGTTAGATAAAACCCGTGTTTGTTTGTAGGCTTGTTAACTTAGCTTTGCAGGAAACAATGGGGGATAACTGACCATCTAGACTGTTTCTTCTCAGTGAAATTCACCTTCTAGCATCTCTCAAACACAAAAATGTACAGACTCTAAGTTGTGCAGCGACTAAAAAAGTTCAAGAAAAACTCTTTTTCTAAACCAAACCAGATGGCACAGTACAGCAGCTTTAATTTGCCTGGTTTCTGGCCCTACAAGGGAACATGGTAGGGTGACCATATGTCCTCTTTTACCCAGACATGTCCTCTTTTTTGGAGGATGTCCAGCTTTGTCCGGGGAAGTTTATAAAATCCTTTAAATGTCCACAGTTTTGTACGAAAGTTTCGAGTTTGTGTCACGTTGACTTACTGAGTCAGAAGACACTCGATCAGACCCAAAAAACTCAAAATTAACTTTGTGAGACTCCACCCCCGCATTGTCTTGTCCTCTTTTTGGGAAGTCAGAATATGGTCACCCTAGAACATGGCAAAAAAAAAAAATCTGCAGATCTTTAACCTATCTGATCAGGTAAAAAAAATCTCCACATATATTTTACTTTTACTTTTAATATGATTCCTAAAACCATATTATAATGACTGATATTTAGTCTTTTTTCTTCAGGGTGAGGTGATCAACATCACCCGGCGAGTGGATGATCAGTGGTTAGAGGGCAGGATCACAGGGACCAGCCGGAGCGGCATCTTCCCGGCCAGCTACGTCCAGGTCAACAAGATGCCCCGCACCAAATACTCCACAGATGACTACTCACCCGGCCCAATGTCTCCAGTCTCCCCCGGACCCCAGAGTCCAGGGCGTCCCCTCCACTCTCCCTGCCCTCGCTCACCGCTGTCCCCCTTCACCCCCACCTCTCTCAGTCCTAAACCAAGTCACTCCCCTCTAAATCCGTCCTCACCTGTACCTCACAGCAGCCCGGCTTCACAGTCACGCTCCCCAACCCAGACACCCGTATCCAAAGAGACGGCCAATCGGTGGCCTCACAGCACCCCTAAAACTGTTTCACCCACCAACCAGAACAGCCACTGGGCAGGGACACACTCCACTAATGCGAGCTCCATGAACCGAGCAGTTTCACCGTCCAATCAGGTGTCAGCATCTGCACACAGAGCAGCAGCGTCCACAGCCAACACTCCCAGATACACTGACCCTGCTCAGGTCTGCTCTCACTGTCTGCCTGCATGTCCTCATTGTGCTGTTGTGTAGACAGGATCATTCATCAGTCTGTATTTCATAACGCCTGACATGAGGTTTTCTTTCCCTCCAGGGTGCAATACCAAACCAGTCTGCTCCACATGTTAACTCCCTGCCGCACACACAAGCTCCTAATAGTCCTGGTCCTGTGGCGCAACGCCAACCGTACGTCTCTGTGTTTCTTTTTTTTTCTTCACACTGCTGCGGTACAGACAAAGTTTAGGCAAACCTGTGGCTCAGACTGTGTTTGTTTGTTTGTTCCCTCTCTCTCTTAGATATAAAGCTGTTTACAACTACAAACCACAAAATTCAGATGAGCTGGAGCTCAAAGAAGGAGACATCGTTCAAGTGATGGAGAAATGTGATGACGGCTGGTTTGTAGGTGAGAAACGGAGAAAAATGTCTTCATTTGAAATCTTCTGCTGAGATATGTTGAGATGTTTTTAACACAGTCAGTGAGGTGAATTTAAGCAGACATGCAGCAAACTGAATGAAAATTTTTAAGCTGATCATCTTTATACTTTAAAGGCCCATTCAGTGTCTCTTGTGAGGCACCTGGATTTGGTATATTATTTCCTCATATGCTCTATCTCTCTGTGCACTGTTACCAGTGAAGGAGATTACAAATGTTAACTCTTGGTTTCTTTACTTCTTTATGTCATTTAAGCCTATAAACAACAGTTATTCATTGTTTTTTAGTGTTTACATTTCAGTGTAAAACACGTTTAGCTCATCTGTAATTAATCGTGCCTTATAACTACATTAAATTGCTCCTTATACGTCCTTTAAAAATAGATGGGGAATGAAATCATTTTAAATTAAAAGCACAGTGAGGAGTTTTAAACCGATTTTGGTTGCCTAACTCTTATACAGATGCCTCTCCATGACCAACACTGTAAAATGAGATGACTGGCAACAAAATTAATTATTACTTCAAACTGCTACTTTTAAAACTGAGCTGATAAAGGTTCAGAGCAAATTCCAAAAGATAATTTTTCTTTTACCCAGAGTTTTGTACTCCTGGTTGATACTGGAGCAGCAAGCTGTTTCACATTTTCAGCTTATTTGGACAGTTATTGATACACTGGAGCACACATCACACTTGGGCTGTGATGGGTAAAGTGAAACCAGTAGGTCTAACCACCCCATGTAAGCTAGCTGAGGGTGATCAACTGGAGTTTGCAAAGTCTAGTTGATATTTTACTCAAAATATTACTTTACCAATTTGATCCTCCAAAAAGTAGGTTTGAACAAAGAATTACTGAAAAGAAAGTCTGTATTTTACCCGTTTACTATCACAACAAATGTCTACTTTGGTAATATCCACATCTTAGAGACAGTGGGACAGTGGGCTGGTGGGAAATGCAGCATTTATCCCAGAAATACACCAGAATCAACACGTGAAAACCCTTCGCAGTGCTTTTAAGGCATTCAAAGTTATGATTTACAGTAAAAGGGTTTGGCGGTTTTTAAAAATGTTCCCAACATTTCATTTAGCTAAACACCATTCTTGAGGCAACAAAGTATTTCTCTTTAATTGTGACCATACCAAAATATTCAGCTGTGTCAGCGCCCCCTCTAGTGGACACCATGCTGCATTGCAAATAAACAGTTTTTGAAGCATATGTACAGACAGTTATTTCATCTTGCATATTTTTAAGTGCGGTCTTTTCTTCTCTGCAGGTACGTCAGAACGAACTCGTGCTTTTGGGACTTTTCCTGGGAATTACGTGGCACCAGTTTGACCTCCCCACTTCCACTCTGCCCACAAACACCTGAACTCACAAGAGTCACTTTAACTCACTCCAACAAACCCCGCACTGATACCACAGCGTTTCCTAATCACGTTTAACCACCGCACTCTAAAATAAATTAGCAAAATTGCATGTTCATGATGGGTGAAAGCAGGGGAATGGAAGTGGTTTCTCACCTCACCTCCCCGCATGAGAGCATGTGTGTGTGTGTGTGTGTTCCACTGGGAGCTGTGGAGTGTTTTCACACACAGCACATTACAGGAAGGAATGAATGCTGATGATACTGTTTCAGATGCAAAGAAAGGGCTGTTTTGTTCCACAACTGTTTGCAGATGTTGGAAATTTGCATTCTTTCCCCGTGAACAGCACAGATCCCCACTGATACAGTGTGATCGTTCATTCTTCGGCTTTTTACCACCACAAAACCACTGCTGACAATTTTTGAATCAGAATGACACATTTTTATTTCTGGCATTTCAGTGGATTAACATTTCCTTCAAATATCTTTAGATTTCGCTTCGGATTTGTGAAAAAACCCAAGACAAGTTTAAGGAAACAACAGGAACATCTGTAAATATGTGCTGAAAGTAAAGCACAGTGAGTGCTGCAACACGTCAAGTTGAGTTTACTGCCTTTCATTAGCCTATGCAGAAAAGCAAATGTAATTGATGCATGTTCTTTTTTGTTTGTTTAAGCTTTTTTTTAATGCATTCATCCCTCTAAAGCCATGAAGAGGAAAGCCAAAGGGGAATAACGTCCTGCTAGATTATAAAATGCTATAATCTGAATAATCAAAGTTTTGTAAACTTCTGAAACTCTGCAGCCAAGTTTTGAAAGATGATCAAGAGTATTTTAAGTACTGCTGTATGTGCCAAATTGAACCTTTAGTGCAATCTGTTAAACTCTCCACCGAACAAAACCAGCTCACTTTACATTTGCTACTACTGCTTTTGTGACGTTTCTCTGCTTAATGGATTAACACTTTAACAGTATTTCTAAAACCACTATCATGTATCTCCTTTAACCCTCGACAGCTGTGATGTTTTTAACTCTAACAACGACACACTTACCGTGAAGTCTTCATGCATTTTCATGTATCTTATTTTCACTGTAAAAAGAAATCAAATATAGTAGAAACAGGAGATGATTGTACAGACTGTAACCTTTTATCAAATTGAAAGTATAATATATTTGCTTATAAAAACAATGTATCTTATGTATGGTACGCATTTTTTAAAGCAATTAAACATTACAGAGTGATACTGAGAGATTCTGGGCTCATGTGGTCATTTGGTTATATGCTTTTATTTGTCAGTAATCTGAGGGATATCACCTTTAAATCTAATTTTCAAATACTTTTATTTAAACTCAATCCAGAAGACGTGAAACTGACTTAAATGATTACCAATAAGGAGCAAAACACATTCTTCCCAATGACACAATGTGTAGAAGCACTGGTATGATTGGCATAGATTCGTCTGGCAAACAATTATTTATTTTTAGGCATTTTAACAAATAAGAATATCCTGAAGAGACTGATTATTAATATGAACTAAGAAAATGAAGGTTTAATACTTTTTTGCTACTTTGATATGAAAAACTATGCAGCTCAGTGACAATATATTGAGTTAAAGCACTAAAGAACTTTTCACAATAATAATTTTTTAGATTAACTATCACTGGCTCCCTTTAAAGTACACCTGTATCATGTAATCGTATATTAGTTTTGAACTTTAGTTTGCATTGTCTAATATTTGTAGGTTTATCTGTTTTACTCAACTCAACTTTATAATAGAGCACTTTAAATACAACCAAAGCTGACACAAATTGCTGTACATAACAACATAAAAACATAAAACAACAATAAATAGTAAAAAAAAAAGGAAAGCCCATTAGAAGGGCTTTAAAAATGGACAGCGAGGGAGCTTGTCTAATGTTTTAAACTACTGGACAACATAAATTACATACAAATCTTGACTTTTTCCCCAATAGGCTTACATTTACTTACAAAAAAACTAAAAACAGGGATCACAGTATAATAAACACCTCAAAACATATTGTAACCCAGTGAAACACAACCCTTTAACACTTAGAGGAAATACTGGCGATAAAACACACCCAGTCTCATATAGACTACCACCCAAACATGTTTATCAGAAACCCACACACCAAGAAAGATCTATTTTCAGAAGATTAGTCACCGGTGAGATAGTGACTAAAAGTGAGGTCATCAATTTTCTGGGAGTGTTACAGAAACATTGTGTAAATTTCCTTTATTGTGAAAGCTCATGTTGATTCCGGTTCCTTTAAAGCGGTATCACTGATCACGTGACCGAAAAAAAGGTCATAATTTAAGATAGAAGGTCAAGAAAATCTACATTTCAAACCTTATAAATATATATTTTAAATACAATCACTTTATGTTCTTGTATTATCTAAATTACGTGTAAAGTCTTAAAAAAACTCGACTTTGTTCTGCTGTGTAAGCGTTTAAAGTGAAAATTGACACGCAGACCGGTAATTAGTGATGGGCACGTCAGTTCTTTTAGATGTACTGAATCACTAGAATCAGTTCACAAAAAAGATTCGTTCAAAAGATTCGTTCACCAAATCACTGAATCATTTAGCGCTTGGTGGGAGATTGTCTGTAAGTCATGATGTTTAAAGTGAACTGTTCTATGGTATGCTATTTACCAGGTCTGCTTGGTAAATTGGGTTCAGTGAGTGATTCATTCACTGAAGGTTTAGAAGAATTCATACTGAACATGCATCATTACCTCGCAAACCGCTGCAATGATAGCATGCTGCAGGTTACATGCTGTGTCCTATTGTATGCAAGTTGTTGTGGTGGAAATTTAGCAGTGAGTTGTTTTGTCCTACAAAAATGGTTCCAGAGAGTGTAGTTCAATGCGTGATTCGTTCACCAAGTGATTCAGGCATCGGTGCATATGGTCCCTTATTTGCCGGCTGGTGGCCTGGAAATGCTGTTTCTCACTTCAGCTCAACTAGAGTGAGAAATAAACAAATCACTCGAGGAGTGATTCGGTTCAGGACGTTCACTTAAAAGATCCGGTTCTTTTGAACGAATCGTTCGCGAACGACCCAACACTACCGGTAATACGTCAAAAAGTTGGCTCGCTTAATGTAGCGCGTGCTGCTCTTACCTGCACCGTCAGCAGGTGGCGCATGGACCCCAAACCCCCCCAATCTGTAACATTCTCGGATAAATGGCTCAATTATCACCGCTGCTGCACCCTCATCTCCTCCCTTTTTCCAGTGATGCATGCGACACGCCCCGCGCTGCTGACGGCTCTGTCAAAAAGCTTTTATTTTGGTAATGGCACATGGCAGCGCGAGCGTTTATCAGTGATTGCACCGCGCACGCAGCCTCAGGTAGTGTTCGTGTGTGAAACAGCGCGAGTCAGTCAGTCAGGCAGAGACAGAGAGGATCTCCAGCTCTTCAGTGTCGCCTCAGTGTTTCCATATTGACTACAGGAACTTATTAAGCGTCCTTCTCGCAGGTTTTTGGACGTTTTTTCTGGGAGCGTTTGTGAAGTAAACTAACCTGCTCAGTTTTTGGGTGTGTGCTCAGCGGTTTTGTCGAGGAGCGTGAGAGATTACACAGGTGGAGAAGGTGCTCAAATTAACCTGCCCTCACCTTGGTAAGTGAAAAACAGTGAAAGTGTTTATTTCTCCTTGTCTTTCTCTCTGTGTGTGTGTTTGAGGCAGTGAAAATGATCCAAACTCTTGTGGTTTATTTGTTTATATGCTGAGTGAGAGCACATTCCTCCTCTTTTTTTTCTCTTTTATTCCATCCTATTGTTATATTTCTGTTTTGAAACTTGAGTGTTATGATGTTTTATGGAGGGTTACTTGATTTATTAAACTTTATTGTTGTCTTTAAACCACTGAGACTCATAACCGTTCATAAATGGTGTGGGAACCTCAGAGGAAAAGCAGTGAAGCTTTGCTAAATTATGATTGATGCCAAGTATGTGAGCAGTTAAAGAGTGCAGCACCCACATATGAGCTGTTTTGGCTAATGGTGCATGTATGAGTGGAAATTTAAAGTCAGACTTAGTGACTACAAGTTAGAGCCCACACAGAGAGATGGTTTCCACCCTGACAGTATATCTGAATTGAGGAGAGCAGGTATTTTAACACATTAGGCCGTCAGGGTGATTTGTGGAGGGGCTGGGCCAGGTGCAACCTCAGGAAGCAATAAGTCAGTATTTCTGTCACATTGGTGGCGGGGCTGTTATCGCCTTTCTCCTCCTCTTTAAGTGGCCTGTTCAAGGTGATGACACTGAGTAAGCTTTCCTACACAGTAATTCAAAATCGTCTGTCTTTTGTTGTCGGTGTCTAGACATTGGTTGTACCTTTTGCCTCTCTCAATCAAATGTTCATTCATGAATACATCTCAGCAGGTGGGAAAGCACTAAAAGGTGTTTCTCAGCGCTCTTGTAACCAGAAGAGTCCCAGTGGAACCTCCACCGCCTGCTGTTTGTGTACCCAGTCCATTGTGACTGTGCCTTTCATGTGCCTGCTCCTCAACCCTCCTCTCACTTTATATTGTGTGTATTTCAGAAGAGTTTTGGGCAGGGAACACTTTGCTGTTCCTGAGATATAGGATAGCTTAAAACCATCAAAGAACCAAAAACACGCCACTGTAATTTTGGACAGAGCAAAGCGGTTGTCTTTTCAAGAAAACAGTGAAGAAGCCAGAGTCGTAACTTTCTAACTCAGGGTAGGAATCTTTTTTGTTTGTTTTACACTTGCACTGAGGTTTTCAAAGAAGAACATTTCAGCCTGGTTTTTACAAAATACCACTGTTTTTATATAGCACACAGTCTAAAACCAGCAGCTGTGATGAGCATGTGCACAGTTATGCAGGAAGTTACTCGGTCTGTTTTGTCTGAATGATGAAGGTGGTTCTTTGGCTCTTGTTTTAGAAGTGTGGTTTTCAGATTTAGCTAAAGCAGAGGCGTCACAGGATGCTGATTCCTATTTCTTCCACATTACGTCTTGAAACATGGTTTGTTGGTTTGAAAATGTGCTACACTGTAAGAGAAAAGCAGTTTCTAACTTGTTTCTAAACGGACAGAATTGCACGAGTGTGGATGTTACAGGCAAAGTGCTGGTTGGTGTCTTTTTGTAAGGAGCAGCCAATGGTGCATGCATGCAGAGGATGTGGTTAAGTGGTCTGATTTGCTGAGCAGCAGAGTGCTGCCAGTGTGCAGTGAACAGCAGGAAAGTGATCTCTACATTAAGATGGTACAGAGGGAGATAAGTGAAGCTGGTACCATGTGTCTTTGTCTTTTTAGAGAACTTAGCCCACGGTGGAAACAACTGCTCCAAAAAGGTTATATAACCGTAGAGTACAGGAAGGAATAGAGATGCTCCATCCGTGTTGGTGTTGGAGAAACTCCAGCAGTTCACCACACTGATATGTAATGGCGATAAAATTTTGGTCTGAGCGATGATAAAATACGACTCTGTCTGCTGAAGTGCACCAAAGGGACTCTTTTCAACACTTCCTTAGAAACTGGAGAGACTCAAAGTAAAACGTCTCTATTTAGTGTTTTACTGGTTTGACTTCACAGGTCTGTTTGTTTAGAAGACGAAGAGACCTCTGTGGACATTTCTGCTCGTCAAAAAGCCCTGTGGCCGTTGAACACGAGGGGAAACTAATGTAAAATAACTGAGTTCATAGAAACAAGCCGAGCCAGTGTTAGCAGAAGCTCACTCTACACATGCTATGTCCACTGTAGAGCATTAGGAAAACATTTGTGTACAACTTCAAACTAAACTGTCTTAAACTTTACCAGAGGGATCATCTGGTTTCTTGGGTAACCCTCAAATTGGAAATATTCACAGATTTTACGGACTTTTAAACACTGATATTTTTCAGGATCAAAAGCATTGGGAAAACATTTGTGTACATCTAGGGATGGGAATCGAGAACCTGATCTTGTTGCGAACCGGCTCAAAATGGTTCAATCCATCGACATCATATATACATTTATTCTTAACGATTCCTTTAACGATTCCTTTCTTATGGGTGCCTTGACAAATGGTCTCGTTTGCAAAAACATGGTAGATGGTACGAAAAGTAGGCAGAAACGATCTCAAGTGTGGCTTCATTTTACGAAGAAAGACAACAACGGGTTTTGTATGGAAGTTTTTAGTTCGACCTGACCTAAAAACCCCTCAAAATTTTGCGTGAGATTCCGCCCCGCATAGTAGTGTCCTCTTTTTGGGGATCCAGGATATGGTCACCCTGATTTGACTTAATACTGACCAAAGTAAATGCTGTACAAATAGTTTGTCGTTTGATTATTTTTAGACTCTCACTGAAGGTGGCAAACATCTTTTTCTGTTATCAGAGACTCAATCAAATTTTGAGTTAATGGTGAAAACCTGTAGTCTAAGTTTTTTTAAATCAAAGAAAGGCATTGATTAGGGAATTGTTAAAGAATTGAATCGATAAGCAGAATCGATAATGGCATCGATATCGATAAAATCTTATCAATTCCCATCCCTATGTACAACTCAACTGTGCAGACAAACTTTAGCACAACTAAACTTAACTAGAACAATCATCTGGTTTCTTGGCGCTTTATTTGTCAACACCGTACCCCTCAAATTGGAGATATTTACAGATTTTATGGACTTTTAAACACTGATATTACTCAGGCTCTTAAACAAATATTACAACCATATATTTCGTCATCTCATCCACACCTTTATTACGCTTATAGGCTTGTGTTTCAGCACGTTAAATCCTTTAGAAGCGTGCATCAGTGTTTTCACACCGAACAGGGAGTAACCTCAAAAATTACAGGTATGCTTCCATCTGTAATTATCTTGATGACACACAAGCGATTAGCGATCTATATAATGATACAGAAACCGATCGGCCAACGCCCCTTTTGACATCATTTGTTGTTGTTTGATATGTCTTCATCACCTTGGTGACTGCAGCTTTATCTGACCATATGGGTGTGATTTGAAGGATGCCTTGAATTTTATTTCCCTGTACTCAGTCCAGGGAGAGGCCTGCTGCTGCATTCCTCTCCTTTTAATTCAAAGGGCGTGTGTGTCCAGGTAGGTGTCGACCTGTCAGAGCACTGCGTCACACACACACACATACACACAGGGCAGAGTCATCAGCAGACTGCAGCGCTTGCTGAGGGCAGCGGAAAGTTCACACTGGTGCGTGTGGCCACCAGTAAAGAGCACTGACAGGTGTGATTCACGCCAGGAATATTCCCCCGCAGCCACAATAGTTCATCCGAGAATATGCGCTGTCTTTGCATCAAAGCTCCCAGCTGAACGTTTTTAAAGTCTGTTATGTTCATCAGCCATTCTTTCTGTATTAGCACGCCGGAGAGTCGGTGCTTGTTCAGTTCAATCCAGTGGATTTTGGCCCCGAGTTCAAGCCGAAGACAAACAGTCTCAGCTATGATCTGCAGTCATTTAGGGAAAGGGTGAAGAGTTGGTGCTCAGGTGTGGCTGCCAGACGTTTCATTCTGCAGAGGTGTAGTCTGCTCTCCTGTTAGTTAATCTAATCCCTTTAGCGTTTGTGAATGTTTCACCTCCACCACAGTACATGTGGTAACACTGTTCTCTCAATCGCTTCAGTCCTCAGAATAAATGTGTTTTTAATTCTCAGGATTAGCTCTATGGTATTATAGTGATGCGCATGCTATTGTTCGGTTTCACTCCAAATTTATGATCTTTTTATAACCGTCGACGTGTGAACCGGTTGCTATCCTTGTGTTGTGGGGACATGTTGATCGAAGTTAATGAATCATAAAAAGGTGAGTCATGATAGTATTTACCACACTCCAGCAAACTCACACACAACTACACACTTGTGTTAGGCTTGTGTGAGCAGGTTTCACTCATTTAGACTAAAATACCTTCAACTGCACGTTATGATAAACATGCGAAATTACAGATTTGCACATGAGTTAAGCGTAATTGTTTGTCTACTTTCCACAGTCTTAAATGACACCCAGGTTTACGGCCTCTGACCGCGGCCTCTGCGTGTATTTCTTTTCTTAATTGTAGTGAGCAGCGGATCAAAAAGCTACAGTAACACCAAGGTGATGCTTAAGAAACACATGACCTCATGTTTTTAAGCTCCACTATCCCAAAACAAAGAGTCGTCAACGGTTTTATCACGTATAACGTCAGAGTGGCATTATGTGTGAATTATTATATGTTCTTTTACATTGAGCTGTTTTATGACACTGATGTAATCGATCCCGCTAGATTTTACGACGACCCCAAATGGTGTTATTGAAAACCTCTTCTAATGAAACCCCTCCGGCTGTCTGCATGTTGGAGCAGCGAGTCTTGAATCCAAAGGCCCGCTCTTTCCCCGTCATACCTCCACTATCTCTCCCGCCTGTGGGGACAATTTCTCATAGATGTGACAAGCGCCAAAAGGTCTTGAACTTACAGAGTTTACACATGAAAGGCTTAAACGTTCACCTTAGAGAGCAGAAAGTATCCATCAATGAAAGTAAAGTTGGAATATATTAAGAGAAAAGCTGCGTGATATTGATGGTACAAACACTTGAACAGCCCAGTCATTTATCACCTCAAATGTTGCTTCAAATCAATCAGCAACTCTTAAAAACGATATAAATCGACTCTGACATGAAATGCTCATGGATTTTGAGCGGCTGTTTGTTTTACCACGCAGACAGGAGCTTAGTTTACTTAATAATATCACATCTGTCTGAGTGTTTGAATAAACCTGTCTCTGAAATTTGAATGCCGCCTCTTGTAGTCTGTCAAACTTGGCATGTTACTGTATGTTGGTATGTGCTGTAGGAATGCTGGGAGGTCATGAACTGGTCCATTGTGTTAGTCGGAAGTGAGAGTATTTTACTACACCTTCTTGACTTGTTCCCAGCTCCTCCTGAACTACGAGTCTTAGAAATTACTTCATAACTGGAATTCTTCTCTTTGTCTTGGATTTGTTCAATTGTATTCTCATATTGGTGTGGCATCAAGAAGACATGAATACAGACTTAAAGGGATATTCCGGCGTAAAATTAGACACTCCGTTGAGCGATGAATGTTGGCGACTGCTTGCTTCTCAAGTTATACCAACTTTAGTAACGGAGCAATACAGAGAGCCATGCGCTCAACTAAAACGCCACTCTATATCCACAAATAATGCTCAGAACAGCTCCTAACTTCATCAACAGTACATATAGGGTCCCAGTCATAGTACTAGCCACCAAACATCTTGTTAGCTTTGCCTGATTTGATTAGCAAAGAGACTAAACACAACTCACCCACTCTCTTCCAGCAGCCGCTTGTGTGTACAGAGACCTCCAGGCGAGTCCATCGACTGCAGCGGGGTGACGCAGCTCAAGAAAGAACATTTATGATCATTACTTTATCATTTCCTTAAAGTAATAATCATCATATTAATCATTTTGCACTGTAGACGCAGTAGTTTGTCTGCCTTGGCGTCTTGGTCTGATTGTATTTCCATGAACTTCCACAAACAAACTAAATTTTACGCCAGAATATCCCTTTAACCTTTCATGTGAATCGGCGGCTTTGCTTGCAGCGCTTTTAACCCGACAGGCCCACGTTTTCAGTGTTTGCAGACGCATTTTGTTTGTGGTGCAGCCTTCGAGTCTCGTCACCGCCAAATAAGCTCAAACCAGAGTGTGCCACTTCCCCCCCTGCCCACTGCTGTGTGTTGTCAGCTCCGCCACATACTTTCTCTTTGACATTATCCTCCACTAACGTTTTTTTACGATGCTTACAGTGAACATTTATGCAGCGAATTAGCAGGGAGCCTGTGTGATAATGGGTACTCTTTAGGAGACTCATGGAACTAATTGACACCCCCAAAGGCTGGGAAAGTTCGGGCGGCTGCTCCCTGTCATTATCACAACTGCACTCACTTCTGGAGGCCACAGCAATTAAGAGCACCTAATGATGGTGAGCCTAGAAACCCTGCTAATTGCCCCAGACTGGCAGTAAGTGAGTGGGCCTGCACTGCATGTCCCAAACACTTGAGGAATGTGGGGGCTGATTAAAGTGGCTGCTGTTTGGAGGGATTTAGGTGAGCAGGGAGGATGATGTCCCAGATCCACTCTGAGCTTCCTTTGCTTGTTTTTCATACTTTAAGATTATCTGATAACGGTATTATGCAATGTTAGTAATCATTGACAGGCTTTTATTGCTTTATTTACAGACTTGGAGTAAAGATCATAATTTACATTCCACTGCTGGCCGCAGACTGCAGCTCTTTCTTCACTTAGTATGATAGTGAACTTAGATAAACATATTAACCTGTGATGAACCGTAACACTTCCAGTATTTAGAGGTGTAAACATAGCAGGGCTGTAATTAAAGACAACATCTTATCTGCTTTATGAGTTTATGTTTATGCGGCTCTTTGATTATCTCCAAGCTAAAGTATGCACAACTATGAACAATAGATATGATTGAAGGTCAGCTAAGTCTAATACAAAGGGACATATCTTTGTGGTTATATATGCGTGTTGTTGCATGGTGTGTGTTCTGCTTTTACTTTTTAGTCTGATGTTACGATGTTTGGGTGCAGGCTTTATTTTCCAATAAGGTGTTAACAGTATATTTAAGACATTATGTCACTGTCTGTGTACACTTGTATGTTATTGGTCTTTTTCTGAGATAATGTCAGTTTTATCCCCTGTCAGTATGTGCATGTATGTGTGTGTGTTTACATTGGGAGGGCGTTGATGGGTTAATGAATCTGTAATCACTCATGTCATCATCATTTGCGTGCCACAGAGCTCTTTGTCTGCACATGCAGTCTAAAACAAACAAGATCGGGGTCTAAGGACATATTTTACCTTCATTACTGTAACTTTCTCAAGTAAACTAGAAGACCACTTTTGGAAACACCTGGTCTACTGTAAAAGTTGGATTTTGTGAAGATTTTCTTGAACATTAACACAACCAGGCCCTCGATAATTTTGACTATCTCTATACCTTTTATTTTGTTCTTTGTGCTGCATTCTCCAAAGAATATTTATGCTTCAGACCTCCATGGAAAAAAAACTGCTTTTAGTTTATTGAGAATGAACTGAAGAGGCTTTACTGTGTGCAAACATTAGTGTCACATTCTGCAGCCATGTACTTGGTAAAGTGGGTATTATTATCTGTATTATTATCTGTAACTTGGCAAACAAAAACACTAACATTACCAAAAAAGACAACAACAAAGACACTGACAATACTAGTAAGAATCACACAACATTAAACTACAACAAATACACAAGTGATAACAAAATATACTGAACATAAACACTAAAAACAACAACACTTGCATCGTTAACACTTATCATCATCAATACCACAATAACAACAACAAAGACATAATAATAACAATAACTCTCACAACAATCACAAATACACAAACAACAATAAGAGAGACAACAACACTGACAAGAACAACAAGTACAGTAACAATGACTTAACAATAACACTAACAACCACAGCATAGACTCCATAAACAACACATAAGAACAAGTAAACAATTATACTTACAACAGCAAGAGAGAGAGCTACAAGAAATACACTAACAACAATCACACTAACAAGAACAACAAAGACACTGACAATATCAATACAACGACAAAGATGTTGGCAACAACAGAAACAGACAAACAACAACACTTTTAAGATGTAAATGTAAAACAATAGAAAAACAACAAATTTAACACCAACAACAACACAAAAGTAGACGAAAACAACACTAACAACAAAACAACTTCCACCAACAACGTGATAACAACAACACTAATAACAGCAACAGTTACTGTGATGCTTACAACAGCAACAACACAAGTAACACAAACAACACAAAAAACTCTCATAACCTCAATATTGATATCACAATAACAATACCCTCAGCACTGACTTCAACAACAGCAATAACAACAAGAGTGACAACAACAACAACAACAAATTTCACAATTTTTAACTTAGAAAAAGTCGAACAAACTGGTTTTGATTTAACTTTGACAGTAAATCTGCTCGTAAATCTGCAGACTCACATTCTCCATTCCCTTTAATGGTTTTCCCTCTCATGGATCCTCGTTGTTTACAGAGAGCGGCTCGGCCGACGTTTCACACCAGGGGAAACTATGATGTGACAGACTGTAACATTTACCGCGCTGTCATCGTCAGTTAACATTTTATATCGTGTAAAAATGTGGAAAGTCTAATTCTCACCAGGAATAAGAAATCTACATCTGTGACTAGTCTTTCCTGTCATCATGCTGAGTGGATTTTTGGTGGATCATGTTCAAAATTCAACTTTATGATTCAGTTTCCTCATTTAAAGATGATTTTTGTCAACAATATTTGTATTTGTGATATATATATATGATTGGTTCTCTAATATCCAATCTCATATGCTTTCACTGTAGGTTTTAACTTAAGATTTACATCCTTATGATTCTCTAGTCTACATCAGATTTTGTGGAAAGCGTAAATTTTCGTGCAAAGTGAACTGCATGAATATATAAAACACCCCCCGGAACAGCGCTACAAAACAATGAACTCTCAAACTGATTTATTTATGCAGCTCTTTAGAAAAAACACAGCTACCCAACTATATGTCATACATCACCCTACACTTGTATACTGTAGAGATATACATTACACACAGTGGTCGCACTGAAACACAACAAAGCATACCCCGCTTTGAAGGCTGTAGTTTTTGTTTGTTTCACTTGTCTCCCGGAGGAGCATTTGGATTTAATGAAACCCCTCGGCTTCGCAGGCACTTTAGCTATGTTGGTCATGTGTCTTTGGTTTCAAATTCTTCCCATTCTTTTTTGATGTGGTTACACAATCCATGTCAAGGGGACTTAAGCGAGTGGAGGAGAAGTGTTGCTGGAGATAAAAGCCAGCTTTGGCAAAAATGTCCCTCATCTTCACCTGATGATCTGATGTCAGGACTCTGATGCTGAAATGTACATGCTGGGTTCCCACGTTTCACTCACAACTGTTTTACTCTTTCTGTTTTGACAGGAGTGTGTGCTGAACTGATCCTTAAATGGCGCTGACAGTGAACCTAATCGGCCCGTCACCATGGGGCTTCAGGATATGCGGAGGACGGGATTTCAAGAAGGCCTTAACTGTATCAAAGGTACAAAAAAACGTAAAGCGTCTGAACCGCATCACATCTTATCAAACCACATCCTCTGTTTTTTAGCGAAGGCTCAGTCTGTAATGGCATGTCACGCAAAGTCAACTTCCTCCTCACTGCATCTCTCTTCTTGCTTTTGTTTTTGTCCGTCGGCGGTTTGGTACCTATTTCCTCGACTACTGAACCCGTCAGAAAAGAATGGAAGTCGATTACATTAGAAGGAAACCACTGATTACAGTAACAGTGGAAGCTGAGGTGGGAGGTGAGGGGTTCCTGATCCCAGAGTGTAGCGTGTGCAAGTGAGGGTTTTGTGTTCCCTGTGCTGGTGTGCATGCATTACCACGTGCACTGGTAAAAAATGCACCCCGAGCATGTGCTTGTTGTTTTTATAGACCGAATTTTCCGAGTCATTGTTTAAAAAAGTCGAGGCAGAAGTGGAAGAAGTGGAACCTTACCGCTGTAACCAGACAGCGCAGTAAACACCACCAGGAAATCTTGCCTAGATTAAATTTTGCATGCCAGAGACACCCAGCTCTGCCCACTGCACAGACTTCTCTCCGAGATAGACTCCTCAGTTTGGACTCAGAGAACCCTCCAACCCATAAATGATAAATTACGGCTAAAGCATGGCAGGGCACCCACAATTCACACAGACACTGACTTCAAAAGAAATGATTGTTCGCCCCCTCTTAACAACTTCTGCAGGAAAAACAGGTCTTCCCATGATTGATAGAGTTTAAGTCTGATTTTGTTCCTGCTCCCAGTAAACAACACCAGCATGTTTGCTTGTCTCAAATATCAAACGGGTTCTCTGAAGTGACAGGGATCCCTGTAGAGACAGAAACTCCACTGCTGAGATCAGTTTGTAAAGCCCAGCTTGAGCAATGTCTTGTCTCGCTCTCATCCCCCCCTCCGCCCCGCCGTGAAGCAACCACGGGGTCGGACCATCTGAGGTGGTTGGTGCTTGGCAGAGAGACACAACATGGATGCCCTCGTTTCTTTTATTCTTGTTGTCCTCGAAGATAGCTCGGGCACAGACTCTGGAAGAGAGCCCCCGACCGCTCGCTCGCAGTGTTTATGTGAAACCAGGCGTGTCCTGATCAGAAAAAAGCACACACTATTGTGGATCGCCACAGCAACACTTAATTACCTCTGGAGTGGGCCCACAGACATGGCACCTCTGCCCTCAGGCCCAACAAAACCGACAAACACTTGGTCAACCGGCACTCTGCGTCCATTTATACACATCATTTTGACTTTTATCTTTTCATATTGGCTCGTTTTTGTTTTCCACCACATTCTTGGTTTTATTGCCCTTTTCTGTTTCGGATTTAAAGAGTTGAGTAATGTTTGCGGCGGATGTCATACTTCTCTCAAAGTTAAGCGAGCATCACCCTCGATGGTTTTCTTTTTTTGTTTTAGTAAAAGTCTGTGTGTTTGGATGAATGTGCTAAAACTGTTTCAGCCCATTACTGTGGAATTCCCTCTGATGTGAGTGTATAGCATTGGCTTTGACATGCAGGGAGGCTGGATGCAAAGGTCAAGCCCAGTCAAACCATCAAGTAGTGTCACACTAATGACTTGTCCCTCAGGGTGTCATAAATCTGTCTGCTGCTGCTGCTGACTGTCACTGTCTGATCCCACGTGCACCAAGTGTTTTGGCCTCTTTTGGTATTTACTTTTGAATTTATGAGTTTTTTATGACTTATATAGAGAGAGACAGAGAAAATAAAAGAGTGCAGCAAGTGTGAAGCAATTGTCAGCACCTTTTCTGAACGTCAACCCCTGACAAATGATCCACACAGCCGTGAGACGCAGCGCAGCCCACGCCTGACATTAAAAGTCGTGTTTAGAGTACGACCCGGGGCCAGTAGCACCTAACTGAGAGGCATTCATCTGTTCAACAGGTCAACGGGGGCAGCAAAGCAGAGAAAGCAGCCCTACAACCCGGTGACATTATCTTGGAGATCAATGGTGAAAACACGGCGGACATGCTGAACGTGGAGGCCCAGAACAAGATCAAAAACTCCAAGACTCAGCTGCAGCTGCTGGTAGAGAGGTATGCTACTCTTAATTGTGTTGTCCTGTTATGCAAAACAACGCTGCGCCAGAGTCTCTTCTGCAGCTCAGCTCCCCCGCTCTGAACTCCTGAAACGTCTCCAATATTTACTTCCTGCAGTGAGCGCGGTTCGCTCCAGCTCCCATCTTTCTTTACACTGTTTTTAACTTTATCATGTAAGCCCTGTACAAACAACACAAAGCGATTGTTATCAGGGGAAATGCCAGCATGTATGAGAGCCGCCGTTCCCTTCCCTCGTCCTCCTTAATAAACCGTGTTTTGAGTTTTGCCAAGACTGTGTTTGGATAAAAGCGAGCTGGCTGCTGAAAAAAAAAAAAGTTTATTTTGAGCCAGGGCTCCTCTTGGCTGGCATTTTGATTAAAGGTCCTCCCTAAATTCTCCTTTTCTTGTCACTGCTGGCCCATCGGTCCCTCTTTCTTGCGCAGTCACACACACACAAACGTGTAAACGCACACTCTCTCACGCACGTGCACTTTCACAGATTTCCTCCTTGGATGTCCCCGGTCCATGTGAGTGAATTTTTCCCCGCTGACCTCATGTCTCGGAGAAAGCCAGAAACAACACCGGTACTCCTTGCCCACACATGCAGGACAATGCCACTGTGCCATGTCTTCAGTCCCTCTCTGTGTAAACTGTTGATGGTTTTCAGCACCAGAACTTAAAGCCTGCTGTCTGAATTTACTTCACATTAAGGTCACATGATTGATGAGTGGGATTCAGATAGTGAGTATGTTTAATATGTTCTTGTTTAATTGAGTGGACTCCCTTTTCTTTCCATTTCAACATCTGGTTTGTTGGCACTGTCAGTCCTCTCACAGATGGTGTTGCCCAACGAAAGCAGCTTGAATCAGCTCTTCCTCCAGAGTAGAGAAGTGGTGTTTGAAGGCGTCTCCTGCAGTGTTACAGTGGCAGTGGTTTGTTTGCAGAGCAACAAACATTTGCAAACCCTATTTATTTTTACATGACACAGCAACCGCACGATTTCTGTCTTGTCATTTTCCCTGAAGTTATTTTAGTCCTGATGCTTTTGCAGCTTCTTATTTGGATTCAGTTCATTGATGACTTTCTCATGCTTACAATTACTCCCATTTTAGCTTCACTCCACTGGCTACACATACATTTTAGGGTTTTAAATCCCTGTATAGTCTCGCCCCGCCGCACCTCTCTGAGCTTCTACATTTTTATTCTCCTTCCTGGTCTCTCAGGTCAGCCGATCAGCTGCTCCTGAGAGAGCCCAAAACAAAGCAAAAGCTCAGAGGGGATCGTGCCTTTGCTGTCGCAGCTCCTAAACTTTGGAATAACCTGCCTCAGCACATCTGACAGGCCTCCGCTTTGCCTGTCTTAAGACCCACCTCTTCTCCTTGGCTTTTAACAGCCAGTAGGAGGTTGACTTCATTTATTTTATTTTATCCATTTTATTTATTGTTTGTTTTTATTTGATTTTACTGTGTTTTATTTTATTTTTACCTTATCTATTGTGCTTCCGTTGTTTTATTTATTGTATTTTTATCTGGCTTTGCAGCACTTTGGGAACCTTGCGTTTGCTTAAATCGTGCTATATAAAATAAAGATGCACCGGTCCTTTCTTGTCCGATCCAATCCGATACTGATACCTGGGCTGAGTGTATCGGCCGATATCCAATACCGATCCAATACTACTGTTGAAGGAATGAAATGTATACCTTAGGGCCCCGACCGATATGGATTTTTTGGGGCCGAGGCCGATACCAATTACCGCTGATCGGTGCCTCCACGTCCTAACTCATGTTACTCCATTTCCGGTCTGGTCTCACCTGGAGACATGCAGCTGCCTCAGTAGGAAAATTAGCTCGATCCCATAATGTGTACTGTTGTTTATTCTACTGTTACTGGCACGGCTAACAGTGTAGCAAGGCTAATAGCAGATGGCTAACTTTAGCTTGCATATCACATGGTGCTTCACCGTTAACTCAGCGTGACCAAGATCAGACTGGATCGGAACGCTGGATCGGCATCATTCATCCGATATCCGATCCAGTTAAATGGTCAATATTGGAGCCGATATCCGATCCAAATATCGGATTGGTGCATCCCTAAAATAAAATGGATTGGATTACAATTAAAAAACAGGGATTATCTCCCTGTGATCCCAAGTTATGATACAAGCATCAAACATTGTACACAAGACCAATGTTTTAAAAGTATTTGTTTACCCTGCATGAGAAGCTATTGCATTTCTTTCTGTCTCTTCTGGTCAGTATGAAGATTATTGTTTGTCGCATGCAGCAGTATTCTTATAATGTTTACCTTTTGAAGAATCAGCCCTCAGGTTGTTTTACTTCACGTCTACTTGTCGACAGCCTGAACCAGCAGAGGGTTTTTAAGTGCTGGTTCGTCGCACATTTGCACCCCTGTGGTTTAAAGTCACAGTTAGGCTTTCACCAGTTTCTAACACATATTGTCATTAAAATAGACACTGACTCTGGCCTGGACGCCGACCCAAAATACACCTCACTGACCATGACTTCTGGTGTTTTGCTGTTTCATGGTAAAAAAGTGGAAGTGTGAAACACAAGATGCACATTTTTCAGCAGTATTAGTTCCTTATTTATGACTTTTTCAGGCCGGCAAACACAAACGCCTCTCCTACGGGAAGACATGTCTTAAAGCTCCTGTATCAGTTTTCATCGTCTTGCCATCTCTTTCTTGTGCACTGTATGTGGAGCCCAAGCCACAAGAGGTGTGTTTCTGGGTGATTTACCACAGGCATCCAGGCCTTCCTGTGTGCCTCATTACCCCGGGCTCAGCTCAAAGCCAGTCAGCCTCTGGTCCTGCAGCTGGAAGAGGAGGAGGAGGAAGAGGAGGGGGGCACTCTGTGTTTGCATTGGCGCCTATACTGCCCATATTCCCCCCTCCAAATTCAGTGATGGAAATGCTCACAGAATATGTTTTCTATTTAAGAAAGTCAAACAAAAATGACTGGTTTGGAAAGACGAGATCCATTGAGAAAATGTTTGAAAGGGGACAGAGTGTGCTGCTGTGCTCTTCGTCTGCAGCGATCTCCAAGATTCATGGGAACAAACTAATCTGTGCTTGCCAGGACGGTTTAAAAGAGACGTCAAAAATGAATTTCAACAGAGGAGCGTTTTGAATTATGACCCTTCAGGAAGTGTATCATTTTTCCTCAGCTCAGCATTTTCCTGCTAGTTCTTGAACATACTACAAACTTTGGGTGCACCAGCTTTTCCAGATTGTCATGTACTCCAATTGGAAGAAAAACGTTCTTAATTAGCATGAGCAGACGTAGTCAAATTATTTCCAGGAGCAGTTGGATCAGACTTTTTCTACATGCTTGAATCAAACTGTGATGATGAGACAGATAGTTGACCTCTGTTGAATTTCTGTCATTGCAGACCTGAACCTGCTGTGCCTGGGCAGACCAACGGCATCAGCACCCCTGAGCAGCTCACCGGACGCTTCCAGGTCAGTGCTGCAGCTTCCCTGGAGTCTTTAATCTGAACACCTGAGTGCTCGTCTAAAACTATGATCTGTGTGATTACACCTATTTTATTTACAAGATGTTTTTACTGCTCTCCAATTCATCCAGCTCACATCTGTTTTCTTCATATCCGCTTGTTGTCAAGGTGAATCCTGTACAAGTCATGTTTCTGCATTTTATAGAGAGTCCCTAACCGGCATCTATAAAACACACCAAAAAAACTCTCTAACTGTTTATGGACAACATTAACTTGTGTGTACTTGCGTGTGAGGACACTCTCACAGGTGTCTTCTCTGCCTGTAAATTAAGCCGTTCACTCCTAACATAGTTGAAATTCAGCAGTAAAGGATTGAGTTAACGTTTCTCAAATGACGTGTCTTTTAGGAAGCTGTAATCGTGAGCAGAGATGAGAATCAGAACTACAGAGAGTACATCTCCAGCCCTGCGTCGCTGTCATCCGGACCTTATTCACCAAATCCTCCTGCCAGTCCCGACGGGAAGAAAGAGAGTCTGACACCCACCAATAAGAGGTATCTCAAGCGATCAGAGTTGCTATGTACAAAAACACAGGTCAAATTTCGCCGCCCTATTAAAATAATGGGCTAAATCATTTTTTGATCATGGCACAATCCTTTCAACTAAGGATTTAGGTGATTTTACCAGATATGGCCAGAATTATCAAGAGATGATTTCGGCCGAAAACTCATTTTCGTCAAAAATTTTAATAGATTTGTGTTTTACTGTGAATTTTGTTAAATTCAGTCATGGTGAGTGGCTGCATTACATGTCTGAGATGGAAACAGACATGTCAAAAGACTTTAACACGTTGAATAATAAAATTTGAAAACAACAACAACATAAAAAAACGCACAAGCATTTCTAGAAGTTGTTGGACCAATACCAAACTCTTTCCTGTGTTGTTACTTTTCTTTGTAACTAAAGGAAAGGATTATCCTGTCTGTAGTCAACTCCATTCGATCTGGTTACATGTAAATAACATTTCAGACAATCAGACTGAAACTTTAGCTTAAAAGGACATTCTTTCAGCACCGACAGGGTCTAAGATAAAGTCTAAGGACATTTCAGGGTCTGACGTTTCAGACGGACAGTCGAGTCTCTTTCAGGAACCCGTCCATTCACCGCTTAAACAGGCTCGAAAACGTAACAAAAGGTTGCAACAAGTGCTCTCTTGACTCCACAACAGGCGCACAGTCAATAGGTTTGGGAATAACAGGCCGAAAGTGGAGCCATGGGATTGTACTGTAGTAACAAAGGATATGCACAGGATATCACATTCCAGCGTTTGCATTCAGGTTAACAAAAGGCAGAATGTGGAACGTTCACCGCGCTCTCTCTGAGCGTGCCCGTCTGTTGACTCTCTACCGACAACTTTTACTGGGTTACAGGTCAACCTCGAATTTAAACACTCGCCTGAAGTGATGGAGACTCTGTAAAATTGTCACTTTTGGATACATAAATAACTAAAGAAATGTTGGTTTATGTCCATTAAGCCTCATTGGTGCATCTAACTCTGCATGTTTTCATTATAAATCGCAAGAATGAGAACGAGCGGAGAATCCAGAAAATTTACAAATTTTAGCAGAGGTCCAGGAAATTTGATTTCTCTGTGCTCCAACTGATTCTCAAAGTAGTTCAAAGTTCACAGCTAAAAGAGACTCAATTTATCTTTGCAGCTCTGGTTGTCCACATACCACTTGAGCAAAATCATGCAAATAAAATAACCTGACAGGAGCGTAATTATTTGGCCAAATCAGCAGATACCACATCAACTGAAGCACTTAATCAAATGGAAGATAAAGTGAATCTGTTGTTTTTATCTGACAGTGTCCAGCTGCGTTCGTGGTCTCCAGAGGAGAGGAGTCAGGGGTTTTCCAGACCGCTGTCACAGGTTTGTTTTATACTTTTTTCTCAGTATTCTGCTTAATAAGGAAGTTTTCAGTCTACCAGACTTTTCATAGAGGACTACTGCGAGTTATCTTGAGGATTACTCTTCACCCTGCAGAAAAAATAGTTAAAAGCCAAGATAGTCGAAGCTTTTATCAGTGTAGAGGCTTTGGTCCTTGTTGCAGAAGTTGCTGGTTCGATCTCTTTGTTGCATGTCTTCCTCCACTCTCTACTCCCCACATTTCCTGTCCCCCTTCAGCTGTCATATCCAATAATACACCCTGGTAAATATACACTGTGTAGGAGCTAAGTCTATACCTTAAGGTACTGAGATGCTTGACCCAGAGTAACCTTGTTGACGTGCCGCGCTACTGGTTTTATACACTACCGTGAGTTTTTAATGATCAGTAAGGGCCTGGACTCTGTTCCTCTGATGAGAGGTATTGCCAAAGTCCATTTCGCAATTTCCATCAAACACCAAATAAACAAAGAAAAAATCTGGTATTTAGCGGTCAAAAACCTTTTAATTTTCCAGGTCAATCACCTTCCCACAACAGTGACATAAGTACCTTTTATACCTGAGCCCCAGATAACAGGACAACACACAAGTGAACTGCAATTCATTTTGGATTATCACATTAACATATTTAGCTCCTTCACACTGAATTACCTTACATCTGTTTTTAAAGATAAAGGTTTTTGTCTTTATTTTTGATGTTTCTGTCCCAGTTCTTAGCAATAACATTCTCATATTATCAGCTTTAGTCTCTGATGAAGAAATGTCCTCTAAAATCTTTATAGACTCCACTGTGATCTTTTTTACTTTACTCTACAGGCTGACTAAAGAGAGGGGTTTGACATTTTTACAGTAGGGAGTGGGTAAACTTCAAAGGTCAGTCATTAAAAATATCTGACATTCAGCAGAACAACAGTCTGGAACAGTTTCATTCAGATCCCTCTTAGAAAAAAAATGGCTTCTCTTTGTCAAAACAATGACCCTAGCCTTCGCTTGTCTGAATGGAGACTCATTAGTCTCAGTAAGCTGTAAAATATGGCATGTGGTAAAATACAGACTTGGGGTTATCATGAGACTTCAGCTCAGCTATGCTCTGCTTATGTACCAGTCCAACAACAAAACCAAAACGGGCGACTCAGGCGTCTGGAAAGACTTCAATGACTTAAAGAGTGAAAATGTTGTGGGAAAGTTCGTCGTGAGTTATTCCAGCTATGTCTTGAGCGTGGGTCCCACTGAAGATACAACATGTGAGATGACAGAGCAGGAAAAAACATACAAGACCTTTTGCGATGGCGCGAGGAATCCTAGCTGTATTTATAACCGTGGACGTTACACAAAGTTAGAAAAATATTCAGAGGTTTGAACTTGAAAACATCAGAGCGTTCCTTCTGAGAGGCAGCTGGCTGAGAGGGTCTGTTTTTAACATTTCTCTTCGAGTTTGGGATTCTTCGAGTTGTTTACATGTTAAATGAAAATCTGATGTTCTGTCACTCACAGCAGGGTCCAGTCTCTGAGACTCAGGGGGAAAGGTTTTCATCCCTCTCACACTGGGAGAAAAATGAACAGTAAGCCATGTACGGAGGATGCCTTCATTATTTAATTGAACATTTGTGACTAGGCCTCTATTAAATAATGTGCTTCAGTCATGAAATCTGGTCCCAGATAAATATAGTCTTGAGGAATGCCAGAGCAGAGGCACTCCTAATAACTAATTTGATGTGACTGTAAAGCCACACGGCATGTTGTCTCCTTCCAAGTTGTTTTAGAGCAGGGAGGGTGTGCAGGATGTCTGTGTGTGCAGACATGAATCAGCTCCCTGACTGGCTCTCTCTTCAGGCAAAATCCACTGACACGAGTGTGATATGTGGTGTTCATTTTGAGGATGAATCCCTCAGGCCGACTGGAGTTGATGAAGTTGTCTGGCCTCAAAACTTCATCTTTTTTTTTTTTTGGAGCATGGATCCTTTTGGCTAAATAAAATCACAGTTTAAGCCTTTCAGGTTAAATTCATGGGTTTTGGCTCTTTTTTAAGGGGAACTCCATTTGTGCTAAAAAGATGGATCACCACACCTGACAAGAAAAGCACCACTTAGCCTGCAAAAAAATGATCTCCTGTGGCTTCATCGAGACTTAAAAGAAGAAATTATCTGAGTTATTTCAGAATAAGTCTGCTGCAAACACGGGGTTGAGTTTCAGGTTGTTTAAAGTATAGTTACTGTGATACTTTTTGATATGCCTGTTAAAAACATCTGCCATTTTTGCATATGATTGAAAAATTTATGATTTAATTGTTTTACAGATTCAGAGAACAAATAAGACACACTTAAACCTGAGCACAAACCTGCAGGAATGTGCTGTTTTTTCTAATTTAAAGTACCAAAGCTTAGCTTCATCCTGCCGGCTCCATCTTCTTCAAACCTGCAGCTTTTACTCCGCAGACAGAACTCTTTTATAGCTACCTTTGCTCTGACCCTTTGACCTTTACACAGACACATTAACTAGGGGTGTCCCGATACAGCTTTTTTACTTCTGATACGATACCGATATTGTAGCCTTCAGTATCGGACGATACCGATATTGATCCGATATTGGCACAAACTTGTGCATGACAAGTCTGCAATTTCTTTTTCAGACTTAAACAATACTGCCACACAGTCGACATCACTCCTACTCCTTGCTGCCTTGTTAGTACCTTAGTACACACTGTTGTTGTGATCACATGGGCTCTGCAGGCTGCATCCGAGCGCTGCTAGATAGAGGTGCTGGAGCAGAGTCTGAATTGACTGCTTATATTGGAGTGCTGATATCGGAGATTTTAGATGCTGGCCGACACCCCTAACATTAATCATATAGTCTCTTTTATCCAAAACAAGTAGGAGAGAGACATCAATGTTACTTAAGCAACTGTGTATTTTTCTGTCCAAACCTGGTAAATGTTTCTTGGGACCTTTAAACTCCAGCGTTGATTGTGAGTTTTGAAATTCTGGATTTCAAGTATTCTGTTGTATCATGGGAATGAAAAGATGAAGTCTTTCTGGAGTTTAATGGCTAATTTTCTGGCTCTCTTTTCTTTTTCCTGCTGAGATCATAGGAAAGTGAAAAAGCAATTTGTTTGAAACATACAAGGACACTCAGTCAAACCTGCAGTGATTTGGTCTAATTATCTGATTTGGTCAAGAACTCCTCGAGTTTAGCTCACTGCTGTGATATTTTCAGGTCAATCATGGACTCGTATCTCACTGGAGTCATTGAGCGCCTCAGTCAAAAACAGATTCTGATGTTTACAGCATCAGGCCAAAACCACGCTCAAAAACCCGCCCTGGGGTTACAGTGAGGCTCTGGCAGAGGACGATTGTGGGGCAAACTTCCGCATTGGCCAACCATAAAAACACACGAGAGCTATGTTGTGGCTTGGGGATCAGTTGGCGAGCCCTCACGACTGACCATGCTTCTGTCATAGCTGCGCACAGTCTACCCAAGACAGCATCGCATGTTTGTGGTACTCATGGAGTCGCCTGTTCTCGTTACCATTAAAACTGAACCTTTTCCCTCATTTTTGTTATGTTGGGATCCATATCGACTCGTGTCCTCTGGGAGAAATTACATTCCTCCGTTCTGCTCCTATTCCAACATAAACTTGGCCGTTTTGGCTTTGTACCACTCCTCGTTTTGTATCTTTGAATTAATATCAAGTTGTACGTTCTGAAAAGGCTGTAATTTGAGATGCTTAATCACTGCCTTGTCCATCCTTTTTTTCTGTTTTTGCCTGGTTTTAAAGATGATTTGGATTACTTGTTCTTGACATCCACAGTGTTTACCATTATCCAGCCTAGTAGATGAGGATTTTGGGTTTTGGCTGACCCCATCCTTCCAGGCACGGCTACCCTGATTTTTAAGTGGTGACGAGCCTCCTGCCACAGAGCTGTGATTAGTGAGTGGAGCTCTTTCAGAGCGCTCAGTGGGGAAAAGGCTGGGAAGAGGCCTGCACTGGGCGCACTGTGCATTATGCTGCAGAGGCTGGCAGGAACTCAGTGAGTGCTAAGATGTTGAGCCCCAATGACAAGGGCCTCTGTCCTGTCTGGGAGGTGCAGAGTTCTGCTGTATCGGGTGATCATCCTCTCTGAAAAGCTCCTAAAAGGCTTTTCCACCCCTGTTTTGGCTCCCTGAGTGAGGAGAGTGGGATGCGCAACAGGATCCCCCATTTTCCAGGGTGTTGGATGTCCCTGAGAAAAAGCCGGCATACAATAGTTTCTGTGATTGCAGAGGCTGCGGAAGGCTGGTGCTGCTTTTCCCCTCGAGTCACAAGGCCTGTCGTTGTGCGATGGGAGCTGGAGGAGACGGGGCCGGGGCGGAGCGGAGCGTACACCAGGGAGCCCGCTGACATTCCCAAACTGTACTTAAGCAATCACAGCTCTCCGCTCAGCCAAGAAGCTGCAGAAAAACACAGAGATTTCACCTTTAGCTCCAAAACAGAACACATATTTATGATCACACACACAAATTTGAATTGCATGTTAAAAGATGACGAATGACTCTCATACAGAAAATTGACTCGGCTTTTATTGTTTTCTCTTTGGCTCTCGGTCTGCAGAGTGTGTGCATTCGTCTTAAACATTTCCCATAATGTAAACAGTCAGCCATGTGAATAGATGTTTTTCAGGAAGTAGGTACAATACATCTCGATCCAGCTCTAAAGGGTAGTGGGTTGCATAAAAGGAAAGTGACCTTTTTAATCACAAGGTGTGTTCAGGATGAAATTTCCCTGCTGGAGTCACAAGCTATCAACAACCAACAGGCCTCTGAACTTCTGGAGAGGAAAACAACATGCAGAGAAAACTGTAGACCCTCAACATGCATCACTTAAGAGAGGCTTTGTTGTGCACATATTTTAATATCACCTAGCTCACCACCATGACAGAAGGAGAAAAGGCATCCTTGTTTCCTGGAAGCAAGGCATGAGATTGTATCCGAACGACTGTCATGATTCAGAGCGTCTGTTTATATCATCATGAAATTACCACAGCAAGATCACTGTTGAGATGAGAAGGGCCAAACCCAAACTGCTTTGACCCGCTTCTTCACTACTAGGACCAGGATCCATGTCTATGTTTGCAGTAGCTGCGCTTTGAGGTTCCTGAGGGTTGCTTTCGTGGGCTGCTTGGTCCTGACTTGGAAAGGACAGTTTCTTTTTATATTTTCCCTCCAGTGTAAGATGTCCTGCAACAGTGTGACAATCGTGCAAGCCAAGCTCTTCCTTGTTATGCTAAATCTGGAGCAGTGGCCTTGGCTGAGTGACATGTGTCACTAAGGTTTTCATTGAGGGAAGGCCGGGTAAGTGTTCTACCATACACTGTCCATCCTATAAACTTCTCTGTCCGTCATTTTCTCGCATGCCAGCAGCTGGCTCTGTCCCGCTCTATTCTGGAGGCTGTGGTGGACCGGAGTGCAAAGCTGCGGTCATCACTTTGGAGGAGAAATGGATACTTGGCACGCAGGAATAGAACCTTAGATTAATGTTTTTAAATGAGTCTAAATATAAAACTTTAAATTGCAGGCGCGCCTGGTGAAAGATTGAATTATCAGAAAGGGTTTTATCTTCAGAATCAGAGACTTTAAGCGGTGCATCAGGTTCACCCCCTCACCTACAGCTGCTTCTCCTTCACAGTTTAACGCATGAACATTTTTGTGCACGTCTTTTCCTTGACGTTGATGGCTCGGAATGATGTGCTATTTCAGGTCTGACATGAGTGGGGCTGTTGTTTGGTTTGGCAGGCCGGCGCAGCGCTGGGCCAGGTCAGCATCAGGGGAGCGGTGCTGGCTGCGGCCACCGCGGAGGGATGTTTTCTTCTTCTTTTTCTCCGCACAGTGAGCTCTGTGACTGGGCAGTGTGAGGGCTTTTCACGTGGACCCGAGGCCGTTGGGCTTGGGGGTCCATTGTGGCCTCTGCCCGGGGAGCATGCCTCTCCTCATCCCTCCTGATTGATCAGCTCGCCTGTTTTTCTTTCCCCTGGAGTGGAAAAGCAAACTGGAGCACTTTTGATTCTCCGTGCTTTCCAGGCCCCTGGGCGCACTCACGGGGACACTGGGCCCTGAAATTTTTATGGGGCAATGCTGGCTGAGAGAGATCAGCCTTTTTTTTACTAGTTGGTGCTGTTTACGAAGGCGGTTCAGTGGTATGTCAACATTCCTAAAGTTGTTGTTAAGGGAACGACACGTATAACTGCCCTGTAGTGCATTCATGCCAGCAAAAATAGACATGTCAGCATATATCCCTCCAGTTTTACGCGGGACAACACCTACGTTTAAAAGCAGTGGTTACCATGGCTCTGTTTGTTCCCCATAAATCATAATTGTAAAGCTGGTAAAATGACAACTGCTGTTAACACTGAAGAGTAATTCTGCTCCACCGACACCGTAAAACGCATGCCTACCCGACGTTTTGGATTTATGCTGTCAGCCATTCACAGAAATTCCTGCAGAAATATGAGTAAACGGCTTTCCTACATCGTAGCGTGTCGAGTTATAAGTCATAGTGTGATGTTTTACAGGAGAGAAACTGTACCTCTGTGTGAAACCAAAGAGAGACATACCAAAGAGAGACATACCATACAGTTCCTCATTTGTCAGGTTCATTTATCATTAGAGCTCCGGGGATTTTCAGAGAGACCTTCCACCTGAAGATGGTGTTGTTGTTGATGGTGCACGCTTGGTTCAGCTTTTTGAGATGATTCTTATGAACGCATGTACAAAAAAGAGACCTCCACATGACCATTTTAGCCACTCCAGATGTCTAATGGGTTTGATATGCTGCTGCAGTCGGGAATGTGATTTTGAATAAGTGTTTCTTTTTGCACCCTTTCATTCAATCAATCAAACAGTCTTTATTTATATAGCACTTTTCTTACAGGATCATGTAGCACAAAGTGTTTTACTCAGAAATAAGGAATAAAAGAAACAAAGTATACCCGAATCTACCCCAACCTAACCCTTCATTCCCACCCCGCGATCTAAACGCAACAGAAACAGTATTAAAATGCATAAACTTAAAGAGGGCTTGATTTCGTGGAAACAGGAATGTGCGCACTGAGGAAACGTCATTTTACCTTCACAAATCTCTTTGATTAACATTCCATGACATGCAAACATACCTTTATCTTGACGTTTTTTTTCTCTTCTTCCTCTTTCTTTTCTCTGCTTCTGATAGATATGTCTTTTTTTGCGACATTGTTTTGCCCCACAACTACCAGCACGAAAATGTTTTTACTTTTTTAAATTTTTTTTTATTATATACATTTGATCATACAGAAAGCATCACTCATTCATGCAAAAAATTAAAAATATTATTATTTATTATTTTTTGATTGCTATATGGGGCCCCCTATTGGCCGCGGGGCCCTAAGCAGGTGTTTAGTTTGCGTATGCCTTGGGCCGGCTCTGTTGCTGACTTTTGGTGGCTGTGTGCTTGAGTGCCTCCTTCAGACCACCTACAGTACATTTTGGTCACATGAGACAGCTTTGGCTGGACTCAGGGCTCTTAAAGAATTCGCTGCCATTGGTGATCACACAATCAGGTTCATCCACATGTAGTCTGTGATGAGATTTTAAAGTCCACATCACAGAGGCAAAAAGTTTATTTCACTGAGCATCAGCATGAAAACTTTTCAGTGTATGAATTTGTCTTTTTGCACTGATATCACATCAGGATTGAAGCAGCATAAACAGTCTCGTTTTACTCTAACTGCATGTCGTCTGAATGACTGTATACTCTGTATACTCACAGTCATCTCATTGTCTCTGTCTCTCTGATGCTCATTCGCTCTCTAATCTTGTACATATGGTTTATATCTGGAGCAGTTTGATGGTGTGTGGCCATGGTGGATGAATGGAGCGGGGGGGTATTAGCTTTGGCTTCATGAAGATCTGTCGCTTTACTCCATGTTATTGAATGCAGCGCAGTGTAAGCCTCGGCCAAGAATTTATATGTATGAAGCATTTAAAGAGGATTGAGAAGATTGAGCTTGACTGCCAGAGCTTAGAGCATTTACTGCAGCGTTGACTGGGTACTGTATAGACAGGGCGCCTTTTTGGAAAAAAGATCACCCGAGCACGCTCTGAAGTCAAAATCCTAATCTCGTCATAGTTTGTGTGTATTGAAAGTTTTGTGGAATAAAGGTAATTGGCTCATCAGTTGAGGGAGGCTCTGTGGAGGTGTCTGTTGTCAGTCTGCACCCTCTAGTTCACTGATGTGGGACATGAATCGAAAATCAACGGACTTAGCTAGCATGACGTCATCTAGCGGTTTGTCCAGTGCTGTTTTGAGCCTTTAGCTAACCATGTTGGCAAATTGAAAAATATTTTGGAAAAAAGGAGAGGCTCTGAGGAGTAGCAAGAGGTTGGTAAATAAGAGGATATCAGGGCTGTTGAGTGCATGTCTGCAGCTTATGATTTAAGTGGTTTATTGAGTAAAAATATGCAAGCCGTATAGCTGCATCAATGCAGATATTCCCTAACAAGTTATTTCCTTTTCAAATCAAAAGAAATATAAATTCCAACTAAACAATGTATCTAAAGGTAAGAAAACTATAAAACAGTCAAAATTGAAAATACATATAACTAGGGCTGGATGATATGGGAAAAAGTTTATCACAATATATTTTTTTCATATCAGTCGATATCAATATATATCACAATATAAAAAATGAAACTTAACATTGTTATTGGTAGCATGTCTTTTGCAATACAATAAGCTTCAACATCTGTGAGGTCTTTGTGTCTCTTCGACGTTTTGTCGTAAGGCGTTGCTCAAGAGAAAGCGGACTGAATGGTCGGCTCTATCAGCTGCACAGACGTTTTAATTCAGCACATGATTGCTTCTGTGCGAAGCAGACCCAGAGCAACTCCCCTTTTCATTGGCTGTTCATATAGTCTACCAAAACATGGCAGAATGCCGACAATAGAAAAGCATATTGACCATGTTTTATATTGATATTGAGGGAAATCAATTTTTGATATATATATATCGTCATTGTTTTATCACTCAGCCCTACATATAACATTTATACAGGGTCACAGAGTCTATAGGGTAGACAAATGGGTTTTTTTACACTGTAGCTAATGTTAGCAGAGCTAGCACCAACAGCCTTTGGTCCTCCTGTGCATGTGTTGGTTGTGCCTGGCTCCAGTCAAGTGGTTTTATAACAGTTTAACTAACCACAGCCTACATCTAAAATCACCAACATTTTCACAGACCCACCTCATGAGTTTTATCATTCATCTGTGTTTGTTTACATACAGGTAGTAGACTACTGCAGTAGTATAATGATATATATATATGTTGACCAGCAAGGTGAGTTTCTGCTGCAAAGTTGGGTGTTCAAACATACACCCCCGATGAGGATTGACTTGCCTTTTTAACCAGCCTCAAGTGACCACCTGTAGTTTTGGCGCTGCTGTCTAAGCTTCATTTTTTCAGTCCTGAAGGCTGCTGTTCAGCCTGATCATTATTTTAATCATTATTTTTAAACTTGAACCTTCTATTATGCAGCTGTGGTGAGATATAAAGCAATAACAAAAGGTCAAGAATGTTAATGAGATGATTTTTTCTAAGTCCACAATGTTCTGCGTTCAGCTTTATGTCGTGTTTTATTCGTTACAGAACACGGACTCAGTAATACACCCTCGCTCAGACATAATTACAGGGCAGCTGTTATCAGTGACAGTGGATAACGACCAGGTTAGCGCCCGCCTCAGGTCCTCGCTCAGGACCTCCACTAACGCTCACTGCAGGATAGGAAATAGTGCATACAGCTCTGATTATTACCCGGCCCAGGATGTCTGCTGTCCCCCCGCCTCATCGTAGTGCAGCAGTCATGTCTGTGGTGGTGGAGACAGCGAATGAGAAGTTGGAGCACTTTCTTACAGCAGGATTGAGCTTCCCAAAATAAAAGCACCCTTAGGCTTCTCTCTCCTGTGTGCTACTGGCCTGTGCCCTGTAATTGAAGCTGCAGGGTGGTAATGATGATGATGATGCAGAGCGGCTCACTTGGAGCCAGACTGAAGGCTTCTCCACCGGCCCTGTCTTCAGCTTCTCCCATGGACCTTGATCTGAAACATCTGCCTTCTCTCCTCTCTTCACCATTTCCTGTTTGTTTGTGTCTCGATCGTCCACAGAGGCTTGTTTTCAGATTCTCTTTTATTTTTTTGACAGTTAACCCGACATTTTTCCCGCCAGTACCGAACTTTCTCTTGAAGTAAAACCGCTCACACATGGTCTCTCATTCACTTTTTCCAGATCTTAAATTTTGGAGTTCGGTCTTCCAAAAATGCTTTTAAGAGCTTTAAACTTTGTCTTAAAAATGGATTTTTAATACAGACAATTCACGCTGGTTTCCCCTCAAGTTTTAAATGAATAAAACCTGTTGAAAACTGTCGTGAAAAACACAATCGTCACATTTTATCTCTGGAAACCTCTTTTCTATTCATACATGTGGCAACAATGCCTCGTCAGGTCACATGATGACACCAATAAGCAAGTCCAGAAGTGAGAATCTTTATGTTCGTGGTTTTTACACAATTCACATGAACTGATTGTCATTAATGTCACATTTTCGCTGACACAGAAGGATGAAGGATGAGCCTCTCATCCAGCACATGCTGGGAAAGACTCCAGCCCCCTCCATGCCTGCCAGGGATAAGCTGGTATAGAAAACGGATGGGTGGATGATGATTCAAATAAACAGAAAGCTTCAACCAAACCCTCCATGACTAGTTTGCCATCTTTGCAGCAGATGTCTCTTAACTGCAGGGGACATATTCAGCTGAAATTTTCAAAACAAACAAATGAAAGGGTCGATTTTATCAAGATTGTGTTTGTTTAATTCAGTCAAATTTAAAAAAAAGGCATCATTCAGGATGTTCAAAAGTCCCCTACCTCTTGCAGAAATGGTTTGTTTTTGCAGACATCTACCAATATTGTTGTATCAGCTCAAGGCCAGCTCAGCATACCAGCGACTTGCCCTAATGATCCCGGGTTTGTTGACTATGAGCTCCTGATTACAGCACAGCGCAGCTTTAATCAGAGCTTCTTCCTCTCCGCGGCCACAGGATCCAGGAGGAATCGGCCAGCGACTTTCTCCAGTGGTCTCCTGCTCCCTGTGCCTAGACAAAATAATAGGCCTTCTTCAGCCCGCCTTCGCCCCTCCCTAACTTTGTTGATGCATGAGACGCGGGGGCAGCATTGGCAGTGCCACGGAGCCGTTTACATAGTAGCTCTGAGACCGGCCGTGTATAATGGTTTGATGTCTAACAATGGAGCAGTGATGATTTCAGAACAAAGATGTTTTGGGGAGCCCGGTTGCACGCCACTGTCAGCCGTGCCATGGTTACAGCTATAAAAGGCTGGCATCGTGGACTCCAGAATAGATGATTGTGACGGATGAACTGCTCCGGTGGTGCAGACAAGGTTTTTTTGAACCCTCTAAGGTCAAGCTCCTGTCACAGAGGAGCACTTTGTTTTTCTTTCTCCCTCTCCCTTTTGTTTTTCTTTACTTCATTGCATTCCTCCTGAGTCATATAGATCAGGGTTGTAATTCTTCGGCCGTTAGAGAGCATCAGGATCCACACTCAGTAGCCAGACACTTATATAACTGAGGCTTTGCTTGCATTAGAGTGTGTTCATATGCGCATACTGTGTGGCTTCACCGGGTCTTCCTTGCAGAATCCCTAAAGCATGCATGTCTGTCAGGTATATATGCCCCTGAGATTGTTTCTCAGCAGGAGGGAGCGTAGACGCCTCTATTCCTGCTCTCTGATGATATGGAATATGTGATCTTAGGAGTCCGCCGTTATTATTTCGGGTTTATCCTGGGAGGAATAGCAGCGAGAGATCCCGATGATCGCTTTTGGTAAAGGCTTCCTGGCACGCACCGCTAATCTGCCCACTCGCTGAGGAAAGAGAGGAGGAAAATTGGACCGAATTGAGAACAGAGACATTGTTCAAAGAGTTGCCGAATTGGAAGCGGGTGCTGGCTTTTGGACGCACAAATCTTCAGCTCCATCGGTGCCACTGTGTCAGCATCCAGCTCCAGCATCAGCTTCAGTTGCGCACAAGGGAAAAAAACCAAGTGGAGACGTTTCTGTGTAAGACTAATGCCAGCTGATGTCAGTGGACGGGGGGAAAATAGTCAGTGAGTCTTATTGTGAAACTTCTGCTCTCTGTGGGCTGTTTGATTTCACTTTGAGTTTTCCTGGACTGTGTTCAGACTTAAAATAAAATAATGACTTTGTTTCCCCGGCAAATTGGAACTTCTGAAAGTGTTTGGAGACTTCTTCATGAAAACAAACAGTCTTTTTTTTTCTTTTTTTTTTTCTTCGTTTGCATATTGAGGAGCGGTGCATGACTGTGCTCCCTCTGTGGTCAGTAAGCGGCCAGTTTCATGGTTAGATACCAGACAGTGTTGTGGTTAAAACAATTTGTTTGTTGAGATTCCTGACAGTTAAAGTGTCTGCGTTGAGTTATGAGCTGCGCAGACTCGGTCCAGGTGTGCAGAGTGTTTAGTGCAAACATGTGCGTGAGGTCAGCTCCGAGACGCGGCTTACTAATCTCTTTTTCTTATGAAACAATTATCCTTTAATAATCCACTTATTTTACTATGAGGTTGCAAAAGTGTGTGGCTGTCGTTCAACTCTGAAATTACCAACAACCTTTAAAAATAAGAGTCATCTTCAGGTTTGCTGAGGCTGTAATTCATGAGGTTCATGCAGGTATGTAGCGCCCTCTTCTGTCAAAAGATGAACATTCACTTAACTCCCTGAATCATGGTTTGTGGAGTGTTTGACTTTACTGGATTTAAATTCTGCAGAAGGAAAATTTAATGATTAGGGGCAGTGTTTATAACCACAATAGATAATTATGAGATTTTAACTGCATCTGGATCCGATTTGAAGTACACGCTCACCGTTTCCCATCAGACCAACGCTTGGTTCACTGCCAAACATCTGTTGCCACGTAATTTGTCACCTATCAGCCGAGGGGCTGAAGGGCAGCTCTAATATAAACGGCAATCAAGATAAAAGATGTTGATTTAGGCTGCTGTGATCGCCGAGACTGATGAGCCCGCAGCAGAGGAATGCCGGGTGTGACTCATGCAAGAGAAACTCTGATTTTTTTTTTTTCCCAGTGCCCTGCGCTCTTATATAAACAACGATAAGACGTCTAATTTTATTTCATACTCAATAACATCCTCTGGTCTGCAGCGCTGTCCTTGCTGCTCTGTCCTCCACACATGGCTCTTGTTCATCCTGCTGGTAAATCTCTCCTGTTTTGATCTTGACTGAAAATATCCTACATGTCGGCCTGTCAGACATGCTTTATTCCAGGTTGTCATGCAGTATAGTCTCCTCAGATTTACAGCTTCCTGAAACAACGACTCTACATTTGTTCGCCGCCAATATGTGAAGTAGTAATCCAGAAAAACTGCTGCGAAATTCCTGCCTCTGCTCTGAACGTCGCTCTTTGTGTGACTTTCTTTTTACAGTAACATTGCATCATGGTCTAAGAACTCGCACGCTGCCTCAGTAGATTCTTCAGCTCTGGTCTGCAAAGTCTAAAGGAGTTTCATGCTAATGTTCTCCTCTTTCTCCGCAGGAATCCTCTCCTTCAGACTACAGAAGTAACTCCGTGTCCAGCAGAACCCCGACCCCACCGGGACGATACTCACCTCACAGCCCCACTGAGCGGGACGCACCATTGTCCCCCCGTCGTAGGTAAAGACCACTCGCAACACGAACACCAAACGAAGACGAATGAATGAATGGTTTTATTTTTGGTCACAATAACAACAAATGAGAAACAAACAGAATTATAAACTTGACCAAAAAAAGGATTAGGCGGAAGCACAATGCTCATAGTTGCCTATCCTTTACAATCCTTATAACATCATTTTAATATTTAAAATAGTTGATAATGTTGAAATAAGATAAAAAAAGAAATGCCAAAGATGCTAAGATGCTAAAACATGAGTTGTTATTGCTTTCTCCAATCAGAATCACTGTCAGCTTTCCTGACCACGTGTATGTTCATAAGGATTCAGTTGAAGACATAATCTTGACATCTTAAGGAAAACAATTAAAACTTTCAGTGTATCTTATAGCAGCAATTACAACATCCTGTTAAAAAGGGACATTTTTCAGATGATTTGACAGACCTTATGAGACACCGAGGGTCATGGTGTTTTGCTCTGACAGCTATAGTTTTGACATGAAGTTCTCACCTTCGTGCAGCTGCTCATTTTTAGTGTCTTTAAGTTGTTTTGCAGCTGCCTGTAGATTCGACAGCTCCAAATGAATTTCGAGCCTTTGGGAAACACTATCTCCTGTCCACCACCTGCGCTGCAGTTTGCGTTTCCTGTCCCGCCCCCTCTGATGAGGTGCCGCAGCTGTACTTTGACCCATTTCATAGCGTGCAGGTGCTGTCCAGTGAACATTTTTTGGGATTCACTCTGACTCATCAGCGGCAGAAATGAAAATCTTCCCTCAGACTTGATCAGAATCCTTTTGTGTCCAACTGTCTCAGCTGGAGAACTGCTGCGTGTGTTTTCTCATGGTTGACTTTGGCCGCAAACGCCCTCTATCTGGTAACCAACGCTGGTGATATGACGTGTCAGTAACTGCAGTCAAATCCAAACACTCCATATTCCCAAAAAAAGTCTGATTGAACTCCCCCCTGATCGGCCCCCTGTCTGTAGCCCCCAGCCTGCACACCAAACCTCTCCCTGCCGCTCCCAGCCAATCACAGACTTGGTGACATCCCATGTTCCCTCCCCTTTGTGTCGCATGGCCAATGAGTTTGAGCCTGGAGGCACACCTTTCGGTCAGACTCTTGTTTTTCTGTCTGGTCTGGTTCAGATAGAGGTGTGTGTTCTGCATCTGCATGTGTCTGCTCATTTTCTTTTCCTATGTAAGCTGCAGAGTTAGAAACACAGGGGCTGGAAAGAATAGTTGAGCTCTCTTTCTGTTCCCTCTTTCTCTCTTTTTGAGGTGAGTCTTTTGAGTTTTGTCATTTGGATTTCTTTTGTCTGAATGTTGAAACTTTAGATGAGTTACTCCTCTGTGCTGGTTTGAGAAATGTGGTTGTAATTAAGCCTTGTAATCCTGGACATGTTTTGGCTACATGCATGTGCTCTGATTAGATCATAGTCAGGGTTCCTCTGAGCCGGCTCTGGGTTCAGAAAACAGCTCACATTCATGGTTTTTAAGAGGACAGACCTTTTATTTGATGTTTGCAGAAGTCTGCACCGGACGGCGTTCCCTCTCACCCTCTCCTCTGTTATTTGTTTCCCTCCCATTTGACCTCGACTTTCCATTCGTTTTTTTTTTTTTTTGAGATTGCAATTTCAGCAGGGTCGGGGAGTGAAGCGAAAAAAGGGGAAATGGGCCGAGGGTGGAGCTGAGCATGTGGAGAACTTGGAGGGTGTTCTTTCAGAGGTCTGTTTTCAATTTGAAGCATGCTTGGTGATGCAGAAAAGAGTCAGAACATCGCTTTGGTCGCATATTTTGTTGTCTTGTCTGTCGGCCACCTCGTGTTTCAGCCATGTTTGTTTAGTGAGAGTCCTAAAGAAAACATGCATAATAGCACATATGCAGCCACTCCTGAGCCCTGCTAGATACCTCATATAAGTACAGAGTTAGTCATTTAGTGGTGCATCTTTACTTTGAAAAAAATATATAATCACCTTGATGATCAGGGTCCAGAGTCTCTATGTGACTAACAGCTGAATGACTCGGCAGACCGAGTCCATCACCTGACCTCAACCAGCTGAGCACGTGTTTCACAGGCTGAAGGCAAAACACTCGGACACCTCTGCTGTTGAAGAAACCAAGCCCATACTAATGTTTGTGTTTTATCAACACCACAGACAGACTGCGAACTAAGCAATGAAACAGTAACTTAGTGTTTGCACCGTGGAGGTTTAGAGCAAACTCAGGTGTTGACCAAAGAGTCAATATTTAGGCAGGTTTGTGCTTTTAAGGGACAGGTTATCAGGTTAAGTTGACTGACTAGCTGACAGGGAGGCTACAGGTTGGAAGCATCAAACCACACCTGGCCTGTGTAGTGTACCAACCGGTTTTCACAGACAGAAAACGCTCTCCAGCTCCCTCCTGAATTCAACTTTTTTGTCCCTTCTTTCCTGACCCTGATTCTGCAGGAAGGGATCTGTGTCCAACATCGCATTAAGTATGGAAGAAGTAGTAAAAATAATGGCTTTCTTTCCTTCACACCAGGGGTAAAGAATTTTCTTGTAAAATGAGCTACTGTTCTTTCTTCTAATGTCTTTAATGGGGCTGATGGTGTAAACTACCTGAAGGTGAAAGCTTCCTGTCTCCACCCACCTCCTCCTGTGCATTAAGTGACAGGAAACACCCACAGGATGAAAGTTAGAAGGCTGTTATGTGACTTTATCACATGAAGAAGCAAATCTTGTACCCGTTGTTTTACTATCAGGCTCTGTCAGGCATCAAAATTCAGACAGAAATCGAGTTTACCCTTTTATTTACGATTACAGATGCTTTTCACGAGCTCAATAGTGTTTCCCTTAGTGTATTTGCCTTGAGGCTGTTTTCCAAGTCAGGACAATATCTCTTGTAAGTGGATATGTCAGAGTCCTGTTGAGCCTAACATGTGTGATTTAACCATGTTTTGGTCTCTTGCCCGTGGTGAGCAATCTAGACTTCATGGTCGAAGGTCAAAGCCTCAAAGGCAGCTGCTGCCCCTGTCTTCATTTCCTCTGGACTTAGCTGAACCAAACCCACAAGTCTTTCATGAACATTTTCCACACAACACATCATCAGGAGCTCGGTGTATTGTTTCAGAGAACGCCATAACACACGGTGCGTTTTTCTTTCTTTCTTCTCCCCCTACAGCAGTTCGAGCTCTGACTTTGCCATGCAGAGGTTTGACAGGGATTCGGAGGTGTACAAGATGATCCAGGAGAACAAGGAGTCCCGCACACCGCCTCGTCAGTCGAACACCTTTAAAATGCTGCAGGAGGTCCTGGAGGCCGATGAGAAAGGTAAGAGGCTCTTTGTAATCAAAACAAGTTTGCACAGTCTGAAGGAGTGTTCATCAAACACACGATTATGGACTACAGTGATGCATTACTTCTACCAAACTGAACTCTAACAATGCCTGTGAAGTCGAATTACACGTTCAGGGTCTGATTAGAACATTTGCATTGACAGGCCAAAGCAAATGGATTACATGTATGTTTTAGATTTATGCTGCTGGTTTAGCCCTTTAACCCCCTTGCATGCACTGTAAAACAATTCAAGGGGGTTACCGTCAAATGCAACATAAATTATATCTCCTACAGATGTTTGCTGGCTGCCTTTTAAAGCCATTTCTGCAGAACAAGCCGGTGTCAAGTCAGTCCATCTGGCTTTCACCTGAGCAGGATGTACAGAAAAGCTCCCCTGTGAGCACTTGATGTTGTGTACGGCACATCATAGAATCTATCCGTCCCCCTCTCCTGCCCCCCGTCTCCGCTTTGATAAATGTCGGGGTAAATAAATCCAGAGAGCGATAACATTCTTTCATGACGCGATAATGACCGATGTGTGTGAAGCGCGTCCCGCGGGTGATGAGCTGTGATGACGAGCGGGGAAACACAAGCACGCTCCACTGACGGACAAACACGGTGCTGATGTGAGGAACAGAGAAATGCAGACCTGTCAGAACAGCGCTATGAGCAGCTGTGTTAATCTTTGTGTGTCTGTGTGTGTGTGTGTGTGTGTGTGTTTAACTCCAGAGGCAGCCCTGCGGTTCCCAGGGAAACTCTCACCCAACGCCCCGAAAACGAGCACAGCAGTGGGAGGAGTTCGGAAAAACCACACCTGTGAGAAGTGTGGCACCGGCATTCTGTAAGTCCACTGTCACCTGCAGTGACACGCTTCCTGGAGCAACAAAGGCGTGTCAGTAAAGACAACACCTTGTGGGGAAATATGTACCATACTCACTCGGCTTGTAAATCTGTAAATCAGAAGTGACGTTCCATGTTATAACCTACTAAATTATCTGTTTATTGGCATTTTCAGTTTGGACATAAACAAATCACATGTACATAATAAACCCCCCCAGTCCCTTTATTACCACCCCATGTTCCCAGATCCTCTAAAAGGAGTATAACGTGAGGAAGAAAACAAATAAATAAATAGTAATAATGATAAGGATAATGATAAAGATAAATGATAAAGATAAGTTATCCTGAACATACAATATAAAATAAGGGTATTGCAAAAAAAGGAAGAAAAAAAAAGAAAAAAACAGGGTCCAGAAAGAGAAATACAAATTAAATTGAAATACTGGGGAAGAAAATAAAATAATAAAAAACAAAGAAAAAACAAAAAAAAGCGCAATATTCCAGATCAACACTGTTCTTAAAAACTAGATATTTAACTGTTCGATACGTGATATTCAAAACCTTTAAGGGGGATTTTTTGTCATTATATTGGCTTTTTTAAAACTGGAAGTTAAGAAGTGAGTCCTATCTGATTTTGACCGGCATTCCCAGTAAAACTAAGAATGAAAACACAAACCCACCCCCTAAAAAAAGAACTTTATAAGAGCTCATTCACCTCTCCACCCTCGTCTACTCACTAAATACAGAATATAATGTCAAAAGGCAACACAGTGAACATATCAGTTCAATGTAGAAATCACTTTTAGGTGTATTTTCTTTAATGTGTGTTTAACAACCCACTCAGGAACAGGAATTACAAATTAGCTAAAGAAATGCACAGTCAGTGAGCTGGCTTTATTCTACTTTTCACTGTTTGTTATGAAATGCCTTCAACCTCTGTGAAGTTAATCAAACTCCTCACTTAAAATAAGGACATAACAATACACAGGTGAGCGATATAAAGTAAGTGTTGAGGGATACAGCAAATGAAAACCCACAAAATTAGTTTTTCCTATTTAACACTTGCATACAGGTGACAATAAGTAATAGTTAAGAAAAACAAACTCTGCATTAAAGCCAATACAGTCACTTATCGTCTGACCGCATTCGTTTCTCTGCAGCACGCTGGCCGTTCGCATCACAGACGACCACTACCGCCACCAAGAGTGCTACACCTGCACAGACTGCGGTCTTAACCTCAGGATGAGAGGTCACTTCTGGTTCCAAGACACGATGTACTGTGAGAAGCACGCCAAGCAGAGGCACGAAAACCAAGTGAACAACCCTCAAGCCACCGTGTCCCCTCGCCATTAAGCCTGTTTGCCCCCCCACCCCACCTGCTCTGCTCTGGATGTAGAGTGCTGCACGTTTGCCTGAAGCTCCACCTCTCCTGACTCAGTTACAGACCTTTGAAAATAGGGTGTGGAGGTGGATACTGGTCAACGGTTCAGCACAGGATATGCTTTTCTGATCACATTTAACCACATTTTGCAATATAATGATTCACTTTCTTATAATTGTATGAGAATTGGGGCTTTTTTTCCTCTTAAATAGCCAAACCGCCACGGTCTCTTTAGGTTTATTTTTAGCTCTAATGATGCACAGCTGCTGTGGACTTGAGCCACATTGTGTTAAAAATAAGGCCAGTTTCACAAACTCCAATGCTCAAGACAAACTCAACAGGACCGTCTAACTGAACCCGAGGATCTGGACTATCAGTTTAACCTCCTGCTTGACTCAAAGGGACCAAAATCTCACCTACACTGCATGCCAACTTGAAGATGTACTGTACTCAAACAGTGCCGTGTGGGTTCACGCTTTCACACGCAGAAGTGTGGCGGCTTCTGCTTGACTTTCCTGTGAGTGTGACTGTGTGTGCGTTTGTGCGTGAGAAAGAGAGAGGGAAGGTCGAAGTTGTTACAGACACAAAGCAGTTTGTTATTTTTCGCGCTAGAGTCAGGCCAAAAGCCCTCGAGTTTTTTTCTATATTTCTTTTGTAAGAAGAATTTATGAGTAGAAAAAAAAGAAAAAAAAAACATATTTACTGGCTTGTTTTGCTGTTTTTGTTTCTTATGAGGGATAATAGATTCATACAATATACAATATTTTGATGTTTTTGTGATTGATCTGTAAACTTTGATATAGACCATTTAAAAAGCATAATGTATGCACAGTACATTTAGTGTGAGAAGAGAGTTGATGGTGATGCAACAATTGTCCAGTTACAACAGTACTCAGAGATACACTATGATGTTTCTATTTCATGTGGCACTTAATAAAACGGCACAACCTGAAGCTTCCTTGTTGATGCGATTTAAATATGTGCATCTTGCATTACTGCACACAGGTTCATGTTACCCACATCTCACAGAAGGCAAATCCACCAGTAATAATGTCAGGACTACCATGTCTCATTATAAGTAAGTAAATCAACCAAATAAAGATAAGATGTAGATATATATACTCTATAGTTTCCTCTCTGCAGTTTTTGCAGCCTTAGATGCATCTAAATACACTGAACAAAAATATAAACGCAACACTTGTTTTTGATCTCATCTATCATGAGCCGAACTCAAAGATCTAAGACTTTTTCTATGTAAATGTTCTTTTTTTTATACAGCCCTTTACAACAATCCTTTCAGTGAACCAAAGTGCTTTACTATACATAGAAAATAGAAATGAATAAATTAAAACAAAAACCATTAAAGCAATTTAAAAAAAGGATAAGATAAAATGCAATAAAATAAAGTGTCACCACACTACTGGGTATTAGAAGCCAGCAATCGGGATTTGAAAAGGCCCAGGTCGGAAATAAGTATCATGTAAATAAAAGAAATATTTCTCTTTAACATTGTTGACAAATTTGTCTAAATGTGTGTTAGTGAACACTTCTCCTTTACTATGATAATCCATCCACTGCACAGGTGTGGCCTATCAGGATGCTGATGAGACGGCATGACTAGTGCACAGGTGTGCCTTAGACTGGCCACGATAAAAGGTGCAGTTTTATCACAAAGCACAACGCCACAGATGTTCATTTCTCCACCATAAGCTGTCTACAAAGATGTTTCAGAGAATTTGGCAGTACATCCAACCGTCCTCACAACCCCAGACCACGTGTAACCACACCAGCCCAGGACCTCCACATCCAGCATCTTCACCTCCAAGAACGTCTTTGTAGCCAGTCTGTGGCACACCTGTGCAATAATCACGCTCTCTAATCAGCATCTTGATATGTCTCACCTGTGAAGTGGATGGATTATCTACGTCAAACACTGATTTAGACACATTTGTGAACAATATTTAAGAGAAGTAGGTATTTTGTGAACATAGAAACAGTCTTGGGAGCAAAAACAAAAGGGCTGCCTTTATATTTTTGTTCAGTGTAAACTGATGTAGTCATGAGAAATGTTAGCTTGATTAATCCTTCTTTGACTTGGATGAACTTTTCTGCAAATTAACACACCCTACATCTCATTTATTTAGTGTCTGTTATGGCAAAACACAGAAAACCCTACATACTGCCTCCGCTCTTTTTTTAAAGTAAGTTGTTGGTCTGCTTTCTCTTGAGATTCATTTCATCATTTATCCTCAAGGGTTTGATGGAAAAAAACGGGGTGCGAACACAACACTGTGAGAACGGGTTTGACAAGCAGGGTGTCGCCAAAGTTTGACAGGGCCAAGGCCCAGTGATGAAGCAGATTTTCAGGGTAAGTTATGACTTGAATTGCCTTTTTCTGAACTTGTAAGTGTGAATTTGAAGCTCAGTGCAACAAAGCAGTCTTATTTAAATGATCTGTCAGACTTTAACCCTTTAATGTCTGAAACCAAAAACCATGGCCAGAAAATTCAAATGTTTTTGGAGCTGAAATGTTTATTTCACTTATGACTGAAAACTAATACAATCGATATTTTAACAAAGATATTTATTATCTTGTTTAGATGAAAACTGATAAACCACAAGAGGACATTTTTATCATTTATCGGACTGTATTCAGGTGTTTTTTAGTAATTTGTTGATTATTTTGATTTGATATTAGTGTCATTATAGTATACATCAAATGTGATAGAAGAAGCATTTTAAGGAAAAACTGCAGCACTAAAGCTTGTTTGCTTCATTCATTTTTTTCCCTTAAACTAGAGGCAGAACTAGCAAAACACAACTTGAAAAACACTTCAATTCCCTCTGCTGACCAGAAGGGGGCAGCATTACTGCAGTTTCAAATTTATCTCTGCACAAGTTAACAGGGAAACTTACAAACTCAATTACTAGCAGTTTTGAACCTAATCTGTAGTTATACCTAATGGAAAAAATGTGAATAAATGGCTAACTAGATGGTGGATACAGAGATAAATAGAAATTTTTACTTATTTTGGGAGATGCAGAAAAGAATGTTAATAACAAAATGTTTTAAGGTGCTGTATGTGAGCTCTTAAGTATTGAGTTCTTACCAGAATAAATCTTAAACATCGTTCAAACAGCATTTTAAGGCTAATGGTTATCCATATGTGGTGCATGAACTGCTACTTAGTACTACTGTCAATAATAATTCATAATGACAGACAAAGGTATTTAGTGTTTAAAATATGGCTCCACATTATGATCTGATAACCTCGTAAACTGCTGAACCAGCCCCCATAAATCCTTAATTAGAACCAGTCCTGCAGGAAGTGGAAAGACTGGTGGGACTGACGAGAGGGCAGGACTTCCATGTGCTGCTCGTCAGACCACTAGATGTCACGGCCTCCTCGAGAAAAGCCTCACAGAGGGCCTGCTGCTCGCTCCCCAGCTGGAGGTTTTCTTTTGTTTATCCTCTGGCTTTAAGTAGGCCTCAGTCTGAGCTGTCACTCGGTCTGGTTTACATCTCTGATTGCAGAAAAAGAAAAAGGACGTCATTGTTTTAAGATACGTCTGCTTTAACACATGATTCAGATGACTATAGGAACATGCTCATTCATCAGTCACCTCACGTATGGTCTGTCTTACATCTCAAAAAGCTTGCATAACTTCCTCCGATCTCTCCCATAAGACATTATCTCGGCTCTGCTTGTTGAGCCTGGGAGCTGCTCTGCGTTCCACCTTTCCTCCCCGACGTTCTCCCATTTCTCAACACCCCACCTGGAATGGAGACCAGATGTGGAGCATGGAGACGGAGAGATTGCTTTGCTTTGCTATAAGGAACGAGGGAGGGCTGGAGAGAAAATGTTGGAACGACATTAAAGTTTGTCTGGATGCCATTAAGTACAATTTGATGTAATGTGCAGTTTGGGACGTGACATTTTGAATGGAAACTGTGCTCACCAGATGAGAGAGATTTGGGCCTTGCAGAGTCAGAGGGGGGTGTTGTACTTGAAGCTTTATTTAACAGCTTGGATAAACAGCCCTCTGTTTCAGGCGCCCGTCCGCCTCTTGTGCTTTATTTCAATAATCATGCTGGCTTTCCACAGTACAGTATCATATACAGGAATAACAAACCCAGAGTCCACTGTGCGGGTCAGAGCACAGTGCACTATTATACTGGAGGCCGTGCTTGCATGACTGAGGTGCCTGCAGTCTGGATTTGTAAGCGAATACATGTCAAGCCCAATTGCAGAAGGTTCCTTTTCAAAAGCTTTCCTGCTTCAACTTCTCATATTTTGAAACTCTCTCCAGATCTGAATCGCCCGGCTCTCCATCCTCCTGGGCCTCTCGGATATCAAACAGTATTTTTTAGAGGAGAAATGTATTTTGGGAGCTTTCCACACACACACACACACACACATACAAGCAAAACTGTGAAAAGCAGACCTTGAGGAAGTTTATGATCCTGTGTCATTTTTGGAACCTATGTTGGATTCTTTCTGGGGGGGAATTTCATATTTATTTTAGGAAAATCTTACTTTCAACAAAGGATTTGAGTCATTAGGAAATTTTTCTTGTAGTGTATGTCTAAATCTAAACCCTTGATTTATCAAAGTATCACCATGCAGAAGCACTGCCAGCCCATTTATCTACTTTGACAAGAATTACAACATGAAGTTTGCGGAAAAAAACAACACACTCACTTTCATTTGGATTTGAATTTGGCTCCAATCCTTGTAGATCCATTTAAAATGTGTCAGCATTAACACGCAAGCCACCGTGGCCAACTTACACTGTATTTACCGGCAGCCTGATGACTTCCAAGTAGATTACAAAAAAAAAGCTTCCTGGGATGAAACAAAAGGTTCCAACTCACCTCAGAAAAATGTAGCATCTATAAGAGGACAGCTCAGTCTCACTGGACCTCCAGAACCAGATTACTCTTTACTTCCTCTCCTTCCTGCTGATTGAATAAGTCTTTGATCTGCTTAAACACACACACTCTCACTCACACACACAATACACCAGAGAGCCTCAGCATCCATTCATAAATCTAGTTTGATACCAAGATCTTGCTGCTTTTTACAACAATTAATAATAATAATAATAATAATAATAATAACACCCCCAATCCATTCACAGCTTTCAGTGTGGCTTATGATATTAGGTTATAAGAGACACTCTTATCCTCTTCATTCAACATTACTTACGAGTGAGGTCTTGTCAATATATACATATATAATCTGGGCCTTTACAATGATGTGATGACGATGATGATGATAATTATTATTATTATTATCATTATTATTAGTATTAGTAGTAGTAGTAGTCGTATCATTTCAATTATTATAACTATAATAATAATAATAATAATAATTATTATTATTTTGGTTATTGTTTGTATCATTATTATAACTATCAATATTTTTATTTATAATTATTAATTATTATTATGATTATTATTTTTTATTATCATCATGTTTATTATTATTATCATTGTTATTAATATTATTATTGTTGTTATTATTATTATTATTATTATCGTTATTATTATTAGTTATTATTTTTATCATTATTATTATTATTTATTATTATTTTTGTTATTATTATTATTTTTTTAGTATATTTCTCATCTTTTTACTATGAAAACATTTTGTATCATCCGTTGCTATAAATATAAATTAACACAAATCATGTAAAGAGTCTTCAGTTTTGAATTTTAAGAAATGTTTTTTTGGGGAAATGGTCCGCAGTGGTGATCCTGCAGATCTACTTCTCGCCCAGTTTCCATTGTTTCGTCTGACAACATCTCCTTTATAATCTTCCAAGTTATGTGCTGAAACATGATGCTGATCTCAGGTGGGTTTCCTCCCCAGTTTGATGTAAAACCCCCTCAATCTCTCCAAACCAGACTGGATGCGCTAGGACCGCGGGGACCAGTGCGCAAGCGCAGACGGAACAGGCGCACTTGGGGTTGTAACTAAGTGAGTTTGAGTGTGACAGAGGCAAGCAGGCAAAAACCGCTAGATTTGGGGGGGATTACACAGGAGCCGATCTAGACCAGCTCAAGTCTTGTCCGAACTTTTTATTCAAGTTTGAAGCGTTTTTCAGAGAAATCCACAAAGACCTCCAAGATCCGGGAGAAACTCGGAGGAGAACTTTTGAAGAGCAGCGGTACAAAAGAAGAACGAGAGAAGTTTGAGAAAATACTTTTTTGGTTTATATCCTCTCAGAGGTGACAGCGAGTCTCCGCTTGTCTCTCCCTGGTGTCCCACTAACCTCTGGATTAACTTTTGGAGAGGAGCTCGCGGTCTTCTGGACACTCCCAAGTGTCTTGAAAGTGATGTAAACCTCTCGAAGTAATTAACGCGGATCACCAACGTTTGGAGACACAAAGTTGCGCATGTGTGGAGGTGAATGAGACGTCTGGATGGACTCAGACTTCCCGTGAATTGAACTGTGAGTTGTGCGTCCGGACTGCCATGACATAACGGGACAGAGCAGGAAAATCAGGACCGCTGAGTATTTCTAACATGACCGAATAAGAGGACCCTCAACTCAGCCATTCATCCAACACCTTCAGTAAGATACCTATTCTTCCTCTCACCCTCCTCACCCTCCATTGAGAGCCCCATGCTGGAGATATGGGATGACTGGAGGCGGGGGTGCAGCTGAGGTGAGCTCCAGCAGCCAAAGGACAATGTTTGCGCCCGGCGTTGGCATCCCTCCGCTGCCGGGGCGTCTGGTACTGATGCTGCTCCTGCTGTGCGCAACAGAGCCCAGACTCTCCACGGCCTGTCCCGGGTTACTCGCTTCCACCAGCGGCTGCAGCTGCACGGACGAGCGGGGGAAAATGCACGGTATCCAAGGCCAGGCTGTGGGAAGGAGGGTCAGCTGCACCAAGGAGGAGCTGAGTGAACCTCCGGATAGCAGCCTGCTGCCCAACAGGACCGTCACCCTGTGAGTCTCGACACTGACAAGTAGATCCAAACTAACCACGATGTCATGATTGTATGATAAGATGAGGCCTGTGAACCTGACCCGAGATTATGGCTTCATTGTTCTCGTCTGTTTTGACAGTTTTCTCTGTCCTTTATGATTTCCTTTCTTTTAACCATCATGCTCCATGAAAAGCCAACATATTTAGGGTTCATACTCTTGAGTTTTAACATGTTTCCATGGAGATTTGATTCCAGTTTTAGTATCTAACCAGGTGTATTTTTCAGCTCTAAAAGTAGACTTCAAATTGTGTAGTACAAAAGGACAACTCAGTGATGGTACAGTGACTCAAAAGGCCCACACACCCACCCCTCTGAACCCATGACCTCAGAGTTAACTGTATTGAGGTCTTGCTACAGTAATAAGGCTTATTAGGTCAGAAGTTTACATCTTGATCTAGTTTACCTCTGCAGCGGAGGGCTGAGCATCGCCTCTCTGTGAAGCATTTAGGGAAGATCAGCGAGAGGGCAGGCTGACTGTAACACCCCTCACAGCCCTGCCTCTTTGACACGTCTGTCACTTTGAGTTTGTCTCAGACAGCTCCTTCTTTCTCCCACCAACACTGTGTATGTCTGACTTGGCCTCGCCGAACTGGAACGAGCAGAAACACATTTCATTTTTAGTATTTTTCTATCAGAAAACACCCAGAGCATTTGGTGAGAATTATGCAGAAACAGTTCCGGGCTTGGTTTGGTATTTTTTAATTAAGCGAGAAGTTATTTGTGTGGTATCCTTGGATAGAACTTGTGAGGGCGTCATCGTGTGCCAAAACACACTATCTCTCAAGATGGATGCACCACTAATCTATCAGTGACACATATTTCTGGGGTGTCGTGTTGAACAGTTTCTTCACAGCCGCTCAGACTCTCCGTAGAAGTTTCCCATTTTCCCACAGTGTGTTACTGTCTCTGCACAATGACCCAGTGGGAGAAATGTTCGCCGCACATGGGCACCAGAAGAAAAAACATGTTCGACTGCCTCTCTGCAGCGAGCATGTGAGGTAAAGTAAGGGGATTTATCCCCCAGGAGAGCGGAGACAAGCCAGCAGTCCATTTATAGGCCCTTATGTTTCTTGCTTAATAAAGGCAGGATAAACATCTGGAGAACACATTGCTTTAAACCAGAGGTGGGGGTGGTGGGGGTGGTGGTGGAGTTGGGTGGCAGTGGTCGAGGTGATTGAAGATAATCTTCTGTCTTCCCGTCTACTAATTTTGGTGGAGTTGTTTTTTGTACACGTCTTGCACGTTTACGACGCTGTGAATGCAAAGCAAACATTTCCACCCTCTTTACCTTTAGCTTTACCGTCTGGAAAGTTCGTTTTCCTTAAGGTTGGTTTGGTTCCTCAAGCTCCCTACTCCCATCCTTCGCTCATGACATTAGCTCCAGATGTGGAATGTGAGAAGTGTGTTGATATTCGTGTTATTCCTGACATTCCTCAGCCCTTCTCTGAGACTGCGGACAGTATCCCAGGTGCAGCAGGGGAGCTTTCTCAGTGCCCTGCGCTGCCTGAGTCCCTCCCCTCACCAGACGGCCTGACAGCCGGCCGTGCTGCCCTCTCTCTCCCGGAGGAGTCTCTTCTCTATGCTGAGCGGGCGAATGCTGGAGGACACCAGGCTCAGGGCTTCCGGGGCTGGCCGCTACGTGTAATGCACAACAGCTGGCCCCTGTAAAACATTCCAGCTGAGGCCCCTTAGCCTCATGGGAAATCCCAACAGGGATTTGTTTATTAAAACTATTAGTTGGCTGTTTGTTGTTCCTGCCAGCTGTAAAGAAGCAACCAGTCGTCCTGACATTATCGCCTTCTTCTTTGGCTTTTAATGCCTTAGCTGCACTTTGATTGCAGATTTTACATTTATCCATTTTCATAAACTCGGGCTTATCACCGGTTTGTCATGCATCCTGCTTCTCAACCCTCCACCACCTTTTGTCCCACTTTCCCTCTTTTTCTTTATCTGCAGCTCCCTGTGTCTCTCCCCTTCCCACCCCTCTATCATGAGTTCATCCACACGCAGTAACTCTCAACCTAAATATTTAGCCGTCCTGGTAGGAAACTGCCATGTCCAAACTCCTTCCAGATGTGAGCCTGTGCAGCCCTGTGTTTAGGCCTAATTATGCACGGCTGCAGAGGAGCTGGAGCACTGCGAGAAGAAGAGGAAAGGAATGGTAGAGAAAGGGGGAAAATAGATAAGAGTGTTAAAGCCAAAAAAAAGTGCTGTCTTTCAAGGGGAAAGTGAAATAAATGGGGGGAATTGAAAGGAGAAAGGAGCTGAGCGTGAGGAGACGAAGAGGAAGAGGGAACCATGAGGGGAACAAAGAAGGAGAGTAAAGAGGGAGAGAGGATGGAGGAGGGAGAGGAGAAGCTTGGCAGGCGGTTCAGAGGGATTTGCCCCTGGAGACTCAAAACTCCCCAGCCCCTGACTAACAGATCTTCGACTCTGGGGTGAGAGGGAGGAGAAGGAGAAGGAGGAGAAGGAGACCTCCTTGATGCATCAAAATTGCTCCCCGTCTGTATCATTATCTGACAAATTTTTGGTATTTTTGCCGATTAAAACAGCAAACGTGTGCTGATGGATGCACTGCAAACACACTGGTCGTATAGAAACTGAGCAGTAACTCCTCTGCGTGCGCAGTGTGCTGGCAGCTGTGTTTGTTTTAATGTTTTCATGGAGAACAGACAAATGAAGAGAGCGTACAGTGGCAGTCTATGTGTGAAATATGCCGGAGCTTCATAGCTTGAGGTTTCTTCCCAATTCAAAACCCTGCTCCTCCCTTGGTGTGTTTTGCTGTCATCAACTCCAGTGACTGATGGCTTCGGCTCAGCGGGTGCCAGCGCGGGCACACATGCTCGGGGTGGGGGGGTCAGCGTGCCCGTCCTTGGCCTGGTGCCCCCCAACACAAGACAGCTGCAGAGCAACACGGTTGCTGTCTGCACGGTTGCACTTGAGACCAATTTGTCAGTGTTGCTGGCTGGCAGTCAGGAGTTTGAGATAAAAATATTCCTCAGAGGGTAGTAAAATTGTTTTATCAGTGAGGGTCAGGGCTGTAAAAGAGCGGGTGTTAAAGTAACAGTTTATCCTCGGGCATGTGGTGCTGAAGAATGGCCTGAACTTTATACATTTTAGTCTGTTCTGTGAAGCAATACTTACATGACAACCATAAATGGCTTAGTCTCAATATGAAGCTACAGCTAGCTGCCGACTAGCTTTAGAAATGTGTTTTAACCAGTCTAGTCCATTTCATTGGTGAGAGACATTATGTTTCCCAACCAAATATTGTGCCGACGTCCAGGGGTGAAAGTAGGATAAGGTTCTTGCAGAAGGTAGGCTTTGTACAAGAGGAGCACACCCAAGTTTAATGAGGTGCCAACTCTGATGCTACAGTATCATCATCTGCTACATCTCTCTATCTCTTGAACATAATCAACTTTTTTCTACATTTTGTTTTATTTATGCATTTAAGGGATATTTTAGGGTCAAACACACCATAACACTGAGTTAGACACCCCCTTGAGAGATGAATGTTGCCGACCGCTTGCTTCTTTAGTTAAACCAAATTTAGTAACAACCGCAGGATAGCAATACACAGCGGTCTGAGGAGCCATAAACAAACCTCAACCAAAACGCCACTCTATAGCCACAAATAATGCTCAGAACAGCACCTAACTTCATCAACAGTACATATAGGGTCCGAGCCACAGCGCTAGCCACCAAACATCTTTTTAGCTTTGCCTGATTTCTTTAGCAAAGAGACTAAACACAACTCACCCACTCTCTTCCAGCAGCCGCTTGTTTGTAACGAGACCTAAGGCCAGTCCATTACAGACTGCTGCAGAGATGCAGCTCATTTCTGTATCATTTCCTTGAAGTAATAATCACCATATGAATCATTTTGCACTGCAGACGCAGTGGTTCCTCTGCCTTAGCGTCTGATTGCATTTCCATGAAGAAATGATCATAAATGTTCTTCCTTGATTTGCGTATATTCCTCGAGGATTGAAGATTTCTTTAAAAGTTCCCTCCTTCCGCAAAAGGCGGTCCCCAGCTCCTAGGCAACCAGCGTCCAATCAAAAGCGCGCACTGAGCGCTACCACTTTTGGTTCGTTCGTTTGCGGAAGCAAGTATGACTCGCTCGCAAGCAGCATGGTTTTATTAGATTACTACGGTTACAAAGCAGTGTACAGACCGACGTGCGGCAACACGGTAAGCAAATGTAGCCTACATACACTGCAGGGATTAAAGTTTGTGTACCGCTGCATACCGTCTGTAAACTGCTGTTTATGTCTTCCCGCTGCGTATCGGCTTACTTTCACCCCTGCCGACGTCGTAAACAACCCTACTTACCTACAACTTTTGGTGCTTTTTTGGCTGTTAAGAGTGGACAACATCAAAAGAAACTGTTTAAAGCTAAAAATCATAATTCGTTAACCAAACTAGGCACAAACCGTTTCTAAAAGTCAGAAAAAATATTAGTTAATAGGGTTTAGATCCACCTTAGATCATACCTGCCAACACTCCCGTTTTTCCCGGGACTCTCCCATATCTCAGACCTATCTTCCGCCCTCCTCCCGTATGGTCATTTCTCCCGGGAATCTCCCGTTCTATAATGGTCCACGTTCATAAATCGGATCACTATATTTGTCTGAAGTTTCTGCTGAGTCACACAGATGGATTGATACTTTTATAATTTGGGATGATTCAGGTCAGTTTAATTTGTAAACTATATTTAAGCAGTGTTTGTTGTAAAATGAACATTTCAATGAAAGGGAAACAAACGCGAGATATAATATTTACGTTGATAGTCTTTCACCGTCTCGGAGTGATGCGTTCAGGGCAGCCTCAGATAAAAAAGTGCTGTATTCCACGCACAGCCTCATATGGGAGAGCATGTAAAACATATGAGGACTTTAACACTAATTTTAGAGGACTAAATAAGTTCAAGGCACATTGTAGCTATTATTTTTTTAATTACCATTTGTTATTGTTGAAACAAAACAAAAGTGTGCAGCTTCACTTATACTTATTTGTATGAGCAATTTAATTACAAATACTCTCATAATTAGCTCATATCCACCATACAAGGTAACCCCACAACTGCCCGACGTGTGCCACAAAAATCTCTCAGATTTTATAACCCAAATGTTGGCAGGTATGTCTTAGATATTGCTACATAGTTTGGTCTCAAGTTTAAGCTGAAATTTACAAGCCAACTTGATGACACCTATTAAACACCTTGGCTTATGTGAGCAAGTATTTTTCCAGCTATATAACAGGGCATTTATCTCATGTATTTACCCATGACATGAGGTGTGTTGTCTGCTTGATATAGCAGGAGAGTGGTAGCACAGAGCATCCTCTAACTATATGTACTCCTGCCAGCGTCTACAGTGAACACAGGTCCAAAGTCAGGGGAGAGAGTGCTGCAGGAGATGAGTCCAACTATCATTCAGTCCTTGGATCACAAATATGGTTTCTGATGTCCAAAAGACACTCAGATCATAGAGCTGCGGAAATAATCAGCTGAATCACACCACTAAACATCCCTATCTAGCTTTTCCCTAAATATGCTTTGCCACACAGTGATATCAGATCATATCTGGAATCACACTTGATATCTGTGGTAGTAGCATATAAGATTTTTTTATTCCTAAATTGCCTGTCTTGAAGTAATAAAGATGATACCACAGAGGGGGAAGAAGGATATGAAGTTGCGGACTGGCTTGGCTAAATCTATTGCTGTTGGCAAAACAAACTCGATGTTTTCTCTGTTCGGTTTGGTAAAGAAATGGGGACATTTTCAGAAACAGCTCTAGCCAGGGACAGGCTGTGAAGAATAGGGACCGTAACCCAGAAAACGATGACATCTGGTCACCCCGGTTGACCTCCAAAAACATTTGATTTTCATTTTCAACAACAACCGCTTAGTGTGGTTTTCTCTGCTGCTCTTTGTGTATAACTCCTCTGTTCCCTTCACCCTACAGTATCGTAGCTTGCCTTTTTGTCAAGCTGAGCTAAATGGCTTCTTGATTAACCAAGATGAAGGTAAAGCAGCATTAATCTTTTCACTTTTAACACGTTTTAAGAGGTTTTTAATGTGTTTAAGTTGGTGCAATCATAACATGAATGCAGTTTATCTGAAATATTTGCTTCTCTAGTTGGTTGAAGTAACCCTCTAACAACACGTTCAGATTAAACCGGTCCATCACTGGAACTGTTTGGAGGTTTTATGGGCTTATTTAAGACATCCTGCCACGAGCTTTCGGGAGGGTGGAGAGCCTTGTTTTTACACTTACCCCTACATTTGTCTGGTTTCTCTGGATTTAATTGAAACAGTCTGTCATCGTCGACTGCGTTTGATGAGTCCTCAGCGTCTCCGCTCACTCACAGCTCAACCCCTGAGAGGTTATCTATTGGCTACAGTATTAATCTGCGCCTCTTTAATCACCATTTCTTCCCCTGAGTCACATCTTTGGTTTCTTATTTGTGGCTCACATGTGGACTGAATCCAAAGGGCCGGCAGATGTGTCGGTGGTTTGCGTTGGGGTCTGTGAGTCAGAGTGTGTTGAGACAGGAGTATGAAGTATCTGGAGCAGTCGAGTTATCAGGAGGGAGGATTTTAATAGCAAAGAGAGCGCTGGTCCTCGGGCATTCCTGCAGCCGGAGGGTTTATTTATGTGAGGAAAGGAGTTGAGAGGAGGGGGAGTGGGCTTTCCTCCACACATGTTAGGTGGGGCAGCGGTCAGCAATAAATCAAAAAAGCAAACAAAAGTCCTGACACTGGATACCTAACTCTGGCACCTGCCAATGCCACACAAGCCTGGGGTTTATTGTGCCCTTGCAGGTCAAAGTAGGAGCTCTGAAACAGGCCCAACACACCCTCCTACGTCTCTGCACTTTTGCTGCCAGCATTTTTAATGATAAATGTGAACGCCTCTTATCACCTCATTGTGTTTGTTGATTAAACTGTTGCAATACATCAAAATTTGGCAGTAACAGAGACATATGTTGTCATAGTAATCTCATACTCCCGAGTTGCTTTTTGTTATTTTAGTCTTTCCTTTTGCCGTGCTCTCTTCTTATCTTACTCCAAAAATGTCTGACTCTGACTTTTCTCTGCCAGTGCTAACTTCCCTCTCCCCTTGTCCGACCACAGCGGCCCCCAAAGTTCCTGCTGGAGGTCGAAGGCGCATGGATACAGATAATAGATGTGTATAGTGGGAATGCCTGTGGCCGCAGTGTGTTAGTGTTTCTGATCCTCTTTCTTGAGAACCGTTTGATGACAAAAGTGCAAGTCATCCAGCAGGGTTCAAGAATTTACTGATGTAGCCTCTGAGTTGCTCTTTGATTGCTCTAAGGTTTAACAGATTTTCTCCAAGGGTTCACCTTTGATTACATATCTGAGGCTGAGTGGTAGAGATGGCGACATCTTTGGGCGAGACATCTGACCCCGATCTGCCCTTGTGGCTGTGCTAGTGCATGACTAGGATTATTTAATCTTGACATCCTCTCCATTGGCATATGAATGTGGTGTGAATGGATGAGTGAGATGTGCTGTGAAAGCTTTCTAAATGGGCAGACTATCTTAACCTGAAGAGTCAGAGTACAGAGAGAGATCTATGAAATGACAGAGACAACAGTTTAAGTAACAGACTGAACATTTTACCACAGTTTTCTGAAAAAGTGTAAATACAGCAAAGTTTCTTAATGTGTGATAAAGCACTGCTCTTTCCACCAAGAGTCCAAAAATAAATCCAGACTCAAAATTTCTTAGATTTTTAGTAGGAATGATAAAAGAAGCCTTTTAAAGAACAAAATTAGGCAATCAAATGATTAAGATAAATAACTTTACCATAACTTAATCAGTAAAGTCTCCAATTGTATCTTCAAAAACAAAAACAAAAACAAAACAAAAAAAAAAAAGGCCTGCTCTTATTTGGAAATCATGTCCATAGGTTACCCTAAAGGTGTCCACTTGAGCTGCAGTCCCTTAATCTCTTACATCAGTTCTAGGTATGGCCTCTAAAAGTTCTGTCGTAAAGTATTTATGTTTTAAATAATAAGTAAATATAGATGTTGGTATTAAAACCCCTGTGGTTACAAAATATACAATCACACAACCATTACTCAAAAGCCAGTGCCAAAGCTGCCTCCCAGCCGTGGTTGGATCACCCAGCATTCTCAGTAAAAAGTTACTATAGCTGTAGAGATGGAAAATATCAGCTAAGATAAATAAACTATAAAAATAAGTCGGATGTCGATCACATAAATAGAAAAATAACTTTTGATACCGGATGGTGTCACCAGAGGAATGAAACCCATGTCTCCAAATCGGGTTGGATTCCAGGTCCTGCTGACCACATACAGAAGAGTCTACTGGCATGACACTTAACCACAAGCTAGCCTGATACTGTGCCATCAGTGTGTGAGTGAGATCATTCAATACTGGCGTGTTATTTAATTATTGTGTGAATGTGGTGTGAATGGATGCCTGGATGTGTAAGAATAAGAATAACTTTATTAATCCCCGAAGGGAAATTCAATGGCCCCCTGATCATCAGGAAGCTTTCGGTGATATTCTTGCTGTAATTAAGGGCTCATGGGAAAACAATGGCTATCAAAGGCAGCTTAAGGCAATATTATTAAGTAAGCTATCAGTTTCCAAAAAAATTACATCTTTGTAGACATACTGAGTGACCCATGACATGCTGATGCACCAATTCCACATAAAATGATTAACCAAAGCTGAACCAGTAATTTAGGTTTTTACAAAAAGAAGAATGAAAAATTCAGGTTTTGGATTTTCCTGTTCCAACAAATTTGCACACAAAGGCTCAGAAAGAGCACTCTAGTTTGATGCCAGATGATCTAATTTCTAAAAGCCAAACTGACTATTAACCACAGGATTTAAGAGTTTTGTTTATGACGGTGCTGCCTCGCTTTCAACCCGGACTCTTGTTCCGATCGTGTATATCTTTTGTTTTTTGGTTGTCTTGGCAACATATTTCTTTGTTTACTCTGATTTCGTTTCATTAAACGGGTTACATAAAACACTTGAATCTGATAAGAATTTCCGGAAAGCAAAACATTGCATCAGACTGCATCATATCACATTTTATTTTACATATCACATCACATCATATCATATCATATCACATCCTATCATGTCATCTTATATCATATCATGTTATATCATATCATATCATATCATGTCATGTCATATCATATCATATCATGACATCTTATATCATATATGATGTCATCTGATATCATTATCATATTATATCATGTCATCTTATATCATATCATATTATGTTATCATATATCATATTATATTATATCCTATCATATCGTATCATATCATGTCATCTTATATTATATTAAATCCTGTCATCTTGTAGCATATCATATCATGTCATTCTATATCATTTCATATCATATCATATCAAGTCATGTCATCTTATATCATATTATATTAAATCATGTCATCTCATATCATATCATGTCGTCTTATATCATATCATATCATGTCGTCTTATATCGTCTTATATCGTATCATATTGTATCATATCGTAGTTCAAGGCTCTTCAATGCCCTGATGTCTTGCCATATTAACGAGTGAGCACCTTTGAGTTCTCCTGTTGCTGTTAGTCCCTAAATCCCAAATGAACAAAAAATGAATGTCAGCAGTCGGCCAAATATCAAATTTCTCACTTTACAGCTCATTATTATAAATCATGTCTAACTTTTTTATCTCCGTAACATAAAACTGTAACATAAAACCACGTCGTGAAAAACCTGCCTGTTTGATTCTGTCCTCCATCACTCAATACGAGCTGCTTTACACTCACAATCAAAGGAACTGAAGCATGATGAAATAAATCTAGAAGCTTTATTAAAACCCCAGACGACGGGATTTAACCACTGTTTAAAGATACTGTATGACTCTGCATTCCACCAGCTGAAATCCAATCTCTCTCTGGAAAGCATGTTGGTCTTCCATCATGAAATAACACATGCTTTATGATTATTTAATGAACTCTTGTGTCAAAAATAATTGATGTGCAGCAATTAGGTTTAGGGTGATGTAAACACTGATTGTGATACTTTGTGGTCGCACAGAAAGAAAGAAAAACAACAACAAAACAAAGACACAACCTTCTCTCAGTTGTCTCTAAAGAAATGGTGAGAGTATCTGGAGCAGAAAGATTTTAGCCGACTCTTTGTAAAAGCAGCCTGATTTTTTTCCCAGCAGTCTTTGCTCAGGAGCAGAAAACAGAGGCTGGTTATGAGACAGAACAATGAGACTATGTTAGCCAGGCATCCACCACATTCTTCTGGCTGTCTGAAAAGACTAAATTCACTAAATTGCCTCATTAAAAGTGTAAAAACACTTTGGACGGCGATTAAACTCACTATTGTGTTCCTGCTCTGTGGCAGTAAACTTTCCATTTTGGTTTGTCTTGACTTGTCTTTGACTGCAAATATTGTTATAAGTTATTGCAGCTTCACAGTAAGGCGGCGGGATTTGAACTTGTGATCTCTGGCTGTTAATATTTATTGCAGCTCCCTGTTTACATCTTTAAAGTCCGGCTCCAGTAAATTGTATAAAGACGGCACAAGAAACACACTTCAGGGACAGTTTTTGTTTGCCAAACTCAAAGAATTGACTAATAAGACATCCTCTCAGGAGTGGGGGACCTTCCTCTCAGGAGTGGGTATTGTGTATGTGTGTGTATGTGTTAGCCTGTTTGCCTGTGCACACACATATGGGAAGGGCGTGCACGGCCACAGCTCTGGAAATAGTCTCCAGTCCTCCCCTCTCTAATTAGAGACATTTCAAAAACCCAGATTTTAATTTTAGACTGCAAGCTTTCGGACCACTTATGCACACACACATCAAGTTAAACATACACACTTTCCGTATAAATAAATCTGATAGGTCACACACTTGTGCATCTAAATCTGCACACACACTCATGGAGCCACAAACCACAAAGCCTTACTACCCGGCGCAGGCTGGTAACCCAAGCACAATGCAGTGTGCTCTATAATAAGTGGTTGCACATATCAAATGCAGGAGCGTACTCCCCGTACGGGGCCTTCAGGCAGCAAAGTATGATAATAAAGCCAAGTAATGCAAGATTCTCCCCTTAATATAAATCATCAGACTCATTTATCACTGCAAAAATCTGTTCCACTCTTTAATGTGGCTTCTCTCGCCCTCCTCACCCTGTTTGATGATTGCATTACTTAATTAAAAAATGATTTCACAAAAAAAATATTTTGCATGCAATTACATGGATGCTCCTTTTCCATGACAGGGCAGTAAATGGGGCTTGAAGCTTGGCAGCGTTCCCTGGTAGCGGCTCTGTGCCCCTCTGGAGGGTCGGCCACAATAGGCACATTCACATCTTGACATGCATTTGCTGCTAAAGTGCCTGTTGTGCTGGAGGGCATTTAGTTTCTCTGTTACACTCAGAGCCGTGACTTTCTGAGGACTGGACCAGGGTGCAGGGAGGGGCTCTGGGACCAACTGGCTTAGGTAGCTCTCCGAAAGGGTTAAGCTATTTGGGACGGATGCAGGCGATGAATAGTCAGCACAGTCTGGAGGCCTCTTGTGAAGTACTTATTGTAACAAAGATGACACAGCCAACTCCCAGCCAGAGACATGGCTCTGCCTGTGCTCTTCTTTTATTCCTCCTCCCTCCACCTTCCTCTGTGTGCAGAAGAGTCCATTAGCAAAGAGAGACAGAGGGATGAGGGTTTGGTCCAGCTGATGCAGCTTTTTGGAGCCTGACACAAATACCAACTGTCAACCAGCACACATGTGCAGGCAGACGCTGCCAGTGTCATCATACGAGATTGTTTTCATACCAACAAAGAATACTGAACAATAATAATCATAATTTATCGCTCCATGCACAGTCTGCACAGTAGCAAATGTACCCAAACATGATCAAAACATCTGCACCATATTCATTTTACGGGGTTGGCTGACCCAGTCTGACCAATATGAAACTTTAACTGTTTTATTTTTTTTTTCCACAGCCCACTTACACACGTTTCCTGAATTACAATTTACTTTTCCCAAAAACTATAAACGCGGAGAAGAAGCCACACTTAGTCTGGCCAAACCACAGACATCGGAGACAAAATTAAACTCTTGATTCAAAACATGTTATCTTCCACCTAAATTAAACTGCAGATTACTTCCTGCTTTTAGAGAACACACAGGAGCTGCCAAATACTGAAAAGCCACAGAAATAAGTGAAAAACTGCTATCATGAATCCAGACGGGTAATTTGACACAAAAAAACGTGAAATTCTATAAATACCAGACATAAAACCACCATGGCCTATGGAGACCAAGAAAGGCATCCCAAACGTGGTGGACTATAGATCCATGATTGTTTAAGTATGTTGTAAATATGAAACATATTGTGTTGAATTTTGTATGAAATGTGCCTTATAGACAAGTTTGACTTGACATTTTTAGAAACATCAGAAAAAACAATATTTAGTTTTATATTTTTCCCTCATCACTAGGTAGTCTTTTGTGCTAGCAGGATAAAACAATAATAGCAGCAGAAATCATCAACATAGAGCAGTAAAAACTCAATATTGAGACTATTAAGACAGTCACAGCAGTCTTAAGGTCCTTGACGCAAATATACAACATGCAATTACAAAATATTCGGAGGCGAATTTTGACACGCCTGACTATACACATCAAGCGCGATGCGATTTTGCGACTTTCCGGGGGAAAAAAAAGACGCATTCCGGGTGGAAGTGAGAAGACTAACAACAGCAGACTGACTGTTTTTCAGTTCTGATTAAACACTAGTGTTGAGATGTCTGTCTGTCATGATAGCATGTACTGAGTCGGGGTCAGTAGTACCAGATTAGCACATTAAACTATAATCCATAAACGTAAGGTCACAACTGAGACCTAATGGTGCTGTGACAGCAACACGATTGAGTTTGAGACAGTGAAAATACATATGGTATGTTGTATCTGAACAGGTTAGCTTACGAGCTAAAGTTACTTAGCACAGATGAAAGTTAAAACAAAGACATTCAGCAAACTGTTAAAGCACACAAACCATCGTCATATGAGAAATCCGTCACTATGACTCTCCACAAGTTGTCCTTCAGGTCGTTATCTTTGTAATATTTGTGTCTTTTATCAAAAAGCACTCTGTTCTCCGACACGTTAACAATCAGCTGGTCGGCCATGTTGGATATGAATGAATGTGAATCAGATGTTGCAACAACATGATATGATATGATATGCAATATCGCAGGACGGGAAAACGTCACTGATGTAAACGCTTGTATTGACAGGATACAGGTTTGAAAAAAAATATTGATGTCTGAAATAATCGCACAAAAAAAGGCTCCCGGTGTGAAAGGACCTTTAGAAGGGTTTCTCTCCAGATAAGCGGCAGAAGATGAATGGATGAAGAGGGCTCTTCAACACATGGTCACAGCCAGATAATAAAAAGTCACTTCTTTAGTTTTCAAAGTGCAGTGCAGCTCTCCAGTAAATAATGCTTTCAGTATAAGAACTGTTTTTCTCTGTGATGCATGTTGACATTTTGACGGCAGTAAAAGTAGAGCTGTAAATCCTCCAAGCAACAACTGAACTGAGCCATAAATAAAGTCAGCAGTAGCTCCATTTTTTTCAACTATCATGATATGTCAAGAGGTGCAGAAAGGTGTAAATAATGCACCCTGAAGTGTTCAAACTTCCCCTGTAATGACTGTGAAAAAGTCTGATAAAGGTATGTGCCATACCAGCAAGTGAACCATTAACACACGTACACACCCACAGACCTATGCACACACATCCACTGGCATGTCAGGACCAGGAATTCTTGGCCGCTAATGAAGGGCTGTACCAATTACTGCTGCGTGTTTGTCCCTATAGGAGCCCTGGCACAGCATGAGGCAGTGTGTATGTGTGTGTGTGTGCAAATGTACACAAGTGACAAAAGTTATGGACTGCTACACTAAAGACAATTAGAAGCTGCCCCCCAAAACATCTCTGTGTGCAGGACATTAGAGTCAGTAAAGACTTTATTTCATCAAGATAAAACTCAAGCTTTGAAGAAGCTCAACGCAAACTATGAAATTATCCCCTCATTTTAAATGCTGCAAATCCCAATTGATTGTATTTTTTTAGGCTTCAACTGAGACAGTTTTCGGCATTTTTAGCAATAATTAATGACAGAGTCAAATTCCTAAAGCAATTAATCATTTATTTGGACTTACTTTAAGTGCATATTGATATATTGAGACTAGGATGTAGCCACATTAACCTCATCTGCTGTTTTAGTGGGGGGATATGACCTTATGGTTCACTTATTCAATAAAAAGGTACAGAAAACTTGTTGGTTGAGGCCAACTTGCCTTCTGTTTGTCTGCGCACACAGCTAATGTACAGCAAGTACATGATATTGTATCATATTGTATTGTATCGTATCCTATCTCATCATATTTTATCGTATTGTATCGTATCGCATCATATTGCATTGTATTGAATTGCATCCTATCGCATCGTATCATATCGAATTGTATCGTATCGAATTGCATCGTATCCCATCATATTGTATTGTATCGTATCCTATCTCATCATATTTTATCGTATTGTATCGTATCGTATTGTGTCGTATCGCATCATATTGCATTGTATTGAATTGCATCCTATCGCATCGTATCATATCGAATTGTATCGTATCGAATTGCATCGTATCCCATCATATTGTATTGTATCGCATTGTGTCATATCGTATCGTATCGAATTGCATCGTATTGCATCGTATTGTATCGTATCGTACGGTGTTTCAAGGCAGCTAAAATTCATAAACCACTGGCATTTCAACAAGTAGCTTCGAGTTTTACTTTTACTGCCTGGCCTTTAAGCCTAAAATAAAAAATATATCAATTATTTAGTCCTGTAATAATCTTCGTCATCTTTATATGAGATCTGTTTATAACCACAATCATTTGCTCTCTGCTCTAGTCTATCATCAGCCGTCCTATCCAATAAAGGCAAAATCTCCCCTTAAAAACTCAAGTAACCATTTCAGTAATGACAAATTTGGACACTTTTGCATTTTATTATCACCCCCTCATTTCAATAATGTATAATGAGCCCAAAGTTCTGCCAATTAGAATCCCATTTGGGTAAATGGGATCCAGACACACAGCAGAAAGATCTTAACCACCCATTCACTATATTTTCTTTTCCCAAACCACCAACTCTAGACATAAATAAGTTAACACTAATATTGAACTTGAGATGATTTCAATATTGGAAATAGATAAATCCCTCTGATCTAAGGTTGGGAACACTTTGATGGCAACCTCAGCTAGCCTACCTGCTATGTTTCACACCTTGGTCATCTTGACTTAGCACAAAATCTGGGAGCTATTCTGGCTGTGGCTCTGCCCATTAGCACCTCAAAACCTGCAGTTAAGGTTAATATTTTTCTTTAAAATCAGAATAAAAACCAGAGTTTAAAACTTCTTGGGCGTCATTTTAGAGACCTTTAAAACCACATTAACTTCATATTTACTTAATTCAAGGTGTCATTTTACCTAATATGCTTGATTATGCCTCCAATTTAAGCTGTGTTGAGACAGGCACTTTTACCTTAGCTCATGACTAACTCTGAGTTAAATTGGACCCTTTTCTTTGAGGTCGAACTCCGGCGCTATGTCATTCGGTTTTTGCTCCATTAGACATGGCGTTTGAATCGAGTAAACCACCGCAGAGAAACTTCTAACAGCCAAATTAAGTAAAAGAGTTCTTAAAACATCTTTCAGTTGTAACCACAATATTTCTGTTGATCCACCACGTCTATCCTCATTACTCACAGTTCAGTGTATGTAATGTGTATATAAGGAGAAACGATGCAGAGTACATTAGCTCTCCTTTGGAAACTGCCAACGGGCTATACTTTAAATGCAACTCTGGCAGGAAGAAGCAAATGGAAAGCAAAGAGGGAAAACGCAGTAAAACACACGGATGGTTTTGTATAGAAGGTTCTCAGCTGTAACATACACAGTTAAAGGGCTCGCACAATGAAGCGCTGTAAGTCTAAAAGTGGATAATCGTGTTGCTTTGAGTCAAATTTAATTACGTCCGCGGAAAATTCCCACAAGGCTAAATTATTATTTCTTTATTTATACATTATAGATTTAAGCACTGCTGTGACACAGAGCAGTGTGTGCATTATCAAGTCAGCATGCTAATTAAAGCAGGCTTAATTCAATAATGACGCTCTGAGACTCTCATTGAAAATCGCTCTCATTATCTGGCTCCCATTGGTCTCCGAATTAGGACGGGATTTATGGCACGTTACCAATCTCTTTCAAGGGTTCTTGTCTTTCACCTCGCGTGTGGTCCTCGAGGGTAAGAGACCTTTCCAGAGTTAAATGATGTTTACACAGAGGCCTGTTGGGTTGTTTTGACTCTCTTTATTAGGCTGAACCCACGTTTCTCACTCTCTGTTGCTCTTGAAGTGTTGGATAAACTCTGCACGCTGTTTTATCCGCAGTCACTAACATCCAGACACACTGCAGCAGCAGCAGTGGCAGCAGTTTCAGGTGGATGCTGCTGAAATGCTCTGTGTTCAAAATAAAGAAAACATGACTTACAGTCAAAGATTACGAAAAGTAATGAGAGCAGGCAGCTTAGCCTGGAGATGAAATCTTATTAAATCTAAATCCCTCCCTAAGACCCTTTTTCTGTTTGTGGTTTGCTGTAGAGGCCTGCAGCTACACAGAGCTCACTGTCCAAGTCCAGAGTGCATAAATATTTAGAGGGCACCATAGGCCAATCAGAATCAGCACTGTTCACTGAAACGCATCTCAACCATGTCTGGGACTGAAGGCCAAACCGGGATGGAGCATTTCCTGTAAACTCTTTCCACCTTTAAAAAAAAAAAAAGCACAGAAAATTTAGGGGAAGGCAGGATGAGGGTGCAAAGATATTAACACCAAACACTCAGTGGTAGCGGACTGCAAACAGGACATCCTGTTGAGTTGGAGTTTATAGAGGTCTCGCTTTGGCAGGGACGGCAGATAGAAGGATGTGTTTTCTCTCGCTGTTCCTCTGCACCAGGTTGTGATCTGGAAAGCTGAAAAGACTCTGTTCACAACACTGCAAGCCTTCAGCTCCACCGCAGAGACGATTCCTCTGAGAAATGATTGGCTGACAATGACCCCCAAACCAAAAGCAGCTGGAGGAAGCATGCTGCTTTTGACAGACAGTTACAGTACACATAGGTACACACATACACATACACACACACACACATGTACTCGTGCCCTCTGACAGACCTCGGGCAGTATGTTACAGTCAGAGAGGACGAGCAGAAGTAAATCAGTGAGCAAATAGGATTTGCGACATGCTGTCATGCCCCTGTGTGGCCCTCAAAGGCTTTGTGGGTTTAGGAAGCAAATTGAGCAAACCAACAAAGTGAGTGGCACGGCGCAGGGAGGAGCCGCTGCGGTTTACTAGACAAGACTCTTTGTATGCTTTTTACTTCTTCACACTCGGTCACGCACTGAGGAAGCCCTGAGCTATCACTGAACAACAGCATTCACCACTGAAATATGAAGTTTAGCAGTGGTAGGTGTAGTTTCTGGTTTATAACTACAGTACAGTTTGTGAAAAAGACAAAAAAACACACCCCTTTTTCTTTAAATGTTAGGGGTGTGAGAAAAAGTTGATTCACATGAGTATCGCGATTTTTTTGTTTTACAATTTGTAAGTTGATTTTAATGTCCAAAAATCGGCTTTTTTTCATTTTTAAGAACAAATATTAAAAACTGACCAACATGTGATGTGTATTTTTTGGGGGATTACGTTTCCTGGAGTAGTCAGTAGACAATCATAATCATTCAACTGTTTCACTGGTGTTAAAAATGCGGGCTCAAGATCGAGAAAATTGACGATATCATTGAAATGCAATTTAAATCGAATCGGCATCCAAAAAATCGTAGAAGAATCGAATTGGGAGAAAAGCATATTGTCCCAGCCTTATTAAATATACACTGACGCATAAAGACATCATTTCAAACATTATTTTTTAAAGGACTTGTTGGATAAAAGGTTGAAAAATAATGTTTTTTTTTAACGTACGATAACACACATGCTTGAAGAGAGTATTATTTCATGGTTTATACCTTTTCATTTGGTCAAATATCACAATTTGCAAACCTGCTGGCATGATGACTGAGTGGGTGTTAACGTTTTATTCTACTTCTATTCAAGCTCTGGCTTACCTTGGTTAACCTAGTTTATAACTACAGTAATGTGTAAAAAACACAAAAAACATTCCCCTTTCTTCTTTAAATATACACCGACACATAAATACTGCATTTCAGACATTATTTCTTGAAGGACTCGCTGGACAAAGGGTTAAAAAATAATGTTTTTTAAACATCTTGAATGTACAATTGCCTTTTCTTTTGGTCAAATATTGAAATTATAATTTTTATTCCATTTGTAAGTACCTGCTGGCATGATGACTGAGTGGGTATTAACTTCTTATTCTACTTCTATCTAAGCTCCAAATTTCAACTTTTCAACGAGAACAAGGAGCTTTTCAGAAACATGTTGGAAAGCTCAATTAACTTAAATCAACTCATTTTGAAACATGTGGCCCATAATTACTGCAATCAAGCAAATTGTTCGAAAATACTTCTAAAATTGAGCCTTTTGGGAGGCAAGTGCAGCCAAAATATTAATGTTGAAATAGTTTTCATGAAAACACACGCATACAGAAATATGAAATGAACGGTGAACAGCAGAGAGTAGATTTTTAGGTTCATGACATGGTCCATGAGGGGGTTTCATATTTTATTATCAACTCCTTTTAGACTATATAAAAGGCATATCTGTTCCTTAAAGAAATACATGTGATACCATGATGTAAATTGGTGGTAACATGTGTCTGCGTGTTTTACAGCTGTGGCTCTGACCCTGTTTAACCCCCTCCACCATAAGTACTCCACACATGATCAGGGCTTGTGTCTGCGTCTCTGTCTGACCTGCCTTTTTTCATATGACCTCCTGCTTTTTGATCTTCATGTAAATGAATTAGATAAAATGGACGAGTGGGACTCTGGAGCCAGACATGTGGCCCTGTTTTTTTATATTTTTTTACATGGATTAGAGATGGATTCAATTAGCCTGTGTGATTTCTCAGAGGCCTTTGTGGTTTGAAAGGGTTAAGTGAATGAGAGACACCATCGATAGTCTGGACTTAGTTATCCCACTGTCAATGTACCGTACTGTTTAGTGCTCTTGAAAGCAGATTAGCTTCATCTGCCATCTGATCTGTCACTTAAAATGAGGGGAGAGAAGCCACTCGTGTACAGTAATAAGACATCAGGCCTCAGAGCAGCCTGGTTTCCTATAATGAAGAAGCTACTCATCTTCTCTGCCACTGTTAACCTTTGTGTACTGCAGCGATGAAGGATGCACCCTCGTCTGCCTCTCAGCTGTCACCTGCTTCCAAACACTGCTGCGTCTGTCTGCCGGCCATGCAGGAAGTGCTCTCTCTACAACCCCTGACCTCTGAAACCGGGTTCTGAATAAACAGCTAATTGGCTGGGTTTCCTGTTTAGCCTGATGGGAACGCCGACTATTTCTGTCTGTTTACAGAGCTCTGCCTCTCTCTCTTTCTCAGAGTTGTACTCTCTGCATTGTTTATGAAAGAACAATGTCCTCCAATACGACTCCGCTCCAAACATCAGGCTTTGGGGATTATACAGTAGTGACCGGCCTTTGCAACTCCCCCTGGGTTCCTGGAAATCTGCCCCTTTTGTTGTCTGTGGGAGGGTTTCAGTTAAGTCATTTTGTGGTTTTTGTTTATTTGTTAAAGTCAGCTTTCAAGTCCCGTTTTACAAAGTAGCAAAGATAATTGAAATATCATGTGTTGAAATATCTTAACCTAAGACAAATGAGAAATATTGTGATAGGCTGACACATGTGAGGTCAATTTTTTTTCAACATTAAACACATCCATGCAGGTTTTAAAGACGGAAATGCACAAATCAGACATTTAGTCCCTTACAGTAAAAAGACAATCATATAATCACACTGAAGATCTATACACACACATGCACACGCTCCACATGTGCGCAGCCTTCTGACAAGTAGTTGCACTTCTGCATGGTAAGCAAAGTCAAATCGGCATTAGCTGTATCTAAACTGTCTGTGTTGAATTAAATGGCGTGCTTTTTCGCCAGATGTGACTTTCTCCTCTTCTATCTGTATTGAATTATTCAGGCAGTTCCGGATCTTCTGCAGCTTTCATCTCAGGTCTGCATCTAGTTATGGGAGGGATACTGTGCACACAGTCGAGGGAGAGACCTTAAAGTCCAAGAGTCAGGGGTTCAAATCCAGGCTACACTCTGAGAGCGCCGAACGCTCGCTGGTCTGACATCGACTTTTAAAAGCGTCTTGACTTAATAACTCTGATTTATTTCCACTGTTGTCGGCTGATTTGTGAACATTATGTGTTTTTTCCAGAGCGAGAAATGAGACTCTGATCTGGGGAGGATGTTGTTTTTTCAGGCTTTAACAATGACTGTGGATTTTGTGATTTTACAAACAGGTTGCATTTCACATTCTAGCCTGAAATAAGATGATTCAAGTGAAACAGAAAGAGGGCTCATTGCTTTAGTTTCACTATTATGGCCACTGTTTGTTAAACAGGCGCTCAGCTCTTGATTGTAGCACAGATTAATGATAACTTCATCTATTCCCATAACGTTGGCATCAGGGAGGCAGGAAAGTTGTGTACTGAGACTGGATGTTTAAATCTGGTTAATAAGAGTTGGAAGGTGCAGAGCTGGAAGCGGTATTTTTATTGATGTGGCAGGAAACAGGGGGTTGGGGTTTGGAGGGACGGAGGTGGAGTGCTGCTCCTGCTGAATCTGTATATCTCGCAGACTGTTCACAGTCCACTCCCACTTTTAAAAGCGCTCACACAGCTCCAGTCTCTCGATTAAGAACACAGTTAATGTCGCCCGCAGCCCATTAAGCGCCATGTGGTAGCAGCTCGGATGATGTGAAGCTGAAGGGTGTGTTAATGACGGCGAGCTGTCGCCAGAGCGAGGCCTCTGGCCCGCCGCACGCCCCGAGCTCCTGCTGAGGGGACGTGGGCAGGTCTGTTGAGTCACAGGGCTGGTCACAGAATTGTGGAAACATTGACCCTTGCCTCCTCGTAATTATCTTCTATGCAGCAAACCTGTGGCATAAGTAGCTTCCTTTTAGCCAGTGATGCTAAAATTCAACATCGGAGCAGCTTGTTGAGACAGTCCTCCTCTCCCTCGTTGTCTTCCTCCTTGTGTTTGTTGGATCTATTACTTACACATCATGTGAGCATGCTGTTTTTTACTGGAGTAAGCTGTTTCAGCTGCTGGCTGAAGCTTCTATTAGGAATGAGGCCATTACAAAAGGAGGCAAATAGGGGTCTCCAAAAAAATGAAACCTTCCCTCTATCTTAAAGGGATATTCCGGCGTAAAATTAATTTGGGGTCAGACACACTGTAACACCCAGCCACAGCACTAGTCACCAAACATCTTTTTAACTTTGACTAATTTCTTTGGCAAAGAGACTAAACACAACTCACCTACTCTCTTCCAGCAGCTGCTTGTTTGGAGCAAGACCTCAGGCCAGTCCAGCTACTGCAGTGGGGTGACGCAGCTCAAGGAAGAACATTTATGATCATTTCTTCATGGAAATGCGATCAGACTGAAACACTAAGGCAGAAGAACTACCGTGTCTGCAGTGTAAAATGATTAATATGGTAATTATAACTTCAAGGAAATGATAAAGAAATGATCATAAATATTCTTCCTTGAGCTGCGTCACCCCGCCTCAGTCCATGATGGACTGGCCTGAGGTCTCGCTAGAATCAAGCAGCTGCTGGAAGAGAGTAGGTGAGTTGTGTTTAGTCTCTTTGTTAAAGAAATCAGGCAAAGTTAAAAAGATGTTTGGTGGCTAGTGCTTTGGCTGGGACCCTACATGTACTGTTGATGAAGTTAGGTGCTGTTCTGAGCATTATTTGTGGTATTCTGGTTGAGGTTTGTTATGCCTCCTCAGACCACTGTGTATTGCTATCGTGTTGTAGTTACTAAAGTTGTTATAACTAGAGAAGCAAGCGGTCGACAACATTCATCTCTTGGGGGGGTTAGTCACTCGGTGTTGCGGTGTGTGTTTGACCCTAAATTAATTTTACGCCGGAATATCCCTTTAAATCATTCTGACTCAGTGACAAGTCTTTCTTAGTATTACTATCCTTTCCTGTGACTCCCTGGCAGACAGGCAATCTCAAACCCACTTCCAGTATGTCCTCTGGTCCTCTGCCCTCTGGTCTGATAAGCGTCATATAAGCGAAGAGATCGGCCGGTGGGGAAAAGGCTAATTAACATGGCCTGTGCTTCCATTCGTTTGATGTGGACGGACATCCTTTTGATGCAGAAATGTATGTGAAACGATTATCAAGATTACAGCTTCCGTCCTAATCTTGATGTCTCATTTCGTCCTCGGCATTAATTGGAAACATCTTAAGCTAACTTCTCTGGTCAGGCTAATCTTCTAACTGCAAGAGAACATTCAGCTGACTCCTTTTTTTGTGATCTTGGCTGAAACTGTCTGAAATAGTTATAATTCAGCATATTTGTGTTTAGTTTTTCATGATTTGCAGTGGAATTATTTTAACTTACTTTGGTGTTTCTTTCTTTTTCAGGATACTGAGCCACAACAAAATCCGAGTTCTGAAAAATGGATCCTTCAACGGACTTTTCGCTCTGGAGAAACTGTGAGTAGCCAGTTTATTTTATTATCCTGTGACTTTAGTTCGACATTGTCGTGATTGTTTACATGATGAGTCCTTGTATGGCCTGTTATTTTAGCCTGCCTTGGGACACTTGCAGAGAAATTTCGGACAGGAAATCACTTAGATCTGAGCTGCTATGTTCACTTCTATCCAACCACGGGCCGCGATCCAGCAGGGAGGATGATACACTTAGACTGGCTATCACTGAGTTATGTTGAAAAGTTCACATAATTACACTTCAAGACTGTATTATTAGGTAAGCCCCACACCGCTGGACAAGATAAGAAAGATCTCTTAAAGAGGAGGTGCCTGTTGGCAGCTGAGCTTCACAGATGATCCAGATTTTCTTAGTAGTAGCAGCATAATCTCTCTAAATGGGGTGTTAGACATATGATAGACAAGATTATGTCCAGGGGAATAAAACTTAATGACATGTCTGGTGACAAACAGGAAAAACAACTTTTACTAGCAATACTATCAGCAAGCATGAATTGCCAATGACCACTTTCACTCTCCTCTGAGGATGCATCTTAAAGGAAAATTCCGGCATAGAATAATTTTAGGGTCATACACACGTAACATCCCGTCGAGAGGTGTATGTTGCCAACTGCTTGCTTCTCTAGTTATACCAACTTTAGTAACGACCGTGGGATAGCAATACACAGTGGTCACAGGAGCCATAAACAAACCTCAACCAAAAACACCACTCTATATCCACAAATAATGCTCAGAAAAGCACCTAACTTCATCAACAGTACATAAAGGGTCCCAGCCATAGTACTTTAGCAAAGAGACTTAACACAACTTACCCACTCTCTTCCAGCAGCCGCTTGTTTGTAGTGAGACCTCGTTCCAGTCCATTAGGGACTGCTGCGGGGGGATGCAGCTCAAGGAAGAACATTTATGATTAATACTTAAAGGAAATGCAATCAGACCGAGACGCTAAGGCAGAAGAACTACCACGTCTGCAGTGCAAAGTGATTATTACTTAAAGGAAATGATAAGTAATGATCATAAATGTTCTTCCTTGAGCTGCGTAACCCCGCCTCAGTCCATGATGGACTGGTCAAGGTCTTGCTGCAAACAAGCGGCTGCTGGAAGAGAGTAGGTGAGTTGCATTTGGTCTCTTTGCTAAAGAAATAAGGCAAATTTAAAAAGGTATTTGGTGGCTAGTGCTGTGGCTGTGACCCTATATGTACTGTTGATGAAGTTAGGTGCTGTTCTGAGCATTACTTGTGGCTATAGAGTAGCTTTTTGGTTGAGGTTTGTTCATGGCTCCTCAGACCGCTGTGTATTGCTATTGTGCGGTTGTTACTAAAGTTTGTATAACTAGAGAAGCAAGCAGTCGGCAACATTCATCTCTCGAGGGGGTGTCTAACAAGGTGTTGCGGTGTGTTTGGCCCTTAATTTTACGCCGGAATATCCCTTTATAAAGATAGATTGCAACTAGAATCTAGTCGATTTTGTGCCTTTTCTCTTTTCAAACAAGCGTTCAGCAGCTACAGGCTATTGCTCCCGCCGTCTGGGATGCTGTGATGTGAGAAAAGCATCTAAAGTGTGTTTTTCCCACCAGAAGGTGTTCGGTTTTACAGAGCATGCCAGTAAAGCTTTATAGCGTCCTGGTAGCTAACAACACACATGGCGCGGCTTTGGTCTGGATACTGTAATCTGGTAGACATACTTATTTCGCCGGAGCGGGTGGGAGGGGTATTTTTTAGGTAGCCTATATTAGTTCCACATGCCACTTGGAGCTGCCACCCATGAAGCTAACAAGCTCCTCAAAGATGTCAAAAGAAAGAAAATATGGTAATTTGCAGCAGTCGTTAGCTTGTTAGTCGCTACCTGCTGGAGTTAACACCAGATGAGCCAGTTGAGAACAAACGCTCAATCTGCTGAGTTGCTGTTTTTATGTCTGGTATGTGAACGTCCCTGGGTGGATGTTTCCACAGTCCTGAGTTCTCACTTTTACCATAGACGCTTACAAAGCTTTTGATGGGAAGATTTGAAACGAAAAACCTGCGAATGGAATTTCAGAGCTAAAGAAGATCTCTAGGTTAGAGTTTTTGATGTAAAATGAGCCGATGTTGCTTGTTTTTGTAAGTGAGGACATGGTTCCCTGTAGTGCCGTGGGGTCGGTGGGTCAGGTAACCTGAGCTCACCCACTAACTTGCCCTTGTGGCTGTAGCAGTGATAAAACTAGCAGGGGGCGACAGGGTGGAGCTTTCCTGGGGTTTCATAACTAAAAGACCTGGGAGAAAGACTCAGAAGAGACAAACACGCACTAATTCCCTCCACACAGAGTGGGATGTGGGTGTCTGTTGTAAGTCGGGGACATAATGTAAATCATACAGACCTCATTTCACTCCTCTGCCTCAACCTCTGCTGGCTTTCTGACACACAGCAGAGGAGGTCTGCTCACTCATTCTGACGTCTTAACCTTTAATTGAGCCTTACACAGCTTATAATTACAGCTGAGCTCATGGTTAAAATTGCTGTCTACAGTGAAATATGCAACATTGAAATTCGCAGAGATGGAAGGGTTTGAAGGGAATGAAAACAGAAGTGAGTTTACAGTAAAGGTTAGCAGTTTTTGCCTCTGCTGCTGCGTTGCGATTTCGGTTTTTTGTTTTGTCTCGTCAGGTCGCCGTCTCTCTCCAGGTCCTCTCATTGTTTCCAGTGTGCCGTCTACATGTGCTTGTCATTTGCAGCAGTAGTGAGCAGTTACTCATATTCTGTGGTCAGCGCTGTAATCAAAGGCCGGCCCACTAGGGCTGAGTAAACACACATCAGGGAATTACACTGCATTTCTTTCCCTATGTGCCGAGGATAAACACTGCTTCTTGGCTGCGCGCACACTCTCACTCCCTGTCTTGTCCAGTCTGTGCAATAACTCTGAGTGTGTCTCCTAGTATGGGCACCTTTGCTTCTGGTCTCATCATTTCCAGCTCTCTCAGTAGACGCACTCTCACACCCACAGACCTCCATTCAGCCCTGAATGCAGTCTGATCTGCTGTTGTTTGTCGGAGAATACAGCTCCCACCCTCCTCCAGGCCGGGGCCAGACAGTGCAGCGATCTACACAGTTAGCCCTTTCATTGGGACAAACCTCCTCAAAGCCACTGTTGCCTTCATAACCTGCCAAACCACCCAAGTGCAGAGGCGCAATTTAGCCTTGTTTGTTTTGCCCTTTTACTGGACTACTGTGTTTTTGCAGCTCTTTTAAATTTGCTGTACCATCCAACAGCTACATTTAGATCCCGTACTACCTCATTTTGTTCCAGCTCTTTTTGGGTTGAAACCCCAGTTGAATCATACCTGGCTTTACGAATAAGAAGACACCTTCACGCACACCATTAGGCCTCGGATCTTGCGCTTGTGCACCTATTTGAGTGCCTCCACCTCTGTTCTTGCCCCCTTTTCTGATGGGACCTGACGCTGGCAGCCCCTCTAACAAGCCAGGACCTTTATGAGTTGCGGACAGATCCCAGCAGCCTGTCCTGCGCTGATTTGAGGCGAGGTAATGAGAATAATGAGCAAAGAGGGCCGAGGCAGTCTGGCTCTTGTCCAACTGGGCCCCACTGCACCATGGGACACAGGACAGGCAGGCAAGCAGGCAGGCAGGCAGGCAAGCAGGGCACAAGGGGCCCTCATTACCAGGTCTGCTCACCCTACAGGGAGAGAGGGAGCAAGTAGCGGAGAGGGCAGTGCCGATGATGGATGAGGGAGCAGCGGGGCGCTCGCAGTGGACAGGTCTGGAAGGCAGAAGTGAGGCTTGTGGTTAGAGGCTTGAGGTGTTGGCAGGGTGATAGACTTTGTCAACAAGAGAGGCTGAAATGTCCCAACAGCACCTTGTGTTAGAGTTGTACCCATGAAATAAGATATCTAGAATCAAGAGGTTACACGTGTTGAAGCTCTGATCCAATACTTTTACCAATGCACAGAAAAAAGTCAACTAGTTTCAGGTAAAGTTATGTGTCATATTATAATGCTGCGTTTGAGTTACCCAAGAGTTACCAGCGTTTCCGTTACCAAGTCGGAAAAAGTGAAATGTACGAAAAAAGGCAAGCGCTAAAATAACTTTCCTAGATGTAGCCTTCTTGTTTCAGGCCTCCGATTTCGCTTTTTTTCGACTTGGTAACTGAAACACTTGAAACTCGGGTGTGACATCATTTTCCGACATCTGACTTCCAAGGTAACTTGAACGCAACATAAATATCAACTGTTTACGAGAGCGCAGTGTTAGTCAAAGCTAGCCAAATATGTTGGCAATCAATGTTTTTCCATCAAAATCATACACATTAAAATTTCCTTTGTGTTGAAAAGGGGGAAAAAGTACAAGTTGAGAGTATGTGAACATCTGTTCAAGAAATTGATAGGTGTTTGTCTGGCTGAATATACAGAAGAAATATCATCAAAATCGAAAAAAGGAGCTGCTTGTGATTTATGCAGTGCAACCAGAAGTAAGGGGTTGAATCTGCGACCAATAACTCACACAGGGAGTGAGAATGTGCACATGTTTAGAAAAATGTCCACATGATAGAAAACATATACACTATCGTCTCTTTTTTTGTTATGAAAGTAGAGGGCAATTCATCATTTTTGACTCGATCGTATCTGCTTCACAAAGAAAGTCGGGGGAAAACTGACCAGCTTTCGCCTGAGCCTCACTGAAACCGACCTTGAAATCGCCGCTGCCATTCTGAGCAGCTGGGGTTAGGAAATAGTCCAACTTAAACAACTTTACCATCTGACACAGGGGAAGTGGAGCCGAGATGGCTAAAGATGGTATGATGGCTGCTGAGAGAGAAAGAGAGAGAGGGAAGGAGAGGAAGACGGAGGGAGGGGAATGAGGGAAAGCACTCTCCTGCAGTTTGTCTTATATAAATCTGAGGGTTGTTTTTCTTGGTGGGGGATTAACAATATTTCCACACAGGCTAAGCAATTCACTTTGAGTGGTGGGAACAAAGCAGAGGTGGGCAGCACTTAAACATGTAAAAACAGTGGAGAAATGTGTTAGCATGGCAAGGAGCCCTTCAGTCTAGACCGGTTTGAGTGGGACAGGGTTCAGATCGAAGCAGCCAGCTGTGGCGTTTTACAAACTGCAGAAAAATGATCATTTGTGTTTGTGTTTCTCATTGCACACGCCATCCAGTGGCCCCCGGTTACGGTCATCTAATGGGAGTGCATGACATGAAGGGGTGGAGCGGGTGAGGAAGGGGTTAAGCGTGCTGGAGAGTGGAAACAGAAAGGGGGGTGCTGCCGGAGTTGATAGACTCCAGATGTGTCTTTCAGATAAACTGAAGGAACGGGGTGTGTTTGTATTTCAAGCCCAGCTCAGTCATGGCTCTGGGGGTTTATTGAAACAGCGAGTGAGCCCCTTCATAAGCCCATTACCAAATCGTACGCTTTATACGCTGGTAACTCTCGCTTGCACTCTCATTCGGCAAACTTGATATGGTTTCAATGGCAGAGGAACTTCAGCTTTCTCTGGACCTACTTCCCCCCACTTCCGTCTGTGTGTCTCTGCTTTATTTTTGCGTCTCCCCTCTCTCTCTCTCCCAGCTCTCTCCGGGTCTCTCACTGTTCCTCCCCCGTCCCTTCTCCCTACATGCTCTAGTCCACCTACTGGCTGAAATTTCAATCACGGACGTGAGACTCACTATTCATTGATAATTTGAATGAAAGGCGTTTGTCCAAGTTTCCTCCCAGTTGTTGCATTGTTCCAACCCTTTGACTTTTTGACTTCTACTGATTTTCTAGTGAAAACAACCATGTGACTGTTGGGACTTTTGAATCAAATGTCTCTGCAATAAAACATATTCAAAGAAATAAAGGGAGAAATAGTATTTTGCATGTTTTTTGAGTGCCCTCTTCAGAAAACATATCAGACTGATAGTTTTATATTTCCCACCAACACTCAGATATCATGATCTACCGTATATCATAGGGGTGGGAGAAAAAATCGACTCACATAAGTATCATGATTTTTTGTTTTACAATTTTTTTAATGTTCAAAAATTAATTCTTTTTTTTCATTTTTTTTTTTACAAATTTAAGAATAAAGGTCCTTACACGCCGTCTTTTTTCATGTGATTATTTTGGACGTCAATATTTTTTTTCGAACCCGTATCCTGTCAATACAAGCGTTCACATCAGCAACGTTTTCCCGTCCTGTGATATTGCAGCATTTATTTTTCGGATCATGGTCAAATTTTCAAAAGTTTCGCATACTGTTTGTCCACTTCTGACCAATCAGATTTCGTGTTGTTGTGACATCAGATTCACCGGTATATCCAACATGGCCGACCGGCTGATAGTTTACGTGTCGGAGAACACAGTGATTTTTGATAAAAGACACAAATATTACAAAGATAACAACCTGAAGGACAACTTGTGGAGAGTCATAGCGTCGGATTTCTTATATGACGATGGTTTGTGTGCTTTAACAGTTTGCTAAACGTCTTTGTTTTAACTTTCATCTGTGCTAAGTAACTTTAGCTCGTAAGCTAACCTGTTCAGATACAACATACCATATGTATTTTCACGGTCTCAAACTCAATCGCGTTGCTGTCACAGCACCATTAGGTCTCGGTTGTTACCTTACGTTTATGGATTATTAGTTTAATGTGCTTATCTGGTACTGGCCCCGACTCAGTACATGCTATCATGACAGACAGTCATCTCAACACTAGAGTCTAATCAGAATCGAAAAACAGTCAGTCTGCTGTTGTGTCAGTCTTCTTGCTTACACCCGGGACACAAAGTCACAAAATTGCATCGCGCTTGATTTGTATAGTCAGGCGCATCAAAATTCGCCTCTGAATATTTCGTAATTTGTTGTCATATATTTGTGTCGTTCCCAGTATGGTTCCTAGAATAGTCAGTAGACAATCATGATCATTCAACAGTTGTTTAAAATGCAGACTAAAAAATCGACAATATCATAGAATCGCAATTTAAATCGAATCGGCACCCCAACAATCGTAGAAGAATCGAATTAGTAGAAAAGCATATCGCCCCAGCCTTAGTATATCACAATAAGAAAGTAGACAAATTTTCATTCATTCTCTTCCATACTGGTCAATCCTATAAAAAGCAACAGAGATGTAAAAACAGGCATGACTCCCTTCACTCCAAAACCCTGATCTAAACTCAATAACAGTCTGTTTGTCCAGAGTTTTCCTTGGCAGAATCACCTCCAAACGTTCCCGCTGCAAAACGACAGAAACATATAATCAACACAGGAGATTTTACGCTCAAAAAATGAAACAGCTATTCCTGATCGTACCGCTTAGGGCTGTGCAGTTTGATCCAAGGTTTATATCAGTCAGCCATGAGTGGGTCTTGGAGTTCCATTTGTTTAAAACATCGTGCATTCACATGAGTAAATAATCAGGTGTTGACAGTAAAAATCTGAACAGGAATATATCTAGTGTGTTTCCAGCTGTGACCCAAATTCAAGCTGTTTTATAGACACAATAGAAAAAAAACAGATCTGTCGTCTTTGCTCCTTGCAGCAAAGTCACTGGTTTTCATATAAACATGGACAAAAGGTTGATTAGGTATATCCAATCTTAGAGGAACCAGAAAAACGTAAAGAAAATAATCTGGGGAAGGGGCAGCAAAGCAGGAAATTAGTAGAAAAACAAGAGCTCTGCAGATCCCGGTTTCCTGTTTTGGGGGGAAGGCAGGAGTACGTTTGGGGCCGGTGTTACAGAGCCCCCATTGTGAGCAAGTGTGTTGAGGAGTAGGGAGGTGGGGTCTGCGGGGCCATACACAGGGACGATTCTGCTCAGTCCTGAATCCCCTAACCCACCTGCCCCTCCCTACAGGGGAAAGCTAGCTAGTAAAAAAAGGGAGAAAAAGGAAACTGTAAAAATAAACGAGCAAGGGCCTCTGCTAGAGACGTCAACCAGACAGGAAATGACACGCGGCACAAAAATGGTCTCTTGTGGCCTCCGTCAGGAACCAAGGTGCCGGCAGCCCCCCTCTCTCTTTGTGTCTCCAACGTACTTTTATTCATTTGTAGACTCACATGTTTGTTTTTTGTCTTCGGGCAGTTTCTTATATTGCTCTGCATCAGGAGATAAATCTGAGTGAGTCGGCTCTGTAACGCCACCTCTTTCCATTAAAAAAATTCCAGGAACAGGAAATTCTTGATTCCAGTCTGGCGATAATGAGTGGCCGTTCCCTGGCTTCAGTCATTTTCCCTGCTCCCTCTGGGGCTGGGACCTAAACAATGTCAGTGGAGCACTCCAGACCTGGCCGCTGTGCTCCTGATAATGGAGCACTCCACGTCTGGGGCGCTGTACAGACCATGTCTTCATTAGTACCCTCTCGCTGCCCTACAAGCACGTCGCTCCTCTCCAGCCTGCATGGGGCCCAGGTGCTCATCCCCTGTACCCGCGGAGAAATGATTCTCCAGAATGGCAGAGCACCAGCCCCATTGACTGGGAGGAGTATTTTTGAGAAAAGACGTTCTTAATGGCAGCTGCTGGTGTTAGGCCCCCATCGCAGCAGACAATGGCCTCTCCTGGTCTGGGAATGAGCTCGAGTCCGTCACACAGGCCTCATGTGGCGAAACGGATAAAGCAGTGCTCTCTCAAGGTTGCAAAGCATAACTCAAAGACGCGTCACCCTCAATCATGTAGCTTTTAGACGAAGGACACACTGCTCCTTATAATGAAAAAGCCAGAGCTACAATCTGCAACTCCTGACCCTTGCAGATCTGATATTTCCACGCTCGTGCCCTCTTTGAAGTACTTCCCATCCCAGCTCTGATCCTCTGGCCTAGTGACAGCTGTTGTCGTCAACGTGAAGGCCACCGAGCTGTGAAACTGTTGTCAGGGAGGGCGCTGTCTCCTCCAGAGGGCACACACACACACGTCATCGCCTGAGTGTGAGGCCTGCTGTTGAATTTGAAGATTTGCTGCAAAGTTGCAAATAAATCTGAGAGTTTAAGGGAGCAGCAAGGCATGAGTCTGCAGCGAGGAGTGAGCCCTGGTTATGACTGGAGACAATGACTTATATTCGGGGTAAATGCTCGCCCCGTGTCCTGATGACTTCATGTGGTGGGCTCTCCACATTCCCCAGGTTGGTGATAAGAGAGTGTGAGACATAATGAACTGCAGGTACTCCTCAGGCCAAAACACAGCATCATGCCCTCGGAGGCAGGGTGCAAAAGAGCAGACAACAGGAAATGCAGATGTGAGACGCAATTCTCTCTTTCTAATCACAAAAGGTTGTTTAAAATGTTTTAAGATTTTATAATTTTTTGCTCTAACTACTAGATTCTAACTCAAGTATCTGCACTTTTTATAATAATAACCATTGCTTAATTTAAGGCTCCTGTGAGTAACTTTTGGTTTGTATGAACTTTGGCGCCCCCTGTGGACAAAGCCGTCTTTGCTTACATTGTCCTCAAATAGCATATGTAGTGTCTTTTGACGAACCTACTACCTTGCACCGTTTCATGCATTAAAAATTATAAAATTATAAAACTTTGAATCTTGCCCCTATTGGTTCTTTTTTTTGGGGATATCAGGAAAATGCATCTATATAACTAACACTCTACTCCATAAACAACAAAACTCTGGACTAGGGCTGGGCGATATAACCTCAAATCAATTTCACGATATATTGAGCAGTTCACCTCGATAAGGATAAATGGACGGTAACTACTCCACAAGCTGCTCATCCCCCCCCACATCCTCTTGTCTACTTCAGCCTCTAGAGCTTTTGAACCGTCCTCCATCTCCTCACCTGTCTTTCCCTCTTTGTTACGGACTGGATGGCGTGGAGTCACATCTCTGACGTAGGACAACGTCTTAAAGGGACATGACCATAGCCTACCTACACACATCCAAAACCAACTTTTATTTATTTATATTTTTGACACCAAATATATTGACACGGGCGAAATGACGTTGGTTATTGTCGTAAATTTTGGTAATGGTAAATTTTCAGTTTATTGCCCAGCCCTACTCTGGACTGCAGGGAACTGCAGGGAACTGCAGACAGTGTCGAGTCACATTTCCACAAAACACTTCCAAACGGAACTGTAAGTTGTTTTCAAGTTAATGTCCCCTTTTGTTTGATTTTAATATTGTTGCTTTTTAACTTTTATTTCATGTTTAGATTTCTCACAGGGATATATTTGTTAAACAACAGTATTGGCCAATTTTGGCAAGGCCCTTGCACTATATATAACCAAATGTGACTCTACTGTCCCACATCAGTTTAAAGGGGGTTGCTACTTTCCAGTATATCCTAACACTGGAGAGCAAGAAGAGGTTTGTTATTGTGCTGAAAAGTCACCTGTTAAACAAACTCTGGCGTGACATAAGAAGACGACAGGTACTGTTTGCACATGTGTGATTTGTCTTTGTAGTCAAATGTCAAAGTACTTGTCAGCAGATTAGTATAACACCATCTCAGCGAAGGATTAGACATGTGCAGTTTGTAAGACATGATCCAGAGACCTTTCAAGAAAAGGTTGGAGGATCAAATCTTTCGGCTCTTTGGTAAACAGACTCAGTAAAGTTATCATGACGTATAGTGTAACAGGAATCCAGATGACAGCAAAGGCATAGTACTAGATGTGATATCTGCAAGGGTTCTCGCTCTCTTCTCTGAGTGTGCTGATGCTTTCTTTTAGAGGAGGTCAGTGTTAAACAGCAAATTCGTTTGTATTTATGAGTGTGAAAAGGACGGACAGGGAGGGGGAGACGGTTGGTCATCAGAGAGAGGAAATAGTGGGCAGTACCTCGCCTTTCATCACCGCACTAATGAGCTCCACTACACAGACTGGAAACAGCAGCATTGTTCTCTCCCCTCGCCCCGTTTAAAAATCCTATACAGCTACTGACACACAGAAACACATGTAGCTGCATTCAGAGTAACACTGTGAAACACAAAGATTAGCACATACATCATCATTTCTCTCAACAGCCTTATGGATGAATTCAATGTTAATGCAACAAAGCAGTTTCTTGATATTTCTCAGTCAGTATCATAAAGGTGGAAAAACCTCCACTGCTTTAAAAAGCTGTGAAGTTGTTGCAAAGTGTTTGGACTAATAAGCTGGCACACACTCAAAGGTCTCCGCTGAGCTGTCCAAGACTGTCTGCTTTGAGACAAACACAACAGACCTCAGCCTCTTGGTCCAGGGCCAGGGACTTCTGCTCCATCATTATAGCCTGTCTCCTGTCTATAATCCAGATATGAGCAATGGCTTTGTAAGCGCTTGGACCAGCAGATCTCTTGGCTTGACTTTGGCCATACCACATGGTGTCGTTTTTTTTTTCTTTTCGGGAAGCCATTTTTGAATACGTTCTTCTTGCCCTGGATTGATCAAAATAGCTCATCTCTTGGAAAGCAGACAGGACAATGGTTAGGAGATTCCTGAGGTTGGACATGGTGTGAGGCAGCGCGGTCGAAAGCAGCAATGACGGATAATCTTTTGTGGAAAGAAGGACCAGAAAAATTCCCTGAGGTCTGCCTACCACAGTGACATCTTGGGTAAAAGTGAAACAGACAAAAAGCAGCCATGGAGATGTTGCTTTTACACTCCTGTAAGGAAATCCTCTTTTATGGATGGTCAACTGGATGAACACAGAACCGTTCTGACCCACATCAGCCATGTATAGCCGATAACCATCTCTCGACCTCTTATAACCCTGCTTACTCACTTGTCTGATAAAAAAACATCTTTGATTCAAAATGTAATGCAGATGGTGAGGAGCATCTGGCTGAAGGGTTTGATGAATGGATTTGTTTTTGTGCTTTAAAAAAGAAAGAGTGGAGGAAGTATAATCTTCAAAGGAGCAATAGAAATTAATATTTATGATTTTATGATTTTCAAGATTATCGTCGAATAAGAAAATCACAATCTGGAAAACGCCTGAGACTTTTCAAGCAGTTTTGAATTTCACAAATATTTTCTTTGGTTTAGAAATTTTATTTTGCTAGCCTCAAACACAGGTGGCTGATGGGATAAGATTTCCTATCTGTGTGCAGAAAACCTCCCGCTGTGTCTCAGTGGAGGCGCAAGGTTTAGAGAAATGAGTCTCCTCTCCTCTTTTTTTGAAGACAGAGCCCTCGGTGTTGAGGAAGTGGTTCATATTTAGCTAAATTTTCTCACCAGCAGCTGGCTATCGTAGCTAGAAGTGAAAAACAGGGGGAGCTGTGCTTATACCTGACTCTCAGCGATTAACAGACTCTATTTATTCTATTAATCCACCCAAATGCATCATATTTGGGATGTTAAATAAGGTGTTTATTTCTGTTTTTGTCTGCTTAGCTCTTACCAACCTACTGCACTTTACTAGTTTCATGTTTTTTGCTCTTTTGCTCTCACAGCTGAGCTTCAGTATAAAAAAATTAAGCTTACATTGATATCCACCTTTTACCCTTTGCAAGAGGAAGCAACTAAGCATGTTTCTGAAACTATAAGACTATTCACTTAAAACATGTCGACATTATTTTCTCATTGACTGAATATTTTCTGTTTCCACAGGGACCTCAAGCACAACTTAATCAGCACCATCATGCCCGGAGCTTTCCAAGGCCTGTCTGAGCTTCGGAAACTGTAAGTAGACATTAGCATGATTCACATTCTTTTGGTGTGAAGATCAGCAAACACAGGCAAGGATAGGAAACTGAGAATGTAATTTTTTGGTCTGTGAGGAATGATAGCTTCAGTATAGATTTCTTAATAAAATGAGCCACATTTTTAGCCGCGGTGTGAAGAGACAGGCCTGTTACAGTTTCTGGAGCGGATTCTGTTTTGACTGCTCATGTTAGATGTTGTATTGAGCTCCTGGTGTTTCTAGGACAATAAAGGCCTCCTTTACGACTGCAGTGTTTATGCTGATCTTTGCGGGAGCCTTGCAGTGTCATCTCTTGTGCCCTGCTCCACCACTGTTTAAACCTCAGGGCCACGCAGAGGCTCCTCACCACCATTGGATGTGACAGGACGGCTGTTTGCAGCCACTCGCTGCTCGCTCATTGTGTTTTTGGACTCTGATGTCTGGTTGCGGCGTGGGTCAGAGTTAGTCGTCTATGCCGCCCCGCGTGACTCCCCGCTCCTCCTCCCCCTTCTTGTGTTTTCCCTGCGAGGTCTGGGGCTTCTCAAAACAAACAGGGGGAGATAAACACATGCTCTGGACGGCTCTCTGCTGGGTAATGTCAGAGGTGCAACAGAGCAGATCCCTCTCTGGCTGCGGCTATACATCACACTCAGAGGTGGACGGCAGAACAGGGGCCCAGTGTTTACCCCTTTGCTGATAAAACTTCACCGGCATCCCGTTGAGGAGAGATAAGGGAAAGTGTTAGGGACTGTGGGCATTCTTATTTAGATGTTAAACTATCTAAACTTTCTATTTGTGGGGAAAAAAGTAAACCCTTATCACTGTTTTATCTCAACGGGAGTTTCTTCCTCGTCTAAACTGCATCCCAGTGATCCCAAAAACAACACAAAGATACCACAATCTTGGACTGAGTCGAGTCCTTTTGTTTCAGACACATTCCTTTGTTTTTCTTTCTAGTGATCTCTCCAACAACCGCATCGGCTGCCTGACTGCTGACATGTTCCAGGGGTTGACCAACCTCACGAAACTGTAAGAAAAAGAAAAATGGATTCCCCCAAAGTTTTCTCCATTTCACAATGAGCGGTGAAGTTATTGAATTAACTTTTTTTCTCTCTTTTTTTTTTTTTTTCTCTCGTACATTGTGTGCTGCTAGGAATCTCTCTGGCAACATCATATCAACTCTGGATCCTGGAGTGTTTCAGGAGCTGCCGTCCCTTAAGCTAGTGTGAGAATAAGACACTGTCTGCTCTCCTTAACTCCAAACATTTCACTCACACAGCATACCATTCCATATCTGAATAAAACAATAAATATCCAAGAGAAGGAAAAAAAACAACATAACATTTACTTTCTCTGCATATTTATTTTTCCTCTGGTCACTAACTGTGTTTCACAATGACTGTTGAGAAAGCCAAATACGCACTGAGGGTTTATTTGACATGTATTTATTTGGATAGATTTATCTATATGGTATTTGGAAACACATATTGGCAGTTATCAGCCAAGAGATTATACTGTCTAAAAACAATTCCCTTTTTAGTTTGCAGTACCAAATGTTCTTGCTAAACACGCTACTGTTAAAGAGAGAGGATAATAAATTTACATCGAAGGGAACAGTGAATTTACAGGCCTAAATTACTTTTTATCTGCAGGTATGACATGTTACTCTTTTAATGAAAATCAAATTGGTTTTGCTCGCATAATAAAAGCCGATCTTTTCTCTGTCCAGGAACTTCAACTCTGAATACCTGTCATGCGACTGCAGCCTGCGATGGGTGCCCGGATTCTTCCGCAGCACTTCAGCCCGGTTAGGGGATGAAACTCTTTGTGCCTACCCAAGGAGCTTGAGGGGAAAACCCCTGCGAGGACTCAGGGAGAGCCAGCTGAGCTGTGGTGAGAGCCGGGACTCATGAATGAGGCGGTTCACCGCTTTGTTGCAGGGACCGTTGACTTGTGGATGACAATGAGAGTTCACTCATAACCATGCTTAGAACCGTACCGATATTTCTGAGAATCAGTGAACCAAAAGTGCTGAAACACATCCAAGGAAGGAGCTCAGCGGGGGCATATTTCTAAAAGTATCACGGAGCTGTGTTGACAACTAATCCTGCGGGTTGCTTCTGCCTGCAGTTAATCTGCTGTAGAGCTGCAGACTCATTCTAGCTTCTGTGGAAATATTCAGCTGAGGTTGGGTAATGAGAAGAAATCATTCACAGTGACTTGATTCTTGTGTCTTTTCCGTCATGTTGCGTAGATGGTCCTCTGGAGCTGCACACCCTGTCGCTGCTTCCATCCCAGCGTCAGGTGGTCTTCAAAGGTGACCGGCTGCCTTTCCACTGCACCGCTGCCCTGGTGGACAAGATCACTACTTTACACTGGCGTCACAACGGCCGGCTGGTGACTTCTGATTCTGAGATGGGTGTTCAGCTGGAGAGCAATGTGTTGCATGACTGCACCTTCATCACCAGGTACAGAGGAAAACTTGAACTTTATATCTCTGTGTAAGGAAAGTCAAAGTCAAATGTGTAACAATGTCAGACGCACAGTGAAGTAGGAAGTAGTAACGTGTCGTAATGAGCTGTCTCGATCTTCTTTATCCAGTGAGCTTATTCTATTCAATGTACGTGCGGAGGCCAGAGGGGAGTGGGAGTGTGTGGTTTCCACTGGGCGGGGCAACACGTCTCGCAGTGTTGAAATATTGGTGCTGGAGAACAGCGCCTCCTTCTGTCCAGAGGATAAAGTTGTCAACAACCGTGGGGAATTCAGGTGAGTTACAGCTGAAGTGATTAAAGCAACACAACCTGAAGAGTCAACGTTTTTTTTTTTTCAATCCATTCATTCAGTTTTTTATCCCCTAGGTGGCCGAGGACTTTGGCAGGCATCACCTCTCATCAGTACTGCCTGCAGATGCGATACCCTTCTCTGTCTATGGAGGGAGGTATTGAGCAAAAAAAGGCCTCGAGACACTGTGATGGCAATGGGAAGTGGCAGGATGCGAACTACACAGACTGTCATTACACTAACGGCATCACCCGGGTCCTGCACACCTTCATCCTGGTCAGTAAGGATGAAAAGTTTTACCACAGTATCTCCTCTCTGATTAGAGAAAGTAATAATGATTACATCTTTTCCCTGCAGCGACCAATCAATGCATCTAATGCTGTCACTTTGGCGCATCAAGTACGGACATACACCCTGGAGGCTGCGGGCTTTACTGACTCTGTGGATGTTTTGTATGTGGCGCAAATGATGGAGAAGTTTATGGAGTATGTCAAGCAGCTCAGAGAAGTAAGAAAGAAGTTTGAAGTTTTCTAAAATACCTGTTTACTGATCTGTATGTCGTGCCCTCTCATGACTTAATGATTTCTTTGTTTGTTCCAGTTGTCAGAGGTGTTGGTGGAGATGGGCAGTAACCTGATGCAGGTTGATGATCAGCTCCTTGCACTTGCACAGAGAGAGAAGAGGGCCTGCAGCTCGATAGTTTACTCCCTGGAGACCTTGGCCTGGCCTCAGCTACACAGTCACGCTCAGGACTTCTCAATGGTAGGGACCACTGACCTGATTTTCCTTTGTTTTCATATTTTAAATCCTGTCGTAAGAGCCGGTTAAGCTTCCTTTAACCCAACAAGAAACTTTCATATGATATAAAGATTTTGCAGAGCAGATTTTGTATTTTCTCTCACAGAAATTTGCTAAAATAAGAAATAAATTTGGAGTTTTTTCCTGCACAGGTGTCGAAAAACATTGTGATGGAGGCTCACTTTATTCGACCAGCTCACTTCACTGGTATAACCTGCACTGCATATCAACGGAGAGAAATCTCCACAAGCAGCCTGGGAGCAGAAATGGCAGAGTCCGCTCACGAACAGCAGCTTCGTTTTCGCTGTAGCACCGGTTCCCATAACACCTCCCTCAACAATTTCCCTCTGAAGGTTAGCCTCAGCTTTTCACATAGCTACTATTAGTACTTGTAACCTGTTGCATCTACAGTCTTAAAGATGTGCCGGTTGATTCATCATAAAAAATATTTCTTTTTGTGTCTTTTTCTCCAGAATTCAGTAGCCCTGGCCTCTGTGACGCTTCCTGTGACCTTGTTTCCTCCTGATGCTCCTGCAGACTGTAAGCTGCAGTTTGTAGCCTTCAGGACTGGCAGCTTCTTTCCACTGTCTGGGAACTCAAGCAACACAGGAGGGCATTCACGCAGACGCAGTGTCAACACCCCAGTCATCTTTGTCGGCCTTGGTGAGAGATCATATTGTGAAACCTTATTTTCGTTTATTTCAAGGAAATCCTAAGTTACACCCAAAAGACCAGTCAGCACTCCTGCCTTTTAGTCATTTTTGTCCTTGTCAGAAAATTTTTCAGAAATGACTCAACATCAGTGACAAAAAAAGTCAACAAAGAAGACCATTGTTCTTCTAACAGCAGTGCTTGTTGAATTTTAAAGGCTTTTTTTCATGGTTAAATAAAATTCAACACAGCACAGTTAGCTGTAGAAACTGTCATGTAATGTTAAAAACTATGGCTCAAACCTTATCAGACAATACAAACATCTTCATGACATATTTTCCATTTTATTGCAAAATAAACATTTCCCCCTCTTTCTGGAACAGATGGCTGCAGTATGTGGAACCACTCAGAGCCCATCTGGGTGTCACTGCGCCACTTGTCTCCTGGTTCTGACGCTGTGGCAGCCCAGTGGAGCCTTAAAGCATTGGAGAAACAGGGAAGCTGGAGCCAGGAGGGCTGCCAGCTGGTGCACAGCGACGGCAGCATCTCCACCCTGCGCTGCTCTCTTCTCAGTAACTACGCTGTGCTGCAGGTAGAATGAACTTCTGCATCAAACTGAAGTTTTTAGGAGTGATTAGGAATTACAAAAGTTCTCCAAGACTTTGATTTGTGGGTTTTTACCTTTTTCAGGAGGTGCCTGACTTCCCCACCCCTTCACCCATTTCTGTAAGGGTGCTCCACCCGGTGGTGTATGCCAGCACTGCACTGCTCCTCCTCTGCCTCTTCACCATCATAATCACTCACATATTGCATCACAGGTACCATTGTAGATGTGCACAAAGATACTTATTCAGCATTCATGTTGGCTTCGTCTCATTGCGTTGCTCTGTGCCCTTTTGCAGCACTATTCATATATCAAGAAAGAGCTGGCACACTTTGTTGAATACTTGCTTCCACATCGCCATGACAACAGCCATCTATGCAGGAGGCATAAGCTTAACTAGCTACCCAGTGGTTTGCCAAGCAGTAAGACCTGATTTTATACTAAAAGCTCATTTTGATTCATGAACTTCAAGCCTGTTGTCTTACTGAACTCTACCATGTGACAGGTGGGCATCGCTCTGCACTACTCCTCTCTGTCGACCCTGCTGTGGATAGGAGTCAGCGCCAGGGTCCTCTACAAAGAGGCTGTGTGGAGAATGCCACGGCAAACTGAAGGAGAGCCCCCTGCTCCTCCTACTCAGAGACCTATGCTCAGGTCAGTGGGCGCAACACACCTTCACCCACTTCTGCACTGTGAGGTTGCTGTATGCTATCATTAAGCGATATGTTATAGACAGATGTGGGTGTCCTTGTGGGTGACCACCCAGACTGTTCAGCATCAAAGTGGGCCATTGTGCCCCACTACCAAAGTCTCTCTGTTTTAAAGAAACACTTGGAGGGACATGACAGAGTATTGCTGTATGGCGCAAAAATGTTGCAGGCCTCTATGGACCGTGAGGGGGGAGGGGAGGAATGTATGAAACCAACATAACAGAAGCAGAGGGGGTCATCATAAATCTAAGCTGGGTGGTTCAAGTGGTGCACTGTCTTTCCAAATCTACCCCTCCATTTCTCTCAACCCTGCCCCTGTGATTCTGAAGCTGTGGTCATACACTGTGCTGCTTACCCCACCGGCCCTCCCACCATCCCTTTGTTGCCTACTCTGCCCCTCGGGATCAAGCAGCAATAAATCACAGAGTTCTGGAGACCATACTGACCTTTGTAACACTCAGACTGCTAAGAGTGCAAAAGATCACGCAGATTACAGACAGGCTGAAACATAAAAACACAGAAAGAAGAAAAGGACACCAACAAGCACACTTAAAAAAATCATGGCAGCCAAAGGTCAAACAGCATCCTGTAGAATAACAACTTATTTTATTTTCATATCTACCACCTTAAAATGTGTGTTTTTTGTCATTCAAGGTTTTATTTAATAGCGGGTGGAGTTCCTCTTATCATCTGTGGGATCACTGCAGCTGTCAATGTCAACAACTACGGAGACAACAGTCCTTAGTGAGTGCTTCTCCTTTTAAGCTTGAACCGTCTGAACTCCTGACTTTGTCTTGTTTTGTTTGGTGAAGTGAATACCTCTGTGTGTCGTATTGAATTTACAGACATCTCCTTGTTTTGCTTTTTTTTCTGCCTCTTGCAGCTGCTGGCTGTTGTGGCGCCCCAGTCTAGGGTCTTTCTTTGTCCCCGCTGGCCTGGTGGTGTTGGTGACCTGGATCTATTTCCTGTGCACAGGGATCCGCCTGAGGCACCGTGTAGCCAAAGAATGCACAGGAACCACCCTGTCCACCCCTGTGACTGAGAGTCAGCCTGCACTGGCAGGAAGCACCAGCCTCCTGTCCACAGACTCAGCAGTGGGGCCTATTAATCCTGCTGCTGCCCCAGAGGACCAGTACTCTCTGAAGACACAGTTCTTGGTGCTGGTGGCGACCCATTTCCTGTTTGTGGCTTTGTGGTGCTGTGGAGCCATGGCAATGTGGCTGACAGGGCGCAGCAGCTTGTTGTTCAGCTGTCTCTATGGGATAGCTGCCACCATATTGGGGGTGTTTCTGGTGGTGCATCACTGTTTCAGACGTTTGGATGTGCAGGCTTCATGGCTTGTATGTTGTCCGGGTTATCGCCGCTCCCAACCGATGTCTACCTACACACATACCTGCACCACTGGGAGCGGAGTGCAGACCTCAGAGCAGGGATCACAGCTTTTTATCAACTGCCATCCACCTGCTGAATCTCACAACTCCTCGTCAGCACGGTCATCTTCCACCCCAAGTGGGATCAGCAGTGTGGGCCCCGGGCCCTGCAAGCTCACCAACCTGTTACAGGTGGCACAAGACAATCCAAATAACACGGCACGTGCCCCTCCAGGGAACAACACCAGTACCAGTACTGATAACATCACCAAGCCAACAAACAATGTCCTGCCCACCATTAACTCTGCAGCCCCAGTGCACCCCCAGAGGAGAAAAGTAGGGAGCAGAACTAAACAGGGGGGCAGCCAGTATCACCATCGAGGTGACGGCAGGGGTCACTATCGCCTCAAAGCTCTAAGGACTGCAGGAGGAGGGGGCAGCCTGGGAGCTTTGGGTCCCTCTGGTTTAGATCACCTCAGTTCTTCACATGTGGTTTACAAACAGGCGACAAGTGAGAATGGAAGCGTGCACCATAGCCTTTCAGAGACCCAGACCAGCCCGCTGACCAATGGGAAGCGTGTCGGGGAGTCAGTGGCAACAAGCCCCTCAGAGGGCAGTGACGGGGGAAGCAGCGGGAGCCGTAAACCCTTCCCCCTGCTGCCCTCTATTGCTAGCAGAGCAGCCATGCACGGGGCTCAGAGACGATGCGCCAGCAGGGACAATTTAAGACTCGCGGCTGCTGCAGAACGAGACTCTAAGCGCTGCTCTTACCCTCTGAACAGCGTCACCACCACTGTTCCAGGAGCTGCTGCCCCAAACGGCACCCTGAAAAAGACGGTGCCGGAGCAGGAGCAGGACATGAGCGGCACTGACCAATCCCAGAGCTCTGTGGGGATGAAAAGTGGTTTGTGGAAAAGTGAAACCACAGTGTAACCTATACTTACATGTGAACTTCTATGCATGACCTTAATGGACTCTGGAAATGATTGGGTTATGTTTTAATGGTCTTTTGATTATTATAATTAAATAATTTAAGATATAGAATCTTTGAGGCATCCAGGACCCTGTTGGTACTTTTGCCTCTGTAGAGTTGTACAAGTTTGCTGTGAAATGGTGAAAAATAACAAGACAGATGTTTTTTTATTGTCATTTTCAAACACTAGATACTCATTTATTTTATTCATTTTGCAAAAAAATGTACAATATATCTCTGAATTAGCATATGATGTTGATTTTGGATGTCTAATGAAAGCTTTGCTGTTTTATTAGTGATTTTTCTATGCATATCAAATATAGCATGAAATGGAAAATGAGACGATCAATTTCCAAGTTCAGCTTTGTGCAGTTAATCCATGGACAACCTTTCAGACGTAATTTTGCCTTATGTAATTGTTTGTGTATGCTGATAATGTTTGTTTTTGTATGTTCTGTGTATGTGAGTCTGTTCCAGTGTGTGTTTGTGTAACGTATGCAAATATAATAGGATAGTTTTCACATCAGTGTGACTGTTCAAAGCTCAGAGTGGATAAAAAAAAAGCTGTTTGAGACTTATGAAAACCTGATTGATTGGTAAAAATTCCCACCAGCACTGACAGAGCCTGCCTTATAGAAGTTAGGACAGAAGACAGGAGGAAAAAGTAATTGGTTTCTCTCATGCAAGACAAGAACAAACATGCAGCCTCTTGATCCAAACCTCACCAGTTACTTCCCCCTCCTGGATAAGAGTGGAACTTTTTTCTCTTTATCAGAAACCTTAAATATGCTGCAATCCACACAAATCTCACAGGTTTAGCAATCATAAACACATTCAGCCGACTAATTACTACCAACAGTAACCCTTCCAACACTAATTTTATACATATCACATACTTTTTGTGATGCCATTCATTTTTGCTTCACATATTGGATGAGTTCAAACCCCAAAGTTCTCTTTTTTTGTACAATTTGATACACTTGCAATTCAGGAAATTGCATTTACAGGAAATTGTGTTTCAACTATGCAGCTCATTGTCATGACTCTTTCCATTGTTCTACAAAGAGGAAGTCTTCACAAAACTCAGAGAAAAGCATACTGTATGCTGCAGCTGTAAGGTCTGTTACTATGGTCAGTCTGTTGTGCTAGTGTTGTATTTCCTGTGTGCACTATATGAGCTTTTTGATATGCCTTGAATATTATATATTCAGGATGTTAAACCCAAAGATTTTTCATCTGTTCTTTGATACCATGACTTATGGGACCTCTCAATGAAAACAAATATAAACATCAAGATACATCTGTCTTGTCCCTGATTTTGTGTGACTATCTGTGTCATTTTGGACAAGTGCTTCATGCATCTTGAACTGAGACTGTAATCCGAGTAAATTTATGATGGTAATGGTAATCTTTTTTTTTTTTTGAGAAACAATATGTACCAGTACTTCTACCGAGGTACATATACCCTATTTTACACATTACAAAAACCTATACATTAGTTGTTAAATGAGAATAGTTTTCATATTCATTCATATTCGTTTTCATTTCATATTTTAGAATTTCCCTCTAGGATTAATAAAGTATCTATCTATCTATCTATCTATCTATCTATCTATCTATCTATCTATCTATCTATCTATCTATCTTTATCACTTTGTTGAAAGCCTTGTGTAGTTTTAATTAGTTGTCTGATATTTAAGAGAATTTGTACTACATAACATCTTACCCTCGCTTATTCCCATTTAATAATTTTACCAGTAACCTTGAAAATTCATGATTTCTTTAGCTTTCCTAAAGAAAAAAATTTCATCACATGATTGGATCATTAAAAGTTACATTTATTAATTAGTATATGACATATTTTTTAAGTCTGTGTCCATTTAAATAATATAATTTGGGGAAATCTCAAACTTTATTCTAGTTCTAAACGGGATAAAGCGGTAAAGATGTTGTAGTCCATTCAGTGGCCTCAAATGAGTATTACTGATTCCAGCTCAGTGTCGATTATCATCTTATTAATGCCTTGAATCATTTTTACTTGGGGAAACTGATTCCTGATCAGCGATTGTCAATGCTGTTTAACGGTCCACAACGTCTATACGCCTCCCCTCTTCTTCGTCCAATCGCTGACAGGATTTGTATAACTGACAGCAAAGTAAGCCAATCACAGAGCGCTATGTAGAGTATGGGTTGGGACTCGTAACATCAGGGAAGTGAAATGTTTTACTAAGCGGAGGCAAGGCAGTGGGAATGTTTTCATGAGTCTGTAAAGAAATTAGTCACTCTGCAGTTATGTCTTAGTCGGGTTACACGAGCTGTAGTCGAGTTCTCACCTCATTTAGGAGTTGTTTAAGGCTTAAACTGTCGCAACGAAGAGGAGGGAGAGGCGTTACGACATCAACCTGAGCTTCCTGAAGCGAAGTCGAGCTAGGTAATCTAAACCTCCAACCGCAGAGGACGCCAAAGAAGGAAACAGAGTTTAGGAAAAGGTTAACACACTACCTAACGTGGTTAGCGATTCGACTAAGATAGCTAGGATTAACTTTTAACAGACTTTTCGCCATGTCTCTGGCTGACCAGAGCCAGCAGTTGTTCCCCACGAGTGTCCAGGTAACGGTGCATCAGGCTCGAGACCTGCGCGCGAAGGGCAAGAATGGCACGAACGACGCCTATGCCATCATGCAAGTGGCCAAAGACAAGTTTTCGACCTCCGTGGCAGAGAAAAGTGTCGCTCCTGTGTGGAAAGAGGAGGCTACGTTCGACCTGCCACTCTTCCACCCGGGAAACGCCGAACGCTGCACCCTCTATATCATAGTTATGCACCGGGCTCATGTGGGACTCGACAAGCACCTGGGTCAGGCTGTGGTGAACCTACTGGATCTGTACGACGACAAGTCCCGCAAAAAGACCGAGTAAGTACACTGGTAAATAGGTGAAGTTAAAAGTCACGCATAAGACATAACTCATAGGGGAGACTGGGGTAAGTTGAGCCACCCCCTGTTGCTTGGAAATGGTCAAAGAAATTAATCATTTGACCAAATATTAGGTTAGAAGCACATGGGTGAAGGGGTTAGACATTTATTTAAAAAAAATATATACAATTTTTCACTCTTGAAAGTGAATTTAGTCTGTCATAAGTTTTTCTAGGATTGTGTTCAGACCAAAAAAGATTATTTTAAATTAGTTTTATACATCAATTGTGGTATCTATGAGCTACAACATGAGGTCAGAAACCTTTAAAAGTCCACCATTTTAGCTTAGAGGACTAATAAAGTCATCATAGTAGTTCTGGGGTAAGTTGAGTCAGTGGCTAAACTGAGAAAGTAAAGTAAAGAGTTTACAATTTATATTGTCAACTTACCCCATACACGGGGTAAGTTGACCATAGGAGACCACTTTTTTTGGCATGTTATATTATCAAGACAGTTATGTTTACACTCATTCTGTTGGTTTGCAGGGATTCACAACATCTTGAAATATATGCAGATACACTAGTTAAAGACAAAACTATGATCGCCTTGAATGTAGTGATTCAAAATATGAAAACTCCCCTACACCATGTGGGATAGATATCTAGGAATTCAGCAGGGCTTTCCTGACTTTAGAGCTATGTATAAGAGTTTACAACCCCCAAATCTAACCCCTTTTTAAGCCAAAGTATAGCTGCATCATTTATCCCAGATAAGCATCACCAGAGAGCATCTGCAAACTTTAAGACGCACAGAGAGAAAAGACCCACCCTCCGGTGCTGCACAGGTGAATCACCACTCACCAAAAAGTTTGACTTAAAGCTACACATTTTTCAGTAAAACCCGTTTGACCCTTCTCTATGCACCGGTGTGTTAAATGCTTTGAACCCCTGATAAACATCTTTCTTCAAGGATCCTCTCTCTGATATTCTGACAGATAAATTGGAGATAAAATTTTCAAGTTTACACTCACTTAAAATACCATAGCCACTAGTTTATATCAGTGTTATATATATTATTACCTGTGACATTTACCTTTGTATTAGGTCTTCAGTCATCTTGCTGTTCTATTTTGTTTGAAGTTAAGTGGATGAACAACACAATACACAATTCTACAAATCATTCAAAATGTCTAAGTCTGTTCCTGGTTTTGCAGAAAAAAAGTGAACAATTTAAAATCCTGAATTATCATCAGTCCTGTTATTAACTTTCATTATATTCTCCATCAGTCATTCTGTCCACTCTTTCCTTTTTAAAGACACGAGTGAAGTTCACGTGTCTAAAATTTGTATTTATACAAATGAATAATACATTCTTTTGAGATAACCTTTTGTGCGAATAGCTTACCTCAAACACAATATTTTGAACAGGCCACTAAAGGGAAGAAAAAAACAAGCTATTAACTTTGAAATGTAAACTCTAAGATAGCATCTCTCTCCACCCCATTCCTTTTTATCAGTGACTGAGACAAAAAACAGAAACTCTGGGATTGTGGGAAAACAGACAGAGATAACTATGATCTCATCACTTCTCTTTTCCTGCTGGGCAAACCCCCTAACACTGGGCTGACACTTGTACTACGTAAACACAGCTGATCGTGTCACTACCATCTTTGTAACGCCTATTTGGAAAATTATTTTCCCACATCGGTGTCGTTAATCCCTCACATTCTTCAGGGCTATTCACCGACGTTCAACACGTCTGCTGCTCACGCCCAGCTATGTGGACTGAGTCAGAGACTTCTGTAGTTTTACATGGGATGGGTGTGACGCGGGTGTACCGGGCATCAAAATAAAACATTGCACTAGGGTTAAATCTGTATTTACACACCCTCTTACATAAGTGGGGTTTTTAAGATGACAATATTGAGTATGTTTTGGTCTTGACCCGTAGAACTGCTCCCACCCACACTAGTAAAACTTTCTTTAGACTGAGTCGTGTTGGTTCTCAGTGCTTCACTTAAGTCCGCCTGTAGCACAAGTATGACCTCATTCACTTCTTTATTGTACCATCATATCTGAAATGTTATCTTCTGTTTGCTCAGGACGTTTTTACTGTTCTCTTTTAATGGCAAAGTTCATTCCTTACATACTCCTTTCCACTCTCCTTGTTGCTCTCCTGGCCTCCCTCCTCCTCCCTCTGCCTCCCTCAGGACCCAGTATGCAGGCAAGGTATTAGATGTTGCTGTTTTGGCACTGAAGCGTAGGGTGTTAAATTACTATTCTTGAGGCCAGTGGAGCTGATACAGGCTGTGACATTGAGGACTTTCTTTCCTGCTAAAAGGGAGCCTGGCTGTTACTTTAATACCATAGAGTGTTTTTGAGTGGATCAGGGCTGTTGTATAGTTTTCAGTTTGTGTGGGAATAGAGTAAGAGACATTTGCTATTAGAATATTGGACATGAAACGGGGAACTTTTTCCCTTTTTGCTGACTAAATCCCCATTTAGGCTTAGATAATAACTTATAACCAAAATATAAAGATTATTGTCAGAGTAAGAAAAGCTTCCCACTATGTTTCTGTCAGTGAAAGATATTACTTTCATGGCTGGATATGGAGTTACAGTATTGAGATCCAGTTGTAAAGCCAGTTCACCTGAGGTTCACTTGTTAAGACATTCGATCCCTATTGTTTGCTAAACACAAAGCAGAGCTGTGAAACTACCCTGACATATTTTTTTAATCCAACATAAAGATATACCTTTATAAAAACAGCACATTGCAAAAACTATGTTCAATGAAAAACATTAAAACTTGTAAAAAAAAAAAGGCTGTGAAAGTTCTGAAGAGGTGCTAAATCAATATTTTGGATGAAGTTACCCATTCTGCTCTTCTGACACATTATTGCCTGCACAGCTCATGTTGTCCACTCACAGGATAAATACACACTCTCTCGTTAATCATTACACATGAGACTGAAGTGCCCTTGACGGTTAAGTGCGGGAACCTGCCCAGCAGGACTGGTGACAGCGTGCATCGGGCACGGCTCTTTAATTCTGCACAAACAGAACAAGACATGCACACCCTGTTGTTCCGTTAATAACTGGAAAAATGCATTGTCTCTGTACTGTCAATTGGGCTGCAAGACAAGAACAACCAGCTGTTTCTTTTTTTGGGCTGTAGAAAAGTTGATGTCTGTGTAGTCGCAGTCATGCTTAGGGTAGCGATTGTTTGTCTTTGCTCGCTTTGGTGCTGGATTTAAGGAGGGAAATGAGGAATGTTTGAATTAGGCTCAGACTGACTTTGATTACATCACGTTGATCAGATACTCCCTGCGTGTTTGAAAGTGTTTGAGGAATGTTGGTTTACTCCCATGCCCCTTCCCCCAGTGTTATTGCTATCCTCCAAAGAGCCTGTCTGTGTGCCTGCTACTATGTGTGACACTGTAAAATGAAATTCTCAACAGTGCACACACACACATGAACTACTGATTAGGGCCCGACCGATTTATCGGCGAGACGATTAAATCGGTCAATTTTAGCCCGTTTGAGACTAATCGGTAATCGGACAAAACTCGCAGATTTTCGGATCAGAAATAAATTGCGAAGAATAAGATTTGGTTTCACTTCGAAAATTTTCTGCCATTTGAAAAGTTCCCCGACTTATCCTGTAGATAATCTTCATCTACTAACTACCTCACAGCACAGCAGAGTGACAGATCTGAAGCAGGCAGTTCAGTGACGCACGGAGGAGAGTGGTCCGCCTCAACGGTACATAAACCAGTTTGTGAAATACACAATAAGTCAACAAGTTTCATTTCAACCCACTTCACGATGTTCCAGCTGTGCTGGTCTTGGCCACACGAGTTAACTGTGAAGCACCATGTAATATGCAAGCTAAAGTTAGAGTTAGCCACCTGCTATTAGCCTTGCTACACTGTTAGCCGTGCCAGTAATGGTAGAATAAACAACATTGCGTGATCGAGCTACTCTCTTTACTAAGGCAGCTGCATGTCTCCAGATAAGACTGGACCAGAAATGTGTAACGTGAGTTAAGACGCGGAGGCACCGATGGGCGTGGGGTGGGGGGGTTGGGGTGGGGCTAGTTGAAAACGCTTTTCTGGTCCGAGTTTGATCAGTCTGTCTTCCTGTCGTCGTGAAGAGCAGTAGCCTACAGTATATCTACAGTATATAGTAGTATAGTATACTTTAAATATCTACAGTGTATTTATTTCTATAACTTCATAAAAAATTTAAAAAATTGGCCAATTAATCAGTAATCAGACCCCCCCCAAAAAAAATCCATATCGGTTGGGCCCTACTACTGATAACTGTGTTGTTATCGATATGTTATTCAAACTTTGTAGGTCTCACTTGACTTTTGTTTTGTGCTCTTTAGATTATAAAAACATAAATCCTTCTCAGGCATATGAAATATTTCTCTGACATTTATAATGATGTAGCAGTCTGTAAAAATCAACACAACAAACTATAAAAACAAAAGAAGAAGAAGTAAAGTATCAGTCAACATGCTGTTAATGTCACTAAATAGGCCTGTCGCGATAATCAATAAATCGCCTTATCGCTCGATAAATAAAAACGAGGTCGGTCATTTTGCCAGCCTCGATAATTGACGTGCGTTTGTTTTCCTCCTCTCTCGCTACCAAACACGCTGGATGAGAGAAGAGGTCTCACTCTGCGTATTTTTCTCGGCACCTGGGGGCGTTGGCTCTATAGCGGAATGAACGGAGTTAGTGAACCCTCCTGTCAGTCATTCAGTGTCTTTGTCACGAGGGGGCTGGCGCGCACAGGCACACAGATACAGACTTTTGGATACAGTGCTGCAAGTGAGCGTCGTGAGTGAAAAGCAAGCAAACAGAATGAACACGACAGCTTTGGTGTCTAAACCGAACGCAACAGCCCAAGTGTGGGAATATTTCGGCTTTAAACCACTTTTGTTTTCGTCAACCACAAAACTCCACGTGTGTGTGTGCGCGCGCGCGCGCGTGTCTGTGTGTTGGAGGAGCACAGCAGGCTGATGAGAGCTGTCAGAGCGGACTGAAGCTGCTCCTATATGTTTAGCGTTTAACTGACTGAGTTTTGCAACTCTGTTCGTCATTTTCGTCTCGTCCCATCAACGTAAACGCACTTTCGTCTCGTCACATTTTAGTCATCTCCGACTTATGTTTAGCTCGTCAACGCTACGTCTTCGTCGTGGGTGAAATTAAAGTTTATCACTTTTGACACGGTCTACTCGCATTATTATGCCATTTAATATCATTATCTATAATTTAAAAAACTGTGTCAATAATATCGTTTATCGGCAATAATTTGTTGCACAATTATCGTCCAGCAAAATTTGTTATCGTGACAGGCCTATCACTAAATAATGCGTGACTAACTGCCATAGTTTAAAAGTAAGTGTTATCAGTGTCAGTGCATAGCTCAATCCTGACGTTTGTCTAATGTTTGGTTGCATTAGTGCACTTTTAATATCACAGTATGAGTCGTGGTGTGCTGTCTGAAGGGTTGATAGATTTGTGCACTTACATGAGAGTTGTTATCAATAATAATCAGCAAGTGGAACAGTTTGAGAACTGTGCTGGGGAACAAAAGAGTTCAACTTCATAAGGGGAAAAACTTGTCATAATAGACACTTCTGCTACAGTGTTGGTCCTGCTATTAATAGCGCAGCTTTAGTTTGTACAAGCAGGAAGCGTAATGACTCGACTTGGTTGTTTTGGCTTCGGTTTTTGAAAGAGCTCTCCAGAACACTCCTACCTATCCGTGGCAGACAATAAGAGCTGATCCTGTACAACAGAGAGGACATGAGGGGAGAGTTCAACAAAGCTGTGATTGTCAGGCTTTATCAGCGAGTGGCATGGAGCTCTGCACAGGAACTGGAACAAACTGTTTACTAGTTAATGACACCTATCACTCTCCGGTCTGACAAGACAGAGCAGACTAATGACAAAGCTGAAGCATTTACGACCAGAGCCACTACAAATGATCATACAGGGATTATTTATAGCACATTGTTCTGTTTTATATAGGACTTGTATTTCGCCTAGTTAACCCCACCTTCAGTGTGCTTCTATGTGGACTGGTAGGGCCAGTTTATTAACAAATGAACTTCAGGATTAAAATACAATTTGATTAAAAACAAACAGAAGTTAGGGGTGATACTTTTATGGACCAGGATTTTGGTTTAAACTAAAGGCCTGCAAGAATTTTACTTAAAATTGTAAGAACACGCTCAGCTGTTTTCCATTATTAAAATATATTGCTTTCCTGTCAGACAGACCATGTGGTTCCTCAATGTATGTAAATTATGATGGTGGACTCCACAGCAGGTAATCCTTGAGAGGCCTATGAATGAAAGTTCACTTTTTTTTGCATTTTCTAAATATCAAACTTTTTGGTATGAAATTATTTTATTATTTTGTTTTTCATCATAGATAATAGATCATATTAACTAGTGTGAAAATCAGCAAGTCATTAAAAAGATATCTTAATTTAATATTTTAGAGTCTGTTATATGGAAGTAAATCTGTGCCATCTGATTTTGAATTTGAATTTCTAAAGCGGAATTTTTCTTTTGCATCAAAATCGGACTTTTAATTTCAAAATCATCGAATTTCAAGCACGCATTTTTATTTCGGACACTTGTTTTTTTTTCACACTGATGAACTAAAATAAGTGTAAAAAAAAATAGGTCTCAAAATATTTGTTTCGTAGAAATTTGACTAAAAAAGAAACTGTGGGAAAAAAAATTCAGCATAAAAAAAATTCAGTGTCAAATAATTCAGTGTAAAACAGACCGACTCAAGCAATTGATTTCTCAGTCTTCCACTGGGGTCGGTGCCACATGACCAATCTAGCATTATTTGATTGGCTGGACGATGGATGATTGATCGAGGAATTGATTGCTCTCCCTTAAGTTTTTTTTTTTAAGTTGAGTTTTTAACAAACAAATCTTTTAAGAGACTGATTTATTTTACACTGAATTTATTCCATCATTGTGAAAAAATAAGAGTCAGAAATCAAAATGCATGCTTGAAGTTCGATAGTTTTGAAATTCAGTCTGATTTTGATGGAAAAAAATTCAGCTTTTGAAATTCAAATTCAAAATCAGATGGTACAGTTTTACTTCCACACTGTTACAGATGGTGTTTTCAGGGAACGTTTATCTTCCTCGTTCTAAACATGACTACTATCTTTTCTTTTCTTTTCTTTCATTTGCAGCTGGTTCAAACTTGTCGACAAAACTGGAAAAGCAGACAAGCCACGAGGAGAGGTGCTGCTGGATATCACATTCATGAGAAACAACATGTCAGCGAGCATGTTTGACCTTTCTATGCAAGACAAGCCCCGCTCCCGCATCTCTAAGCTGAAGGACAAAGTCCGGGGGAAGAAGAAGGACGGTTTCTCCGACTCCGCTTCAGCTATTGTCCCCTCTGTCAGCCAGGTCCTCACTGACAGTGATGGAGAGCATGATGCACAGTCCCTCAATCAGTTTCCAGGAACCAAAAAGAAATCTAAACTCAAATCACTCTTCGCTCCCAAATCAAACTTGCAGCGCAACGTCTCACAGTCCATGTCGACACTGGGGACTCTTCCTGAGAAGAATTCATCCCTCAGTGGCAGCCGTTCATCTGGCCTCAATGTAGATTCCCCTGAAGGTAACTTAACCCCGCTGCTCTCTGTGTGCTTTGTATGTTTACAGTTCTGTGTTTCCTCTGCAGCACAGTGCAGGTTAAATAATGGTGTTTTGCATGACAACAATGACTTTATGCTTCACTGTCTCTCCTTCCTCAGGAAAGAAGAAATTCAAATTCCTCGGCCACAAGAGATCAGGCAGCTCTGACAGCAAGGTCTCACAGGGTCCTTTCTCTTTACTGGGTCGCAACAAGCAGAGCAACAGTGACTTGAACAACTTGTGCATCAACGGCAGCCATGTTTACACCGAAGAAGAGTCCAAGAGTGGATCTACTCTCAGTCTGAACAGCTCAGGCCAGGGATCTGTGGAGGACGTCCACAAACACTTCTCCGAAGTCTCCGTAGACGCCTCTAGACGTGTTCCTGTTCCTACCCTACAGGTAGAGTCTACAGACAAAGCAATGCTGGAGCAAAGGCGCCACCTAGAGGAGGAGGAAAGAAGACAGGCAGAGGAGAAGCGCCTAGCAGAGGCCAAAAAGCGGGAGGAAGAGGAGAAATACAGGGCAGCAGCCAAGAGACTTCAAGAAGAAGAGGAGCGTAGGATACAGGAGGAGCAGGAGTTCAAGAGACGCTTCCTTGAGGAGGAAGCTAGGAGAAAGAAACAAGAGGAAGAACTAAAGAAGCAAGAGGCAGCAGAAAAACAGAGGATTGAAGAGGAGCGACGCAAAGCTGAGGAGCAGAAATCTCAGGAGGAGGCCTCCATGAGCGAAAGACTGTCTTCTCTGTTCGGAATAATCAAAAAGAAGGAAGAGAAGAAGGAGGAAGCACCACCATTTATCAAAGAGGAGCTGCCACCAACTCCTCTTGCCAGCTCCAAAGACCCCGATCAATCCCTCTCCCACCGCTCAACCAACCCGTTTGAGGACATCCCCCTCAGCTCAGATACTCCAGCCAGCAGCAACGACAGCCCAGCTGATCATCAGAAACCCCCAACCCCCTCTGCAATGACCTTCCTGAACCGGACCGCCAAAGTGTCTGCAGTCAAACCCAGGTAGGCTTCCTTTTCTTCAGTCTACATACATTCAGCGTTTTCTCAATGCATGTCCTGTTTATTCCTGCAGATGTTGAATAATCTTGGTTACTTGTGGTCACACTGTTCTTAGACTTTCTTGACCGGAATCTAAAAACTGCATTTAGCTGGTCAAGATGAGAAACTGCACACACTGATGATATTCATGAATTAGAAGACTTTATTTTCTTGTCAACCACGAACAAGCATGAGGCACGAAATCTAGACGATGTAATTTCAGAGAACCAGTGCATGTTTCTCATTGTTGAATATCACCTTACATACATCACGCCTGTCAACACTAAAACTTGGGAATTTCACAACTTTCCCTCTTGTTTATTGTTCACACTGACTCAAACATGTGACCGTCTTGAATCACCAAAACTTCAAATTCAACCCCGCGGTTGCTGATGGGCCAGTTGAACCGGTTTGGCCCCCGCACAGATGGGAATCTGGGTGGGGCTTGTGTTTGCGAGGATGTTGTGGAACAGGTAGTGGACTGAGCAGAGCTCATAAAGAGTGACTGCGCCACAGTGCTGCCTTCTTGGAGGACGTCTTGGGTGACTGGATTTGTCTTTTGAATTTTTTTAGAGTTATTTTTGGACTTTTCATCATTTGTAGTTTTGTGTTTGCTCGATGATAATGGTAAGGAGCTTTTGAAGCCTTTGGTGGTGCTGTTGTGTGTTCAAGAGTGCTTGCTAGATAGCAGATTGTAGTTCAGAAATTCAAGGTTAGTTCTTTTGTTTAGCTGTGTCATATTCTTGTATTATGATAGTATGATAATCCAACAATGATCATGTTAGACAAATGTCACATTGTCGTCTTTTCAAATTTGTGGGTGGACCAAAGCTAAAAATAGAGCCAGTCAGTGTGACGCCTGAACATACAGAGATTCTTCCTCAGTAGGTTGACAGTGAACTGTGGCAGCTTTAAGAACTGCAGGTGTGTAAAAGTTGTGGGGAGTCAGTTAGATGTTGATCAATGTTAAGTCCTGTAGCTATTTGAGGTTGTGCATATGAATTTGATTGTTTTTGTTGACATGTGTGATACAACTTAAAGTGGTGATGGGCTGTGTATTGATGGGAATGACCCTCGGTGATGGTCACACTGACCTGTAGGCCTCTGTTTTCATTCTCTGGCAGATCAACTCAGTCTGTGGAGTCTGAACCTGCTGACTCCCAATCCCCCAGCCAGCCGTCTTATTCCCCCGTCACCTCTGATCCCACCCTCCCTAGTGTCCTGTCAGAGTCCCCTGATAATTTGCCCGGCCTCCCCTTGTCTTTGACTCCGTCAAATTTAAGTGAAAGCCCGCCTAGTTCTCCTCGTGGCAGCACAGAGGATTTGTCCTCTGGGGGATCTTCACCCACCATGGCGGAGAAGAAGAAAAGAGCCCCTTTGCCTCCTTCACATCAAGTGCTTGTGACTCAAACAGGAGGAAATGGATATCTGATCAAAGAGCTCAAGCATTCTGCATATGAAGAAAGACCGCAACCAGACATCAAACCAACCCTTCCACTTCCTGATTATGATACCCTTTTCCCTCATAAGAGACACGGAGTGCAAGGCCACACCAAATGGGACCACTTAATCGCAGAAGTCAACCAGAGAAACAGAGACCTCGGGCCTGAGCTTGTGGGCCCAGAAATGAGCGTTGATGGCCCAGAGGAGCCCGAACCCCGGCTTAGAGCTTCTCACACCCAGGAGAGTCCGGCTGTGGTCCTTTATCAACCACATCCCGAGACCAAACCTGTGTCCACAAAAAAAGGAGCAGCCCCACCTCCCCCTCAATCAGGGGGGCCAAGACTGGGCCCGACTACTGCTCTCCAACCTCCCATGAGGTCTAGTCCATCTCCAGTACCAGGACCTGCAAACCCTGATATTTTAAGCAGAGAAAGTCTCCCAGTGAAATCTAAGGACGAGGCGAGGAAGGTGTTGCGCCCATCACCTGCAGCGCTGAATTCAACCAGACCAACCAGCCAAACCAACTGGGATTCAACGCCACAAGATGATCCGAGACAAGCCGGTGCGAACAAAGAGCCACCCATGGCCAAACCCAGACAGAAAGCTAACGGCAAAGAGCTGTCGAAGCAGGAAGATCTGAACCTCACACTGGGTGTTTCTGACAAAAATCTGAGCAGTGATATCCAACAAAGTTTGGATCTGAGCAGCATGGACAAAAAGAGCGGGCAGTCAAAGGGCAGCTTTGCTGGATTTGACCCGTTTCCCACTTCGGATCTTCTTACTAAAGATCCCTGGGCACAGCCAAAGCAGAGCAAAGAGGTAGATCTTTTTGCCGGAGTGGTCCAGAAAGACCCAAAAGTGGAAGCTCGTGGTATGACACCCGAGGATCTTGATGACATTTTTAACAAGGACAAACCGGCCGATCCATTTGCTGATTTTAATGGCGGCAGTTCAAACAATGAAAAAGATGAAGACAGTTCAGGTTTTCTGAGAAGAAATTCCAGCAGGCGAAAAACACCTCCACATCCCACATCTTACCTCGATAACAAGCCCAAACCTCGACAAGAACCCGCAAAAAAAGATGAAACAAGCACAAAAACAGCTAATGGAGGCCTCCCTGCAGGAGAGGAGGCGGTCACACCAAAGCTTCAAGCCGAAGTGAAAACAGCGAGCTCTCGTTACAGAGCCGAGGATGCATTTGAAGCTGAACCTTTTACCCTAACTTCCTCTCAGCCCCTCCCTGTAGTCATAGAGGAACCAGCCTCTCCGGCAGAAGGTGTTTCTGGGGGAAAGGCGCCCGTGAGAGCATGGGTCTCACCCTCTGAAGTTCAGCCTGTCAGTGCTCAGAATAGCAATGGAGGTGGGCTAGCCTTGTCTGCACGCAGGTGAGATTAAACAGGCCGCTAACAGGTTATACTTTGGTGGACTGGTTTTGTAGACTTTATGGAGAAAGGGCTGCTGCTGTTGTTGATATGGGAGGCAGGTGTTGGTGTTGGGATTTAACCCTGGGTGTGTGTGACTACTTGGACAGCTTGTGATTTATCGGACACTCACCTCTGAGTTTTATCCGGATCAAAGTGGGAAGATTTGTCAATCACAAGAGAAATCTCTTCAGTTTTTTCCCCCTGCACTACATATATGTCTCATCACCTCTGTGATGTCTTTGTTGCGTATTGCTTTTGAAACAGGAATCCCTTTGAGAGTTTTATGGTAATGTTTGCCCTTTTCTTACAGGCCTCATCCTGTGAAGCCCATGAGCTCAGCTGAGAGTCAGAATCTCTTTAGCGGTCCAGCTGGGAAAGAAATAAAGGGCCGTGACAGCACACCAGGGAAAATCCAGGTAATATAGTGTTGATATGAGTGATATACTGAGACCAAATAGATATATCACAACAGGTTTTTTGTATTTTTCTGTAAGAGTAACACCAACATAAAGATTTCCTATAGTCTGTTTGTATTTTTTTGACATTTTAATGCTGGGAGATGTAACCTTTCAAAGTTAAGTGTTAAACTTAATCCGTCACGTCTGGCAGCTTCAAAGTAAATTAAAATTCTCATCTTTTGTTCACCAGCTTAATCAACAGCAGAAAATAAATGGATTTTCTGATGTTTGCTCAGCTGTTAAGAAAAATATTAAAAAAGAGATAATAAAGGGGTTGGAGGAGAGGTAAAAAATTTTTGTCCAAGTGTTTTTTCTCAAAGTTAACAAAGGTAACTCCAAGAAAGCCCTCTGCTTAATTATTCATCATGAAACAAATCATGAAATTCACAGCTCAACATGTACTTAATTAAGTCGGCCTGCGTGTGTTAATTAGAATGCATTTACTGTATTCTCAGGTGGGAGACTCCGTCGAAAGCGGACCTTATACCCAGTTGACGCAGGAAGAGTTGATCACACTGGTGGTGAAGCAGCAGACCGATCTGTCGAGGAGGGATGCGAAGATCGTAGAGCTGGAGGAGTACATCGACAACCTGCTGGTCCGTGTCATAGAGGAGAAACCCGCAATCCTGCAGTCTCTCAACGCTGCAAAACCGGTGTAGGAGAGGAGAGTCAGTCCTCAGCTTCCAGTTGAGCGTCTGGTGTCACCGTGTGTTGAGGGATCAGGTCTCCATAAAGATCTCAGATTAAAAGCACTTTTTTCAGCTTCAGACTCAGATTTGTTTGACCATGCTGGAAATTTCTCTGAGAATCAAAACATCTGATAATTACATTGAAACAAGCAATATAAAAGCAGAGGAATGTATTTGTTTTTACACTAAGGTACTGGAATAAGAATAAAAGCATAAGATATGAGTTAAGATATACATCTTGATTTTCAATCCACACTTGATTAAACTTGGGTTTAGCTTTATTTAATAGACTAATAATGCAGATTTAAAACTATTAACTGGCCTTTTTCACCCTTAACACAGGATCTTATTTCTGTGTGATGCATCACTTACTAATGGTAGAAACATAACATTTCTGTAACATATATTTAAATGAATTGATGAATTATGGAGTTCGGCATGTCTGCAGACTATAACTATTAATTATGTCCTCATGAGCGGAGGCAAACTTAAGAATCTTTATATGATAAGTGCACATCGACTTTAAAAGTCTTATTTTTCTTGTTCTTTAAGCCTTAAAGCTAGCATGTATTACTATTAATGACTAATTATAAGTCTCCCACTCACCACTGTTGAATGTTAGCTGGTCGTCCAGCCTTTAAAACTATTATGTTGTCCCTATTTCTACATTAAAGAGGTATTCTTGAATAAACCAGCAATATAAAAACTATCAGCTGCTATGTACTGAACACTGTTTGATTTACAGAGGAGCAGCAGCAGTTTTTCTTCCGTGAGGTTGATATGTAGCTCGTGCACATACTTGAGAATATTATGCAAATAACAATAAAGAATCAAACTCTTCATAAAATAATAATAATGGAATATTTTTTAATCCCTGTGATTTTTTGTTGTATTTATTAAACAAAACAATCAGTGAGTAACCTTCGAAGAATCAGTAATAGACTCTGTCTGTTATCAACCAGCCTTGTCTTTATATTTGAACTACAGTAATGAATGAACCCTGCATCTATGCCTTTGTATAATGATGATGTTATTTTATGTCTTGGCAGAAAATGTAACAGCATTACTCTCCAGAATGTACATACCTGTGCTGTGCCTTCTTAACCTTTCTCATGACTTTCCGGTCTGATCTGCTGAATGTAAAGTTGTTGGCTACCTCTCTTCTTCTTTTTTCTGGAGTGAGCGCTCACAGAAAAGTGCAGCCTGATGTATATTTGTCCTTGTCATGAGAATTACACTAAAGTTAATGTACAACTTCAGAAAAGAAGTGATACCAAGCAAATATGTGGTTTTATTTGAAATAAAGACACTAATTGCAACACCACTTTGTTGTATCAGCAATTATTTACAACAGTTGTGAAGAAAATTCAATGATAAATGAAAAACATATAGATAATTTGAACATTTAAACTCACTATACAAGCTGTATGGTGTATCTATAGCCTATATGGATGTTTAGTCTTTGCTAGAGGACAACAATTGTGGCCTGTACAACATTTATATAAATAAAAATGTTCTTAACCAACAAGAAGAACGTACAAATGTTGCTATAGAAATAAAAAAGCACATTTGATTGTGTACAATAGATTCTTTTCAGACAGACACTGACAATGAGCATTATTATTTTTCATAAAAGGAGGTGATTCATTTCAAGTGAGGAGAGAAAGTACAATCTGAAGTTTTATCTACAGGCAGAGCCATCCGGAAAGTATCTTATAATGATTTCAATAATTGTGTGCAATTTCATTTTTGATCATTTCAGAGCAGAAATACAACCCCAGGTTGAAAAATACGTGAAGCTCGTAGCTGAGACAGTTTGACATGATCTCTCATTATTATCAGCGGAAGAGCTACCATTTATTTCCAGTCAATCCTCTATTCACCCTGCTGCTCAAATGATTGTAACAGTCCAGCTAAATAGGCCGAAAATAAGTCACCCATAAATTCTACTTTCAAGTGCCTGGGTGAAAATGACTGTCCAGTTGTTTGAAACATTTTCGCTTCTTGTTAAAATGAAAAGATGAGAAGAGCCCCGAATTTATGGTACCGATGATGTGGTCCAAGAAGAACCACCATAGGCAGTTTACGTCGAAGTACCTGGGACTTCTGGTTCTGGAGTTGACTTACGACCCCTTATGCCAAGTAATGTCTGTGGTTCCACCAAGATGTAGAGATGTGCTGGCAGTGCCAACAGTATTTCCAACTCAAACTCATACAGTTCAGTGTATCTAGTGCTGCACAAAGATGCATAGAGGCTAACCTTAACCCTAACCCCAACACACCCTCACCTGAGCTTAGCTGCTGCCCTTGTTTAGTAACAGAAGATCAACTTTTGCAACAATCCAGCTTGTCACTGTTGTTTCTTGATCACTGACCAATCAAAACCAAGAGGGGGCGGGGTCTCTGATATCAACTTTGTCAACAACAATAGTGGATTCTGAAGTAATTTCTTGGTCTAGAGCTGCAGCTGCTTCTACTACAACACTGACTAACTAACTTAATGAGTTAGCATACAAATAAAACAGCATTAAAGGATAACAGTGTTTTGTTAAGTGTTACCTTTGATAGGGTGACCATATTCTGACTTCCCAAAAAGAGGACACAACCACACGGGGCGAAGTCACAGAGTCGCACAAAGTTAATTTTGAGAGTTTTTCGGGTCGGACCAAGTGTCTTTTACGTGCTTCTTACTCAGTAAGTCCAGGTGACACCAACTCGAAACTTACGTACTAAACCGTGGACAAAGAGGACGTATGGTCACCCTTTCTTTGATGACAGAACCATTGAGACTTCCCTGTGTTGGGAGTGAATTGAGTTCTTTGAAAGTTCCTGGTACTGGGTAAATCTTGCAGTAGTAAAGCACTTTTACATACCTGCAGCTGTCTGTTACTGCGTAAAGCTAATGTTGCCAGAATGATATGAGCACACTGTAGAGTACACAGAAGCAAAGGCAGACTAAAGTACAAGAGCTTCACAGAACGACACTGGCTGTGGCGCAGTTGTTAGCAGAGATCCCGATGCGACGGCGGCATGTGAACATTTTGCGAAGCTCGGCCCGGAAGCGGTCGTGCAGCCAGGCGTAGAGGAAAGGGTTACAGCAAGAGGAGCTCATCGCGCACAGGTGACACAGCAGCTGAATGAGCAGGAAGTAGCGCTTATCGATCATGTTGATGTCAATGTCTCGCAGCACGTTGAACACACTGATGGGCATCCAGCACACGCCAAATGCTGCAACCACCAGGCTCACCAGGCGGAAGGTCTTGCGCTTTCTTATGCGCTGGGCCTCCGCCTGGCTCTGGGTGTGGTGTCCGGGTACGACACAGTTCCTCAGTTTGACGGAGATGCACAGGTACGATATGCAGAGAGCTGATAGAGGCAGAACGTAGGTGATGAAGAGGGTGCTGTACGCGTAGGCCAGCCGCTCTCTTTCCTGGCCCATCCAAAACTCTTCACAGATGGTGAAGCCCTCGTTCTTAAACTCCACGTGGTAGGTGTGAGCCACGGCTGGAGCCACTAAACCGCAGGAGAGCAGCCAGATCCCAGACAGAAGGTAGGTGCACGCCAGGACAGAGATGCGCTTTTTCAAAGGATGAACCGTGGCGTAATACCTATAGAAAAACAGAGAGGGCACATCAGCCAAATTAGATTATAAGCATGCAAACTGTGGTGATGATGGAAAATGGCCTAAACTGGCGATGAGTGCAGGGGGAAAATAATAACAGTATCCACAAGTCATCGCTTGCCAATAACAGTCATCAATGAGGAGCACAGCTGGTAGACAGCACAAATAATAGAGAGCCACAGAACTGCGGGGAATGCTAAATAGAAAGCACCCTTTGCTTTCAGCTTCAGAAAAAGTTAAATTTAGCTCTCTGTATGCAAGGTCGGCACACAAAACTCAGTATTCAATCAGGAATTCCTGGAGTCTTGTAAGAGAATGTCTGCAGTCTGTCCAACTATCCTGCCTATGTGTCTTTTAATCAGACATGTTTACTTTGAAAAAAACTCAAATGAAAGGTTGATCTGTTGAGAGTTAGAGAGGATCCACAATGCGGTCCATTTAACTCTCTTTTCACAGAGTTACTTATTAAATACTCAAGCTTCATTTGATGTCCTGGTGTGCATGGAGAATTCACTTCATTAGCTGTTATCGTTGATGCATCTTAGGAGAGCAAGTGCAATTAGAGTTACACACTATGATATTTGAATAATCAACCCAGAGCTGATAATCTTTGACTTTTAGGGGAGTGCAATATGCATGTTGATAAGGCTCGACAGAATCCCCCAGGATCCTGTCCACACCTACCTGTCCACGCCGATTGCGGTGAGAGTGAAGACTGACACATACACCGTCACAGGCTGGATCAGGTACACCAGGTAGCACATGAAGCGGCCGAACACCCAACCATGAGGGTTGAAGGCGTAAGCCAGCGTGAAAGGCACACACGTGGCGCACATCAGCATGTCGGAGAAGGCCAGGTTTCCGATGAAGAAGTTGGTGACGTTGTGCATCTTTCGCGTGCGGCAGATGACATAGAGGAGCAAGTAGTTTCCGAAGACGCCGACGAGAGCCACCAGGGTGTAGCAGGGGATGATGAGCAGCTTGAAGGACTGCAGCAGCTCCACACCCACAAACTGAGGGCTGCTGCTGCGCTTGGAGGAGCTGTTCTGCAGAGCCACCTCGAATACCTGACCGCTATCATTCGCGTTCAGCTCATGCAGCATCACACAGGGAGGGGTAAGATCAGCTGACCAGCCGCTGCCTGTGCCCTCCATCCTCAGGGGGTTGATGACAACCTGGAAAAGAGGGAACTATAATTAAACATGCACAGATGTCGAACATGTTCCTCTCCACCTCAGAATACGAATATGCCACAGCCTTTAAAAAACAGGTTTCTCTGTAATCCTTGACCTTTACAAGCACATTTTCAGTCCTATTAAAATCTTTGTTGCTTACTGGAGAGCAAAAAGGTAAACTCTCTTGAGTTCTGGGCTTAATTATTCGTACTTTACTGGAGAATGAATCCGGGGGCGAATGTTTTATACGACATTTCTGTGAATGTTCTCATTACTTATACTTTTGTTCTGAAGAAATCTAACAAATAGAAGTTTCTTTTTTTTTTCTTTCTTAAAATTCAATCAGAAAATAAGAAAACAGTCCATGCACCACTGCATTAGTTTGACTCAGTCGTGTTAATATCCCTTTGGTACCTTTTACTCTCTGTGTCCTCATGGTTCAAGACTGATCCCACTGTTTTGGAGATCTGGAAATCTACTATATGTGAGTTTAATAAAGACAAAGTTTAAGTGTATATATCTATGTATTCTTGACTCCACACATGTATTCAAAACATGTAACCATGTTTGAATCCCTGTGAGAAGTTTTGAAGTGTTCATAAAATGGACTGAAATCAACAAAGCTTTTTTTATGACCTACAAAAGTGACCAAAAGGTCACGATTACTCTGTGTGCAACTCAAGATGGCATTCTGGACTCAGTCTCTCTCCCCCTTCACAGAGGTTGGGCAGCTCTCAATCAGCACAGGCTCCACCTGCACCTTCACACCTGCACCTCATCATGTAATCACCTCCTGCTTTTAAGCTCTGCCTGGAAGACCACAGAACGCCACATGATTCCAGCTTTCACAGCGGTGTCTTGGCTAGTCTTGAGCAAAGTGATTGTACTTCTATAATTATTCAAAGTGCCTCCGCTCACCACCAGTGTTGCCCAACCTCTGCCACGACCACCACACTCTCTCACGGAACAATTACCTGTACATTCTCAAGCGCTCACCACGGATCTCCATCACTCCCTGGACTTCAGAGCTCACTTCCACAACCATCAAACCGTCAAATAAAACCCCTAAAGCTGCTACTGCCTCCTTTACTCAAAATTTCCCATAGAGCATTGCAAAATGTATTGACCATCCGATGGTCACTCACAGGTGGTGGGCATCCCGTCATGCATTGTGTCTCCAGCGGCACTTCAAAGATGGAGATGACGAGAGCAAGAAGAGACAGAACCCGAGCTCTATTTGTCATTTTCAGCCTAAGTTTTTATCTTCACTTCACTCGCAAGGGATCCGTACGGTTTTCGAAAGACATTTTTTTGCCGCGTCATATAGTCCCGTGCACAATATGATGCTACAAACAATATACAGCATGAAAATAAAAGTTTTTTTAATTTAATTATTAATTTACTGTTTTTTATTTTATTTTTTTTTATTTCACGAACATCCTGGAAGAGAATGTGAAATGTGAAAATGTGAAAACAACAGCCACAATTTCAGACGCAGCAGTATGAGCAGTGACGTCACAACGGTGCGCCATGTAGTGTCGGAAACCTCCGCTGATTGAGTTCACTACATAGTCAGCTATATGAAACCCCATATGAGGGTTAGAGGTTAGGGATTAAGTGATTCATTTCGGACACAGCTTTAGACATAAAGAGGTTCAATCAGCTAGGATCACTTTGTCCACAAGGGGCGCCAAAGACAATGCAACCAGAAAGTTCCTTACAGCAGCTTTACAATATGTTACTTCAGTATTTTTGGGATCAAGTACTCAAGTAAAAATATGACTGAGCAACTTTCACTTCTATTGAGTAATATTCTACAGGAATATCTAAACTTTCACTTAAGTAATCCAGGAATGTACTTTGTCCTCCACTTAGAATATGACTGAGTTTCTGTCAAACCCGATTATATTCAGTAAACTCCAGCAGATGCTAAAGGTGTGGGTTTATTGCTGACATACGGATTGTTTGTTCAATACCGCTACCACAGCAGAACCACTGAATGTTTCAGCCCTCCCATGACTCAGATGTACTCATGATAATTATCTGTTCTTACACTCTGTTTATGTTCACAGCACAGGATGTGTTAGGTCCATTGAGTTCAACTAAATTTAACATCCAGGATAATGGTAGTAAAAGCATATGAATTGTTGCACAAGGATGATGTTTTCACTCAGCAGGGACTCATTTTGTAAAGATGTGTTGCACTTAGAATTCACTGTAATTTGCAGGTTAGTATGAAATAAAATGAGGATTACATGTTGACATAGTGAAATTATTTTTGTGAGCAGATGAGACGGAGAATGAAAAGACTTTCTCTCAACAACATCAGTTGAAATTTTGTTTTTGAAAGGTTGGATTTCTGCTGATTTGATCACAATTTTCACACCTAAAATAAACTCTTACCACCTCAACAGAGGCTCTGAAATGTAAAGCATGCATTAAAGAAAAAAGCTGGTAATGACATGATAAAGAAGTTACAATAGGTGAATCACCTATGAGAAAAATGAGTCAGTGAGTCTATTTTCCTCCATCACTGAATCCACAGACCAGCTCTCTCATCTCATCGAGATTGTCAGCAGGAGGCTGTTCACCAAACTAATGCAACAAAATCCCACATATGGTGTGAAAGTGATTTTATTCAAACCTCATTTTGCAGAAGTAATCTCACAATCCCACTATTCCTGATATTCAACAAGTGACTGGATCTGTTGGAGCAAATATGTTTCATATTTTCATACTTTCTCTGCAAATCGACAGCCTCTCTGCTCAAGGACACGTTTACATCCGACACACTGTTTGGTTACACGCCCATCAGTTTAAGGGATTCATATTGTCAGTGTTTGGATCAGATCTGTTTAACCATCAAAGGACACGTCAAGGACATATTAAGAACAAGCTTATCAATTCAAGTATAATCAATAATTTCAAGAATTACTTCAGAGAGAAAAATCCCTCAAATTGTTTGGATTGATGTTCCAATGATGCGCCTGTTGCGCCTTTTCCTCTGAATATTTTCTGTACTGACAAACAGTTCGACGCAGAAATCTTATCAAAAACATCCAAATATCACACCCTTACTATCAGAAAAGTCGCACACCTACCTAGCGTTGATGAATCCTCTTTTTTTTCCAGACAGAAAAACGCGCTCAGAGCAGATCCAGCGCCCGAGTCTCGTGCGCCTCTGGAGAGATGCGCGCCTCTCGCACAAATTTACGCAGGACTACATCCGTGCACATCCACTCTCCAGCGCCGTGGTATTTCACTTAGCCCACATCAGTATTGATTTGTAGAGTAATTACATGTGATACCATCAGGCTGAGCCTTAACGGGGTGTTGCCAGGCGATGAGCTGGTACGGCCTGACCGGCGCGTGTGTCTCGCACTTATACCTCTTATAAACTTGACTGACAGCTCTGAGGGAGAACAGGGCTCCTGATGCGTGTAAATAAAGGGAATCAGTGGCTTCAGTTGCTTTTTGGCCCAACCCTCTCCTAAGTTACACCTGCTGTGAGATAGTATGTAATACCTGATCAGTGTGGTGCGTTTTTATGCAGTAAAACACAAAGAAACCAGGACATTTCCATTATCTTGACTTGTTATTGAGGCATTAAGTCACAATACAGCCTTCCTCCTCCTCTCTAATGCGTCAGAGGTCACTGCCAGAGTGTGTGTGTGTGTGTGTGTGTGTGTCATGTTTGAACGGACCTCTCAAATATTTAAAGAAAGGACAGAGGCTCAGGCTGATAACCAGCTGGACTGTGTGATGCTCAATGTGGATACTGTTTTCCATTGGAACAAAATGACTCCCATTCCCCTCCTTTGCCATTACTGATTGATTCTGAATCAACAGCCCAGTAAGGAATCAGGTGACCAGGTCAGCTGTGGGAGATCCTGCTAGGATGTTTACAGCAGAGGTTCTACTCAGAGTGCCGAAGACCTCGTCCCATTCATCTGAAGCCTGAAACGCTTGATTGTAATCAATCGAGGGTTAACTGGTCTCTCTTCTCTTCCTGCATGCAGCCCATCCAAGCTCAGCAGGATCCATTTTGGCTGAGCTGAGCAGGAAACAGTCGCTGAAGTTATTGGAGAAGTTCAACAAGAAGTTCAAGTAACAACAAAAAGCAGAGCTGAAATTAAAGGGAAAAAAAACAAAACATTTCTACTCACTTTTTTTGTGACGGTAATTTGACAAATATGGAGACTATCTGTGAGGAAACAAAGACCTGTCTGCCTGTCTTTCAGAAAGTTTGAATGAATTTCATTAGGCGTCATAGATAACACAAACGACTAAAGCTGTCCTTGAATAGTCGATCTAGCAGACACAGTGTTCTTGTTCAATCAGCAGCAGGCACTTAAGCTAAGGTCGCATTTAAAACCGTTTGCTCTTTTGTCCCCTCTGGTTTTGAGATGTGTCTGGCACTTCTGATTTTGGAGGAGAGTTTAATGTGCGTCGCAGTGTGCAGATTGTCATTATCCTGTACTTTGTGCAGCATAGACATGAAGATCTTTTATCAAGTCAGGGCACAACCAATTAATGTCTCTTAGCATTGCTGCAAAATACTAGTTTAAGAGATTAGTTTGTGCTTAAAATGTTTACTCACTCCTCTTCTGTGTGACTTTGAAATACAGCTGTCAATATAAGAGAATTGAAGGGCTCAGCATCTCATCTTCTCTCATTCATTTTTAATGTTTGTACTCGGGGCTCATGCTATATATTTTTCTGTTTAAGTTCTGCCTCAGGGAAACTCTCCACTCAGAGCTTACAAGGTAAAGCAGCAAAATGGCCATGAACAGAATTTCAATTTCAAACTGTTGGGTGAAAGCTTCCCTGCTCTTCAAGGACAAAAGAATAATATGCTAATCAAACATTTAGTGGGACACTTGAGCTCACACCATGGTGCTTGGGCTGTGATGGGTGACTTTAATAAACCAGTGGCGCTTCTGGTCAGCTTTTATAAGCTTACTAATAAAATAAGTGAGACTAATCTGTAATATGCGATCAACAAGTGGTGCAATAAGTAAATACACTGGCACTGACTAGTTATTTAGTTCGCATTTGAGTGAATGGAGAGCTTCGGTTACTTCTTCCTCACCTCTTCATTATTACTCTTGTGTGACTAGTGAGCTTTTTGCTTGCAGCGTTCGAGTTACCTTGGAAATCAAATGTCAGAGCTGGAATTGACTTTACACCTGAGTTGACAGCGTTCCAGTAAACAAGTCGGAAAACCAAGATGGACACCTACAGCTACTCCTGAGAGCTACTCCTTTCTCTCTCTCTCTCTCTCTCTCTCTCTCTCTCTCTCTCTCGCTCCCCCTATCTCTCTGTATTCCTCCCCAACCCAGCAGCGGCCTGGTGGCTGGCTAACATGAGTCTGGTCCTACCCAAGGTTTCTGCCTGTTAAAAGGAAGTTTTTCCTTGCACTGTCACTCACGTTAGATGAGATAGGCCAAATCCCATCTTAGGTTGGGTCTTGATAATTCATCAAACAATGAGTGTGGTCTAGACCTGCTCTTTTTCTTTGGAAAGCGTCTTGGGATGACAACTGTATGAATAAAATTTGATTGATTGATTGAAATTTGAGCTAGCCGTTGTTTGCTATTGTTTACAATTGTCAGCTGTCGTTAGCCGTTGTCAGTTGTTGTTAGCTATACCAGTTGTAAACGACGTACAATACAGTATTTTACTCTTACAAACACCATAGCACCGCGTTCACAGTTAGACATTGGGCGGTACAACATATACCACTTATTTAATTTCACCAAAACAAAACAGAAGTACTCATACATAATACATTACGAGAGCTTTCCCTGTCACTCTTTACTGTTGATGCTCTGCGCTGCCATCTTGAATCATGGCATTGTTGCCAAGTCGGGGTCGACGAGGATTGTCTGACTTTCCGAGTTGGAAATCCTACTTCAGGGGGCGTTCCAGTTGAATTTCCAACTCGGAGCTCAAACAAGCCTAACTTCCAAGTACAACATTAATGCTGCGTTCCAGTTGTGCTGGAAAGTTGGGATATTCAAGCTCCGAGTTGGAAATTCATCTGGAACGCCCCTCTGACGTCGGATTTTCCTCTCGGAAAGTCGGACGATCCTCGCCAACCCCAACTTGACGACAATGTCCTAATCCAAGATGGCGGCGCAGTGAACACGGTGCTATGGTGTTTGTAATTGTAAAATACTGTGTTAGACATTGTTTACAACTGGTATAGCTAACAACAACTAATAACAGCTGACAACAACTGACAAAGGTTAAGGACAGCTGACAATTGTAAACAACAGCTAACAGTAGGCGTCCATCTTGGTTTTTTGACTTGTTTAGTGAAACGCCGTCAACTCGGGTGTAATGTCATTCCTAGCTCCGACTGGAACACAGAATAAGCTGTATTTGTTTTATAAAAGTATTATTAAACACAGATTCACGAGTGCAGCTAAACAATCTGAACACAGGTTTGAAATACCATGTCTGGCGTTTCTTGCAGGTATTTTGAGTACAGCCGATAAACAAGTGAACATTTTTCAGTCTGTTGGTGAACTATCAAGACCTTCCCTGTTATTGGATTTTTGCATCAACTATTATGTCAGAAATTTTGCTGCCTACGAATTGAGACATTCTGCAACTTACTTGATAGTTAATGCTGTCAGAGACTCAATGAGCATGGGGCAGTTACACATGTTGTCAAGGATATTGAACAAATGCTGGAATGGATTTCTATCATTGAAATGTTTTTTTCTTCCTCGAAAAATAACCTATTTGTCCAGAAGGTCGAGAGACTCAATGTGATAACTACTCCTCTCAGCACCTTTAGGGTATGACTTTCAGAGCAAGTACCACACAAGACATTTGATCAGTGTATTTGCTGTTTATATATAAGTGGACACCAGTAGTTTTGTGATTATATTCAAAGACAGCCATCTCCTAACAGGGAAGAATTATGAAGCACCAGAAATAAAATAGAAACACGTTTTATTTTCTTTTTTCTCAAGCCAGAAAACAAATTCTTTATAGCGGCTCTAAAGCTTCTGTCAGGTTTTCGCTCCAGCACTTTAGGAAGATAGAGGCTGATTGCCCCTCGGTGTGTCAAAACTTTCATCTGAAGTGTGGGAACAAAAAAACAAGTGGGCTTGACTTTGAACAGGTCAAGAGTTACCTTTAGATTTTGATGGATGAAGCAGCCTCAAGAAACTCACAGACTAACACAAACAGCACTCAAGAATTTCACAAACTTACACGGAAAGTTGTTCGCTTTCCTGTGTACGTTCCTGACAGGCTCTTGACTGAAAGGCTGTTTAACACAACAAAAAACTAGCACTATAATCTGCCACTGGAAGTCAGAGTGTTCCCACTTGTCTGAAGGTTGAGCAAACAGCGTCACTTCGATTGTGCAGACAGCTATACACTGAGATGGAGAAAGTCAGCTGGATAAACCTGGGAGAGATGAACGTGAACGGAAATCTATTACGTGGTATAATATCTCCCATGGCATCATCAGTCCTTCCTTTTGACACCGCTCATTTAACTGAATCATGTCACTCAGTGGTAAATACACCCCTGCAGCTTTTATGAATGCAAGCTCTTGACATCAGGATCCTTCAAATTGAAAATGACAGATAGAGTGAAGCATCTGCTCGCTCTTATCTGACATCCAGCTTGAATGGCTCGCCTTTAAAAATGTCTTTTTGCTACTCACCCGCAATTCAAAGTACTCATGTCTACCCAAAAAACCTGCGGCTGCACTCAAAATACAGGTGAAAGTTGTCATGCAAACATGGTTGGTCTCTCCAGAGTATTGATTATTCTTTTTAATGTATTGATTTATTCATTTGTTTTTGGAGGTAAATGATCAAGATATGCATGTGCTGATGAATTAGTGAAGGATCTTTATGTAAAGGGAATTTATAAGCCATGATTGTTTTTTTTGTTTGTTTTTTTCTTACGTTCTCTTTGTTTTTCGATGTTTTTTATGGTTGTTGTTTTTCTCCTTTTTTTCTGTCTTTCTCAATTTTTCTAAAATGTTGTTTTTCCAATTTATTCATTTATACATTTATATGTATAAATAGATATATAAATTAATATATATATATATATATATATATATATATATATATATATATATATATATATATATATATATATATAATATATATATACATATATAACAAAACAAAACACAACCACTACACACAAGGGCTAAAGTAACCAAAAAAATAAATAAAAAGTAAAAATAACTAAATTGATAAATAAATCACATGTCGTCCGTTCTGCATTAATCCTGGTAATGGCAAATGTCAGATTCATAAAACCACATGCACACACACTGAGACGCACTGATCCCTTCAAGATCCACCTGAAGAACTGTGCATGTAGTTCAGACTTATTCTCAGCTCTCCTCCTGCCCATATACCTCCATAGATGGTCATTATAAAGCACAGTTGGGTGAAAATATATACAAATGAACTTGAAGATCAGAAGCTGCTACGCTGTCACAGCAACAGCAGGGAGGAGGATGGAGAAAATCAAGTTGACGGCACAGACATCGAGGAACTCCACTCCACTTTTCACTCCATTATTTTTTAATCCCTGGAACTGGTGCGAGGAAGAAGGTGTTATAACACATTGGAGAGTCAAAAGTCAGCAGAGTCAAAAGTCAGAGTTTTTTTTATCAGAGGACATTACTTCAGCATGTGGAAGACAAGATAAACAAAGACGTCTTTGTCTGCAGGCTGAAGGTTTTTCACAGGAGCTTTATGAAAATAAGAAATTAGTGTCACTTAAGTCTTTGTACGCTTTCAGAATTAACACTGATATTTTTTCAACATTATGACAGCGTACTCTCGTCAACCAGCGATCTCTATGAATAGGTGCAGGTAATAAAGATGTGACAAGAGAGCATAAAAAAGCCGTTGTCATGTCTCTGTCCGCTCCATAGAGCAGTATTTACCAATGGGCGAGATCATATTCAGCTATACGGCACTGATAAGATTAATGTCACCGTACAGCACAGTTATGAAATGTCAGTCTATGTCTCTTTGGGTTGTTTACACTAGATGATAAAGTTACAGGGTAGATTCCAGTTTTCTCCTCTGTGTTGTGGAGGAGTGTGAAGGTTTAAAGGATTTCATAATAATAAGTGGGCTTGAAAATGTAGAAAGTATTGCTTCAGATCGCTTCTTTGTGAGCACATTTTCTCATCAAGTAAATGGGTCCATGCAGTCCCTGAAAACTCTCGCGCGCCGGAGTGCTCCCCGGACAATGCGAGCACCGAGGTATATTGGATCCTCCAAGAATGGACAAGCCATTTTTCGAGAGAGCTCATTGGTCAGTGGGCGGGGGTTTTATATACTTGGTGAGTTCAATCTTGAACCTAACCTGCCCCGGAGCAGGTTATATGTTGCCATGGAGACTCGTCATAGAACAGGAAACCCCGAACTTACCCTCGAAGTTACCTCGCTAAGCAGTAATCCTGCTTCGTAGAACAGGCCCCAGATCTACCAGCAGAGCTCTGCAACATGTGACCTTAGTAAGGCCCAACACTGGAGTAATGAGAATACTAACATGCTGATGTTGATGTTGATCAAGTTCAGCACTATGTTACCCATTTCACTCAACAGCAAGTTACCACAAAGTAATGGGATGGGACTGTTATTTCTGTGGTTTCTGATGGCAGGTGCAACCAAACAGGTGATTCACCTCTCACCTTGATTATTCACCCGCACTTTGGTAGAGTGCTTTAAAGTGGGCTGTTATGTCATATGTCAAAGACACAGTTTCTTTTGGAGAGCTGAGGTGGACCATTGGAAAAAGAGCTGGTGCCATGTGTAAGCTAAAGCGGGGTACACACAAATAGATAATCGGGCTGTTTTTGTCCCGACCAAGGACGACAATCGGAAGTTTATCTTATATCTTCTAAGATTATTCTATAAGATTATCCTGTATTAGGAGGTTTACTAAGAGTGAATTTGTCCCGATAATTGGGTCCAAAACGGGTTGGGGCCGACAATCGACCAAAAATCTTCACGTGTGTGGGGAAAGCCGACGACTCCCGAGTCATGACTCTGTGAATTGTCACGTGAAACAGAATATCACCAATCAAGGAGCGAGCCGACTGAGGAACAAGGAACTAAATAAAGTGGATAAAAATAAAGCAAACCGTGCACAGTGTCTCTTTCTTGATGGCTGCCAGATTTATTTGTGTTACTGGGATAATCACACCAACCATTAGCTTAATTTGAGAACAACTCACCTCTAGCTCGCTCAGTAGACTATAAAGTCCGTGTTCACGTTGTCTCCAGGATTTTTTCCATGGTATTTTCTTTTTTATAGTACGGGATTTTTCTGTCAAAAATATTCCTAAAACCACCATCATTCCCTGCTCTTGTGTGTCCTCTTCCATGTTGCGTTTTGTGTTTCTGTGGTTTTTGCTATGTTTCTTCTTTGTTTTTGTCAGTGTATGTTTCATCACGCAAGATTTCTGTCTTGGAGGACTAGGTTCTAGATCGGTGGTGGAACAGAATCGTTTTGTTTGTGGTGTGTGTCTGTGTTGAGATTATCAGAGCACACCACACAGAGTACGATCAAAACTGTTCAATGCCTGATTCTTTATCTTCATGTGTATGGTATGGTCTTTATTGTCATTGCAACAGTGCACAATGAAATAGCATTTACAGAAGGGGAAAGTACACACAAGAGGGAGGGAGAGGAGGAGGGGAAAAAAAGCGACTGCTCTCATTAATATGAGTGCAGTGACATAACAAAAAACCCTCAGCAACATGAGCACATTAGTCTGTAACAGATAAAAAAATGTTCAGATTCAAAAAATCCTTGTGTGTGTACCCCGCTTAACTGGGAACCTATTCAACTAAACAACAAAACAAACAAAAAACTAATGAATGAAAACCCAGTGACTGATCCACTGAGTGAAGATTTTTGCTTTTTAAGTCAGTAATTTGTGAAAAATCAGTCAAAATTAATTACTGTTTCAAGCCTCATACAGTATAAAGATTTGAACTCTTTGTTTTGACATTGAGGCAGTTCAAGCTTTCACGTCATGGAAAAACACTGACGGCAAACTGGAGGCTGTGTGGATAGAAAATACAGTTTTTCCACATAATGTTCTGACCTTCTCTGTGTGTCTGTTGAAAAAACCTAGCAACCTGAAGTTCAATTAAACGCTCACTCTCTCATTCACTCGTTCACTCAGTCACTCAGTTTTTCTTTTTGTGTGTGTGTGTGTGTGTATGTGTGTGTGGTTGTATGGTTTTTATCCTCTTGTATATCATTTGTGGAAGGAGAATCAGAAGTGCTGTAGGTTCAATTACTTTTAAGTTAGGAAATGGTGTCTTGTAATTAATCTGCATATTTAAATTTTAAGTTTTATGATAGGCGAGGCGAAACATGAGACATTTTCATTTCATTTCCAGCATGTCTTCATACCAGATGAGTCAGGTCATTAATTCAGATGATTCGTCATTGCTTGGGCACAAATGGTGCGTCATGGCCAAAACGAATAGAGAGGTCTAGCTACGGTAAAATGCAAACATATTTTAAATGAGTGTCTGTGGTTCACATCTACTTCCAAATTTTTCTAGGATACAATTTCTTTTAAATCTAGTTACAGTTCATCCGGTGTATGTTGTAGTGAAACTCATGAATGATGTCTGAATATGCTTGTATGAACTTTAATGAATTTTTCTTTAACCTTGAGCTGAATTACTTCAGTTTCCATAGTTATAACAGAAGTCAGGCTATTGTCTTCTGTGTGCAGGAACAAGTATAAATAAAACACATGAGAAACTCTATCCTAAACATTATGCACACCATAACATGCTGGGATGAAAATTAAAGCTCCAGACAGCTCCTAATGACTTGTCCTCAGACAATGATGCAGATGTTGATTATCCACGTCCACCCGAGGCCACTCAAATGAAAGAGACGAGCGCATCGCCTCCATTAAATGCTTGTGCCTCTGAACTAAAGAGCTCATGCTGAAAACAGGGTCATGTCTCACAAATGAAAACAGGGCTGCCAGATGAAGTTTGGCAGATGAAAGCTGCATGTTTGCTAAAAACATTTTTGTTCTCTAACAATAAAGGATTTTTTTTGATCCATTACTCCCACAGGTTCAAGCCTTTATCAGCAATGTTTTCAAGTGGAGCGAAATAAATTCACAGGTTGAGTATGAAAAATAAATGTGGCTTAAAGCATTATTTGGACTACATGACGGCAAAACCTTTAAATGTTCGGATATTAATGTAAGTCTGTTGAGAAAAGAGGCTCCTCTAAGGGAAGTCCCCAAATAAGATAATGAAAAATTCAAATAAAATTGATTATTCTTGTTCTTTCACTTTGCAGTATGAGAAATAAAAATCAATAACTTGAGATATTTGAAAGAAAATCTTTAAATATTCAGATATTAATGTAAGTTTATCAAGAAAAGAGACTCCTCTAAGAGAAGTCCCCAAATAACATAATAAAAAATTCAAATAAAATGAATTATTCTTGTTTTTTCACTTTGCAGCATGAGAAAAAAAAATCGATTACTTGAGATATTTGAAAGAAGCAAAGACAAGCAAAGAAATGCAGGAGCTTAAGTGTGAAAATACAGTCAAGCTGAGTTATTTCTGAGAGTGATAAAGTTACGACTGTTTATTTGAAGGTTCTGTATGAAACATAAAGACAGCAAAGATCTGCTGAGGGCACAGCTCAAGTGAGTCTTACAGCTGGAGATCGCCCACCTTATATGTACAGTTAGCAATATGCAGTTGCTTGTCTGAGGCTTATCCCTCCACACGATTCCTCTGGACCCTATAGTATGAATTTATATCTGCTTCATGAAGAGAAATTTAACAATCTTAGATGCGACACATCCTGTAATCTGAGAATAAAACCCAAGAAGACTTAAAACTTCAGTACACTTAGCTCTGATGTTGAAGGACCCCTACGTCTTTACACAGATAAACAAAAGTGAAGGACTAGCTCAGATATATAGGAAACAGGATAATATAGGATTGAACACAGTCTACACACTTTACATTTAAAACCACAGGTCACAGAGTTGTTTTAAGCACTCATTATAACTCTACATGTTGTCTGCGTCTTGATCATGTCTGAAGTGTTCAGACGGGTCGAAAGAACCTGACTCTGATCTGACATTGATTTCAGATCCCGATCAGGACCCTTTAGGTCAGAGTGAAGCGCTCACGGCCAGATGGATCGACTCAGCGATGTAGTCTAAGTTACGCCCGTTGATTGCGCTCACGTTTAGACAACCACTGGGGAGCAGGTATATGTGACTCCTGTTCGTCAGGTACTCCACCTGCTCACCTAAAAGAGAAAAGAAAATACTGTGACTCACATCAATAACCGTGATACTATTATCTATCTTTTTCATTTTACTTTCTGCAACAGAGTTCAATAAGGGATCTTATTTGTGCGTGTCTTTGTGTATTTCAGAAGAGGGAGATAGCACAAAGCAAGTCTCGAAAGACAGTTGCAAGGTGCACTCCGAGGCAGTCTCCGAGGCGTCCTGCATGACGTCAAACATCAGAACATTCACTCATTACATTTCACTCATGCGTATGGTTCCATATCAGTATAATTTGTCTATTATGCTCAACACCTCAGCTCTGGATAGTGTCTTTATCTACTTCTGCATTCACTCCCAGAGTGTGTGCAACAGGAGACAATCACTGGGCCACGAAACAAAAACATCCTGCACAATAGTTATTCAGCCAAGAGGCACGAGATAAACACAAGGACACTCTGTATTTTTCTATTTCCCATCTTTTTTTTTCATCTACTTTTTGAAATGATACATGATGAATTGCTGTAATGTACATCATGAATTTAAAAAGATGAAAAGCAACAGATCCCCAAGGTGAGGCTAAAACTTTCGGTGATGCAGTGTTTGAAATGTAAGGACGTAAATCACACTCACAGAGTAAACCAAAACACTTTATACGACCATGAATAAATAGCAGCGACTGGATGCTGTAAATGCCAGTTTTCAAAGTTTTGTGGTTGTCTCTGTGTTGTTTTTTTACCCACCATTCAAGCCGGCGCAACAGTAGAGTCCGCGTTGTTCGGTAAGGTGGTCCCAGCAGCCTGGCGTTCCCAGAAGCCTCAGCTTTTGTCTCAAGATCTCTCTGATCAGCATACATCTCTCCACAAGGTGCTTCACTTCTCCCTGCCTGAGAAACACAGAAGACAACAACTGAGAGATCATTTCTCTAAATATAAGATTCAACTTCTCAAAATCATCATGTGTACTTTTAAATACTTTAATCCAAGTTTAGTTCAGCGTCATCGTGGTTATTCACTGATAAATTGGCAATGTTTCTGTCCGAGCCACATTCTTTATATATCAGATTGTCCTTGAGGTAAAGCACGACTCACCATTCAACAAAATGGGCTGGGTTACTGAGCACTGTCGCAACAACACGTGCTCCTGTATCAGATGGCTGCGCCCAGAGTGATCGCACTATCTTGTCGGCTTGAGACTGCACAGATAACAGGAGGGAGTTCTGCTCCAGGATGCACACAAGGTGTCCCACTGCCTCACCTGGATAGGAGGAAGGGAAGAAAATAGGTGGGGGGTAAATAATATTAAAAAAAGATGTTCCAGTGTTGGTAATGTAGTCATCACACACAAAAACCTACGTTGAAAATTGAGTTTAAAAGCGACACACAAGATGAAAGACACTGTCTGACTCTGGCCAAATGAATATAAGAACAGACTGAGCCGCCTCACAATGAGATACCTGATTCTCATATAAACCTCACCAGATAGTAAGCGTGACAGTCCCTCCAAAGAAACAATGATCATGAATTTTCTGTAGCGATGGGTAAAATGTGATTATAGTTTATTCCTCTCTTCTCTGACTGCAGGAAGAGTGAAAATGAACTGCAAATTGACTGTCTGTGTATTTGTTGCTGGAAAAGAACTTTGCATTGATTTTTTGCAATCACATGTCACTTTAATTTTGTAGAAAAGACTCTTTTTTGCATTTCCAGTCCCTTTTCTTGAAACCACTTCCTCACCATATAGTCCGAAGCAGTGGGAAAGCGACTGAGCACAAAGTAGCTCCATTCCCTGTGATGCACAATACTGTACAGGCCAGGCGTCCCGCTTTAAATCACCATGACAAAGTCCCTGAGCAGGCAGCACGAAGAAAGGGAAAAGCTGACGCTTCTGTTGGAAGAGAGCCGAGAGAGAGTCATCAGAGTGAAATGCACTTTCTGTAGCATAAATACTCAAAGCAGCATAAGCAGAAAACATCAGTTACCATCATAAACTGTGTAATCGACATCCATTGATTCTGAGAGAGATCAGCTCCGGTCGGGTAGTGGGCAGAGGCCGACAGAACAATAACACTCTGTTCTGGAGCTTCATCCAGATCCTCCAGAAGCTTCTCCAAAGAAACACCTCGTTTCTCATCATCCCAGTAAGAATAACGACGGATATCTTTGACCCCCGCAGCCCTGAAGATATTAGCCAATGAGTCTGCAAAGAGGACAAAGACAACACATTAGAGACCTAAAGCAGATTTAATTATTCAAGATCAAAACTTATATAATCTCCAGACTTTACTACTAAAGACGAGTACTGATGATGAGAACTTATTATCTCATTATCTCAATATAACAAAAATCTTTCTCTCTGGATAACAGATAAATGACGTTTTAGCCGACCTAAAACAGTAACTTTTCAAATTTCTAAAACGCCAAAGCCACCGTTGTCAAAGACGGCACGCTCCACTTCACACATACGCATTACACTTTGAACGTGGGAACATTTAACTGCCATGTACGAACCGTTGAAAGTGTAATGCGCATGCACAAAGTAGAGCGTGCCGTCTGCATTTTCACTGATCCCGACTTGCTGTTGACGACGGTAGCTGCGGCTTTTCAGAAATATCCTAACCTGGAGGATGTTTTAAAAAGTTACTGTTGTGGTTGGCTAAAATGCCATTTTTGTTATCATGAGAAAACCATCTTTGCTACGTCGAGATAAAAAAAATAATAGAGAAAACTAACTTTGTTATATCGAGAAAACGAGACAGTAAGTCGTCATCGCGAGATAACAGTGCATAAGAAAAAAGAAAAATCCATGGCCGTTCTCGGCTTCTGTATGTCCTCGTATTCTGTAATTTACCATGAGGAAATACCGCTTGTATAAATATTGAGTTTATCACACCTCTTTTATAATATGAATGAATAGCATCCTTTAACACAATCACAAAGTGTGATCTCTAAATCTGCTGTTAAAAGTCAGTCAAACTGAATTGCAACCATCTACCAGAGCAGCTTTATCATCCCTGCAATTTTAACGCTCCTCATTCTTTTGACACTTCACTCACTTTATACTCACTCTTAGTAGTAGGGAGTAAACACTTTAACCTAATATAATGGATGCTTCTTCAGGCCTGCGAACCTGTGTTGTTGCTGTATTCTTGCTTGTCAAAGGTTCAAAGAGTCTAACTTGACAAAAAGCGTTGAATACAAACCACTGTCAGTCAAGTAAATATCAATATCAACCTCACATTAGAAACAGAACTAAGAATCAATCATAACATCTCGAGCACATTGTGAATGAGAAATTTCTCTCTTAAGGCGAATGGAGGACTTTTATCTTTTCAACTCTCTTTCACAGGAATAATAATTTAATTGTCAATAAATTCACAACAAAACCTTCTTTATGAAGCGCCCTTTTGATGCAGCTGTCTTTGAATCTTTGGTAGTTTTCCTGATGGCAGCAGATAATCCTCACATTTTAAAAAAGAGACTCAAGAGCCCAGCCTTTGTCACTTATACTTTTAAATGTGTTGCACTTAGCGATTTATCTGTCTTCTGAACTCTTTATGTGCTTCGGCTTTCAGTCTGGCTTTTATTCAGTCAATATTTATTTATCATTTTATTTTTTCTGCACTTTACCTTTTTAGCCTGGCCTTTTAATTAAGTCAGGTCAGGGTGAATGTTTTTTTTTTTTCTTCAAGGCACTTTGTGTTACTTTACTAAAACTGCAATACCAATAAACTCTGATAGTCTAATGATGGGGAAAAAACTGTTTTTTATACACAATAAAATCAGGACTAAACCTTTTTAAAGTTTACCAATGCGACAAAACTTAAATTTGCCAAATCTCCATTCCTGTACATCATCTACATTTACAAAACTTAAGTTGGAACATTGATTTTGGAAAGTGTTTACCTCTCATAAGATAATTTTGCCAAGTTTTAATGCTACACGCAAAAACCTCAATGTTTATTTTCCGAGTTTAGCAAGAAAATTCTTGGGAGACATTGAGGATCATTTGTTATCCTGATCTTTAACTTAAATGTTATTTGTGTTGTCAGTCAGTCTATAATGAGATAAGAGGTTCACACATGGTTATTATCACACTGGGATCATCTTCACAGGTGTAGTAGTATTCTTAGACACTGTGAGAATGAGGTGTGGGTGTATTTACCATCACAAGGTGAAGAGAGGTAGACAGGTCCACACCAGTCATCACTGACACCGTGCCAGTGTCTGAGGAGTTCAGCCCCAAGACGCACAGCAGCGGTAAATCCAGGAGTTTGGACGCTGAACACCTGTGACAAATGTCAGAAAACACCAAGAGATCAGTTAACAAGATTAAACTGATCATCTCTTATTTAGACAGCCTGATATTAAGTAATTCAGGTGAAGCTGATTGTATTTACAGATTTGTCTTGTTAACGCCTCAAGGTACTATCAGTGTTGATTGATAACAGGCAGCTGGTTCTTCTCCGCCTGTTTGGTTCTATGCAAACTGAGGTGTTCAGTAAATGTGAGCAGTGAATTGTTGCATTTACCCGGTTTTCAACTAAAGCCCGACAGCTCTTCCCTAAAGTGACGTCTGTGACTTGTTGAGTGAATCCTGTCAGACCAAGAGATGGTGGATACGCTGGACAAATAGTTGGATCCGTGTTGAACTGCTGCTTTATTTTTCCAACAATATCCAGTCCAAAAGTCTTCCCCTCCTCGTTGTAAAACTCTGTTTAAAAAAAAAAAGGTACAGTGATTACTTTCGACAAAAATACCCTGTGTGAATATGAAAAAAAGTCAAAGTAAATTGGAAAAGCAACTAATCTGCTCAACGTGAGACAGATGAGACTCTCAGGAAGTGCAACGTTTTTAGCACATTTTTAGCTCTACATTCAAATATCTAGAAATGATAACTCAAATACAGTGTAAGCCCCTGCTGGAGAATAGAATAATTCAATTTAATCTGAGGATCAGATGTAAAATGCACACCATGAGAGCTCATCATGCAGATTTTTTGACAGTCAAATAGATCATTGTGAATATTTTAGGTGAAATTTTTAAAAACTACAGCTGCAGAGGCTGAGACCTACCACCTCACATGGGCTTTGGACAATAAAAACAAGGGTATAAAATTATTGATTATAGTTTAGTTTGCTTTTGCATATCTTAAGAAGGTATCACCATGAAATTCACTATGTTTCACAAACATAAAAAACTCCTCATAGGATCTTTAAGCTTTAATAAAAGGAAGTAAGGAAACGATCAAGGGTATCACTTTACAATAACCATAACTTAGAGTTAGTAAATAGACCATTTATTAATGGTAAGCGGATAGTTTATTAATGCGTAATAATCATTTATAAACAGCATATAGACCATTAATAAATTGTAAATTTAACAACTTTAAAAACCTAACCCTAACTTTACAATTACCGTCTAAGTAATGTTTATAGGTGGTTTATAAACCACTTATTAATCATTTATAAAGTATTACAAACATCAGTTGCAAAGTAATATTTATAGATGTTTTTAAAAATTAAATATTAACCATTTACAAAGTGCTACTGACACACATTTTAATCTAGATGTTTTACAACCAATATTTAAACCCTATATAAACCTTTAACAAACAGTCCATTAATAATTAATTATTTATCTATTATTATCTATTTACCATTTATAATTGGTCTATATGCTGGTTTTAAATGATGATTAAACATTAATAAACTATCTATTTACCATTTATGAATTATAGTTATTGTAAAGTGTTACCCAATCAAGATTATCCATTGCGTGAGTGTTTTTAAACTGGGCACAAAAGGCTCTAATTTCAATATCGTTAATCTTTTTGTACTTTTTTTTGCAGCGCTTTAGAGTTCCTGTGTACATTTAGAAACATTATCTAATGACAGGTTTCTGTTTTAGTCATTTGCTGCTGTAAAAGTGTAGGCCTCTATGTTAAAAAGCATGGAAACTACAAACATAAGACTAAAAACATGATGTTATCTTAGTAAATTAAGACGAAAAGCCCTCCTCTCTGCCTCTGAAAATGGTTGAACAGATGAGTGGACTCACCTTTTCCTGCCAGGTAAATCTTCTTGCCGTGAGTGTCCTCCCTGAAGGCGGACAGCAGCCTTGTTGCAGGAGTGCCATGAGGATCGGACAGCACAGACACACAGCATGTCGCCTCTCCATTTCGCTTGACCCCTTTTTCATTAAAGCAGCTGCCAGGTCGGCTCATCTTCAACCAAGTCCTGAAAATCTGCCCGCAAGCTGCGAGCCTTTTGTTTACCACCTGTTGCCATGATACAGCACGTATTAGGATACTGTCACCCGGGCAACTATGATAGATGAGTTTGTCGCAACCTAATTTGAGGGTCTGGTTAGTTTTCTTCCGCCAACACAGCGAGTTATCATCACACAAAAAAAAGGAGCCAGTGGCTGTGTGAAGAGGGCCTGTATCAGTGACGAGGAGACAAGTCTGAGATTCAGCTCCAGCCTTTGTCACTGAGACAAATCAGTCTAAAAGGACCTTCCTGGGCTCATTAGGCTGTGTTTGTGTTGATGGTGTTCCATGAAGAGTTAGAGGCACTGGCTTGGACAGCGGCTGAAGAGGCAGTTTAATCATGCACTCATGTTTGCTGGTTCAACAGGAGAAACATTCACGTGACCTGGAGGATTTTAGTCATGATTTTAGCGTGTGTCTCCAGAGTGCAAAGGCAACATCTTTGTTAGGAACCTCTTCGCAGAGCCGGCCCAAGCCTCAATGGTGCCCTAAGCAAAATTAGATTTTGGGGCCCCGTTTTTCTGCCAATAATATTGATTATTGATCATTCTCACACCTACTACAGTGTAAATTTAATGCGCCTGACATGTCTCACAGACTGATGAATGATGTTCAAGGTGCCGCATATGGCTTTCAATCTCAAAATGTAACACATTCAGGTGCTCAGTGAACACTGCATAGAAGAATCATAGGCCTGCACCTCAGCCGAAATACAGAGTCAGACAGCTCTCCAAATTGCTTAATATTTTATGTTAGCGTTTGTTCAATGACTTTTTCTTTCTCAATGATAAACATTTTCTGTGTCTGACTTTGATGTTCACTTTCATGTAAAGAAATGAGAACAACAATAATTTTGTCCTTGTTTTATTAGCTGCAAAATCCACTGTGACATCCTACCCCACCTAGTGAGACAACTTACCCGATGGTGGGGCAACATGTCACATGTTCACACTCTCTATTTGATTGCTTATAACTCTGCACTGACACAAGATATGAAAATGACATGAATACGAAATATATACCTTAGACTTTGGTCTCTCATTTGGTTCACATTTTGTTTATATATGATGTATTGATTGCAAGAAATATATTAAGAGTGTAAAAAGTGTGACAACAAGCCCCAGTCTCCCCTAATAAAAACCTAATATGCTTCAACTCCTTTCATAACACGAAACAGAGTCTCCTTTACTTGCTTTAAACGTTAAAACTCTGTGCAGTATTAGTATGAAATTATCATATATCTTTGGACTGACTTTCTCTTTGAACATCCAGCAATGTCCGAACATCTGATTTATGACCATTTCTAAATTCCAGATAAAGTTGTGCAGATTTATATGCCGTATGTTCCTTTAGAGACATAAAACTCCTCGGGGGTTCCTAGAAATACAGATCAACACTATAGTGAGTTTGTGTTTCTTGGTAGATATAAAAAGAAAACCTCAGGGTAGAGTAAAGGTTATGTAACTGTTATATGGAGAAGGAAAATGCATGAGTCCGACTGTGCTGTTGGTTTTAATGAGGCAGGTAGTCACAAATAAGTGCACTAGATGGCAGTAGTCGGCCAAATCAGCCAGTCAGAATGACAATTAGCTGAGCAGGAGTAATTTGAGAAAGGGCACTTCAAGACAAACTTTTCCTCACTTCAGAGCCTGTCAAAATGGAAAAAGGGCAAAGAAGGGGGTTACATCTACTCATGATAGCTGAAGCAAGGCGTTATTTTCTGTAGCACTAAAGCAGGATATCAGCAGATGTTCATAGCTTTGCCTTTCTGAAAGTGTTTTTTCTTGGTGTGAGTATTAACGTCAGCTGAGGAGAGCTGAAAAAAGGTGTTTTTTTGTGTCATTCGGACAACAAAGCATTATCCTTTGACCTCTTTGTTTACTGTATTTCTACTGCTCTCTCAGCATCGTGGCTGCAGTTAAATATCTATGTGATATCAGGTTATCTGTGTTTGCTCAGCTGTCTGTGGGAATAAGATAAAGTCACAGTCAAACAACTAACAGAAAAACACAGCTGCAAAGGTTACAGCAAAAATGGTCATAATGAAAATCGACGAATCCTGTGAAGCAAAGTTACTGGTTTTCAGGGAAATAAAGACTTTTCTATGATAAGCATCCTCTGACTCTGTCTTACAGCTTAAGTAGGAGGATGGTGTGATAGAGGTTGACCCAGTGGTATGAGTCACACACGCTACCATGTTAGTAGACTGAAACTACATTTACTTATCCAGTTTAGGCTCAGTTGACTCAAATGAATTTACGGGATCCTAATGGGTGAGCTCTGAAGTCCAAGCTTGACATCAGCTGACCTTTTTGTGTCTCTGTGTTCTCAAAAAAACCTGGTTTCCCTGCAGAAAATGGCACTAACACTGGCCCAGGAGGTTAACTAAGGTTTGACTGTAAATACTAGAGCACCTTAAGCTTATTTACATATAGGTAGTTTAAGTATCTATTTATTTTAATTATGTTTCTAGCTGTGTTTTTATGCCCTGTAAAGTGTCCTTGGGTGCTCAGAAAGGCGCTTTTAAATAAAATGTATTATTATTATTATTATAAAGTTGTTGATTTAAGTGCTTTTTAATCAAGTAGGTTGTTTGTAACATCTTTTCCATTCTCCTTAAAGAAACATGTAAAACTTACTCTGGTCAATCAAGTTCAGGAATAAAAACAGTAATAGGAATCAGCTGATATGACCAGAGCTAAACCTCAGATAGGATAACTGTGTCCGCTCTGAATTGGCTTGGCTTTCAGTTGAAACTTGTTTCAGTTCTCACACAGCCTGCATGGCAGAGCTCATGCTGTTCCCAGTTTGTTTTCTGATGTCCTGCGTTTGGCTCTGGGTTTATTTGTAAAAGTTTTAAATTACTCCCACAATGCAAGACACCACAACGCTGTGTCTGCTTTAGCTGCAGAGCCTGCTGCCAGATTTTTCTGAAGAGTTACACAAAATAAAATACAGAAAGTGAATTAAACTGTCCTTTCACTCCAAATCAGTGTTAGTTTTACCGCTCTGTGTGAGTGACAGAGTTCTGGACCCCTGCAGAGATCCTTTGGGGGATCTGGTGATGAGGACACCTACCTGTAAAAGCCTCTCTGATGGTGTTTTTTGAAGCACGTGACTGAAAAAGTCTAACTCATATTAACATCAGTCACATCAGTGATTTGATTTAGGCTTATATTATGGTACAGGCCACTAACCATGGATACAGCCCTACCTTTTAACACATCATATGACTGATATTCAGGACCTTTAGTAAAAAGACAAATTGTTCACATGACTGATTATGCACAGATTAATTTTAGCCATTGAATATTATTTGTATACTGCAAACTATATTGATGAAAATTCGGTACCACCAGGACTTTATAATTCCACAAAAAGACCAGCTTGAAGTTTTCAGGATAGTGAACCACATTAATCCAAATCCTCTGGTGTTTTAATGTCAACACTGTACATTTATATATAATCATCAATCGTAGTACAGCCTTTAGTTGTTACTTACTCATAGTGAGTTTGTACACAGAGCACATGTGACCCATGTTACATAGTTTTATTGATATTTTTATTTTTTGATTCAACAGATGACGTCATGTTGGAAATAATGCTCCACAAGGTGTTTCAGTATAACGATATAACATACTGCACTGAGATGGTGTTTCCTCCATTACTGTGATGTACTGTAATTGGACTTTTGATCTGATTCTTGGATTGGATTTTAAAAAGTGTTTCTGAATATACCAGGAAGTGCACTGGAAATATTTATCAGATGTTTTGCCAAAGTTTTATACAGTTTTCAATATTTTACCTTGGATAATCATTCATATTGATGGTTAATTCAGTCCCTCCACTCTTACCAACTGAGAGTACATCTGCAGTTTAAGGCTGGACTTTTAGTTTTATGAAAGAGAAATGATTATGCAAGATGTTGCTTGATGTTGATTGTCTGCTTATTGAATTTTCCCTCTTGGATAAATAAAGTTCTTATATCTTCATTTATCTTGGAGAAATTGTATTTAATGTTGTGCATGTCAACAGCAATAAGCAAGATAAATAAGTTGCAAAAAAAGTGTCAGATTTTTGCTGATGTTGCTTTGGCTGTTGCAGGTTTGGTTAAATTTGTGTAAATATTCTGAACCAGAGCATTGCAACACCCTTCTCAAGTGTTGGTGTTGAGGTTTGATTTTTTCGAGATTTGAAGCCAGCAAATAAGAAATAAACATTTTCTTTGGTCATGGTTAGACTGAAAATCAGGCACCATCATTGAAAACTTGGATGCATCATCTCCAGTAAGCTTAAGTTAAACTGAAAACCTTGTGCCATGAACATTTTTGTTTCTCATGTAGACAATGGAGTCAGGCTTGTCATGTTTTAAGTTAGACAATGTTTGTATTCTGCCACAGATTCAGTGTATCATAAATAATGAACTTAACAGACAATAAAAGTCCTTTTTTTCCAAACAAGGCCACATACATGTCCAAAGTTTTACTGGAATGCTCTTCAAACCTCAGTTTAAGTACAATCCTTTCTGTGAACGTTGAGTCTCCAGTCTCCAAACAGTTTTATGATGACACAAGTTAAACTCAAGTGTCACCTGACTTCTGATAACAATACGATACAATAAGTGTTCCTGCACGGATCAAATCAGCTGTTTCTTCACAGTCCTCCTGTGCCATCCTCGTTTGTCGGGCGCGGTGGGGTTACTCCTCTCCAGCTTCTCGGTCCTGTTGGGTCTCAGCCTCTGCAGGTATCACTGTAACATCTGGAGAAAGATGTTTCTTTCAGTAGGTTGACATTTATCAGTTCATCCGTCCTTCTCCTGCAATGTGTAGCTGAAAAGAAACAGACATATTAGAATTACACAGATAACCCACACCGTAATATTTTTATGTATTTGTTTGTATATTCTTTTGCTCATCATTGACAGTGGTTTATTGAACACAGTGGCTATGACCGCTCCTCAGTTGAGAGTCTTCCTTGAGTTTGCACTAAAACCACAACATGTGCATACAAAAATCAAAGGTGGGTGTAAACTAGCAACAATAAAAGTCACACAGTGGTGGAATTAGTTTACTGCACACCTGTATGAAGCCCATAGTTTTGTGTAAGTGAAAAGTAAGTTTAAGTTGTCTCTGTGGGATAGAAGCTTTCAACAAATCAGGGGTTTTGTGTGAATTTTGCCTCCATCGGTGAACAGCACTTCATTTTCACTCTGATAACAAATCTATGAGTCCACGCCAACTGCTGGTTGCCTTAAGATAATTTGCTGTTCTGTCATAATTACCCCAGCGTGGAAAACAGCACCTGTATCACTGCTGCGTCCGCTCCCTTTTTATTTACTTTTTCATACTTAAACTACAGAGACGTATGTAAAGTATCCCTCATCTATTTATACTCGGGCATACTTTATTCCCCTCGACAAAACAGGAATTCTGATGCTATCACCTCCACTGTACATGTCTCCACAGGAAGACATAAACCACCTGGACCTGTAAGCTTCACAGAAATGTGAATGCATGTGGGAGAAAAATATGCAGGAAACCATTAACAATGTGGCTTCAGCAGAATTCCCAAAGTGTTGTAAACTCAGTTTGTGCAGTAAATCTCTGCAGGCTGGTGGTCTGTTCGACTCATGTGATAAGATGAAGAGTAATTTTAAGCCAATGCATTTAAATGATTTAATGGAAAAGACCCCGGGAATATTGTATTACACATTCTATTAAACCTGATACTCACATTTGATTCATGGTTTGTTTTAAATCACAAACTGCAGACATCACTGACAAATATATGTAGATTTTATTGCATGGAATTTAAGGAGACTAATTCCATTATCTATTCCTGTATAGCAAAGAAATATTTATAACATGATCAGGGAGAGAAAACAGGGAGTGACCAGGGGTTAAAGTAGGATAAGGTTCTTGCAGGTACTGTACCCGTAAGCTTTGTATTAGAGGAGCACACCCAAATTTAATGAGGTGTTCAGATCATCTGCTGCATCTCTCTTTCTCTTGAACATAAAATCAAATTTTTCTCTGTATTTTGTTTTATTTCTGCAGTAAAATTGAAGCAGCTCTCTCTTTAAAAGTTTCCTCCTTCCGCAAAAGGCGCCTAGACAACCAGCGTCCAATCAAAAGTGGGCCCTGTGCGCGTGTCCACTTAACGTTTGTTTGCGGAAGCAGATACGACTCACTTGTAAGCAGCATGATCCTACTGGATTACTACGGTTACAACGCAGAGTGCAGACTGACGTGCGGCAACACGGTAAGCAAATGTAGCCTACAGACACTGCAAGAGTGAAAGTTTGAGTACCGCTGCGTACCGACGGTAAACTGCTGTTTATGTCTTCGCGGTACCGCGTACCGCTGCGTACCTGGGAGTGACATATGGGGAAGGGGCTCAGGATGGATTCAAACCGCATAAGGCGTAATATCTGTTTTTGGGATGCACGCCTGGACCATTTGGCCTTCAGCGCCTCTTTCTTTGGCGTCAGTTAAGACTGTGTTGTGTTAACTGTACTGGAAGTGGGCATAGTGACCAGGTTAGGTTGGCTGTCTTTGTTTAACCATAGGTTTATCAGCTGGCTGATTTAGTGAGTTAAGTTCAATAGCAGAGGTGCTAATGATGCATAATTAGTAGAATAAGCAACATAATCACTGAAAAAGAAAACTTTTGCATCTCCCTCTGTTGCCTCTTGCAACTCCGCTAAACCCCTCCCTCCAAGTGACATGCATGCCAAACAAAGAGACTAAACACAACTCACCTACTCTCTTCCAGCAGCCGCTTGTTTGTAGCGAGACCTCAGGCCAGTCCATTACGATCTGCAGCTCAATCAAGAACATTTTGTGATCACTACTTTATCATTTCCTCAAAGTAATAATCATCATATTGATCATTTTGCACTGCAGACGCAGAAGTTCTTCTGCCTTAGCGTTTCAGAAGAAGAAATGATCATAACTGTTCTTCCTTGAGCTGCGTCACCTCGATACAAACAAGCGGCTGCTGGAAGAGAGTAGGTGAGTTCTGTTTAGTCTCTTTGCTAAAGAAATTAGGCAAAGTTAAAAAGGTGTTTGTTGGCTAGTGCTGTGGCTGGGACCCTATATGTACTGTTGATGAAGTTAGGTGCTGTTCTGAGCATTATTTGTGGCTATACAGTGCTGTTTTGGTTTGTTTATGGCTCCTCAGACCGCTGTGTATTGCTATCGTGCGGTCGTTACTAAAGTTGGTATAACAAGAGAAGCAAGTGGTCGGCAACATTCATCTCTCGACAGGGTGTCTTACTAGGTGTAACGGTGTGTTTCACCCTGAATTAATTTTAAGCCAGAATATCCCTTTAACTTCATACAGCTGTTCCTGGGGTGACTTTCTGATAGTGTTTCAACACCCAGTGGCATGAAAATCAAGAAATTACACTGTGAATTAGTTCAGTGTTTCAAAGGGACTGAGCCCAAACTGCTGAAAAACTACAATCTTTAGTATTGAAATACTCATGTTATATAATCTTTCAGTTCTGGTGTAATGCACACACTTAACACCAAATGTTGAAGTCATTGATGTTCTGCCTTTCCATTCTGTTTTAATTACATGAAAAAAAGCACACATGTTACTGATGTTTCATCCGTCCAAACCTTATCAATGTGGACTTAAACAGTTTTCAAGTGTTTTCCAAACTCCCAGATGGAGCGTGCTTCAATGTGATTGTTTCTGATATCAGCCAGGCTTGAAATGGAGAGTTGAGGTTTCCCTAAGGCCAAAACCACCATGCTTTGCTTTAACTTGCTCCTTGTTTCATGCTGGCTTGTCCCTGATCAAACTCTAAGACAGCTAAATTCACCAAAAAGAGAAAGAAGACGGGAAAAATACATAATCTAGTGAACAAAAGTCTGTCTAAAGATACATCAAACTATCTGTAATGTGTGCCAAATGGCATGCTCTGCGGCGCCCTGACTTATTACACCGGCAGTCAGCCTGTTTGGAGTCACATTGAGGTGAAAGCTGTCATGCATTAGCAGCAGCAGCGTGACGCAGACAGCTTTGTCAATCACACACCCGTACTTCAGTTCTCGTTATACACGTGACTTTTCCTTAACTGCGCATTATACATAAAAAAGTGGCTATATTCACATTTCTTTACCTGCCTGCTGTATTTTTACGTTTATTCTGCAATGACACAGCATCTATTGAAACTCTGGGTGGGTACAGCACTTGGGTGGGACACACAATTACACCCAATGATACAGTCTGTTCCAGTAACAGCTACTTAATCCACAGATGCCAGCTTTATAAACACAATGTCCTTTTAGATTTGTTCTCATGAGCTGTCAGCTAACATGTCTGCAGTATTTACACAATCATCTGGTATAATGAGCCTCTAATGGTGACTGTCGTGAGTCAGCATTTGTGCTACAAACGACTCACTCTACCATCTCGACAGGATGGCACGCCGAGAATACGAACATGTATCCATTTATATCATAAATAAAAGGTTTTCAAAATACAGTGAAAGCCTGTCTAGACAGTGAGAGCACCTGCACTGCATGTCATGCATCTTAAGCGTATAGCAAAATCCAGTCCAGTGTTCTTTTCGCATGATATCTCAGCACTTTCTATTCTTTTCATGCTTAACACGGAGCAGATTTCATGGCCATGCATGGAGCTGTTTTCAGGCAGTATGTTGACAGGTAATTCCCTACTGTTGATCCTCTCAGACTCTAAGGTTAATGCAAAGGTTATAGATTTTCTGGAGCATGTGAGGTTTGTAAATTCAACCATTAAATACACCTACAGGCTTACATAACCTATGTGCTTTTGTTGTGCAATTGTTGTCCATGACTCACTCACGTTTTGGTTAGGTTGTAGAGTTTTTGTTGGAAGATAATCACGTTATCTCCAAAATAATACACTGTTCACTGACTTTCCTATAGAAACATTACAGACAAAGGATGGCATATCTGTAAAAACCTCATGCGAACACCACTATTTTACATGTCTGCTGCCACTTCCACTTTGACAACTACAGACATTTGACTGTCATCAGCAGCACAGTTAAAGGGAATCCTTGACAAATAGCACATGTCTGGAAACATAGTGCATACGTGACAGAAGCTGGAGGCTGCTGTTGATGTTGATAAGGGCAGCAGTGATATGCCTGCATGTATTTCAGTGAAAACAAAGTTACTATTGATGATGGCCACTCCGCCGCTGTGCAGTGGTGCAGACACTTTTCCCAGGTAACCATTCATGTCGGTAATCGTTCCCTCCTTTCACACCTGCTGCTGCATGTTGTCACCGGGTTTAAAGAAAGTACGCAGCTAAATTGGTTTTGTTTGTTGCTGGTTTAGTAGATATTTAGAGTTGTTAGGGAGGACTGAGGAGCATATATAGTTCAGTCTACACCTGTGAACATCTTTGTGCCTCCCCAGAGTCCCTCTCAAACATCTGGTCTAATTTATGATTGTAAGATTGTAATCCTGTTAAAATCGCAGAGTGAGTCCTCTGAGTCTTTCCTCTGGGCAGATTTACCACAGAGCACAACAGGAACCTTTTAAGGGAGACTTTCTCCTTTTACTGTCCCACTGATTCTGTCTGAGAAAACACCACTGGAGAGGGTGTCATGTAAGGGAAAAAGAAAGTGATATACTGAGAGCAGGGTAAATATTTATCATAAAATGGGATTACTTCTGGGAATTCACATGTCCTATTTCTCAAAGTAAATATAATCCCAATTCAACTCATATTCATCTTGTGAATGTATAATTGGATTTCTAAAATTGGACCAATCACAATAATTATTTAATAACTTGTTTAGATGCATTTATTTTAGTGAGAACTTTGAGTTCAGACTCAGTTATTACAAAATGGCAAAGACAAATACACATGGAGTCAAATTTTAGTTTATAAAAGTAGTGCTGCTCATGCAACTTTTTTTGTAAGATAGGCCAAACAGTATTTTAGATTTTAGAATAAGCTATTACAAGTTAAACAACCATAAATCAGAAAATGTGTGAAAAACAAGCAAAGGTTATCCTGAACTGATGTTACAACCAGAAGAAGCTTCCTGAAAATTATAGTTTTAAAATGGCTATTATCATTGGTTTCATCGAGTCTGTCACTTTGTTCTTCGAAGTGATGATAACCCAAATATGAAGCCGTCCCACCCCGGTTAATCTGGTTTAGAGAGGTTAGTCCTCATTGGTTGTCAGGGTTGTAAACAGCCACTCTGTTCCGGGGGAAGTCTTGTATGTGAGTGATAAAGATTTATCAGCTGCAGGGGGTGTAGGGTAGGGCACACTGAGGCCCACAGACAGGCACAAAGACACACGAACAGATATCAGAGATGTCTCATGTAGTTCTCTGAAAGTCTTTTCCACAGAATTGAGTGGTTTTACTGAATGTGCAGTAATATATTTCCACTTTATTTTTCAAATATGCATACTCTATCAGACTCTAAGGTTGCTATATTTACTGTTGAAGAGATCTATACCATAAAATGTAAAAAGCTGTTGTAAATAATGTGCTAATAATTATATATAAAAAGTCTGATTATGCTGAAATAAGAGATTGATGATTGGTCAACACAAAACTGATACACTTTTAATCCAACACTGGTCAACACATTAAATATGATTAATTTTTCTGCTGTTCTACTTAGTTTATTGTTTTTAGTGACTGAAACTGGCTGATGTGATCATACAGGGATATGGATTTCTTTATTTTTGAAACACACAGAAGGCATTTAAAAAGTTAGGGTTAGGGTTTGTGTTCCTTTTTGGAGACTTGTGAGAGTTTATTTTGTAGTGTGAAGCTAATATCAGGAATACCAGTAAATCTCTATATCTGGACTCACTGTGTAATCTGCAGGATTATATAAGGCATGAACAATATATCCCAAAAAGCAATGATGTAGGCTTATTGACCTATGCTTCATAATGAGTAAAAGCAGGTAACAACAATAATTTGAGGACAATTAGATAAAAACTTATACTCTATAAACAATATGGCTTTTATCAATTTTATGTTCATAATTTTGTAAGATTTACGGCTGATATCAAACATGATAAATGTCTGATATTAATTGTTGTTATCATTGTTATTTATCAAACACTTTTACTTTTTTATTTAAATTAAGCCCTGTAGCATGGAAGCCAACGAAACACACTTATATAACATTTTCCTGAGTTGACCTGGTGAGGAAAAAGAAGAGATTTCTTAGAAGCCATAGATGTAACATCTGTTCAGTTTCATGGAGATATGATCTGAAAGTTAATGCCCTTAATTAAGATTTACCCAAATGTACTAAATGTAGAAAGCCCTAAAGATGTTCAAATACCAGATTATTATATAATATCATGAATTCAAACGAAACTCATTAATCAACTCTTTGTACACGTCATAACTTTGCTGTTATGGTTACTGTGTGCTCATCAATTAGAGATGGCTTTATCAACATCTGATCTCAGTTTAAACTATTTCTGTGTTTATTATGTAAAAAGCAAAAATGACCCTGCAGCGAGAGTTAAAGAAAAAAAAGGTTAAGGACACTTACAATGTGGTTTCTGGTTCTGAAGAGTCGCTGAACTGTATGCTGCCGTTGGACTGCAGAGGACCAGACGAGATCTCCTCACTCTTTCTGCTTCCCTGAGTACTAGTCAGGCTGTCATTCCCCTCCATCATACATGTTGGAGTTTTCTGAAAGGAGCCGGCTGTGCCTGAATCAGCCTGCCACAGAAAGCAGGAGCAGCGAGTCCGCAGCCCTTTATAAAAACTGTTAAGCTGCAGGGCTGACAGCCACGGACAGCCCAGCAGGTTCTTGAACGCCGTACGAAACTCCGGACTCCTGCAGTAGATGATAGGATTGAGACCGGAGTTTATGTATCCGAGCCAGTTCAAGAGTCTGAAGATCCTCTCTGAGGGAACGCTTTTGTCGAATGCGTTGATGATGTTGGCCACAAAGAAAGGAAGCCAGCATACAGTGAATGTCCCCATGATGATACCTAGAGTCTTAAGGGCCTTGTGCTCTTTGATGAGGATGAGTCGTGACGGCCTCCGCTTAGAGCCCTTTCTCCGCTCTACGTTGTTGCAGTTGTTGGACCCTGGACATGTGGATGGTAGGATATTGTTAAGGTGGTGGGAACTCGGTATCCTCGATGTTAGACACTCATTCTGGAAACGCATTCGATTCTTATCTATGAGCTGGACCTGCCGTGTGGCTATCAGGAAGACTTTGGCGTACACAAATATCATTATGAGCAGAGGAATGTAGAACGACACAGTGGAGGAGATTATTGCAAAGGCCCTGTTGGTCACAAAGTCACAACATTTGGGGTCATCGTAGCAACTTTTTGCTGCTTCATCCTCCTCATCACGCCAGTACCCTTTCATAATCGGTACAAAGGAAATTAAGGCGGAAACAGCCCAAACTAAACAAACTATTACTCTTGAACGTCTCTTATTTAGAAGGACTTTGTGTCGCAGCGGCCTTGTAATGGCTATATACCGGTCTACGGCGATTACACAAAGAGTCTCGATGCTTGCAGTCACGCACAGGACGTCCACAGAAGTCCAAATATCACAGCATGTGTCACTGAGCTGCCAGTTCCCCGTCATCACGATTGTGGCCCCGAGAGGCACCACCAGGACCCCCATGATGAGGTCGGCGAACGACAGCGACATAATGAAAATGTTTGTTGTTGTTTGTAGCTGTGAAGTTCGGGTTACAGCGATGATGACCAACAGGTTTCCTATCACTATGGTCAGTATAATGGGAACCAGTATGACCAGGCTCCAGGGTCCCAGTGCAAGGTGATAAGGTGCTGTCGTTAGGTTTGTCACATTCGAAGCGCTCACGTGTCCTTCCATTATTCACCAGCTCGACTCAACAGGAGAAAAATGAAGATCTGTCATTAAAGTCCGAGTCAACGAAAGCAGGAAGTCTTTTAACAAGCATAATGTGTTTAAATTTACAGTCTTCCTACTTAATATTCATTCTTCACTTCTCTTACATGTCACACCTTCGAAGGCTTGACTGTAAGTTTTCAAAAGGTAAAGGATCCGTTCCTGGATGTCCTTCCAGAGTATGAAACAGCAACATGATCTCCAAAAATAAAAAAAGTATCCAACTGTATTCAAAGATAAATTGTTCACAAAGTTGCAGAACTCTTGAGAATCCAGAAAATCTTTAGAAAAAAAGGAAAAATTTTCAAGAGGAAATCCCGGCTCTGTCCTTTTGGTTCTGTCCACTGGGATTAGAGGAGTTTACAGTGTTTTCACTGAGTCCTGCATGAACCACGATGCCACAGCTGGACTGTTGAGGATCAAGCAACAGTGACGCTGCTGCAAGAACCACCAGAGAGCACCAGAGGGGCTGCCCCCTTTCCCTCTCACTGCCTCTCTCACTCTTTCCCTCTCTCTCTCTCTCTCTCACTCTCATGTTGAGGTTGCCCAAGATTGTATTGGCTGTAATCACACCCTGGCTGAGGGCGGAGGGGAGGAGTTAAAGTGTGCCTGTGTACTAAGGCCATACAGGGATCAGTACCCTAATAGAGTCACATACACAGAGAGAGAAACAATTGCACACACACTCATTCTCGTATGAGCTCACTCATATAAATCTGTAAGCAAAGATCAGATACCGCTGTGAAGTGTGTAAAATGTGTGTTATGTTATAATGTTAGTTTGGAAAAGGAAAAGACTCTTGTCCTTGTAAGTTTGAATGTTTGTGTCGATCTTTAGATCTTTATTGTTGTGATGATTGGAGTTGTTACTCTAAACTTGTTAACCAATTAACTTGTGTTATTTTTAAACTATCCCGGAGTTGCACTTCCCTTCACAACTTTGTGTAAGAAAAACTAAATATTGGACTGTTTTGTCACATTCAATAGCAATTATACGTCATTTTCTCTTCTTGAATAGTGTCTGTAACACAGTCAGTGGTCTACTCTGCAGACCACAAGGCACGCGGCACCCCCAACTGTACAGAGCAGGAACTAGGTGCCCTTCCTTTGACTCAAAGCAGTGAAAGAAAATAATAGATTGTTATCTTAATGTTACTCAAGCTCGTGCACTGAAGAAGAACAATCAGGTGAATGCCTTGCATGCGATCAGCCTCAGATATTCAGCACTCGGCTGCGGTTCTGGGCTCACTTGTCACCGGGGCAGTTCCTTCTTTGGTCTGATCAGCTCAACAACCGCAGCTGTGAATTCTCTGCTTATTATTCCCACCTTGCAGTTTACTTACTCTGAATGCGAAGTCAAACAAGGGAATACTCATCAGCCTTGGATTCAGATATTCCCAGTTTAATTTATCCATATTTATATTCAACTATTTATTCTGCTATTCAAATATTTTTATACCGTCAACTAATTAACACCCTAAAGCTGCTCCTTAGGCGCTTTTGTGAGTTTCAGCTCATTAATTTACCGCCTGGCCTTCAGTTTCGCTCTTTAAGCTCATCTTTATCATGCTTATGTGATCTTTACAGCCTTGCAGGCGGCTTTTATCAGTCATTGCACACATACCTACACAGCACCAAACAGCAGGTCGACAGTTTGCAACGACCTTGTTAGCATTTAGCAGCAAAGTGAGACGCTTGTTTTCGAAAGAATCTCAGAGTGAGGTGAAAGAAAGTCAGTGTAGGAGCTAACTTCACTTTGTGGTCGAAACATAAGTTTGGATCAATAATAATGTTGCTCTGTTGCTGAGCAACCAGGAACTGTTTGCTAACGTGTTTGCCAAAACAGTTTTGATATGAGATGATAGATAAATGTTTTTCCGTCTTGTTTCTGATTCTACCGAACAGGAAAAAAAAGTTGCATATTTTTAATTCTTACTTTCAAGACTGAAAACTTTTTGAAAACTTCAGTCGACGCATAATTATTTTATCCGTCCAGTGGTTTTGAGGGAAACTCGACAGGCACACAATGACTCCCTTCCCTTCCGCCTCCTTAATGTTGAGATTTTTTTGTTTTTTGTCTGCCTCACTTTGTCACTCATCGGTCAGGAAGTTATGGAGCTGTGAGTGCATTTACAAAAGGGAAGAAGTGGGCAAAAGCAAAACACAGACGTCTTTTCAAAGTTGATGACCAAGAGGCCCCATCTGACAACATTTCTGCTGATGGAAGTCACCGCTGTGCAGCAGACAGCTTGATGGATGGTCATTTGTCTTTGCGTGAGAAGATGTCATTGGTGGATCTGGACCTGGTCCTAGGGTAGTCAAGCGTGACGGCTGGTACAAGCAGGGCTGTTGATAGTAAAATCAGCTGACAGCTCACCACTACAGGGAGCCTTGTAACACGATTGTTCTCAACATGCAGTGAATTACATTGCATGAAAATAAACCTTTGCATTTACTTTGCAGAACATAAAAGACTCATGTTTGTTGTTGATTGTGGTAAGAGTTTAGGAATCTTCTTGCACGGCCTCTTATGTAATGTACCCATCAGGATCGCATCAGTGATATCTTGCCAAGACATCAGCGATATCATGAGTTTCACTATGTGCCAGTCCTTGATAAACACAACCTTCTGCTGCTCCTGAGCTCATCAGCATGTCTGTGACATGTTTGTTTTAGTCTAACCTGAGGGCTTTCGCTGTGTGCCAATGAGGGAGAAAAGAGGACTTAACAGAGATCTGTGGAGGGTTGGGGTTTACACAAGTAAATATATGCAACACAACACATTATAACAGAGTGACAGTTATAAATTTATGCACAGAATTAGGGCCCGACCGATTTATCAGTGAGCCGAATAAATCGTCAAATTGTAGCCCGTTTGAGACTAACCGGTAATGGGCCAAAACTCGCCAATTGTCACCGATATTTTCTAAAATATAAAATGTGGAGAACAAGATCCGGTTTCACTTCGAAAATGTTCCGCCATTTGAAAAGTTTCCTGACTTATCCTGTAGATGGCGCAGGGACCTCATGACAGTCTCGATCCACTAACTACCTCACAGCACAGCAGAGTGACGGAGCTGAAGACGGCAGCGACAGGGACACAATAAGTCAACAAGTTTCAGTTCAACCCACTTCACGATGTTCCCCGCTGTGCTGGCTTCGGTCACGCCGAGTAAACTGTGAAGCACCATGTAATATGTGAGCTAAAGTTAGAGCTAGCCACCTGCTATTAGCCTTGCTACACTGTTAGCCGTGCCAGTCACGGTAGAATAAACAACAGTACACATTAGTGATCGAGCTACTTCTCTTACTGAGACAGCTGCATGTCTCCAGATGAGACCGGACCGGAAATGAGTAACGTGAGTTAAGACGCGGAGGCAGGTGGCGGGGGGATATATATTTATACTGTAGATATCGACACTATATTTTTTAAAACTTCATACAAAAATTGAAAGATTGGCAGATTAATCGGTAATCGGATTTATTTCCCCCCTAATAATCGGTATTGGTATCGGCCCCAAAAAATCCATAGATTTAGGTCAGGCCCTGCACAGAATATTATGATAAGTTAGTAGGCGGATAATATCAGGATAATTAGCCAAAACAAATGATCCACCTCAACTAGAAAGTAATCAAAGTTGTGCAAAAGAGATGAATAGTTGAAGAAGAAAATAAACAGGAGTCCTCATGGTCACACAAAGGTTAATTTCATTTAACTTTAACAAGAAGACGAAACAAAGAGAGATAAAAGTACATATATGACCCCGATAAACCGTATTTGTCTTAAATAATTTGCAACTTTGAACACTGGCAGCAACTACACACTTCCTCAGCCAAGAACGACCCATATTTAAAGTTTGCAGAACGGTCGAAGATTTGCTCGGTTCATGATTGCAGGCTATAAATCATCAGAGCAGTCCAAGGCCTCACAATGCCTGTTTATTACACACTTACATCCCACATAACGTGCATCTTGGGAATGTTTCCCTCTTCTCCATGGAAACCTTAAGGAAGATCTGTTCCAATCAGCATGCATTCAAAAAAACGTCTGGTATTTCCCTCTTGACAGCATATAGGGAAGGCCTGATTCCTGGCAGCCAGCTGGACCTCACTGGCTTACATTTCAATTCACACAACGGTCCATATGGTCCATGCCAGCCCTCCTATGCTTGAAAAAATGTGTGAGATGCATTCTTCCACTCGATAAAGCCTGAGGGTGTTAATCTTGCCAGTGTCAGAATTTGCTCATAATCACTTTTTAAAAGCAAGATGTGGCTCCTCATGACGTTTGGATCTTCTGAAGTGCTGCTCATTACTTTTCCAGAAGGAGACACAAGATATCTTTAATGTGTTCTTCCTGTCAAATAGAAGTTGAACAGGGTCCAGCAGCAGGACTATGAGCTCACAATGCATCGGGATCAAACTGTTCTAGCTTTATGTCTCTGTACTATGCATTATCTGATTTTCACGATCCTCAAACTGAAGATTAAACAAAAAGCAATTTTATTTGACATCCTTTTCACCTTACACTTGAACTGCAGATCTACTTCTTGTAACTTTTCTGTGCATCAGGAGTTTAGAAATGCCTCCTTTGAGTTTGTGTTTTGGCCTTTTTTTTTTTCGTACAGGAAACTCGACATTAGCTGGAGTTGCTAATCATGGTTGAAGGGTGTGTCTGCAAGCCCCAAAACAGTACTCAAAACCTTCAGGGCACTAATGCTGGTTCAGCTTTAGCTTTTCAAAGAGGTCCAATAAAACAATACACCTCTCATGTATTTTAACATCTACCAAAATGTCCAGAGGAAAGGATTGATGGAAACTATATTTGACCTGAGAACATTTCCTCTTCATGTATGCATCCTGTGAGGGTTAGAGCCCAAAGCAGCTCCTGTGCCAGCAAAATATAAAGTAGGAGACCATGTGTTGAGGTGAGTGGAAGTTGTTTTATAGACTGTTCTGTTCAGCCTTCCACAAATATGTCGCGGGTAAATCACACTCATTATTCTCTGAGTGGAACCACATGCTGATATGTCGTGGAGTGTCCGCTGGGGCCTGCGAACAGAACACTTTGAGACATTAAAATCACTCTGAATGTAAAGATGCTTTTACCTCAAGTTTACGTCCATGCAACAAATCGTTTAAAATTCAGTGACTCATTTAAAATCAGTCAGTACGTTTACATGACACTCAAGAAAACTGAATTATTGCCTCACTCCTATTAAGACCAGACAACTGAAGTGCATGTAAACACCTTAGTCTGACTACGATCGGAGTTCTCGGTTAACTCTGATTAAGACACCCAGATAATGCAGTTGGAATTCGACTTTCTCTACCATGTAACCAGCATAGTTGGAGTACGATTGGACAACCCCGGAACAAAAACACCAGAGAAGAGGAGTAGCGTGCATCTCATCTGCAGAAAAAGTAGCGCGTACATCATGTACGACAAAAACAACGCTGTATGATGCTCCATCTTCTTGCTTGAAAATGCCCAGCAGAAGTTGTAGACACTTCTGACATCTGGCACGGACCTGCCCCT